ATATTATCTTTGGCGATGCAATATGATTCTTCTTTACACATGAATGACTATTTAATTTGCAGTACTTCTACAGGGTCTGATAGTAAAGAATATAGTATTTTAACATGTTTATCATCTCCAATGAATGAGAATTCTTACTAAACTGTTAATCAGTTAAGTGGGTCCTGTAAAGCTGAATCTGCTTCCAGATTTCTGAGTCCCCAAGGTGTATCAGATAATTTATCTGGTAGGATTATGTTGATGTTTTTTTCAATCTTTAAAAATGAACGCAGACATATGAAATGACACCTGTTGACAACTAAGTTGCAATGTGAAGCCTGGGTTAAATATTCTCCATTTAGGTTATTTGCATGAGAATGTACGGGGCTGCTAGGTCAGACCAATAGTTCATCTAGCTCTGCATACTGCAAGCACAGGCAAACTTGGCCCTCCAGATGTTTAGAGGCTACAATTCCCATCATCCCTGACCACTGGTCCTGTTAGTTAGGGATGATGGGAGTTGTAGTCCCAAAACATCTGGAGGGCCAAGTTTGCCTATGCCTGGCATACTGTTTCCAACGGTGGTCAGCCAAATACGTCTGGGAATCGTACAGGTACAGTATGGTGGAAATGACGTTCCACTTTTGCTTCCTGTCTAACAGCTTTTGACAGATTCACCTTCCATGAATTCACCTAATACCGGGAATTGGGGAACAGATATAGGGTTGAGAAAACAACTCCCGTCAAGCCCCAGCAAATATGGCCAGTGGTCAGGGATGATAGACATTTCAGTCCAGCAACATCTGGACAGCCATATCTGTCCTAATCTTTTTTTTTTTTTAAGAAGTCATTTAAGATATTAAGAATTCAGGTGCTCCCTGTCCTGTGCATCTTGCAAAATGCATCATAGCTCCAGGGATGTAGTTCTAATTTTGGAAGCTCATCATTTGCTCCCAGTGGCAAGAGTGCCACCAAGCCTGTGTACCTCAGGCTGCTAATCCCATCAGCATTATAAAAGAATCATTAATATCCCATATTCATAATCACACTAATGGATGGCATGCATAAGGAGCATGCATTATTAAAGGGAAAGTTCTGAATGTGTTGTAGGAGGGGAATTCTTTTTTGACTGACAGTCATGTAAACCAAACATCCATATCCTTCACGGTTTCAATTTGGCAGAGTGATCTTGGTGTTATAGCCCAGAGCGAAAACTCTACTGAACAGGTTTAGACTATTACATTTTAATCTCCCTTGCTACATTTCATTCACTTTCATAATTTTCTTTTCTGCCACCCTCTGAAAGGAAATCTTCTCGTGGTTCTTTCCTTTCATTAGTGAAATCATAAAATAATAATAATACATTGCACTTAACATCTATCAACAGTGCCCATCACTCTGATATATGTACAGTTCCCCCCACCTCACACAGAAATGACCAGTCAGTAAAGTTTCCGAATATTGAAAAGGTCAAAGTACTACAAGGCTCTATTATTTTCACTTAGAAATATATGAGACATAAAAATGGTAGTGGTGGGAAGGATGTAAAATGGAACATATTCCCTTGATGGCCCAGCACTGTCACCACACAATTTTTTTTACCCCTCAATCTATTTTTATTTTTTAAACACCCTATTTTAAGAGAATTATAATTAAATAGGCATATAGGCCCTCAGCAAAATGCATATTGGTAGTAACATAAAAATGAGAATATTCTTAGAGAAGGAGTCCAATATAATACTCAACCATGAGAATATCAAATACAAAAGTTAACATTAAAAAGAGCTCTAGAAAGCCTAGGCTGTATTTCACTAATAATGGATGTTACACAACACTTCTATTACACTACTTGCACTTGCTGTATTAACTGTTTACTTGTAGTCTAACTCAGGGTTCTTCAACCTTGGGTGTCCAGATGTTGTTTGACTATACGTCCCATCATTCCTGACCATTGGCTAAACTAGTCATGGGTGTTGTAGTCCAACAGTCCCGAACTCAGGCACAGCCAGGCCCTCTGGCTACCTAAAGACTGTTCTGTGGAGCCAAGGGCCTGCCATGAGGGGCCGCAACTGCCACCTACCCAAAGACTGGGTAAGCAGCCATTATCGTCTAACAGCATCTGGAGACCCAAGGTCAAGGAACAATGGTCTACACAACCTTTCTTCCTTTCTATTAATGGTAGCCATGCTTGCACAACACATATTTTCCCACCTGATGCTCTGTGTTACTTTCCTGTGAGAAGCTATTTGCCACACTTTTGCACTTCACCGCATCAGACTCAATGATATGCTTTCCTGCTGCCTTATATAATAAATGTTCTTCACATCAAGATAATGCAGTGTTGCTTTGGTCTCTGCTTTTATACAGTGTCAAGTTATAGTGTGAATAAGCTTGCTGTACAGAAGTCCAAAACCCTGTTAATTAAGCCACAATAATATCTACTGTTGCCTTGAGACAGACCCAATTTATTTTGTCAGCAAAAGAATGTTTTGTGTTTGTATTTTTTCCTTTGTACATCCATTAGTGCTGGAGGCATTTGCAACATTAATTGGTGACCTGCGTCTTGAACATTATTTTTTTTATGCTGTGAAAAGAAATATAAAGGAATTAAGGCATTCTCTGGACTTAAAGAACAACTCTGTGCGTCCTTAAGTGGCTCTCTTTATTAATATGATATGGCAAATGTTTGTTCCTGTTTATTAAATCACATGAAAGGTTAATTATGCTAAGCGACTCTGGGTAGAAAACAATTCTTGGAAGAGGCTTTTTAAACAACAGGTTGGCAGCTTGCAGGAGCCATCTGTTTCCCACAAATGTTAAGGTACAATCTTAAACTTGTGAGGTTAAAAATTACAGTAGTTTGGGAGAAGGAAAATCCATGCTGCGATGATGATATGAAAATTCTGATTCTCCTTGACATGCAGCCTGGCAGGAATGCCAAGTTTCCTAAACATGGTGTTTGGTTGCTAATAACCATGAAAACTACAGGGGAACAAAGCAGCAAGGGGGCTCCTGTTATCCATTTCCTTTCTAATATAAGGGCATTGGTGTCCTGGAATGATGTTGCCTGAAGCTTTTGCAAAACAGATCCATGCATGATACTGTCATTTGCCTCTAATGGGTTCATATCATGATTTGAAGATGCACTCCTAAATTCTGCCTTGTGAGTCAACTGAGTTGGGCCAATGGCTTAAAAGTTCTCAACATATCTCTGTGTGGCAAAATTGTCCATGCAATGAGATGGGTCTACACTTTAAACTAATTATCCAGCACTGCCATTCCAATGGAGTATTTAAAAGCAAATTATAAAATTTGTAATTGAAGTGAAATACACCCATGCCTAGAAATAGGGTGGTAGTGACATGTTTCTTGGAGACTATGCATTCTGACTGGAGAATGTGCATACGGCCCAGAGAATGTACAAAATTCAGTTGAGATATGAACATTCCAGGCCTGTTGAGGATTATGTATATGACCAGGAATGTGCACAATTCCCTTTTCATGGAAGGCGTTTGTGTACATTCGCCTTAAAGCTTGGTGAATGTGCCCAATGTGTGGTTATTATGTACATTAACTCCCCTTAACACACACACATGTATTTTGAAGGACAGGTAAGAAATATAAAATAATAATTATGATAATGTTATAAGGTGTTAATTTATAATACAGCCTTTTCACAGTCTTCTCATATGTCATTCTTTTTTTATTTATATTGGCCTGGTTTGCATATCATACTAAGTCATAGTTTGGTTTACAATGAATGTGCAAGCATTCTCAGACAGGAGTTCCCAGCTGCTGCACTCCTCCCCAATTGTCTTGCTGTTTCACCACAACAAACCATAGCCTAAACCAAACCAAAACCTGGCTCAGGGGTGTAGCAAGGGGGTGCAGTCCGCCCCGGGTGTCCCCACTGAGGGGGGTGTCAAAATGGTGGGCAGCACTCACCGTGGGGCCTGCAGCACGCCCAAACCACGTGTCTCTCCTGGGAGTGACGCGGTGGCTTGGGCGCCCGCAGGCTCTGCGCCACCCCAGACAGTCTGCCCGTTGCCTCCCCCTCAGCTGTAGGGCGGCTGCGTGGGAGGAGGCAGACAGACTCCTTGGAGGCCCCGTGGTGCCCATGTGGGTGACAGGGCCCCGGCCCCAGGCACCCGATCAGCTTGCTCTGCCGCTGACCTGACTTAGAGTGTCATCTGAACCTAGACTCATGCTTTAGATCTCCTGGACAAACCATGAGCTGTAAACCATGGAACAAACCTTGGTTACAGCTTGTGGTTAGTCTGTAGTGACTTTAAACAATGATCCTGGGTTCTGACAACACACTGAACCAAACCATGGCAGAACAGCAGCAGAACATCTGAGGAGGAGCAAGGTGGATGTGGTCTCCTATTCAGGAGCCTTTGCACATTACGCTATCTGCTGCTTCCCCAGGCCAGTCCCTCTATTTAAAATTGCATGTGGTTCCCAGAGGGTTGCCCACAAGGGAATGAAACCCTTGGGCTGAATAAGAATCCCACAACTCTGTTCAAATCCATTATCACAAATTTATCCGCTAGTATGAGGATGTGCATACAGCCCTGGCTAAATTCAGCATCATCAACCCATTGTGAAATAGTGCCAATGTACTAAATAATTTGTCCTGTATAAAAGAGGCATTAGCAATAATACTACATTCAGTGGCAAATAGTTTTCCTTCTTGCTCTTTGTTCCTGTTCTCAAAATTGTGGTTTTAGGTAATGAACCGAGACCCTAAAGTCAACTTTTGCTGAAGCTCTGATAGCCAACTTTCTTTTCTTTTTCATTTTTCTTTTTCTGATAGGCTCACTTGAATGGCTAATTCCTGTTCTTGTACACTTGGACAAAGTCAGCTGTCTTCTAAATGCTCTAAATGCTCAGTCTGCTAGTTTTGCAGGAAAGGCTTTGTTGCCACCACTTGGGTAGCCAAACCCACAGGACTTCGGAGAATTTGGCATTTCAGAAACCAGGCAAACAATCTGCCAGCCCGATCAGTTGCAAGCTAACACATGCCTCCTGTGGCGCCGATTGTGAAGTGACAAGCTTAGCCCAGCCCAGCCCAGCAACAGCACTGCGTCCTTAGAAACAGCAGATTTGTCATCAGACTGAATGTGAAAAGCAGCTCACTCATTTGGGTGGTAGCTGCTGCTGCTACAGCTGGAAATCTTTTGCCTTCATCTTTATAAAAGGGCAAAGCTACACAGAGAATACACCAGAGGTGGGTGATATCGGACCGTGATGCAGGGATGTAGGAAAAGAAAAGTTGAAGAGCCTAATGCGATTGTTTTTCCTGAGAGTGATCTTGAGTATGTGAGTGAAAGTTGAAACTGCTCTGGCAGTGAGGACAATAAGTTGTTAGATCAGAGATGAGAAATCTGTGGCTCTCATGATGTTGTTGAACTCCCATCATCCCTGACCATTGGCTATGCTGGCTGGAGCTGATGGAAGTTGGAGACTGATAACATCTGGAGGTCCACAGGTTCCCCACCTCTGTGTTAGATAGCGTGCCAATGGCACAATCCAGTGGTTCAGAATAAGACAATCTGATTCCTGCAGTAGATACCAGCTGCCTGTCTCATTCAGCAATGGCCCTTGATAGAAAACAATTTATATGTGATTGTTGAATTGAGCACAAGAGGGTCATGGGGGGAAATTGTATCTTCCCCTTCCCTAGACACTTCTTGCTGGGCTACAGAATCAAACTAGGAGTTCTGAATTATGCTGGCTTGTCTTTTCGGGGATTTCCCAGTAAACAGTTGGGGAGAGATGCTGCCATGCCATTTTGATTGGGGCAGTTTGGGGCTCTGATGATTTTCCCACCACAAAGGTCTACAGCTCTCTTCATTTTGCCATGACTGGTTCAAGCTGTTACATTACTAAGTGCAGACTGTGCTGTTCTGAGGAAGAAAGAGCCATCTTGTTCTCAACTTGTTAACTACTTCGTGCAACAGCAACAACAAGAAGAATGGGGAGGGAGGGGTGTTAGAATTAACTGTCCATGCCAAATATACACAATATCAAGAGGTGAATGATCCTCCTGAAGGTGTTTTAACTGTTCAAAATATATAATTTAGCCTTCTAAAAGTGCAGGGTTTGAGGCAGAAACTGAACAACTGTTTTATATTGAATAGTATCCATAATTGAATCAGAATGTGCTGGCTTTGGGTCAATCATTGTAGTGGAAGACAGCTCCTACAGAAAGATATAGTTCTTTGAGGACAAATAGCATTGTTGTGCCTTGTCTGTTTGTGTTTCATCCAGTCTCTCACATGAAATTTAAATTGTAATTTCCTTGGAGTGTCGGCTCTCCCTCTCATACCATATTGTTAACCCAATAGGTTACATGGAAAGATAGCCATGTGAAAATTAAGACCAACAGCATGAATAGATCCTTGCCCAAAAATATATATGGGAATCCTAACTATGAATTTTCAGTTCTCTTTTTAAAGAAAAAGGGATGATAGTGAGCCTCTAAATTCTTGCTTTTTGAAGTTACAGGGAAGTAGCCTTCCATAGCGAACAGGTGCTGGCAATGGCTTCAGTCAGAAACATTCCATATGGGTTCAATGCAAATTATGAGACTGTCATAAAAATCATTGGGAGCAAATATGTCCGGTGCCTTGTAGAAAAGACTGATGGGTAAGTATGCTATCTGGAAGAAACATTTTTGATATATATTAGTGGGGTTATATAATTTTATGTTGGATTCCCTCCTCACCACATTAGTTGTGGATAGGGAAAATCCAAATGAAATGGGGTGAGTATGTTGCTACCTGTATGAGGACAATGTCATGTGAACGACCCCAAAAATATGCTCCCATGGGATGTATCAAATAGACTTTAAACTGTCAAGCATACACAGCCCTAGTCTACACCTTAAACAGCATATTACAAGAAAACCCTGTTCCTTTGGCTGTACCATTTCACTGAGGGGTTAAGACCCATTGGCTACCCTCACCTGGTTTAGCCAGCCAGTTGAAACCACTTCTTGGGGTGTGGCTGCTGTCACATGCTGACAGCTTCTAGGTGAGAGCTGAGTGCAGGGTAGGGACCGAAGGTGAACAAATTATCTCAGAAAGAGCACAACGTGTCCCCCACTAGTGGCACTACCCCTCTCTTAACACTACATACACCCCGATGCAGTCTCAGAATAGTTTTTCAGCACAGGGTCTGCTGCTTGTGTACCAGCCGCCAGGGGAAAGATATATATTGCATTATAGCTAGTATAACAGAAGGCAATATTCAACAACATAGTTGTGTTGGTGCAAGGATTAGCACTACCGCAACAGGATTCCCCCACTCTCCTTGTGGAGATACACACTCCTCACCACCCCTCAATCTGCTCATGAGAGTTGTGGGGGGACCCATGAGAGGAGAGAAGATAGAAATAGCTTTCCACTGCACAAAGAAAAAACCCTTGTGCTGACAAGAGAGCTTTGCTTAGTGCTACCTCGAACACAACCCAAACACTCTCAAGTTAATAGAAAGGAGAAAATTGTTCTGGAATTGTTGTTCTCACACATCCCTGACACTGATTTATAAAAAACAAAGGTCTTTGGGCAAGTGTTTTTCAGACTGAGAAAGGCCAAATGGGAACACGGTGATATTTGTTAATATAAATGGCTTACCACCCCTGAACTTTCTTTTCTGGTTGATAAAGTATCAAAAGGTTTAATTGCACAGCTTGGTTTTATGCTTTAAAGAGAATGGCATTAATAATGGCCAGGATCCAAAGAGTTACTTAAGGTATGCCCAAGAAGTCCTGTTAGAATATGTCTCTTCCTCTGAGTGATAGGCCATAATGTAACCTGCTTTTGGAATTCCTCTCCATTTCAAAAGAGCTTGGTCATACAATGCGAGGAAGTATTTTTTAACAGTGCAGCACTATGCATATCTACTCAAAATAAGTCCTACTGAATAAGTGCTGAATCTGGGGGTGGTGCTGAAATAATAAAGACTGTTGTGGGACCTCTACCTGAAGGAGCGTCTCCACCCCCATCATTCAGCCTGGACACTGAGGTCCAAGCTCCAAGGGCCTTCTGGCTGTTTCCTCCCTGCGAGAAGTGAAGCTGCAGGGAACCAGGCAGAGGGCCTTCTTGGTAGTGGCGCCCACCCTGTGGAACGCCCTCCCATCAGATGTCGAGGAAATAAACAGCTATCTGACTTTTAGAAGACATCTGAAGGCAGCCCTGTTTAGGGAAGTTTTTAATGACTGATGTTTTAATGTATTTTTAATCTTTTGTTGGAAGCCGCCCAGAGTGGCTGGGGAAACCCCACCAGATGGGTGGGGTATGTATATATAAATAAATAAATAGCCGGCTGTAAGAGCCACGACTATCAACCAAGCACCTGATTACATGGAGGCCAGCCTCACACGATTATTTGCCACTTTCTTGTGCAGAGGAGTAATTTCTAGCAGGGGGGAAAATGTGAACACCTGTGGTTTGCAGGCAATTTGGAGCTCCCCAGGCCTTACTTCCACCTTGCCCTCACCCATCCCTTTTTTGGTGACTGGTTGGTGGTTGCTGCTGGAAATTACACTAACTGGCCTCTGCACAATTTTCGCTGGAGGCTGTGTGACAATGGGATGGGACTTTCCTACTTCTTCACCATGTTATTTTGATCCTCCGCTGCCTGAACAAATGTGCTGAGACTCGATTTCTATCATATTTGTTGTCTTGACTTGATTTTAGCAAGTCTTCTGCAAATCCCTCTTATGTCACACTGGGAAATTGTTTGTCTGCCATTTTGCACACAGCTCTGAGAAAAGTGAAATTCACAAACTGGTACCATTTTGTTGAAATTTGCATATAAACAAGGTTTAGTGGAACTGTATTAAGTTTCTTCCTTGAGATTATAGTATTCAGAACTGAACATAAAGTGATTATAACTATTATAGCACATGCCTCCTTTATACTACATTTCTTTCTGACCAGCAAATGTTCCAGGAAACAAATATTTTTGGTGTTGCTCCACAACGCGAGTACGTATTTGCCTCTGTATACTGTAAATATACTGTATGCTTGTTTCCTGACAGCAAAGCAAAGGAGGGTGTAAAAACTGAGACACAGTCCATGCTCAGGACACTAGCTCCACACAACGCAAGACAGGCACATGGAAACCCTCCAGGGCTCAATAGGCCTCCTTGTCAACAGATCCATTATGGTCTCAGGGATGAACAACAGAACAAAGGTGAAAAGGAAGAACAAAAGTCTAAACAAGGAGAGACAAGTGATAGCAGATCTGTGGACAACAAAGTGAGTCACTGCAACTGTACTGGTTGCTTATTATAGGTTTCCTACTCAGCATCAGACTTTACTCTTTAACTAACAACAACATAAATGATTAATAGGTATCTTTTCTACTACTGTGGCTATTGTTATGACAGCTACTACTAATGATGATGATGATAAATAATGACAGTGGTGTCCAGTTAAAAGAACATTCTGCTGCTACCAAATTCTGATGAGAGAACTCCTGTATCAAAAAACAATTGTCATCACAAAACTTTCAACTCCTCCAAACAGAATTGCCTTATATTAAAATTTTGACTGCTTATGCTTCCAGTTCATACCTGTTGCTTTTTTTTTACTTGGATCTTTCTCTTACTTTCCCATTCTGTAAACATCTCTTCTCATTCTTCGGTGTTTTGGCTCATAGACATCTGGATTTTACATTGGTTATAATATAAGGCCTGTATTATATTATAACTAACAGACTATTATAACATGGATGGGGAACCTGTGGTTAGCCCAGATGTTGCTGGTCTCCAACTCCCATCAACCCCAGTTGGCATGGCCAATGGTCAGTGATGATGGGAGTTGGAGTCTAGCAATGTCTGGAGTCTATAATCTAATATTGGCAGCCATGATCATATGGAATCACCATTTGTTTAGAGAGGGGACTGTATATTATCCAGTAGATCCAAACAGTGGACCTCCTCATATTAAGTTATAGTCTGATCTGACTGGGATCCTGTATCTCCCCACCATCTTAATATATACATGCTCACAAATTAAAGCAAAAACTATCAGTCAATACAAATCAGAGCTGCAGAATTTTTTTTTTTTTAAAAAAAATACTGTATGTAACAGTGTTGGAATATTTGCAACATGTGGCAGGAAAATAATTGGCATTGTTAGTATTTTGGTATTATGTGTTTGGTAAACTTCCTTCCTTCCTTCCTTCTGCAGAACAGGAGGAAAACCAATGGATGGGCATTTATTTATTATTTACATGTATTAGTCACCGGTTAAGCTAGCCCCTGGGTTAGTTGCAAGGAAGGATATTTCAGGTAGGCATTAGAAAAACATTCCTAACCATAATAGACATTTGACCGTGGGGCAGCCTGCATCAGGAAGATGGGAGCTCTCCTTCACTGGAGATATTTAAGCAGAAGCTGGGTGGCTACCTGTCAAGCATGGGAGACTCCTTAGGCTGCCTTGAGACTCCTTTTTTTTTTTTTAAATGATATTTATTCCAAGTTTAAAATTACAAAAAAGAAAAAGAAAAACAATACAAAATACAAAGAAAAATTTAACCATAACAAAGCGAGAAATATCAAGAAAAAAGTGAACAATAAAATAGAATAAAAAAGAAGACGAAACAAAAAATATAAAAATGCATTGAGTTAGACTCCTTAGGGTAGTGAAAAAGTAGGATATCAAATCCAAACTCCTCCTCCTCCACCTCCACCTCCTCCTCCTCCTCCTCCTCCTCCTCCTCTTCTTCTTCTTCTTCTTCTAGTTTCAGGATTACTGCATTGATCCGGGATGAGGAACATATTGGAATCCGAGAACAGATGAAGGGTCACAGGTTCCTCATCCCTGGACTAGATTATCTCCAAGGTGTATTTCAGCTCTATAATTCTATTATATATATCATGAGTTCTCACCTTCAAGGATTGATTTATACTGACAGCTTGGTAGTTCTGTATCTGGTCCTTTTAGTAAGCAAAATATTAACTTTGAAAAATGAGCCATGGTTCATTGAGAGGGATAATTTCTGGATCAATCCTGGGTTCAATCCCAGGCAGTGCTTTTTTTTTCTAAAAAATATTTAGGGGTACTCTCCTTTTCCTAATCATATTGAAATACTGCCCCTCAATGAGGCCAAACTTAGATTCACAAAATGTTTAGGGGTATGCGTCTCCCTGCAACCCCCCACCCAAAAGCACTGATCCCAAGTAACTTAAAGAATGCTTGAAAGAAAGGATGGGGGTATACCTCTTTCTGAGTAACTGCCACCAGTTAAGTTACATATATGAAGCAGTGGAGAGTGTCATATTTGTACAAGAAAGTCCTAGGAAATCTGCAAAGCTACAAAACAAAGCATTTATCTTTGGAGCAGTCACTATCATTTAGCCTAGAGAGATCTTAGGCTTCCCTGAGTTCCTTGGCTAAGCCTATAGTGGCTGGCCAAAGGTGAGTTTTATGACTGAACTGGTATTTAAACCCAGATCGCTCCAGTCCATGCATAACTCCTGTTTGTTTATAAAGAATATAATATTTGATATGCGAGAGGTTTTCTGAACTTTAGGGCTCTTTTTCCTCATGCAAAGTGTTTTCAATACCTACAGTTACTTTACAGAATGAATGTGTTTCTTGGATTGCTTCTTTTCTAACTGCTTGTTTGTTATCCAAGGGTTTAAAACCACTGAATACACATTGTGTCACTGCTCCCTCTGGTGACAAGTCTTTGTCCTACATTCATACTCTTCAAAAACCATCTATGGAAACTCACATCTTAAAGCAACTTGAAAGACAACAGGTAACTGAATTTAAGTATAATCAAAGCAATTTGCAGTTTCAGGTGTTTGGCTTGTGACTATTGGGCATTTTTCATATTAGAGTGTTTTAAAATACTTAAGGCCAAATCAAGGGTTTGATCCAAAACAGACATTATCTGGAAAAAAGTTACACTAAATTTTTTTGACTTACTTGCAAGTAAATGCTATTAGGATCAGGGTGGTTGGCTGTTTTCAGATGCTTACAGCATAATCTGATGCATGTCACTCAGAAGTGGGCCCTAGGGAGACTGCATACCTCACACATCTTAACTGTCCTTCCATACTTTCAATCAGGGAGGCTGAAGAGAATTAAAAGCGGGGGAGGGAAATTTCCAAAATTTCAGTGAAGAAAGTGAGGACTCAACTCTACAGGAGTTGACTACAGAAACTGTGGGTAACAGCTAGCTGCCTTGCAGGAAACTGGTATGGTGTTACTGTGCATGTGTAATGTCCCCCTCATCACCCTACCACACATGTAGGAATGCAAAACTTCATGGCTTTGCTATTTTGTCCCCAATTTCTGCCCAGAGAGTTTATAAAGCAGTTCACGTAAATGTAAATGCATTAAAAGTATGGAACCTTGGGGTAAATGAGAGATATGAAATCAAATAATAAATTTATTGCTAGACCTTACACATACTTTAAAGCATTCCTTTTCTCAGGATATCGCTCAAAAACCAATGGATGAAGAGAATGATTCTCTTCTGGGTATCCTCAGAAAAGAACTTGAGCAGTGCCCTTTGAACCTGACTACATTAGAAAAATTTCAGGAAGAATGTAAGGTTTTGGATCCCAGAGTTTCAAGACTTCTGTCTCAGGCACAACTGAGCCACCTGCTTTTAAAGTACGAAGTCCCTCTGCAATTACCCACTGTCAAACTCCTTTTCAAGAGATTTTCAAAAGCAAATGATCAAGAACTGGTATGTTAATACAACATTTTAAACAAAAATAATGTTGAGCTCAATAGATTGGATTTCTTAAGACCTGCCTGTACTTTTTGAATATTGATGTTATAGGTCAGGGGAGATTCTAACTCTGAAATAAAGGTGGGCTATTTATTTTTTGGGTCAAAAACTATTTTCTCAGCCATTGTAAACCATTATATCCATGCAACCTTTTTAATTATGTACAGCAGAACTGAGCAACACTGTTTAAACTTAGAATGCTAATAGTGTTGTTATTAAAGATTTTCTTGGGTTACAGAAGTACATACATCGTTTCTATTTTCAGATCATAAAGTCATTCTCACAGATCAGTTACATTTCATGTGAGACTTTGATGTTGTATACAGTATAGGGTTGGGGGAGAAGATAGGTGAGGAAAGAATGTTCTGCATAGTTGAACAGGAACAGACCTTGGTAATATGGCACCCTATGTGAGGCCAAAATTTGACACTCCTCCTCCAGCCCTTTTGCCACCTCCCCAAAGCTGGGTAAAGGAGACAGTAGGCTTTGGCAAGAAGGTGCAATGCTCAGGTAGGGTCCTAGAGTCCTCCTTCCTCCTTTCCAAAACTGGGAAAGGGCTAATTGGGCTTTGGGAAAGAGGTAGGAGGCCTCTAGGACCCTGTCAGATCCCTCACACCTCCTTCCCAAAGCTCAGCACTTACTAGGGTTTGGGAAGGGGACAGAAGGGTGCTTTTATTGGTTATAGTCACAAATATCTCAAAAATGTGATCAGTGAAGTTAATTCAATGAATGTTATCAGTCTTTTCCTACACCAATAGTTTTGTCTTTTCTTGACAGTTTCTTTTAAAACCCTGTTTTCAAGCTGTGTTTTGAAAATAAACCTTTTTGTCTTTCATGCAGGTAAATTATGAAAAATTGCTCCAGTTTTTAATGCCAGTGGCAGCAAGCAAGACACAGCAAACACAAGCCCTTCCAAGGAAGAGTCAAAATATGGAGAATCATTGCAAAAGGTTCTATTTTAAATTTCACTATACTCCTTACAGTTAATAAATGAGCAATGTATCTGAACTCCTTCACCCTTCCGACAATCTTCCTGTCTTACTTTCCATCTGGTCAGGATCTAATAGGTGCAGTAATTATAAGCCACTCAAAAGGATTCCAAATGAAAAATTGGCTCACTTGTGACATTTACAAAAAACAACAACATGTAGTACTCAAGAGGACAGATTTTATCTTGCAGCCATCCAAAATCTCTGCTAACGAAACATATTTGGAGTCTGTGAACACCTACGTTGCAGCCTGCTGGGATGCATCAGTGGAGATTATACAGACTTCCCTTAATTAACCTTGGCAAAGAAGACTGGCAAGGAGTTGTGTGCATTTATGTGAGATATATATATTGCTGCTTTGGCAGCTGAGCTCTGGAGCGTCTCTTAAAACATAAGTATAGCCAGGATGCTGGTCAGAGTCTGCGTATAAGTATTCATCCATCATAAACTGGCGTACCTCATCTGGATGGGAATGACCTTAGGGACATATTTGCTATATCACTTACTTTCCTGGTCTCTGCTCTCATCATTAAGCATTGGCTGTAACATTTGCAGTAATGTCAACTGTTGTTATAAACCCACCATTTCACTAAATCACTGATGGGGTTCCTGCATCCCCCTAGGTTCTACTCAGAGTAAATAATGTCACTTGCTTGTTTGCAAAGACATGGGTGTATAGAATCTTCTGGTTTGTGTTCAGCTGAGGGAATGCAGCCTGCTGTACAAAAGTACCGTAAGTGTTACACCTATTGTTCTGCCCACACTTTTGCCTCTGGCCCTGCAGCCCCCAGAAGGTGGATTGTGAGGCTGAAAAAAGCTTCTCCAACTCTGGATTAAAGATTGTAGCTTCCAGGAAGCTTTGACCAGGCTTAGCCCTTCTCCTGTTCACAAGGAACTTCCTGCAGCTCCATGAGTGAATTGTAAGCTATGATGTCATAGCTGTCTGGAAGCCTAGATTTCTCGGCTGTTTTGTTTCACATCTAATCCTTCTTCACCTTGTGGTAATACTCTCTGGCTTTATTACCAGGTGCTCTACATTACTGAGTAAGTTGCCCCATTGGCCTCTCAGATGGAGGTCTTTCGGAAAGCACTCATACAACTTCTGAAAATGTCAAAAGTGAGCTATAGGGCTGTAACAGCAATTACCATTTTAATTGCCCCTTCGTTACATGCGTTATCATTCCACAGCTCTTGGACTCCGGAAGATGCCTTCCAGGCCTTGAAGCAGACCCTGAAGGAACATAAAGGAGAGCTGAGCCTACAAGACAAGACTTGCTCAGGTCTTCTTTCACCCTCTGAGGTAAAAAGGGATTCTGTGGCTTACAAGCCTAGTTGTATATTCAGGAAGTGCTTTCCCACTATAAAGGAATGGAATGGATTATCAGTAACAAAATGGTTTTTTTCTGCCATACACCTTGTAGGGTTGCCATATTTCATATTTTTAGGGGTGTGTGCTAAGTTAACTCCCCTTTTATGCAAAATCTTTTAAAAAAATGAAGTTTTAAAACTTTTTTTAAAGGAAATTCAACAAAAACTACACTTCTGACATGGGTTGCCATATGTCCAGATTTTCCCGGACACTTAAGCAATTTCCACCTGAATGCTGTTACAGATGGCAGAATCCTAGCTATGTCAAGGATATTCCAGACATATGCCAACCCTACCTTCTTGCCAGTAGATAATGTTGATCGAAGAAATAACTGAGGAACAGACCAATTCTCTCTTACCAGGTGAGGGAGAATTGAAGGTAGGTGATCTGTCAAGTATACACGTCTGCCTGGCTCACATAGGAGGGCAGAAAGTTTTTCTTCCTTTCTTTGCCTCCATCACCTGGGGGTTCTATCCTCCTTCAGGTTCTTATGGAGGGAAATTCAGTGTCCTTTTCACACTGCTTTGGGGGCATGTGCTGGAGGGATGAGGTAACTTAGGATCTTGTGGAACAAAGGTCTCCCTTCCATATCCACAGCAAGCTACAGGGAACCAGGCAGAGGGCCTTCTCAGTAGTGGCGCCCGCCCTGTGGAACGACCTCCCATCAGATGTCAAAGCGATAAATAACTACCTGACATTTAGAAGACATCTTAAGGCAGCCCTGTTCAGGGAAGTTTTTAATCTGTGATATTTTACTGTATTTTTGGTTTCTATGGAAGCCGCCCAGAGTGGCTGGGGAGACCCAGCCAGATGGGCGGGGTACAAATAATAAATTATTATTATTATTATTATTTCCCCATCAGAGCACCTCTGATGAAGGGGGAGGTCCATTCTTATCCCATGAGAACACACCTGGCTGATACCAAATATTACGAGAGCAGGATATAGACAAGACAACATGTACATACTCTACATAAAACAAAATGTCCAACCTGAAGGCGAGAACTCAGAAGCTGGTCTGAACAAACAATTAAGTCCCTGTTCTACGCAATACTGCGTTAAATAGATCACTGTTCTGATTTGGTATTAAGTAGTTCCATGTGTTGCTGGTCCCAGTGTGAAAGGTGGGTTTAGCCTACCTAAAAAATGTTACCGACTGTAGTCCCTTTATTGTATTTATTTTACTTTGCACATAAAATCATAAACTTTTATGGAAAAACACACAGTATATAATCCTTTTACCAGGAGGCATTTTGCTAGTCTAACTAATATATATTTACAGGGGCAATTCATAGTTATACACAGCATATGTAGAAGGTCTTAGTTTGGAGGTGGATGAAGTCAACAAGAGGTTCTTCAGGTTCTCTTGATTTCTGTCAGTCTCCATAGTTCAAAAGCACCAGCTTGGATTGGGACTATGCTTTTCACATGACAGTTGCTTGAAAAAAAATACAATTTCCCCCAAACAATATTTTGTTATGCATTGCCATAGTTTGCTCTTCTTCATTGTGTATGCCCATTGACTATAGTACTTCATAGGAGCCTTATTTCTTAAAACTTGTTTTTATCTTGTGATGTGCTAGCAGTGTTCAGTAACAAAACTTATCTTATTTGCAGACAGAGATCATTTGCAAAAAGCACGGACTGACTCTGCCCACTGGAATCTTGGAAGCTTTGGTTAGCACCTGTGAATTTGGCAAAAGAGGCAAAATAGAGTGAGTTTTTATTGAGATGCTTCCTTCCTTTCAGTACGTTATGTGTGCATCTTGATCCTACAGACCCGGAATGTGGCAATACAATTATAGAGTTGGGCTTCTGGAGAGAAAGCATAAGCCCATGTATTGCTGGACTGAGAGCAACTGGGTGGTTCTGTCCAAATGCCCCCAATTTTCCAGATAGCATGCATTCATTTCCTTGTTATTTCAGTCAGAGTGCACAAAAGTTTGACTCCTACAAGGCCAAGAAGACATCCCATGCAAAGGGTGGTGGGATGAGTTTTGTCTTGTCTGTCCACTAAACTTGTAGTCTGGTCCTTGTTGAGTGCAGCTGTGCCGCACAGTGATGGAGAAAGAAGGAATGGCAAAAATGCAACGAGGAAGGGCCATAGCTCAGTGGTAGAGCATCTGCTTTCCATGCAGAAGATCCCAGTTTCAATCCCAGGTAGGGTTAGGAATGTCCCCAATCACTGAGGACAATATTGAGCTAGTATAGATGAACAAGTGGTTCTTTTTAATAGAGGGTTCCACTGATACCCACCACTTAAACATTTTCAAAGATTTAGATCTGAAGGATATCACACTTGTCATTGCCATGCATATCTGCAAAAGACTCCATCACATTTTTGCCCTTTTTCGAGGAGTCTGAAGGTGCAGTATAAGAGCTTAGTCCTGTGAGGTTCAAGGTTTTAGTTCTCTCTGTACCACTTGGTTGGCACCCATATAGACTGGCTATGAATCCTTAGTACAATATCAACTATTAATACTCCCTGCTAGTACTGGGTTGTAGTCAATGTTAGTTCTATTCAGAGCAGACCCAATGAAATTAATTGTCATGACTAACTCATGTCCATTCATTTCAATGGGTCTACTCTGAGTAGAACCTACTTGGATGTGATCCACTGCCTATAACTTGGCTCATGCTAAATTAGAGGAATAAATCGTGTTTTCACCATATAGTATGACTGTGCCCTTCTGCTTAGTTTGTATTGCTGATTTTTTCAAGGGAAACTGTGGCTTCTTGAATGCTGCTGTCCATAATGCACAGATCTTACTATAGCTCTGTGTTAATGCCTATGTCTTCCTTTGCTAAATTAAACATATAATAGATAAGTTGCAAATGCACACTAGCTTGCCAAAGCTCCCCCCCATCGCAACCCCCCGCCAATATATTTAGCTCTGTGTGTCAAGGACCCCCAGGACCCGCTCAAATAAAGACACAGTTCACACAAAAGTTTTGTTTTGGTTTTTTGGCATAATTTTGGCCACAACTTTATTGATTACAGTATGTGAGTGGTTGCCTAGGCATTGGTTAGCAACTATCTGTTCCCACTTAGAGGTAGGAACAGAACTGACAACTGCAGGCCTGCGAAAGTCAGTAAGGGTAAACATTTTTGAGGAGAGAATAGAGTTGGGCACCAGGCTCTCGTTGTTGTTGTTGTTGTTTAGTCGTTTAGTCGTGTCCAACTCTTTGTGACCCCATGGACCAGAGCACGCCAGGCACTCCTGTCTTCCACTGCCTCCCGCAGTTTGGTCAAACTCATGCTGGCCAGGCTCTCACCTCTCCCCAAATGCTCCCAGGGGCTTGTGTGGCCCTAGCCCCTTGCCAGGGGTTTGGACGAAAGCATGGCGAGCCTCTGGACTCCTTTACCGGAATACCCTTGCAGCAGCATCATTGGAGGCACTGGCACAGCCAACCATGCCCCCTCCACCAACCAAAATTAACCAATGCCTAACCGCAACCTTACAAGTTGTGACAATTTGCTACGCAGTAGGCAAAAACCAAATGGCACCAGCCAATCAGCCAAATGGACAAAATTCCTACCAGGCCCCTGCCCCAAAGCAGACGACCCCATGACAGGCATAGCAAGGCCACCACGAACAACCCTAAATATAGGGAGGGTGGGCGGGTAATCTGATGCACGCAGCGAAAAGAGGAAGCTCAACGCTGCGCGCAGGGAATAAATAGCACCCCAACAGTCAATCAACTTTGCAACATTAAATTCTCCCCAGCAACATTTGGAGGTGCCCTATCAGATTCTTGGACATCCATACTAACCCGCCCAGCAACAGGGGATGTCATGGTTGCCCCCACCACAACATGTGCTCTCCATGAAGGAGAACCCGCTTTGCTAAGCCAAATATAAGAAAAATCATTTAGCAAAGCAATACCCAGAATTACATTTTTAAAGATTTTAAATCCAATATAAACAAAATAAACCTATAGGGTGTGCCAGAGTCATTGGTTTAGTTATGCATTACCCATTTTAATCTCTGCTTCCACTGTGAATGAAACTCTTCAGTAATTAGCAAGAATCTAGCTCTGAGCCATTTTGTGATTAAATGTGCTTAAGATCAATACACCACCATGACTGATAGCAGTCATGCGAGATTAATCTCATTGCACAAAGTAATGCTCTCTCTTTAACCTGTCGTGGAAAGTGAATACGATGTGAAAAAATAAGCTGAGAAACAACTCCAGGAGGAAGTCCATAGATTTCTTGACTGCATTAAATAGAATAACCAAAGGATTAACTTCTTAAGCACCATTGCTTCCTTTGTTATGGAGTCTGCCCTTGACTCCCTAGAAGGTTCTCCCATAAGGATCCTAGCTCAGTAACAGATTACCTGCCTTGTGCAAAAGAGATTCTAGGTATGAATCATTTCTCTGTGTCCCTTGGGTCAGTTTCCAGGAAGCATAACTGGGAAAGACCATTACTTGAACCTAGACAACACACCATCTGCTAAGAACAATGGGCAACACACTTCCTGATAATCATTACTGACAGACTAAATGAGCTACTGGTTTGACTAAAAGAGATATTTCAGCTTCTGGCAAAAATCAGGGGAACATCATATGTGTGCATGTTAGAGTAAATGCCAGACATGTAATCAAAGTTGACAAAGTAATTCCTTGTATTTTAGTAGGCTTGTTCATTAACCTATGACCCCAAAATTCAGGAACAGCCCCCCTCCAAAACTGATGCCAAAGTCTTGTGCTGCAAATCCCACTTTTCCTGCCCTCCCAAACTGAGTAATCAACACTCACCCAGGGAGGCCATAAGGACACACCAAAACCCAACCTCATCCAATTGACTCCAAACTGGTTCCAAAGTGGAGTGCTGGCTTTATGCCTTCGGGGTCAAAGGTTAATGAAGCTGTAGGAGACCAGTGGCAAACAGCAGAATTTCCCAACAATTACCAATTTATAAAGAACAAGTGTAGTAGAATGAAGCACAGGGAAGAGATTAGAAAAACATTACTAAATAGATAAATAAATAAATAAAGGATTAATAAGAAAATCTGCATAAGAAAGGACTTGCAGAAGAAGGAAAATTCAAAGTGTTGGTTTGGGACCAGAGGGCCTGTTTAGGTGTCCACCAGTGAATATAATCAGATTTACAGGTACTTGTAACAGAGCCTTCGTAATGGTTGCCCCACAACTATGGAATCTGATCTATTTCAATGTAGGCAGCCTCATCTTTCCCATCCTTTCACCAGGGTTTGTAGGCTTACATTTTTTGTCTGTGATCTTTACTAGCTAACTCAGGCTATAAATTGGGACTGGTATGCCAATGTCTGGCTGAATTTATTGTTATTGTTTTATCTCTGCTGGTTTTTAATATTGCTATAACATGTATATTAAAAAGATTTATTTTGTATTGAAATAAGTTGTGAGCCACTTTGTAGAATATGTTCTCAAAAAATTCCCTTAAATAAATACCTGCACATAAATAGGAGAATGAGAAAAAGGTGAACATTTGAGAATGATAGAAGATTCACATACCGTATTTTTTGCACCATAACACTCACCTTTTTCCTCCTAAAAAGTAAGGGGAAATGTCTGTGTGTGTTATGGAGGGAATGCCTATGGGTGGCATGCCTACGGATTTTCCTCCTCTAAAAACTACGTGTGTGTTATGGTCGGGTGCGTGTTATAGAGCGAAAAATACGGTAATGCAAAAACAAGAGAGCTAATCACAGAGCAAAGCAGGATAATTTATATTACTGTATATCATATTATGTATATTATAATGGACATTACATTAATGTCTGGATTTTGCTTACATATAATCTCCCTCTATAACTATAATATGGAAGATGTGAAGGAAAACCTAATGAACAGGAAATACGCTTTCAAATATTGCATTTATCTTGAGATGTTTCCTCATGTAGATGGAAAACGTTTGTGGAGTTTCTGAAGAAAGTCCAGGCTGGGATCAACCCTGCTCTGCTCGTCTGCAGAAGTAAGCTATGCAGTTGCTGTTATTCTGGTCATACCTAAATATTACAAGGTGGCAACAACATTTTACATTTCTGGAGAAGGCTGTTGAAATATATCATTTGTAGCAAGTGGAAGAACCCATCAGGCCCCTTTCAGAGGGGTTGGAGAAACTTTGGATCCAGTTGATCCAGAGCTCTGTTCTGCCCTGCCATCACAGCACCCTCATTTCAGGCACCTGTGCTTGATACTACCAGTAGGAAGACAGCTGGTGACAGGTTCTCAATCACCATGGTTTCATCAGAGCAGCAAGGTCCTCTGCAATGGTGGATGATCTCTTCCGCTATCTCCTAATAGCCTCCTGCAGCAAAAATCAAAGTGTTAGGAGGATGAATAGTACAATCCTAACAGCCAACAGTTTTCCTTGACTTGAGTTCAGATTCAATATATTAACAAAAATTAGCAATAGCTCTGCTAATCAGCTCTGAAGATGGAACATCTTCACTGAGAAGATAGTATGAATCTTGACAGTTTGCTGCTCCTTCAAACCACAGAAGCTCACTTTGGAATTTAACATCACAGTCCAGAACTTGCCTCAGACAGAATTAACAAATTATTGGGGATTTCCTACACCTACATCACTTTCTGCAAGAATCACATGGTATAATGACTAAGGAAATTTCATTGGGCTTTCTTAGAGGAGTTCCAGTTAGGGTACCACTCCCTGAAATTATCAGTAATTAAATGGGCAAGTTATTTTCACTAAACTGAAGCACTTCAACATGCACTGAGGAGTGTACTTGGAATCCATGTACTTGGAATCCATGTACTTGGAATCCACTTGGAATGTACCTGGGAAGTCTCACCCAAGGAGGTGAAAGGTTTGCTTGAGGTGAAAGAATCCAGATGAGTTGTTAGTAATATAATACATTCATGCTACTAACATAATTAACAAATGAAAAATACTAACTTAGAGTGAGTCATCCTTGATAAATACTTCAGAAAGAGAGGCTATCATGTGAGAACTATGAACATCCTGTAAACATAATAATAGCCTTGTTCCTATGCATTACTTTGGGAGCAATCCAGAGAACATTTTGCCTATAAATAGCATTTTAAATATTAACCTGGATCAGGACAAAGATCTATCTGGGCCAGATTCATTTCCCAATATAGTATTCAGCAAAGCTTTTCAGCAGGGAATGATGGTGACAACAATTCTCTCTCTACACCATCTGGCCATTCAAAGTGCTTCTCAACATGAAGAATCCATATAGGTCTATCTTCCATTAGCTTTCACATCTGAATCTAAACTTAGGTATTAAAAAGTAGAAGACAATTTTCAGACTTTGTTCTGGAATTGCTGGGTACTTCATGTTGCACTCTTAGAAAGATGACAGAGGTGGTATTATAAAACACTTCCACAAGATCTGTGAAATAGGTAGTATAATACTGCTCCTCAAGGCACTACAATGCACCTGTTAAAACAATTATAATGTTGGGCATGTGATTTACAGAGTGCTAGCTAATTGTGGGTTTTTGGTTCTTTTTAAAGAAAATGGTGAAAGGAGTGATGGATGTGAGACATTGACTTAGGCAGTGAATTAATCTAATCATCTTTAGAAAGCTCTCTGGGATACTTAATATTCAGGAGGTGACTAAGCACGGAGTTGAGCCAATAGCCATCATTGCTACAGAGACTGATCAGCATGCAACAGTTGGGCTTGAACTTTAACCATCTGGCTGCAGGCAAACCAGCTGTCTTCTCAACTAGAAATGCTATTCATTCCTGGGAATTGATTCATCTTTCCCACAATTTAATTTTATGCCTCACAATCTGGCCTACCATCCATAACTTACTACATTGTCCAATCAGTGCAGATGAGAAATTACAGGTCTTTGCTCAAGGATCAAGCACCACAGGGCTTTAAATATAAACTGAAGGTTATGGAACTGAGTGCTACTAAACATTATAAGTGAAAGAGACAGATGTAGGTGAGGGTGACAGTTTAATAGGTAAAAAATGAACTAAGAAGTCACAACAAGCTGCACTTGCAGAAGGCTAGAGGAGGAGGTTGGAGGAGGCCCATGTACATGTGCAGAAGCTATTTCCGGTGCTCCTCTGACCCGGAAGTGCACTGGAAATAGCGTGTGCACACCCGTATGGGCATGCGCTCCCCCGCCCTCCGGCCCACCGCGCAGTTGGCGCTGGAGACACCGGCCCGAGACGCGGTAAGTTTGCTGACCCCTGTCATAGAACAAGAAGCAACTTAGTGTGGTTCAGCCACTGGAGAGCACAGTTTGCTCATTGAAGTATGGTGATGATTAACACATTTCCCCAACATTTTTCTAGAAAGGTAACTCAAGGTCAAGGTGGCTGAAAACCAAATCAAAGTTGAGCTTATCCAATCATATTAGTGTTAAGAGTTCACAGGACTAGTTTTCATGTCATATCTGAGAGTGGCCTGTTCCAAATAAATGGAAATCATACAACTTCAACTACTAATAAACAATAAAATACCTCACAATTGTTTTCATCTTAGGAGGAAACAAGGAGAAAAGCGAAGATGACTCTCAGGTATTTTCAAAACTATATTGTTTCATCCACAAATTGTTAAGAAAGTCTGGTTTGTAAAATGGGACTGTGAAATTGTACTTGAAAGCTTTAATACTGCTTAGAACCTTGTCTAGCAAAAGAACTCAGAAATTATTAATAGTAGTAGTAGTAGTAATTAAATTTGTATCACTCTTCTTTCCAAAGGAGTTTATCACATTCATCTGCTCCCATCCTGAATGCAACTATGTAAAGAGACCATTGTTGTCTGCCTTGTTTCTCTGAAGAGGGAAATGAGGTTGATAGCAATTTGCCCAGTACTGTCTAGGGCTACATTCATATGACAATTTCCCTGAGGTTTCTGCATTACAATGTAAAAGCCACTTCTTGAAAACTAATGGAATGTGGTGCACATTTAGTATTTATTCCCAAGTTATTTGATTCCAGGAGAAAAGAAATATGTTTGCTGCCCCTTTAACCAAGAAAATTGCAGGAGTAAAGCAATGAAATTTGGGGCAGCATACCGGCATAATAGGGACATGGGTGGCGCTGTGGCTTAAACCACTGTGCTGTTTGGACTTGCCGATCAGAAGGTTGGCAGTTTGAGGCCCCGTGATGGGATGAGCTCCCGTTGTTCAGTCCCAGTTCCTGCCAACCTAGCAGTTCAAAAGCACGCAGTGCAAGTAGATAAATAGGTACTGCTCCGGCGGGAAGGTAAATGGAGTTTCTGTGCACTGCTCTGGTTTCACCAGACGCAGCTTAGTCACGCTGGCTACATGACTTGGAAAAACTGTCTGCGGACAAACGCCAGCTCCCTCGGCCTGTAAAGCGAGAAGAGCGCCGCAACCTCAGAGTAGTTAGCAGCTGGACTTAACTGTCAGGGGTCCCTTTACCTTTACCGGCATAATGTTCCTCTCTGCTGTTTTCATGAGGGAACAGAAGCATGCAGGTGTGGAAAGGCTGAGAGGAATATTTGGTGCAACAAGCCAGTATTTAGGTCAACAAGTCATGATTCCACAGCACAACAGTTAGTGCTGTGTGAAAGGAACATTATAAAATCTGATAGAACCACAGCATTATAATCAGGAAAACTAACAATATTCCCCACATCTGAACGCACTCTTAGAGAAAGATGGGAAATCTCATGGCCCTCCAGATATTTTTATTGGATTCTAACTCCCATAACCTGTGTCTGGACTCCAATTTCCAAATCACACAAATGACTGTCATAGAAGCAAAACATAATGTAATCTCCCAATTTTTAACCAATAAATTGACCCAAATATTCTAGTGAGGATCTGAAGGAGCCAATACTTTAAACAGAATGCTATCCCCTCCTCCACCTTCATAGAAAGTTGACAACTACTAAACTTTTGAAAATTTGATGTAATTTGGACAAAGGACAAAGAGTGGTCCAACCGTTGTGCTGGCAAGACTTGGGAGCAAATGAAGGAGGTCACATACGACTCCATTGATGCTGAGGAACAAGATGCCTGGATAGACCGGTTCAGAAAACTGGAGAGGGCTCTTTATTTGTGTGATGTGAAAAACACAGGTAAGAATAGTTGTGGTTGGAGAAGGGGCTGCTGCACTAAGGAGATGGCTTTTGTATTTGGCTTGTATTTCATGGCAACCTCATATTTATCCATTAATGTCTGAAGGGAAGAAAATAGGCAGTAGCACATTATCAGCCTATAATTATGAGCACAGTTGATCAACTCACTCCTTGGTAGTATTTAGGATGACACAATAAATATTTTTGTTCCAAATTGCTTTTTATGAGGGGTCCAACAGCAGCCTGTTTTTAATCTTCAACTGGCTGTGATGTAAAGAATTGAAATATAGCACAAGGGTAGCCATGTGATGCCCTCCAGATGTTATTGGGACTAAAACTCCCATCACCCCTGTCCATTGGCCATGTTGGCTGGGGCTGATGGGAGCTTTAGTCTAACATCAGGAGCGCACCACATTGGCTAACCCTGTGCTTTGATATTATGGGTGAACAGACCACCAGGGTTGCATTTGCTCAATAGTCAAGTCTGATTTTGTCCAAAGGGGAAGATAATATTTTTTCTTTCTTTTCCTCTTTCTTTTCCTCTTTCTCTCTTTTCCTCTCTAATACATACAGGCAAGTTGGAAAAAGAAAAAGCCAAGCGTCTAATCCATAACTACAACCAAATTTATGATCTGTGCCTTAGTCCACTGAAAATTGATAAAGCTTTTCGACCTTTCCGTCCTGGACAAGACATACCTCTGGAACCTTTGCTGGATTACTTAAAGGAGCTGTAACTGTTGCTAGTAATACAGTGCTCATGAGTGTACATGCCTAATAATGTTCATTCACCCACTGGTGTTCTTACTGAGTCAGTATCTGAAAAGTTTATACTTCTAGTTAATTCTTCATTTCCAAATGAGCTGAAAGTACTTACTCCATCTTCCACTTGTGCTCTTTTAATAAAGCTTTCTGTCTGAAATATTAGTGAATATGATGATTGTTCTCTAGATCTTGTACATCAAATATGCAATTTGTTCTCTGTTTCTCATAATGGTGTTATTTTGAGAAGTCGATTATCAATGAAATTTTGTACCCAAGAAGTCGCAGGGCAAGCAAAGAGTTACTGGAATTTGTAAAAATGCATCTTCAAAATTACACATTCTTCTGGTGGAGTTTTTCATATTCAGATTTAAAATCTTACTAAGAGGCACTGTGCTTGCAAACAGTGCAAAACATTCATTAGAATGTACACACACAAACATTGTGATCAAGTACTAATTTTGGTACACTTATGCCAAAAAACTAGAGAAAGTCATTCCCTTGAAATGACCCAATTGTAGTTTAAGTGTGCACAACAAACTTAACATTCCCAGGATTCTTTGGGGAAAGTAATGCACTTTAAATGTGTATTGGGTGCACTTTAAATTTATCATGTGGATCTGCACATAGTTCACTGCACTTGGAGTCCCAATTACAGAAAGAAGATTCTGTTAACATGGGCTAACAGTAATCCCTGCAGGGGCTTTGGTAGTGTGGCACCCTGAGCAAGGACAAAATTTGGCACCACTCACTTAATATTTCATATTTTCACAATAATTCCTTTTGGAATAGTTGCTTTGGTATGGATATTCTCAGTAGGTATCTGTATAAATACAAATTTATTATCATTATTACTACTGCTACTACGACTAATACTAATTTGCACCCCTTCAGCTTGGCACCTGTGGTGGGGAATCACCTGCACCACCCTAAATTTGGTGCTGGTCCCAGTGTGCTGTAAATGTATTGTTTAGAGTGGCAGGGGGCAGATGGACAGAAGAAAAACTACTAAGTGGTTGTAGTTCTGGTGATATAAAATATATTCAACTGAGAAACAAATATAGCTTCCCTATCTCATACGCTTCACACTTTACAATTCTTTAAAATTGTATTTTGCACAGTATATATAGCACTGTTAGGGATTTAGGATTTTATAGCTACTGATGCAGTATCTATTCAAAGTACCTTAAATTTTACATACCACCCCCGCTTTTTTGGAAGCAAAGTTTTTTTTCCATCTGTTTGTCCCACTTTCCCATCTGTTCTTGAGGTCTCACAGTTTTGTTCAATATGTTTACAAGTGCTGATTTTTAAAAGGAAATCTAATAGTGTAGTGCTTTTCTACTTGAATTAGAAAAAGATTTTGAAATGAATGGACCCAAATTGTGAACCAAATCAGAATTCATAGAAAACGGCAGGTATAGCTATAGGGACAATATCAGAGGAGCAAAGGAAGGGAAGTTGCCTTCACATTAAAAAACTAAATCAGAGCAATTCCATAAACAATATTTCTGTACAGTACTGAGTCCACTCTCTTGTTACCATATAACAAATTACAGATTTTTCTACACTAGTTACTCAGGATATAAAGGCCTGGGATGGGGGGCAGGGATGGAAAGCTTCAGAGGGGAGGGAGAATTTCCACAAAATTTCCAGAAAAAAACATTCCGGGGTTGGGGTAAAGATCCCCCCATGCCTGGAGGTAGGTTCCTCTGGTATGCACAATCCCAAGGGCAACACTAGAGAGTAGTTATTCTAAAAAGTCAACAAACAGTCCAAAGTCAAACAGGGCAGGTTCTCATCTTTGCGGAAGCTCCAGGATCAAAAATACCTGGGGTCAGTCTCAAAGTCACACTCCAGTGGAGCTCCCGAAGCAGCCAAGCCATGGTCCATCAATGGAGAAAGTTGAGCAGACCCAGAGCTTCTGCCTTGCTTCCCTTTCAGCCTTCCAATTTGGATTGGCATATCTGGGTTTGCTCCAGCTGAGCAGCTGTGTGTCTCCACTTAATGGGCATGTAACCCTCACCTGCCCTAAACCTCATCCAGCAGCACAACCACAAACTCCTCCCAGACCTAATGAGCCCCATGATCTCCACCTGGTCAACTAGTGAGCTGGGCTGTGTTCCCTTGCCTGCCTCAGTTTCATGGAGTGCACTTCCTGCTGTTCCCGGTGCCTTGTGCCTCTGCTGTGTCTGCAGAGATGTGTCACCTCACCAGGCTCCTGTGAACTGTCAGCTGCCCCTTCACTGTTCTCTGATGTTCTGTGATTACCTAAGTCCCCAACCTCCCTTTCCCCATCGTCAGCTTGCCCTGGTGTGCTCCAGTCATGGCTACACCCCTTGCCAGGATCCTCTTCCTTGGTGTTCTGCTGGTTCATTACATTGAGCAATAATTCAGATTTGTTTGTGGTGAGCTTATATGACAATGAGCATTCAGCCTGATTTCATCTGGATTTGTTTGACCATCAACTGATCATTATCCTATACCAGACATCCCCAACCTGCAGCCCTCCAGATGTTTTGGCCTACAACTCCCATGATCCCTAGCTAACAGGACCAGTGGTCAGGGATGATGGGAACTGTAGTCCAAAACATCTGGAGAGCCGAAGGTTGGGGATGCCTGTCCTATACTTTTTAATGCATTTCATCACTTTGCTAACCATAAAATGTCTGGGAGGGGTTCAAGTGGATTTGTTGCACCACTTCACTAAATTTTCAGTTGAATGTTTCAGTCTTGAGGTGACCTGATTTAACTGTGATGGCTTTGCCCATCTATGGAACTGTGGGGACTGTTTGTGAATGGACTCAGACATTCCATCAAGTACTTTTTTTACATATACACAGTTCTCAAAAGATCCTCATGGAGGAGCCATGATAATCTTTAGAAGGGTCAACAAAGGTATGGATACATATGTGTTATTTGGATGACAACTGGACCTAGGACACACTAGGCTCTGTAGTTCTCTATAGTTCTCAGCCTTGCCATCTGCTTAAATATGAGGGTAGTTCATCCCTGGCCGTATGCTGTAATAATAAGGGTGCCTATCTTCACACATTAGTAATAATCAGCCTTCACACATTTGGGATTAGCGGGGAAAGGTTGCAGATCACATGCCAGCCTAGAATCAGACCTTTTTGATATACGTATCACTTTTGACCATTAATCCCACTCAGTAGCACAACAAATTGGGGTTTAAACTCTTTATGTTGCCTGTATGCAAAGCCTGAAATAATTGTTTTAGGATTCTGTATGCTAGGATGGGCTGGTGGCACTAGGCACCGCAGAGGCCTCATAGCCAACCCTCAACCTGCATTGTTGTTGCTGTTCTTTAATTTAATTTAAAGTATTTATAATCCTACATTTCTATCCCCTCGTGGTCCTTTGCAACTCTATGGTTCCATGATTCTATCTCAGGCAGAGGCAGCTGAAGCAGCTACTCCTCACCATCCTCACTGACTTGCCCTTTGGGGCAGGCAGAGGAGAAAGCAGGAAAGTAGGGATAATGGCAGGAAGCCACCATCTACCCTGTTCACCTGCCATTTCCCTCTGGGCAGGGATGAAGGTTGGGTCTCCATCATGCTGCCACCAGTTTGCTTGCCTCCCCCTTGCCTGGTTGAGTGAGTGCATGGAAGGAAAAGCAGCTGCCACCACCAAAAGCAGCAACACTATTTGTATACAAATAGAAATTGTCTCCTCTAGAGGGAGCTTGCTAAATTGTTGCTGCAGCCACAGCTGTGAGATTAAAATCGTGGGATTAGTCCTTTTGACCTTGACTAAATATGAGCTGGAAGGAAGTTTTGGTGCTTGCTCTATGCAAGACAAGTGCTTTGTTGGAACAGATGCATGAGAAGATGGATTTGATGAATGAGAAAATGGACTTGATGACTGTTGTGGCCAATAATTGTGGACAATTAGTGAATAGTGATACAGAAATCATCCAGGGTCCAACTCAGGAACCTGTATTGATTGGGCAAGTGCAGAAGACAATGGAGGAGGCTGTGGTTGCACCTCAAATAATACAAATGGAGAGGCCCAAGGCCCCACAGGAGCATAAGCCATTGTTTTTGAAGATTGAAGTTGGAGTGGGCCAGGGGGAGTCTGGAGCTGAGGAGGCTTTTAACTTTGGAGAGACTTCGAAATATGCTCGCAAATATTTTTTGGGTTATATTGATGACTGTGGGGAGTGGGACTGTGGGGAATGGGCTGATTTGATGAAGGGAGACGGAGATAACTTTGGGTTGGAACCCCCCAGAGACCTACTCCTCAACGAGAAAGGAAAGAAATTAAGAAAGAGACCAACAAAAGACAAGGAAAAGTGCAAGTATAAACAAGAAGAAGAAGATCTGCAGAAGGGACATGGAAGAGACTTAAGGCCCTCGGACATAAGGCTTCCAGGTTGATGGACTAGAGGGAATGGACAGTAAGGACTGATACGACCCGAGACCAGGAAGAAGAGACATTGGATGAAGACTGGAAGAAAATTTATAAAGAAAACTTTTTATTTAGGGAATTAGCCTAAAATTAATGAATATTAGGGAAAATGTTGGAATGAAACTATATGACTCTAGCAGAAATGATATCAGGGGTTATGTATAAATGAGTATTAAGTTTCAAGCTTTAAGGTATTTTATGGTAAGATAAGGTTAAATAATTAAGGTAATTTGAATAACAGAATATGGGGAAAGATGGAAAGGATCTGTCGAGTTAATTAATAGGTTAAATTGTTAAGATAAATTATTTAATAAAAATTGAGAAAGATGGAAAGAATTTGCTGAAATAACTAACTAAACTAGAATACAAAAAGGGAGGTGCGAGGAGGTCAACGAAACAAGCAAATGGAAGTTATATGGGATTTGTGTCTCCCCCCCCTTTTTTATATTTTTATTTTTTTTATTGTATTGTTGTCTATGTTTTGCATTTTTTCTTCTTTTTACTTAACTAAAGTAAAATTGGTTTTATAAGGGTGTTTTAACTTGGAACTGTTTAAATGGTATTGTTTATGGATAAATTCTGATGTATTGTTTTTGATATGGGCCAATGGCCGTAAAACAAATAAATTCAAATTCAAAATCTTCTTTTTATGTATGGTAGTGTTGTTTTTTCTTTTTTCTTTTTTTCTGTAATTCTGAAATTATTAATAAATATTATTTTTTTAAAAAACAAACAAAAGCAGCAACACTGAGGGATGGGGGCAATGAGGACATTGCCAAAGCTCCCCAAAACCTCATTTTGTCATTGCCCAGCAAGCAACAACTGCTCTGCCAAGGTTTCTAGGCAACCGTGAGAAACAACAGCACAGTGCTAGGGCAGATTTAACTGATTCGGGCCTAAGTCAAGCCACACTAAAGCCATGTTTTTATTCAGTCAGCCATCTTGATTCAAAATGGCATCTAACTATAACCAAACATAGACAAAAACCTGCTCCAGGGGCCACCATGTAAAATTTGGTTATGATATTTATGATTTGGTTATGATTCTAGGTGTCCAAATGCACAGAGAACAGACAAACTACTTTCCAAAACATACAATATGAAAATTGTGGTGGTGGTTGAGCTCACCCTGACTCATGTCAAATTGACTCAAATAAGATAGGAAGCTTTCTCTGAAATGGGGGGCGGGGGACAGACCTTCCATGTGTCATATTTTCCAGGGACAGTCTCGGATTTATAGAAGTCTTCCCAGTTTCTAATTTGATCCTGGAATGTCCCATTTTCCCATAGGACATCCCTATTTTCATCAGAGAAATGTTGGAGGGCATGGAATTATCCAATCCCCGAGCCATCTGAAGGCAGCTCTGTACAGGGCAGGTTTTTAATGCTTTATTATGTTTTTATATGTGTTGGAAACTGCCCAGAGTGGCTGAGGCAACCCAGTCAGATGGGCAGGCTATAAATAGTGAAATTATTATTATGGAATAGGATGTCTGTATTTTCATGGGCTGAATCTTGCTTATGGGGATCAGAATGCTTGCCTTGTATTTCAGGTGATCCCTAGGTACAATTATTTATTTTCAAGCCCAGAAATAGAAGTTGTGTTGCTATCAATAGCCATAAGTCTGCATCTTAAGGCCTTTGTCCTTTAAAAAAATATGCCGAATGTAGCACTTTAAATGGTTCTCAAGATTTGGATCGCAAGCTGCTGTGGATGGGGGGGAGGGAGTGTAAGAGTAATACATGCCGCGTCTCTGTGCCAAATCAATTGAATATTCCACTCCACATTGCGAATATTCAGAATTCATGCTGTTTAAATAGGCCAAACATCTGCTCCGGCTCTTTAGAGTTCCTCAGCAGCAGTCACACTCTTGTACGTCACCATCACCAGGGTTTGGAATAATCATGGTGCCAAAAACACCCCTTCCAAAATCTGTGAAAAATCCAGTTGCATTTCAGACTCCCATTCAGGCGTCCACAGATGCTGGCGTTATCATAACATCCTCTCCCTCCCTTTTTTGCAATTCAAAGGTAGCTTTAAAACATGCTGTTCCCAAAAGCCGCACTTTCTGCTCCCCCTTTTTCCCCAGTGCATATTATTCATTAGGAGCCTAATGTGAGTTTCAGACTGCACCATGCGTCTTTGACAGAAGGGCATATGTGCCTGGCCATGTGCTTGAGACAGATAAGTACATAAACAGCATATTGGCACCAGACAGACATCTGTGCCTGGGGGCGGGGGCGGGAAATGCTTGTGATATGTACATGAATGACATTTTAGCTTTAATTAAATCCACGTAACACTGAAATGAAGGCTTGATTCCCCCCCCCCTTACATGTAAATATCAGGAAGAAGGGGTTGGTTTTTGTTTTGGGGTTTTGCAATATTTTCATGCCTCTGTCACAATATAACCTTAGGCCTTGCAATAAAGTACTAATTAAGTGCCTGCCATGACATGTCATGTAGGGACTGTACTGTCAAGTATATTGCAAGGACAGTTGGGGGCTAACAGGTGGGATCCATGTTAGAAGGCACAGGCTAGAATGCACAGTTTTAAGGGATGTAATGGGATCCAGCACCCTCCTGGAGCTAGTCCTGTCACAATTTAAATGTGCTTTGTACTTTTAAACAGTTTTAGTAAGTTGGCAACCCTGAAAAGCAGAAGCACTATGACCAGCTTGTACATTTGGCAACCTAGCAAAAAATAATAATTCTTAGACATTTATGCATATGATATATTTATATACAAGGCTTTTAAAGCATGTATCAAATCCCTTTATTCTGTTCTATCCTTTAATTATTAGTAAAGCCGTGTTTGTAAACTGGTTAGAAGTTTAACTTTAAGCAGTTTTGCAATCTTAGTTACTTCCCGAGAAAAAGGATGAAGCTTTAGTAGTTGCTTGGTAACCGCATTCCAGATGTATGAGTGAAGTTGGTGTATGTAAGGGAGAAAGTCCTTGGAGTTGGGTGGGTATGTACTCTATTCTCTTAGTGTATTAATTAAGGATTAGTCTGTTTAGGATAATTCCTTTACTCCAACTTCTATTCCCCATTTCCAGGGCTATTCTTCATCCTTGCTGTGACATATGGTTAGCAAATAGACATTTCAACCTTCATTTTTGGTTTGTTTGTCCTGGTTGTTTGTCCTGGTGTCCCCGCATTCACCTTTTGCAAAGAAAAGATCTATATCTCATATTTGATCAAGTTGGCATACATTACACAATTGTTGTTTGAAGTTCACAGTCAAGTTCTATCCCAAACTGGGTTTGCATGCTCTTCAAGTGTCCTGATTTTCCCAGGACATTCCCAGAGTTACAGAAGCCATCCCAGCTTCTGATTTGATCACGGAATGTCCTGTTTCCCCCCTCCAAGCAGTGCCACTGCTCAGCTCAGAGGAGAATTTCCCCAAACTACCAGCATCTCTGGTAACTTAACACAATCCTTTAACCTAGGGCTCAGCTACCCTCATCATTATAACTGCACTGTAAACATGAGACACCAGATAGCGCTGTAGAGCAGTGATCCGTCACCAATGGGATTTTCCATTAAGAGCATTTATAACGTGTTTTTCTGCAGCTTTTTCTATGTGTGTAGATCCAGCCCTAGTCTACCACACATATCCTATTCACAACTGATATTGTAACTGCTCAGGGTGAAGTATAGTGTCTCAAGATGCTTGTGTGCTGCTAGGAATTGCTACTGTGGCTTCTGTCCATTGGTTTCCTTGACTATCTCAGTGTAGCCATACACAACGGAGTCAGCTTTAAAGGCTTGGGGGCTATGAGATCCCATATATCTCTTCCACCAGTGCTCGCACAGACAGACACATGCATTTTCTTTCATATGGGTCACAGCTCCCATTATTCACAGTAATCAGAATGTGGCCATTTTACCTTTAATCTTGGGGGAATTTAACACAGTTGGGGTCAGGTGCTACTGTTTCTCTTTCATGAGAAGAGAAACTCGGGCTTTCCTCCCAGACAGAACTCAGTTCTAGCACTTCTCTGTTGGGCACTATTGCCATTATAAGAGAGCAAGGGAGGCATTTATGCCGAGTTCCTGCACCTTTTTCTCTAGAAAAACAGCACTGAATATAACTATATAATTATTTTGACATGTATATTGATATATGTATTGCACAGAGATGGATTTAGGGAAGTGTGATCGGTTTGGTTGCATTGGGCATAGAGGTTTGGAGGTGCCACTGGGGACACCACAATTATGATTTACATTGGAACAAGAGGGGGGAGGGGTGCTGAATGTTGGAGTCACACAGGGTGCTGCTGAAATTTGAGACCCTAATACCTGCCATGTGGGCATTGAGCTAGTGGGGTTCATTTTGCTGGCTTGAATCAGGCCCAATGTGTCTGAATTCCTCATAGCCACAAACCTGACATGTTTTAGCCAACTTTTCCGTAGAGTTAGGGTTCCCATCTGCACTATGCATGCATTATCATACCACTTTAAACAATAATGACTTCATGGGAAGCATAGTTTGTTAAGGGCATTGAGAATGGTTAGGAAACTCCTCTTTCCCTCGCCAGGGCTTGCCCAAGACATTTTGACACCTGAGACAAGTCACAAAATGCCTCCCCACTAGGGAAGAACGGTGAGTGAAGATATGCATCAGGAACAAGGGGAGGGAGAGAAATCAGGATCTGCTGCCACCATGGATTCTGCTACCTGAGGTAGTTGCCTCACTGGTTGGTCACAGAGCTACAATTCTCAGAGTTCCCTGGGAAGAGGAAGTGCCTGATTTCCCCATGCTGTTTTCTTGTATTGTATTCTTAGCAGGTGCTGTCAGTCCACCAGTTATTAACTTGGTTCCAATGTACGCTGATGTTAATTAAGATGTAAAGTGCTTACTGCAGGTCACAGCAAATTTGCTGGAGGACACCTTCAGGTTATCCTCATGACCTTTCAAGAAGCACAGATTTTCCCATATACGCTATCTTCGCAAGGGCGTTCTTCTGTTCCAACAGATGCAAAGAAGGATGAAGGTGAGAGTGAACAATTAGGTGCTGATTTCAAACCTGAACAGACAAGTCGTGGCTGCACCTTGGTGGGGGGAAAGGCACTGGTTTGCTGGTAGGAAGGGGTACAATTCAATATAGATGCCTATTGGAATGTTTTGCGTATATTTATAAAATCAGAATATTTCTCATATGTTACCTGCATCGACGCATCTGAATCAATGTACATGCACTTTCCCTTGCACATAACTAGTTCTATCCTAACACAGAGTTTAAATGTGCTTTGTAAATATAATGAAATCAATGGGCTTTAAAAATACAACTCCAAATTGGATTGCGACCAATGAATTGTACATAGGTTTTATTATTTTTTTGAAAGTATCATTGCCATGATTTAATAAACATAGGGGATAACAGCATGAAAACTGAGTCAGCAATTCTGATTTCCATTGAAAAGTTAAAAGTATCCTTTCCATATTATACTGCAACAACATCTTATGTTAAAAGCATAGCAATTGCTAACGGCTGAAACTGTTCACTTGTAGCTCTGTTTCATTCCAGTTAATAAATAGTGTTTTAAAGTAAAATTGCCAGAGTTGGCCACTATTGGTTCTGTCAAGTTAAAAGGAATACAGACAACATAAGATGAACTACTGGCTTGTTATTCAGGAAGGAGGAGAATTTTCAGGGAGCTTTAGGTAGAAATAGGATGCAAGCAAGGAATCACAAGATTTTTGAGCTCCCAAAACCTTCAGTCTTTTTCCTGTCACCCACAGTCTTTATTAATTCACTTCTACCGACAGAGAGGTTGCCTAGACACTTCTGCCTATTTCAGTGGCTTAGCCAATCAAACAACCACTGCCTGCATGTCCCTCCCGTCTCCAGTTTCTCTTTCCCATAGAAATGACTTGTTGGTGTGTGAGCATCTACTCTTGGATTTTCTTTTCTTTCTGCAGCAGAGTTCTTTTTACAAAGAACTCCATCTTTTACTTCTTTACTGCAGCAGCAGCATTCCAGCTATCTCTTAGTGAAATGCCCATTACGAGAATAAACACCATTTGGTTCTGTTTCTGAGTCTTTATTATTTACAAAACTTTACACTGGTCATTAATAAAGAAACAAACACAGTCTTTCTCTCTTTTTAGCCATCTGGCTAGAGACCTAATGCTGACTTATTCACATACTCATTTACACTGATCCAGACTTAGTTGATTGCATGCCCTGAGGAGGACACCTGTTGCTGGGGAAATTCCCCGTTGCCTAGCAACTTGTTCAGGGCCATTTACAAGTTTCAAGTTTCAACAGCCCTCCTAACTTGAAATGCTGCCTTGAACACCTGGTAATTTTATTTTATTTTAATTTTACTCAGTAAGACACAATTCCATTGTCAGCATTTTAAATTTTACAGCAGTCAAAGGCTTTGTAAAAATGTCTGCAATCATAAACTCTGTGGATCAATACCTGAGCTTAACCCACCCTTTAAAAATGCAGTCTTTCATATGTGCATAGCGTATATTTAAGTGTTTTGTTTTAGGTCTACATTTTTCTGATTCAGTCATACTTATACATGATTGATTATCCTCAAATACCATTGCAGCTTCTGGAAAATTTAAATATAGATAATTGAAAAGTTGCCTGTTAAGGAACCTGTTGCAGGGGAAATTTTCTGTTGCCTAGCAACTTGTTCAAGCCAATTAACAAGTTTTTTTCCTAGAATATTCCAGCAGGGCAGTGGGTTATTTTATCCAGTCCCTCACCTTGTTTCTCAGTAAGACATCACAAAGCAGGGGCAAGCAAGCTAAAGATTGTAGCAAGCTAGGGTGGGCAGGACAATGGTAGCCCTCCATGTCAATCAGCCTACCTAAGCCAATCAAAACCATGTATTCTTCCTGGGATGTGGTGAGAAGCCTTTTTGGAGAGAAAAGTGTGACTCCACACAAGGTGAGGGTCCTGCCAGATGAGATGCTACAGGGGGTTGAAAGTGATCAAGGAGCCCAGCTGCAAGGCACCCAGATGGAAGGGGCAGCCAAAGTGATCCAGTGTGGATGAGGGGCTGGGACTGCAAAGAGATGCAGACAGTGGCTGAAGGCAAGGGGGAAAACAACGCCTTGGATAAGGGTGAGCTGGCTGGAGCCGAGGAGCTGCTTCTGATTGATTTCTCCATCCCCTGGGAGCCTGCTGTGGAAGAGCAGGTGCAGGAGGAAAGTGCCTCAGAGGAGTGTGAGCTGCAAGATGGACGTGAAGAGCTGCTCTCCATGTGTGCTAGCAGTGCAGGGGGAGATGCAAGAGGTGTGTCTGCATTGGCAAGAGGAATCCGTGTCTCCAGAGATTCCAGAAGATGAGGTGCAGCAGGAGGAATGGAAGGTGCATGTGAACATGCAGGAGGAGAAGCTGGCACCTGAGGAAATGGTGGTGGAGGAACACATGCAAGAAGAGCTTGCGGCCCATGTGCATGTGCCAGAGAATCAGCAAGCTCTGTTGGGTGAGATAAAACCTTCCAATCAGTTTGCCCCATGGGTGCCCCAAGATGGCCTTGCAGGATGGGGACCAGCCCCTATACTGGGTGCAGCCCAGGGCCCCACGGGCTCACCTTCTGGTTCCATGAGTTTGGGAGGCAAGAGCTGGGCTTTGGGAAGGAGGCATGAAGCTCTGACAGAGTCCTCGAGTCCTCCTGCCTCCTTCCCAAAGCCTAGTTAGTGCTTTCCCAGCTTTGAGAAGAAGCGGGGGGGGGGGGCTGGAGGGGGTGCCAAATTTTGGACTTGCACAGGGTGCCATAGTACCCAAGTGCATCCCCAAGTGCTGTAGCACACGTCTTCCTGTGCAGCTCCAATCCATCCTGTTCAGGAAGAGCTCAGGAAGAGCTTCCTGAGCTCTTCTTGGGGGCCCTGGCTGTAAGCTAGCACAAGCCATGGCTGTGGTGAGGTTGTGGTTTGCTTGCAGGAATGAGTGTGGTCACAACTCATGATAAAATTCTAATGGAATGTACTGCATATGCTTATAAAATTAGAATATTTTGCAAGGAACGTTCTGCAGTGAAGTGGTAAACAGTTAACTTGAATCAACAGCTGCACGAATGAACGTGTACCTCCCTTGGCAAGTAACCAGTTTCTGTTGTTCTGAACTGTTGGCCTTGATCCCACCACAGAGTTTCAATGTGCTTATAAATATAGAAGAGGGCAGGCAGTAGGTGGTGGTGCTGTTGCTGTAGGTTGGGTCCAACACAGTGGGGTCCTGAGAGCTCTTGGGGGCCCTGGCTGTAAGCTAGCACCAGCCATGGCTGTGGTGAGGGTGTGGTTTGCTTTCAGGAATGAGTGTGGTCACAACTCATGATAAAATTCTAATGGAATGCCCTGCTAATAATAATAATAATGATAAATTATTTTATTTTATTTAATCCCCACCCTTCCTGGTTTAAAAACTGGGCTCAAAGTGGCTAAGAGCAAATATAAAACACTGATTAAAATGTGGCTTAAAAACAGCATAAAACAGCATAAAATACAACGTAAAATGCAGCATCGGTATCAATAAATTTCAAGAATTCAGGGGTCATTTTTTTTGGGGGGGGAGGGAACCCAGTAAGTAGACATCTATGATCACCAGGGCTAACTGGCCAAGTTGGTCCTACTAGGGCCAGCAAGGAGACAGGGAAGAATTTAAATGTGGGGTCCCAGAAAGGGTTTATTCATAGAAGAGGAAAGGGGAAAAGGGAATAGATGATCAGGCTAATTCAAATTGAAGGCCAGGCAGAATAACTCTGTCTTACAGGCCCTGCGGAAGGAGATCGAGTCCTGCAGGGCCCTAGTGTCGTGGGACAGAGCATTCCACCAGGTTGGAGCCATCACTGAAAAAGCCCTGGCCCTGGCGGAGGATAGTCTGGCTTCCGTAGGGCCTGGGACCTTTAAGCTATTATTATTCATGGACCTTAGGGTCCTCTGCGGGACATACCAGGAGAGGCAGTCCCATAAGTAAGAGGGTCCAAGGCCGCATAGGGCTTAGAATATTTTGCAAGGCATGTTCTGCAATGAAGTGGTAGAGAGTTAACATGGATCAACAGCTGCATGAATGGACATGCACCTCCCTTGGCATGTAACCAGTTTCTGTTGTTCTGAACTGTTGGTCTCAATCCCAACACAGAGTTTAAATGTGCTTATAAATATAGTGAGATCAATGGGCTTTAAGATGAATTGTGGTTCCTGAATTTCCCATAGGTTATATTACTTTCCAGATTAGTTGTTGCCATGATTTTAAAAAGTCGTGCATCTTGGGTAATGGCCAAGGATGATGGGAGTTGCAATTGAAGGCTGCTTCAGCCTGTATTGCTGATATTCCCAGAGGCCTGAGCTGACATACAATGACCTCCCGCAGCAGCAGTCCGGGCTGCCTCAGCTTGCAGACACTGGTTCTTCACCTTTCACCTGCAATGCATTCAAAAGTATGGGCAGGTCCCCCAGGCACACAGAGGCAGTAGCAATTAAGCACAGCAGTTAAGCGATTATTGCAGTTCAGTACAGTTGTACCTTGACTCCCGAATGCCTTGAGAGTCAAACGTTCCAGCTTTCGAACGATCAAAAACTGAGTGTTCCAGTTTTCAAACTTTTTTTGGAAGCTGAGCATCTGGTGCAGCTTCCGCTATAGTTTCTGGTGCACCTGCGGCTTGTTTTCCAAACATTTTGGAAGTTGAACGGACTTCTGGAATGGATTCTGTTGGACCTCCGAGGTACAGCTGTAGTTGGAATTCCACCTCCTCTCCAGCTGATGGTGATGAGTATTAAGATTCTTCTATTTGACACGGGGAACGAAGGCTGAAAGTTAATGGCTTGGCATGATGGGGTAGCACTACCCTGACCTCCCAAGAGCAGAGTTGCTGCTGCTTACTGCAAGGGACAGTAAACTCTCCCCATCCCTGATTATGGGATGTGCTGGCACTACTTAGAGCTGGAGTCCAAAAACATCTGGAGAGTCACTGGTTCCCCACCCCTGATTTCATCTCTTTGTGGCCAAGGCAAAATCTGTACCAGATATCGCTGTCGCCTACCTGATTAAGACCCAATATGCTTCTTTCCCCTATATAATGGACTATTACCACTCTAGAAAATGGAGTAGGCTACTAGGCAGTCCTCATATGGTTCTGCTAGTTACAATCTTCCTCAAATGATCCAGCCTAAGACTGTTTCTAATCTATGCAGTATTGAACAGAAGGCAAGCAAGATGATTCCTCTGACTCTTTACCAAGAGGACAGAGTTGCTGAACCTGTTCTGATCTGAAATATCAAAGCGCTAGTATTGATTTGCACTTGCAGATAATTCTTCTACAAATGTCAGCTATGATACTAATCTTTACTCTTCAAAACAAGTGAAATTTAACCTGTTGGGTCTGAGCAGCCAGAGGCAAGATGAGTCCTTCATCTTTTTTTTTTGTAACATCTATCCTATATGAGATGAGATGATCAATCAAGACACACTCCCCAGACCCTCAGAATCTTTTTTTTTTGTACCTGGGATCCACTCTTCTCCTGTATGAGACGAGACGATTGATCGGGGGTTTCACTAGATGACCCTTGGTTCCCTTCCAACTCTAAGATTCTATGATTCTCTAAGATTCTATGAACCAACCCAGACCCACAGAAACGCCTACAGTGACTGTATTGGTTAGAGACTTTAATATGCATCATAAACGTGCTTTAAATAGTGGTTCCAACTTTAAGGCGCTATTATGCTTTTTTCCAAGAAATGACAGACTAACTGCTATTGTTGTTGCTTATGGAATTTTAAGTAAAGTTTATTTCCTGTGGAAAAATTAATAGAATATATTCTTTTTTAATAAAAGTGAAAACGAGAAGGAAATGTTCTGATTCAGAAAGCTACCTTCCCTCTCCTGTCTAAGAAGAGTTACTCATTAGGCCATCTCGCTTCTATCTCTTTGTGGGTGTGATGTACAACAATGTACGGATTGCATACTCCTGTTTCTCAGAGGAGCCCTAGCCTAGAGGAGAGGTGTGACTGGTTTCCTGGGATCAGATTTCTGTTCTCCCAACAGAAAACAGTCTGCTCTGACAAAGGAGGCTTGAAAGGTTCCAAGATGCTGCTCCAGTTGCTCTCTGTCCTCTGGGAGGCCTTGTCCCTGCAAATCGTTCTGGTGTTTCTGGCAACATTTCTACTTCTTGCTGATTACAAGAAAAGGATTCGCCCAAGGGATTTCCCCCCAGGGCCGAGGCCTCTTCCCTTGCTGGGTAATATACCACATTTTGGTGCAAAGGACCCACATTTGGCAGCACGGAAGGTAAGAATGAAGGAATGAACCAGATGATGAGAAAACAGGTAACATTGCAGTGGAAAGGAGCGTAGAAACCTCACTGGAAAATGAGGCTTAGATGCCCTAGTCTAGCATCCTGATTCCAAGAGTAGCCAGCCAGAGGTCTCTGAGCAGCCCACAGCTGGGGCATGAAGGCAAATGCATCTCCTGTGGTTTGTTCCATCCAGATGTGTATGGCCTCTGAATCTGGGGGATCTATTTTGCCTAACAGTCATTGGTAACAAACCTGTGTCCACACCTGCCATAAAAGGTAGGATGGTTGTTTGCATGATTCTATTTTGTTAGCAGGTTATTTTCACCACTTCGACCTTTTACCTCTAGCTCTGGGCAGGGGAAAAATAAAAGTCCAGAGCTATGAGCCACATATTTGCATGAGTAAGGTAATGAGCTCTGTCCAGTTCCTTGGTCCACAGGTCAGTTTGCTTTCCTTGTATTTGACCCTTATGCTCAAGTAGATCATACAATGCCAAGCAGCTTCGCAGGTGCAGTGTGCGAGTTCAGGTGGGCTGTGGGTCAGGGTGTCTCTTTCCTTGCTCATGAACTCAGTCCCAAACCTCAGGTCTAAATTAAGGAACAGCGTGTTTTTAAAGAAAATAGCAAGAAGATAAAATGGACAGATACTTCTAAGGAAAGCAAATATTAAGAAGCTTGCTATGGTTAATGTTAGCAGTGAATTCACAGAGGTGTGTTTGTCCTGTATTAGAAAGTGGGATTTTAGTGTTGCAACTCCAGCTCTCGAGAATCAGTTACCAACTGAAATCCAACAGCAACCCAACATGTATTTATATTCCTACAAGATAATTTTGTTTAGATTGTAAGCCAGTAATTATGTGATGAAATTGTTGTTTTATTTTTGAATTTGCTTTAATGTTACGGGAGCTTGTGTTTGTGTGTCCTATTCTGTTTTTGTCTCGTGCACTGTTTTGATGGATTAGCAAAAACCATGAGTGATGCCATGAAATCGGAATAATTAGCATCCTTAAGCTTTCTTGTCCTGTTGCTTTATCTTCAGACCATGCATTTCCAGGGCTGCTAATGCGCTTGCCAGAATTTGTGGATTGCAACTCCCATCATCCCCCACCGCTGCCCATCTTCACTGGGTTTCATGAGAGTTGTGGTCCAAAACACATTGGCTATCCCTTGGAGTTGCTGACAGACGGGTATAGGGTTGCTACCTATCCTGTGTAATGCAAGATCACCCTGTATTTCAATGTAAAATGGGAGGTCCTCAATACTGGACACAATGTGTCCTGTATTTGCTGCACTCCCTCTCCCTGCCATGTTAGGGATCCTCTCCAAATGCTCACCCACACTTCTACGGGAAAGGCATTGCCAGCTGGGCTAGAGAAAAACGTCTTTCGCTTCTTTCCTTTCCTTTTTTCTCCTTGCTCCCTCTCTTCATTCCACCCCTGAGGAGGAGCAAGGCTTTCATGTAGCTGCTTCCAGTTCCCAGCCTAGGATCACTGAGCCCTATCTCTCAGAGATCAACAGGTTCCAAGGCTCTAGGAACAAGTAGTTTTCTGTCAGTGTAGCCCAGAAACTCCAGTTCTGAACATAGTTATCTGCATGATATTTGAAAGAGGAGGGTGGGGGAGAGGTAGCTCCCCACAAGTCTTGTCCTTCGCCCCACCACCTAATATTCCCTCTCTTTCAGAAATTTAACACGTGGAACAAAGTCATCACCTCTTCAGAATATGACTCTTTGTTTGTTTATTGCCCAGGCCTGCATCTGTTGCTGTGCAGTACTGCATATATGTGAAAAGTCATGTATTTAAGCTCTGGGTAGGAAAGCACAGACAGATTTACAAATTTGTGTGTATGTGTGTGTGCTCATGTGACAAATTCCAGAGGGGCCATAGTGTTTGGCTGCAATAGATTGTAATGAATTGCTTTGAAGTCATTTCAGCACTAGGTGAAAAAACAACAACCCTCAATTCCTCCCTCATCCTCTCCTGTATTTTGCCAGAACCAAGGTAGTAACTCTAGAGGGCTACAGGGGGTACCTATGTACAGGACTCGAAGCCAGCAGGGACCCCAAGCTGTCTTTTTGAAATAAATCAGACATTTCTACAGGAAGTTATAAACAAAACAGTTGAAGCTTCTTGTTGCTGCTGCTGGATGGATGGATGGAGGACACTTGAGTACATAAAGCATTTTTCTTGTGTTTACATTATTTCCTCCACTCCCTTAAGTGTGCGGCCTTTATAGAATAAAACATAATTGACTGGCTTGAAAAGGTTTTGCTCAGAATTAACTCCCTTACAAAAAGAAGGGAGGAATATTGTGGTGCCCCACTCAGTTCTCTATGTCCCATGTACTTTAGGATAAGGATTGTAGTTCTGTTCGCATGTTATGTTGTACATTATTCTACCCTCCCCCTTTTATCTTTGCAACGTTAGAGCATGATCCTGAGAAAGCCAAGGTTGCAGATTTGATCCCCATATGGAACAGCTGCATATACCTGCATTGCAGAGGGTTGGAATAGATGATCCTCAGGGTCCCCTCCAACTCTACATTTCTTTGGTTCTATGATCTCTGTGTGGTAGCTAGGCTAAATTAATATATGTGCAGAAGCAGAAGCTCTTGTCAATAGATTGCAGGCGGAGAATGAAGGGGGTCTGTCCATGCACAGTGAACTGGGCCCAGGAAACACTTTTGACATCTCTGCTGCCCCGCTGTATGTATTTGATTGCAACCAAGTCTGCTTGTTCCATACAGTATTGGCATTCTATAAACATCAAAAAGGTAAATTAATATAGAATATCAATGTAGACTATACAGAGATATTTTGTTCTCTCTTGCATTCTTCCTCTCCCTTCAGCTGGCTGAAAAATATGGCAATGTCTTCAGCATTCAGGTTGGGAAAATATGGATCGTGATTGTGAATGGATTGCATCTGGTGAAAGAAGCTCTTGTCCATCAGGGTGAAAACTTCATAGATCGTCCAGTTGATCCTCTTTCCAAGGAAATCAGTAGGTCATTGGGTGAGTTACTTTAAATTACGGCCAATTGTTTAAATTTATTTATTTCTAGCTCAGAAATGCGCTTCCGTATCATCATTTGGTATAACAGCATAATCCCATCATTTCCTGGTGAAGGTTCCCATGTAATCAAAAAGCCAAAAATAAATGGAGAGAAAAACAGAATTAACATTGAATAATCAAGGCCATATAAACAGGTACCGTTAATCCAGAAAATGAATGCCAGAGTGGCCTAAAGGGCTTCAATGCAGAAGGGACATTTGTAAAAAAAATATATATTGACTGCTTTACGTGTTCCTATATATTTACTTCATTTTGTGTATTTCTAAACATAGGCTGCCTTTCTATCAGAGTTCCCAAAAACTTTCAAAGGACAGCATAAAGGTAGTACAGGGAGCCAGCAACATTATGCGGGGTGGGGTGGGGTAGAATAAATAAGTAAATTTGCCATTTCCACTTACCATTTATTCTTTTTTCTTCCACCTACACACCCAGTAGGCTTTCCTTGCTTACCAGGCTTGGGGGAGGTATCGGGGGGCCCAAGGAAGCCCTTGGGGCTCCTTCCTACAGCCCAGTAGGTAGCTCCCCACTTTGTGGGGTGGTGTTGGCTCTTGGGATTCCTAGAATTTGCCTTTGCACACAGACCCCCAGAACCAAACTACCACATAATTGGTGGGCCAACTGTATTCCAAAACGCAACCCAAACAGTAAAAAAACAAAAACAAACCAACCCACAGACAATAACCAAACAGCAGCAGCAACAGAACTAACGGCAATCAAATAAAAACAACCAGCCTGCTTCAGTCTTTCCAAAGCAACACAAACAGGCAAGCAGAATAACCTAAAGCAAATAGCCCATGTTATAATTAAATGTTAAATGTTCTTCCTTGCAATATGCACTTGTTATTTCTTCCCCTCTAGGAGTGGTCTCCTCTAATGGTCTCACCTGGAAACAACAGAGAAAATTTGCCATATCAATGCTCAGAAACTTTGGTTTGGGTAAAAGGACTTTAGAAGAACGAATACAGGAAGAGAGCCAATACCTAAAGGAAGCTATTGAAGCTGAGAAAGGTGCGAAACAGTCAAAGAAGACTATTTCCTATGAAAGGTTAAAAAATGCATTGGTCATGGTATGAAGCTTTCAAGTGCTGCTTTGTGCAAATGCAGCTCTGCTTTAGATGGGCATCAATGTAAAACTCAGCCCAGGGGTATATCCATTGTGGGTCTTATTTCTCCCATAGCCACAAGCCTTGGATTCAAACAGAAATCAAACACTGTGCTCTGAAGCTCTCCAGCTTGCTCTTTTACTTCTAGGTCACATCCCTGCAAAGTCTACCCTAGACTCTCTCACTGCAGTCTGATGGAGGGGCCTTTCCCCCAAGTGATCACCTCATGAGACAGCTAGCCTACCTTATGTTTTAACGTTTGCTGCCTCCAGGGATTCAAAAGTGCTAGCACCCATAACCTCAAAACAACATAGATATAAAATCTTACAGAACAATGTGCTAGAAAGCTTATACCTATAGCTGTGCAGTTTTCCTTAGCATGCCCCCCTAAGTATAAAATTCATCCACTGTGCCGTCTAGACATCCCCTATCTGAAGAACATCTGCTGTGCCCCCATACTCTGTCCAGACCCACCCACTTCCCCCACCTTCTGTTTTTGTTACGTGGAAGCCATAAGCAGTCTTATTCCTTCTCCATTTTCTTCTTCTCTCCCTCTCCAGGGCAGCCATTTGACCCTCACTTTCAGATTAATAATGCTGTTTCAAATATCATTTGTTCTGTCACTTTTGGGGACCGCTTTGATTACCATGACAGTAATTTCCAGAAGTTATTGCTCTTCCTTGATGAGATAATATATCTTCAGGGATGTATGTGGACTCAGGTAGGTCTTCTGGTCCCAGGCACACTCCCACATTTTTGTTGACTGTTCATTGATTTGCTTTCGGCCCTCATGTTTCTTTATCATCTTATTTCTTTTTTCCCTTTGTGCCTCATACACCATCCCATATCCCCTTGAAATCTTGTCTTGTCTTCACATTATCTATTAAAATACCAAAGGTAGGGCCTGTTTATAAGCTGGATTTAAGATCCAGAGCATGTCTTGCAATGAACCCAGTGATGCAATCCCAAAGGACATACACGGCTTAATTCCACACTCCCCTCTTACCAATTAGAATCTGTGAAAGGCCCCCCATGCAGATAGGCATCACCAAATGAGAAAACTACATTCATGGGAAGGCATCACATGGATTGCTACCTCCTTTGATAGTAGCATGATCTGCAACTGTTATGAGAGGGCTTTCCCTGAACAAATCTGATGTTAGTATTTGTTTCCTCAGATGTACAACGCATTTCCCGCTCTCATGAAGCACTTGCCAGGGCCCCATCAGACTGTTCTTAAAAACTGGGGACAACTGAAATCCTTTGTGAGAGAAATCATTGAAAAACATGAAGAAGACCGGAACCCATCTGCACCCAAAGATTTCATAGATGCCTATCTAAATCAAATGGCCACGGTAAGAAACAAAAAGTATAGTTTGTGTAGTAGCAGTAATAGAAAGCAGAGACAAAATCTAAAGGACCAGAACTTACCCTGTTTTTCATTGGCTCTGTATGAAAGCAGCCAAAGAGGTGAGGGTACATGTGTGTACAAGTGCATATACATGAATATGAAATAATGTGTATCCAGGGGTGACCCACCACCACTTGTCCTGAAATCCACCAGATTCACAGGGCTGTTGACTTGGCTGTGCTAGATCCAGGACACTTGTCAGGAATAGAACTCATGAATCTCACTCATTGTCATCACTTGATATATAGGACTGAAACTGGGATGGTGTTTTTAATGACAGATGAACCCTTTGGTGCATTTTCTTTGTTTTAAGGAGGATGCTGCTTCCAGTTTTCATAAAGACAACCTCCTACAATCAACACTGGATCTCTTTCTTACTGGAACAGAATCAACTTCCACAACCCTGCGCTGGGCCTTGCTTTACATGGCCATTTTCCCGGAAATTCAAGGTAGAGCCATCATTTGCTTACTTGTCTTTGATTACTTTGGGTTTGGAGTAAATCTATTGCAATTAAGCAATGTAACCTATAGGCTATTAAGTTCAATTTGTTTTCCATGAGTATGACAGACATTGAATAGCGCCAGTGCTTTGTTTCTAGAAAAAAAAAAGGTGCCAGTAATAATAATAATAATAATAATAACAATAATAATAATAATTTATTATTTATACCCCGCCCATCTGGCTGGGCCTCCCCAGCCACTCTGGGCGGCCTCCATAGAAACCAAAAATACACTAAAATATCACACGTTAAAAACTTCCCTGAACAGGGCTGCCTTAAGATGTCTTCTGAATGTCAGGTAGTTGTTTATCACTTTGACATCTGCTGGAAGGGCGTTCCACAGGGCGGGCGCCACTACCGAGAAGGCCCTCTGCCTGGTTCCCTGTAGCTTTGCTTCTCGCAATGAGGGAAGCGCCAGAAGGCCCTCGGCGCTGGACCTCAGCGTCCGGGCAGAACAATGGGGGTGGAGACGCTCCTTCAGGTATACTGGACCGAGGCCTTTTAGGGCTTTAAAGGTCAGCACCAACACTTTGAATTGTGCTCGGAAACGTACTGGGAGCCAATGTAGGTCTTTCAAGACCAATGTTATATGGTCTCGGCGGCCGCCCCCAGTCACCAGTCTAGCTGCTGCATTCTGGATTAGTTGTAGTTTCCGAGTTACCTTCAAAGGTAGCCCCACGTAGAGCGCATTGCAGTAGTCCAAGCGGGAGATAACCAGTACACACCATGAAGTTGTTACAATAAGTGCCACACTTTTAACATCCATTAAAAGGTTGCTGGTGGTTCATACCATTGAGTACCACCAGGAAACAAAAGCTGAATTCCACGGTTCCCTTTTTTGGATGAGTTCCCAATGCCATGTTGGTATGTTACTATGTCAGATACATAGATATAGGATGGGAGATATCTGGCTTGACAGCAGAACATGTGAAAAGGATCTGGGGGTCTTAACATGAATCAACAGTGTGATGCAGTAGCAGCAAAAGAAAAAGAAACCCTAATGCAGTTCTAGGTTGCATCAACAGTAGTATAAGATCAAGTGAAGTAATAGAACCACTATGTTCTGCCTTGGTCAGACCCCAACTGGACTACTGATTTCAGTTCTGGGCACCACAGTTTGAGAAGGCTATTGATATGCTGGAATGTGTGTGGAGGAGGGTGACACAGATGATCAAGGGTCTGGAACCAAGCCATCTGAGGAACGGTTGAGGGAGTTGGGTATGGGAGGACATATGATACCCATCTTCTAATCTCTGAAGGGCTCTTATGCGGAAGATGGAGCAAGTTTGTTTTCTGTTACTGCAGAGGGTAAGACCTGAGCTAATGGATTCAAATATTAGGAGGAGCTTTCAGACAGTGGAATGGACCACCTCAGAAGGTGGTGGACTCTCTTGGATGACCATCTACCAAGGATTCTTTAGCTGTGATTCCTGTATTGCAGGGGTTGGAATACATGACCCTTGGAGTCCCTTCCAATTCTACAATTCTATGATTCCATGAATCCTTGCCTCTAGTCTAAGCTATAGGTTCAATAGCAACTACAATAAGGTAATTTCATAGCAAAATGTGGAAATGTTTTTGTTCTCTTAGGGATTCAAAATTAGAATGGGAGCTAGGTTGTATGAATGATGTTCTGTGGTCTGCCTCAGGATATTTTCTGGAGTGATTCAAAAATGCAGTAGGTCTAGACGTATTAATATGTTGTTATGTAAATTGATTAATTTATTTTGTTGAATCAACTCAAGCAAATACAGAAAGGAGATACATAGGGTGGAATTCAACTTCAAATTATGATTCCATTTCCTCATCCCCAGTGTTGAATAGTGGGTAGACATAGCAGACAACGCAGCGATTTCTCCAAAGCAGCTCTTTATTTGTAAGCTGGAACAGAACTGAGCAGCAAACAGCTCAGCCGGCCTGCTTTTATACATTGTAGCAACAACAACCCAGGGTTTCCCGCCTAAAGTAACTGACGTGGACCTGAGTGAAAACTATATACAGTGGTACCTCGGGTTACATACACTTCAGGTTACAGACTCTGCTAACCCAGAAATAGTACCTCAGGTTAAGAACTTTGCTTTAGGATGAGAACAGAAATTGTGCTCTGGCGGCGCAGCAGCAGCAGCGGGAGGCCCCATTAGCTAAAGTGGTGCTTCAGGTTAAGAACAGTTTCAGGTTAAGTACGGACCTCCGGGACGAATTAAGTACTTATCCTGAGGTACCACTGTACACGATACTCCTAGGGGCCAGGGTGAGAACTTCAATACATAACACCATTACTGTCTTCTCCCACTGTGTGATGTTCTGGGGGGGGGGGTCCTGAGCTACTAGAGATTAGGGGAAGTGGGAGGAGAGAGGGGTGGGGAAGTCCCATTGTGCTGGCACCTGCTGGCACAAACAGCTTAGTTAAGACTCACCATTGTATACTTACTGTAAATGTGTGCTAGTATTTGATGTTCAAATGCAAGAAATTCAAATGCGAACCATAGCATCCCTTACAAAAATGTCCTCAAGCTTTGCTTCCTGAATCATAATGTGATTTATGCCACACTGAAGCCAGTTAATATCATAGGTGTCTTTCATTCACAACACTTCGTTTAGCAAGTAGTTGACCATAAAATGTACCTCTTTCAACATGACTTCTAAATGGAGATTGTTAACTCAGTTGCTTGCTGTTTTGCATTTGATCTGAATTGATTATATGTATGAGCTGATGTTCTTTTAAGTGTTATATCATATGCATATATAATTATTAATATGTAACTGTTTTTGTATATGTAACTGCTTTATATACTTTAACTGTTTTTAATGTGTGATTTTTGCTGTGGTTTTATAATTTGCTGGAAGCTGCCCAGAGTGGCTAGGGCAACCCAGTCAGATGGGCAGGATTTAAATAAATCTTCTATTATTTTTATTTTATTTTATTTTAGTTATTATTTGGACAGGATTCGCTGAAGGAGTCCTGTCAGCTGAAGCTGTGCGCATGGACTTCCACTTGTGCAAAAAGGCTTCCCTCCACTCCTCTCCCTGTACTTCTGTCTCACACACCCTGAAATTGCTTCAAGGAGGTTGTGAGAGGCCACAGAACAGTGCGGAAGGGGAAGGGGGGGACTTTCCATCTGGCAAGCTACAATAAACGGTGCAGTCAAAACAATTCTATTTAGGCAGTAGATGGACCATTCCAACTAGAGATCTTCAGCTCTCAGTTTTTGTCTGTTCTTCTTGTATTGAAGCTAATCTTCTTCATTTGCAGCCAGAGTCCAAGCGGAAATAGATTCTGTGATTGGCCAGTCTCGCCAGCCAGCGATAGGTGACAAGGACAGCATGCCCTATACCAACGCGGTTGTTCATGAAGTTCAAAGGATGAGCAGCATTGTGGCACTGAATGTGCCCCGGATAACAACTAAGGACACAACACTGGCTGGGTTTCATGTGCCCAAAGTAAATGTTAAGAACATAAAGCTCTTCTTGTTTGTTTTTGCTCTTCCAGTAAAAAGCACAAGCTTTTAATGTTTGATGTTTTATTGTGTTTTTAATATTCTGTTGGGAGCTGCCCAAATGGGCTAGGGAGGCCCAGCCAGATAGGCAGGTTATAAGTAATAATTTATTTATTTATTTTATTTTATTTTTATTAGGCCATCATGGTGCCATCCAGATGTTGTTGGACTCCAACTGCCATCAGTTCCTGCCAGCATGACCAACAGGCAGGGATGATGAGGCTGTATCCCCAAACATCTGGAGGGCATCATGTTGGTAACCTCTGGTCTAAATACAGAGTTGTACCAGTCTCAGTTTGAATGGGTAGCTAGTCTGTCAGAAATTAGCCAGTATCTGGTGTTGCTAACCCTGAATTTTCGTAGTCCAGCAGACTTTGAATGTCTTTTAAAATCTATATTGGAACTGTGCTTTTGTGGGAAATCTTTGAATGAATTACTTAATAATGAAAAGTAAATATTGCATTCAGAACATTTCCTTTCTCTGTCAGGAGATATAGGTTTAGTACTGCTGTAATTTCAAAGAGAATACTTGAAAGCGCCTTGTCATTTTTATCTACTTTCTTCTCTGCTTCTCCTTTGGCAGGGAACCATATTGCTCACCAATTTGACCTCTGTGCTGTTTGACAAGGATGAGTGGGAAACACCCAATGAGTTTAATCCTGGCCATTTCCTAGAGAATGGTCAGTTCCGGAAAAGGGAAGCATTCCTGCCATTCTCTGCAGGTAACAAAAGTTGAGGAGCTGCTCACCAGAATCGCAACAGGGCCTATATGATGGCGACTTACTTACTGAGTGCTGGGTATATTACTAACTATATTGTGCATTTCAGGGGTCACCAACCTTTTTGGACAGTGAGTACTTTTGGCATTTAAGAAAGTGCTATGGGCACCAATCACAAAATGGCTGCGCTTGGGGCTGTGGTGTACAAAAAAATAGTTTTGACATGACACCCCAGCAAAGTATGGATTTTTGAGGGGGTGTTTACTGAGATCTTTAATGAGTGCCAAAGGTGGCTCAGACAGTCCTTGAGGGCTAGGGTGTATTGTTTACAGCAGCGGTCAGCAAGATTTATCTTGCCTGGGCCAGAACGGTCCTGCAGAGATACCTCCCTGGGCTGGATCGCATGTGTGCATGAGCGCGCCCACCTGTGAATTTCGGTGTCTGCATCTGCACAGGTGCGATTTTCAGTGTCTGTTCATGGTGCCGCGGAAGCATATTCCCCTCAGGGAATATGAGAAACATTGTGTGTGCAAGCTTCCCTCTCCATGTTCACACAGTTGTTTTCTTCTCTGCACCCTGCTTCTCACCATGCAGCTTAGAAAGTAAGCCACTTGTGGGGGAAAGGGATCTGTTTCCCTGTGGGTGAATTGCTTTTGCCCTACCGTCCTCATCCTTTCAGCTTGCTGTCCTTCCCTCCTTCCAGCTCCTAGCATTGCTCTTTCCCCCCCACACCCCTTAACCTTACTCTCCGTCTCCTCTCCCAACACCTCATGTTACCCTCACTGTGTTGTGTTGTGTGTTTGTGACATTATGTCTACATTGTGGTCTGGCCCTTCCCACTGCTTGGTCCCTCCAACAACTTTATTGATTGACTGACTGACTGACTGACTGACTGACTGACTTATTTTTTATTGCCTGTTCTAAGCTGAATGTTTTCAGTTAGTCTAATGCGACCCTTTCTCCAAAAAACAAAACCACATATTTCCATCCTGATGCAATTTCCTGAAACATTTGTAAGATCTTTTTTGGGGGTCAAGGTGAATGCAGAGTTTTGGGTTAAGCCAGTTAACTGGATATTAACTGAATGATAGTTGGTTTTTATGATGTTTTCTATAATCTAGCAGTATATAAATTTTATGAAATAAATAAATAAAATAAATAAATCTCCACATCTTTGAAATGTGAGAGGGAAGCTGTAAGGTTAGGGATGAACAGATCTGCCAACTTTGGTTTCCTTCATTTTTCCAATCTTAAATTCAATTCTCCATATTTCAGCAGCAATCTGCAATAGAAAAGAAAACCCATTTAAGTGCATGTTTTTCTTATTGACACATTTTTAAAGCTCGCTGTGACTAATTTACCCAATTTTGTAAACAATTCCTCTAATATAATGAATCTTTGTATGTTCTTTTCTCTAATATATGAATTTTTTTTACACTTTCCCTTTATAAGTCTTTTTGTACAAATGGGTTGGTTGGAGACTGCACTGTAAATATGAAAGAATGGCTGTTTTGTGTGTGTGTATATGCATGCCTGTATTCATATTTAGGGAGATTGCTATGAAGATGTAAACTCTACTAACATAGTCTCTCTCTCTCTCTCTCTCCCCCCCCCTCCCTCCCTTTTAGGAAAGCGAGCTTGTCTTGGAGAGCAGTTGGCAAGGATCGAGCTTTTTATTTTCTTCACTGCCCTACTTCAGAAGTTCACTTTCCAGGCTCCAAAAGGCGTGACATTAAGCCTTGACCATCGGTCAGGTCTTACGTTATCCCCCCAGCCGTACCGGATATGCGCAATCTCTCGCTGAGGGGACTCATTTTATGGCACTGCTCATTAAAAGAAGATGGTGAAGAATTTGGCCAGCACTGCCTCCTTAGTTTCTGTCCTTAGGAGGACAGCTCAATAGTCATAGCTCTAGTAATGCATGTCTGTTGTATTTAGAAGGCCTCAGGTTCAATCTACATGACTGGTGTGTGGTTCTTCTCATAAATGATCTCAAGTATGTGACTTTTAAAATTGTCCTGGGGGCACAGCTAGGGCAATGTCTTATAAACCAGCAAAGCCTTGTACCTGAACCACTTCAACATTCAAATGCCAGATCAATAATTTACTATTGAGAAAGGTTGCAGATGTCTGGTAAATTGTAGACTTTGATACTCAAGCTGTAGTTGGTCTACAGGTCATGGCAAATTTTAATTTGGTTCAAACAGCTAATTTAATGAAAAAGGCTTACTAAAAAAGTTTTTGTAAGTTGGCAGTGCAGAAGCACTGTGTACTTGGGCCAATTTAGCAAGGGCCAATCTGTGTACTTGGCAATCTAGCAAGTTAATGTTTATTAGAGACATCAGTGCTTATGACATAGGTGCATAGAGTGATTTTAAAAGGATTGCTAGCCTGGATCCTTGGGGTGTGCTTATTTATAACCCATCTTTTAAATGGTAGTCTGCCTTTGTAGGATAATTTCTTCATTCCAATTTCTATTCCCTTCTCTCAGGACTTCTCTTCACTAGTGATAAAAAGTTCTAAATTGTGTAATACTTGATTTGGTAATAAAGCCTTGAACTTTCATTTTTGGGCTGGTTGATTACCCTGGTTGTTCTCCTTGCATCCCCCTTTGGCAAAGAAAAGATCCCATGTGGTGTGTCTGAGGCCTCATCAACCTTGGCAATACACTGCAAGATTGTTGTTTAAAGTTTCCATTCCAGTTCTACCCCAAACTGAGTCTGTGACAATAGGCAGTATCTGCACTATATACATATACAGCAGTATCATACAGTTTTATACAGTCATAGAATCCTGTTAAGGGCATGGAGAGTTGTGAGGAAACCCTTGTAGGACTACATCTAAGATATATGGGGTGGGATTCTGCTTGCACAAGAGGGCTCCCCCCCCCACTCTCCTCCAGGGGAACCCCCCTAAAAACTTGGCTCAGGTGAGAGTATGGGGTGAGGGGGTGGGAATCTATTTGTCTGGCAATATGAAATACTTGCCCTGCTGGAGCTTTTGCACATTGTTGAATTCCTCCCCTAATGTAGAAGTAGCCCTAGAGGGAAGCAGCGAGAAGACACTCTGAAAGGTCAGTGACTAATTTGTAGAACTAGAGACCTTCCTTTCAAGGGTGGCTTAAAGCCTTCTTTTCCTAAAAAGAACCTGAGTTGTGTCCATGTTGTGGTCAAGACAGTGGTGGACTTTGGGGTCTCAAATTTCAAGAGCAGCCTGTGCAATGCCAAAAATGGTCTCCCCCCCCCATTTATCTCACTCCATTCTAAATCACAGTTGCAGCATCCCTGCCACTCTCCCCTAAATCTACATCTGCTCAGGGCCAGCTTGAGAGCTTCTCTCTCTCTTTACCGTCAGCTTGTTCACTTCTGCATCTTCTTTTCCGGAAGGTGGAGTAAAATGGAAGGATATGAAGTGGACTAGGACCTGGGCAACAAGGATTCAACTCCTCACTCAGCCATGAAGCGCACTGGGTAACCTTGGGCCGGTCACTATCACTTGACTTAACCGACCTCACAGGCTGCTTGTGATGATAAAATGAGGAAGAGAACCATTAATGCCACCATAGGTGGAATATAATCGTAATAATTTAAAAGTAAATATAAAATAAAGAAATATAATATCTCCAGCCATCCCACCCCATCCCACATCAGATTTTGGATTGTAGGAGTGGGGGTTGTGTTTGTAGGAAACTGGCTTTAGAATTGGGAGTTGCTGAACCTGTTCTGGTCTGAAGATATCAAAGAGCTAGCATTGATTTGCACTTGCAGATAATTCTTCTACAAATGTCAGCTAAGATACTAATCTTTACTCTTCAAAACAAGTGAAATTTAACCTGTTGGGTCTGAGCAGCCAGAGGCAAGATGAGTCCTATCCTATATGAGATGAGATGATCCATTGAGACAACCTCCTCAGACCCTTAGAAAGAACTGGAGAAACTTATTGGTTTAGAGTCTTTAATATGTGTCACAAACCTGTTTTAAGTAGTGGTTCCAACTTAAAGATGCTGTTACACCTTTTTCCAAGAAATGACAGACTATTGTTGCTTATGGTATTTTAAGCTACATTTAGTACATGTGAAAAGGGTGTGTGTGTGTGTTGAAAGTGAAAACAAGAAGGAAATATTCTGATTCAGAAAACTACTCTCCCCCTTCCCCCTAAGAAGAGTTACTCAATAAGCCATCTCCTTCAGCCTCCTGGTTGGTGTGATGTAAAGCAATATATGGGTTGCAAACTTTGCCCTGGTTTCTTACATAAACATTTACCAAGAGGAGAGGTATAACTGCTCTCCTGGGATCAGATTTCTGTTCTCCCAACAGAAAACAGTTTGCTCTGACAAAGGAAGGCTTGAAAGGTTCCAAGATGCTGCTCCAGTTGCTCTCTGTCCTCTGGGAGGCCTTGTCCCTGCAAGTTGTTCTGGTGTTTCTGGCAACATTTCTACTTCTTGCTGATTACAAGAAAAGGATTCGCCCAAGGGATTTCCCCCCAGGGCCGAGGCCTCTTCCCTTGCTGGGTAATATACCACATTTTGGTGCAAAGGACCCACATTTGGCAGCGCGGAAGGTAAGAATGAAGGAATGAACCAGATGATGAGAAATCAGGTGACGTTGCAGTGGAAAGGAGTGTAAAAACCTCACTGGAAAATGAGGCTTACAGTAGATGCCCCAGTCTAGTATCCTGATTCCAAGAGTAGCCAGCCAGAGGTCTCTGAGAAGCCCACAGCTGAGGCATGAAGGCAAATGCATCTCCTGTGGTTTGTTCCCAGCATCTGGTATCCAGATGTGTATGGCCTCTGAATCTGGGGGATCTATTTTGCCTAACAGTCATTGGTAACAAACCTGTGTCCACACCTGCCATAAAAGGTAGGATGGTTGTTTGCATGATTCTATTTTGTTAGCAGGTTATTCCACCACTTCTTCCTTTTCGCTCTAACTCTGGTCAGAAAAAAGTCACATATTTGCTATGAGCCACGTATTGCTTGGGTATGTTAATGACCAGCTAGCTCTGTCCAGCTCTGGTCCAGAGGTAAGTTTGCTTTTCTCATGTTCCCCTCTTAAACAGGATGCCAAACAGTTTCGCAGGTTTGCTTAGACTATATACCTGTGGAAGACAGGAGTGCCTGGCGTGCTCTGGTCCATGGAGTCATGAAGAGTTGGAAACGACTAAACAACAACATATACCTAATAGATGTGACACATAAAACACAACTTTCTGCTTGCTTGCTTGCTTGCTTGGGGTCAGTTAGTGCAATAGGATGTTTCTTTTTAAAAAGACACTTTCTGAATCTAAGGAGGCAGGAAGAGGACAGCAGGAAGCTGGGAAGTCCCATCATTTTTTCTTACTTTTTCCTGTCCCCCTCACACTATGGCACTGAGGACACAATATTGGCTATCCCTCACAACTGCTGACAGAGGGGTACATAGGGTACATATGTACAAGGCTCCAAGCCAACAGGGACCCAAAGCTCTCTCTCTCTCTCTTAAAGTAAATTAGACATTTCTAAAGAAACTTATAATAAAAAAGTAGAAGCTTCTTGTTGCTGCAAGCCTCAAGCTGGATGAGTGGAGAGGAACACTTGTGTACACAAAGCATTTTTGTGTCTATGTCATTTCCTTCTTTCCCCTAGTGTGTTGCTTTTATAGAATGAAATGTTTTAAATTATTTAACTCCTTTGAAAAAAATAACTTCATACTGAGAAGAACATGATGATATGCAGTGCTCCCTGATCTTCCACGTCCCACAAAGCCACAACTGGCAAGCAAATTAAAATTCCTATAGACGACGCTTTACTATAAGGATCCCCTCACCCTTATCAAGACTGGAAAAATGTGTGTGTGTGCTTTTGTTTGTGTGTTTTGTTGTACGTTAGCCTACCCTCCTGCTCTTATCTTTGCAACATTCCTGTGTGGTAGGCTGGCCTAAGTTAATATACGGTATGTGCAGAAGCAGCAGCTCTTGCCAATAGATTGCAGGAGGAGAATGGAGGGGGCTGTCCATGTACTGGGCCCAATAAACCCTTTTGGCATCTCTGATGTCCCTGGTATATTTGAGAGAAACCAAGATTACATCTTCCATACAGGCATTCTATAAATATCAAGCAGGCAAATTAATATAGAATATTAATAAAGACCACATAGGGATATTTTATCCTGTCTTGCATTCTTCCTCTCCTTCCAGCTGGCAGAAAAATATGGCAATGTCTTCAGCATTCAGGTTGGGAAAACATGGATTGTGATTGTGAATGGATTGCGTCTGGTGAAAGAAGCTCTTGTCCATCAGGGTGAAAACTTCATAGATCGTCCTAATCTTCCTTTTACCAAGGAAATCGCTAGGGGATTGGGTGAGTTACTTTTAATTATGGTCAATTGTTTAAATAACATTATCTCATCATTTCCTATTGCCTATCTAATCAAAAAGCCAAAAATAAATAGAAAAAAACCAGAAATATCATTAAATAATCAAGACCATATAAACATTAAACAGGTACCATTAATCCAGAAAAGCAATTCCAGAGTGTCCTAAAGGGCTTCAGTGCAGAAGGGACATTTGTAAAATATATATTGACTGCTTTACGTGTTCCTATACGTTTACTTCATTTTGTGTATTTCAAACATATGCTGCCTTTCCATCACAGTTCCCAATTTTTTTCACAGGGCAAAGTTAGTACAGTGGGCTAATAACCTCCACTTATTTTACATATGGGAGTGCAACCTTATGTGGGGGGAGGGTAAATAAATAAATGGTGGGGGACACTTTCCATGCACGCTCTTCATTTCCTCCCACCTGCACACTCAGTAGATTTTTGTTGCTTACTGGGAAGTCCATTCCACTGTCAAACAGTTCTTACTGTCACAAAGTTCTTCCTGGTGTCTAGTCAGAATCTCCTTTTTTGTAACTTGAAGCCATTGGTTTGGGTTCTCCAGAGAGGGAGAGAACAAACTTCCTCAATCTTCCATGTGACAGTTCTAAGATGGTTATCATATCTCCTCTCAAGTTTCCTCTTTTCCAGGCTAAACTTGCCCAGCTACCTCAGGCATTGCTCATAAGACTTCTGTTCTAGACCCTTAATCATCTTGGTTGCCCTGCTCTGCTTGCTATTTCTTCTCATCTAGGAGTGTTGACCTCTAATGGTCTTACCTGGAAACAACAGAGACGATTTGCCATATCAACACTCAGAAACTTTGGTTTGGGTAAAAGGACTTTAGAAGAACGAATACAGGAGGAGAGCCGATACCTAAAGGAAGCTATTGAAGTTGAGAAAGGTGCGAACCAGAGTCAAAAAAGCCTATTTCATATGAAAGGTTAAAAAATACATTTGTCGTGGTATGAAGCTTTCAAGTGCTGCTTTGTGCAAGTGCAGCTCTGCATAAGCTGGGACATCCCCATGGTTAGATGGGTGTCAATGCAAAACTCAGTCCATTGTGGCACGTAGGAGTTCAGCTGCCATTAAAATGCAGAAGCCTCTGCTAAGGTCAGGCTCCATGTATGCAGTGAGACCTGCAGTTGAAACCCAAAGTCACTTAACTAGTATAGGAGAGCAACAGAATTGGTACGCTGTGTGTTTTGAGGGAAGTGTGCCGATTTTGATAGCTTTGACAAAGTCACAAATGGAATTTGTGCAATAGTTCCTGTGTCTATTTTCTGTCTCTGTCATTTTTGCAGGCCTTTGTTGCCAAACCTACTGCCTTGGCAAAACATTGTTGCACACACACGAACCTCCAAGCAGTGTGAGATTTCCCAGCCTTTGTGTTTCCTTTTTTGAAGAGACTAATGTCCATTTATGATATATGGTTTATTTACACACGTATACAACATGAACCTAGGATGGGGCAAGGGAGTCACAATATTAACACTCCCAATGGGAGTGCTTGCAGTCTCCCACAGAGGTCCTTTCCTTTGTTTCCCATAATAGCCCATCCCCCAGGTAATCACCTCATAAGGAAGGTAGCCTGGCTTATGTTTTAACACTTGCTGCATCCAGGGATTGAGGGGGTCTGGCCCCCACAACCTCAAAACAACATCTCACAGAACAATGTGCTAGATAGCTTATACCTATAGCATGTGCCACTAAGAGTATAAAACTCCATCACTGCGCCATCTAAACATCCTCTATCTGAAGAACCTCTGCTGTCCCCCCCATACTCTGTCCAGACCCACCCACTTCCCCCACCTTCTGTTTTTGTTACATGGAAGCCATAAGCAGTCTTATTCCTTCTCCATTTTCTTCTTCTCTCCCTCTCCAGGGCAGCCATTTGACCCTCACTTTCAGATAAATAATGCTGTTTCAAATATCATTTGTTCTGTCACTTTTGGGGACCGCTTTGATTACCATGACAGTAATTTCCAGACGTTTCTGCGCTTCTTTGATGAGATAATGTATCTTCAGGGAAGTATTTGGATTCAGGTACATCTTCTGTGAGATCTTATGGGTAACCACAACAGAGTCGCTCTGGTTCCAGGCACACTCCCACATTCTTGTTGACTGTTCATTCATTCGCTTTGGGCCATCATTGTTCTTTATGTTCTGATTTCTTTTTCTCCCTTGAACTTGTAATTCAAGCATCTCACCCCATACCAAGTCCCTTTGACATCTTGTTTTTATTTAACATTGTCTATCATAATACTGAAGACGTATGGGTGTCTTCAGTATTATAAGGCAGGCATCACAACTAAAAATCATGTGCTATGACACATTTTAGGCCTTTAAGTGGGGAATCACATGAGTAACTAAATAAAATCAAAGAATTTGGACAAGTAGCATATATCATGAGAAGGCTAGTTAGTTTTATTTTCCATATTGGGAACATTCTCACACTGTGCTGGAATATTTATGTAGCTAAATAACACTGGGTATTGAGTGGTGTTCATAAGCAGGACTTAAGATCCAGAGCATGTCTTGCAATGAACACAGTGATGCAATCCCAAGTAACATACACAGCTTAATTCCATACTCTCCACCTACCAATTAGAATCTGTGAAAGGCCACTCCATGCAGATAAGCATCATCAAATGGGAAAGCTACATTGGCATCATTTTCCTGATATCATCAGGCAAGGTGCATGCATTTTTCAAACAGGTAGCCATCTTCATGGGAAGCCATCGCATGGATTGCTACCTCCTTTGATAAGAGCATGATCTGCAACTGTTATGAGAGGGCTTTCCCCGCACAAATCTGATGCTAGTATTTGTTTCCTCAGCTGTACAATGCATTTCCCACTCTCATGAAGCACTTGCCAGGGCCCCATCAGACCGTTAAAAGAAACTGGGGAGAACTGAAATCCTTTGTGGGAGAAATCGTTGAAAAACATGAAGAAGACCGGAACCCATCTGAACCCAGAGACTTCATAGATGCGTACCTGAATCAAATGGCCACGGTAAGAAACAAAAAGTATAGTTTGTGGTAGTATTAATAGTAGTAATGGTTAATAATAGAAAGCAGAGACACAATCTAAAGGATCAGAACCTACCATATAGTTTCCATTGGCTCTGTATGAAAGCAGACAAACTGGTGAGGTGTTTGTTTGTGTGTTTGCACACACACACACACACACACACACACACACACACAAAAGTGAATAGGAAATAATGTATATCACCACTTGTCCAGTGCCTGAATTTCACCAGATTGACAGGGCTGTTGACTTGGCTGCGCTAGATGCAGGACACTCGTCAGGAATAGAGCTCATGAATCTCATTGCTATCACTTGATATATAGGACTGAAACTGGGGTGGTGTTTTTAATGACAGATGAACCCTTTGGTGCATTTTCTTTGTTTTAAGGAGGATGCTGCTTCCAGTTTTCATAAAGACAACCTCCTACATTCAACACTGGATCTCTTTTTTGCTGGAACAGATTCAACTTCCACAACCCTGCGCTGGGCCTTGCTGTACATGGCCATTTTCCCGGAAATTCAAGGTAGAACCAACATTTGCCTACTTGTCTTTCATTACTTTGGGTTGCACTCAACAAATCCTCTATTGAAATCAAAGTATCTGACTTATTGGCTATATAACTTCAATGTGCCTGCTGTAAATTTGACTAACATTGAGTACCAACCACCCTTCTCTTTATCGATCGATTCCCAATGCCATATTGCTATGTTACTTTGCAATATATGTGCTGTTGTTCTTTTAAGCTGTTGTGTATTAAAAATGTGAGATGAAAGCATCCAAAACGCTAAGTAAAGGGTTATTGCTCACAAGGGCTGTAGAACTCTGTGATGTCATATGTCTGAGGTTACTATTTTCTGTTGGTTCAGTTTTGGCAGTTATTAACAGTCTTAACAGCTAGGGCAGCAGTTATGTTCTGTGGTGTTGCTGTCTGTCTCAAAGCTAGTCAGTGTGTAGCACCCTTAGTCATTCTTAGATACAAATCTATGTAATATGTATTAGTTAACATAAGTAACACCTACCTGAATTGTATGTTTAATCTAACAAGGGCAAGTACACTGAGTAAAAGTTATTCAAACTTTTAAAAAGACTGTATTGTGTAGTTTTTATAGGAGGGAAAAGGCAAAGGGTCAAACGACTTGGGCTGTCTTCCACATAACTCTGTAAAGTTTAATTCCCACAAAAAATTATATATGCATATGCTATAAATGTTTTTATATATAAAAGCAGAAGCTCTGTGCAAGGACTTCACTTGTGCAACAGAGCATCTCGCCACTGTACTTCTCTCTCACGCACCTTCAGATTGGTCCAAGGAGGTTGGGAGAGGCCACAGAACAGTGCAGAAGGAGAAGGGGAAAGGGAACTTTCTATCTGGCAAACTGCAATTCTTCCGTTTAATGAGCAATCAGAAGAGCAAGAATTTCCCCCATATGTTTTTATTATATTGCAAATTACTTTGGGGTGCCCACCGGGAAGTGATCCTTAACTGAACTGGAATGATAAGAAAATAATTAATAAATGGTGCAGCCAAAACAATTCTGTTTTGGCAGAAGATGTACCATTCCAACTAAAGGTGGGGAAAAAGGAGTCTTGAATAAATGCTTGCATTCTGGTGGCAAAGGGCACCCAGAGGTGGAACGACGAGATGGGCCTCCTCTGCAGATATTATTTTATGTCTGTTCCTCTTCTATTTATAGCAGATGTTCTCTCTCTTTTTGCAGCAAGGGTCCAAGAGGAAATAGATTCTGTGATTGGCCAGTCTCGCCAGCCAGCGATGGATGACAGGGACAGCATGCCCTATACCAATGCGGTTGTTCATGAAGTTCAAAGAATAAGCAGCATTGTGCCTTTGAATGGGCCCCGGATGACAGCTAAGGACACGACACTGGCTGGGCTTCATGTGCCCAAAGTAAATGTTAAGAACATATTGCTCTTCTTGTCTGTCTTTGCTCTTCCATTAAACTGCACACACTTTAATCCAAAGTTTAAACTAGGGGTAGCCAACATTGTGCTGTCCAGATGTTGTTGGACTCCAACTGCCATCAGTTCCTGCCAGCATGGCTGATGGGCAGGGATGATGAGGCTGTATCCCCAAACATCTGGAGGGCACCATGTGGGAACCTCTGGACTAAATACAGAATTCTACCAGTCTCAGTTTGAATGCGTAGCTAGTCTGTCAAAAATTAGCCAGTATCTGGTGTTGCTAACCCTGAATTTTCGTAGTCCAGCAGATTTTGAATGTCTTTTAAAATCTATATTGGAACTGTGCTTTTGTGGGAAATCTTTAAATGAATTACTTAATAACGAGAAGTAAATATTGCATTCAGAACATATTCTTTTTCTGTCAGGGGGTAGAGGCTTAGTACTGCTATAAATTCAAATATATGTGAAAGCGCCTTGCCATTTCTAATCTACTACTCTGCTTTTTATTTGGCAGGGAACCGTATTGTTCGCCAACTTGACCTCGGTGCTCTTTGATGAGGATGAGTGGGAAACACCCAGTATGTTTAATCCTGGCCATTTCCTGGAGAATGGTCAGTTCCGGAGAAAGGAAGCATTCCTGCCATTCTCTGCAGGTAACAAAAGTTGAAGGGCTATATGATGGCAGCTTAGTTACTGAGAGCTTGGTATATTGCTACCTATATTGTGTATTGCAGTGGTCACCAACCTCCTTGAGCCAGTGGGCACATTTGGCATTTAAGAAAGTGCTGTGGGCACCAGTCACAAAATGGCTGCTCTTTGGGGTGTATGGTATAACACAAAATGGTGTTGACACTAGCGCAGTGTGGATTTTTGAGGGGGTGTTTCCTGATATCTTTCATGAGCAGCCCACAGGGAGTTAGGCTGTATTGTTAAAGTGTTTTCTTCACTGCACCATGAGAATAGGAGCCTGCTTCTCACTACACAGTTCAGAACGTGAGCAACTTCTGGGGGAATTATTAACTGAATCATATTTATGATGTTTTCTACAATCAAACGGTATATAAATTTTATGAAATAACTAAAACCTGTTTGCCTTCTTCACATTTTTGGAATGTGAGAGGGAAGCTGTAAGGCTAGGGATGGATGGATCTGTCAACTTTGGTTTCCTTCATTTTCCCAATCTTACATTCAGTTTCCCACATTTCTTTTTTTAAAAAAAATGATATTTATTACTTTTCAAACCGTTTCAACACAACACTACAAACAAGAAAAGAAAAAAAGAACAATACAAATACAATACAAAAACACTACATACAAAACAAAACAGAAACAAACAAATACAATTTAAAAACACCTCAAACATTTTCAATATCTTATCTTTCATTCGCTTATTTCCAGCGACCTCCTCAAACCTCCCTTTTTGTAATCCACTTCTATTAATTGTTTCAGCAATTCCTTTCCATCTTCCTCTGTTTTCTATCCTATAATTATCTTAACACATTCTTGCCTTATTTTTTCCTTTAATTTTCTATTAATCTATTTATACTTAATTCCTTATAACATTTCTACTAAAGCCATATAGCTTCATTCCAACATTCTTCTAATATTCATTAATTTTACAATATTTCTATAAATAGTCTTTAAACTTTTTCCAGTCTTCTTCCCCTGGCTCTTCTCCCTGGTCTCGGATCTTGCCAGTCATTTCCGCCAATTCCATATAGTCCATCAACTTCATCTGCCATTATCCAACACTTCAGTGCTTTCAAGAAGCAGCCATTCTCTCAGCCAGCAAAAAGCAGATGGTTCACAACAAAGTTTAGGGGTCTGGCAGGGCAAATCCACCTCCTTCTTTGGCATCCGTCAATATCTTAAATTTTACTCGAGGCTTCCTGCCCTGCCAAACAAATCTAGAGACGTCCCTCTGCCACCTCCTGAAACAATCCATCCCATCCAAAGCTTGCAATGTTTGAAACAAAAGCAACATCCCTGACGACACAGCAACCCTCATCCCCACCACAGCAACTCTGCCCAACAATAACGACTTCAGATTTGTCCATATTTCCAAATCCCCCTTCTCTTCAATCCAACGTCCTTCACAGTTATCCTTGAATAAATTCACATTTCTGGCGGTCATACTAACCCCCAAATACCTCTCTTTCTCAACCAATGTCAGTCCTGTCTCCTCCTGAAACTCTGTCAAGCTTTCCTTTTCCTCAGGTAGGGCTCTGATCCCCAAATTCATCTGTTTCTCTTTAAGTTCAGTCATAACAAATGTCAGCTTATGTTCATCAAGTTGTCCTTGTATGGATGGGACTCTCTCTCTCTCCAGTTGTATTGCTTTACATTCAGCAGCAAGGGTTTCCTCCTTGACTTCATCCGCAGTTTGCCGTATCAGAGTAGATTCCTGTATCAATTTCTGGATGGTTTCTGTATTGGTATTCACCTTTTGTCCCAGATTATTTAAACTTTTTACTATTAAGTCTATTTTAATATTTGCAGCATCCACTTTCACATTTATCACATCTGTTTTCTTGTGAAGCTGTTCCAGCGAATCGTTTATTTTCACTAATACGACCGCTAAGGCCTCTTCTGTTGACATTCTGTCTATTTTTTCCTTTCCATTTGCCATAACACTTAAGAGATTCAAGGTCAATCCCAGAGTCTCACAGTTTTTTTATCTTGCAGCTGGAAATTCCCCGAGCCCAGCTCCTGTAAAGCAACCAATTTCAAAAGCTTCCACTAGGGGAAAACAGTTTCTATTTGTATCAGTAAAATCCTCTTTTAAACACAGTTCCAATAATCCAAAGTTAGTTTCAGTTTTCAGTTACTTTTACTCCTTTTTTTTTTTAAGAACAGCCAGAGACAGTAGAAACAATGTATTCTCTTGTTTAGCTACCTGTCAATGAACGTTCTAATCGCTGTCAATGAACATTCCAAAAGACGTCAATCCTGCTAGCAGCCCGTTTCCAGGGTCAGAGTGGCGGTATTTTAACTCTCTTAACTCTCTCCTACAGGCATATTCAGTCCACCACTTCCCCCCCTCTTCTCCTGTCTCCAAAGGAGGGGGTTTAGTTCTTTGCCGATGGAGATTTAGTCTTTTACAAAAGGCTTTCCAAGACTTCAGCTTGCAGGCTCATTGCTTTAGTTTATTTACAAAAGGGGAGGCAGACTTCCTGTATTGAACCTCCCCGTTTCGATGCCAAATTAAACGTTTAAAAATCCAATTCTCCCACTTCAGCTCTACTCACGGGTAATTACTTTAGAGTCAAATTGTCCACAGGAAAAAGTCAGTGCTCTCCGGCAACAGCTATGCGGCTTCACTCCGTGGAAGAAGCAGACGATTCGAAGCACTGCGCCACTCACCCCACGTCACTCTGGATCCCCAAAACCGGGTTTCCCCGCGAGTAGGGGAGGCGCAAAAGGTGCCCGCCGAATCCCACGTTCACAGGCTTCTCCCGCCTGTGATTTTTTGCGGGTCTCTGCCTTCGCCGTGGCGGCCAGACCCAAATTCCCACGGGGCAAATTCCTCCCGATCAGAGGAATTCAGCCATTACCGGAGGCACCTCCCTGGAAGTCCCAGTTTCCCACATTTCAGCTGCCATCCGCAATTGAAAAGAAAACCCATTTTGGTGCATGTTTTTCTTATTGACACATTTTTAAATCTCACTGTGACTAATATACACAATTTTGTAAACAAGTCCCCTAATATAATGGATTTTTGTATGTTCTTTTCTCTGATATAGGCATTTTTTTTTACACTTTCCCTTAATATGCATTTTTGTACACATTGGTTGGTTGGAGAACAACACTGTAAATTTCAAAGAATGGCTGTATTTTGTGTGTGTTCATGTATTGGTTTGAGAAGTATGATTTACAGAGATTGCTATGAAGATGTAAACCAGGGGTAGGCAACCTAAGGCCCGTGGGCCAGATGTGGCCCAATCGCCTTCTCCATCCGGCCTATGGACGGTCCGGGAATCAGTGTGTTTTTACATGAGTAGAATGTGTGCTTTTATTTAAAATGCATCTCTGGGTTATTTGTGGGGCATAGGAATTTGTTCATTCCCCCCCCCCAAAAAATATAGTCCAGCCCACTACATGGTCTGAGGGACAATGGACCAGCCCATGGCCGAAAAAGGTTGCTGAACCCTGATGTAAACTCTCTACTAACATAGTCTCCCTCTCTCTCTCTCTCTCTCCTCCCCTTTTAGGAAAGCGAGTTTGTCTTGGAGAACAATTGGCCAGGACTGAGCTTTTTCTTTTCTTCACTGCCCTACTTCAGAAGTTCACTTTCCAGCCTCCAAAAGGCGTGACATTAAGCCTTGACCATCGGTCAGGTCTTACGTTATCCCCCCAGCCATACCAGATATGCGCAATCTCTCGCTGAGGGGACTCATTTTATGGCACTGCTCATTAAAAGAAGATGGTGAAGAATTTGGCCAGCACTGCCTCCTTAGTTTCTGTCCTTAGGGGGACAGCTCAATAGTCATAGCTCAATAGTAATGCATGTCCATTGTATTTAGAAGGCCTCAAGTTCAATCTGCATGACTGGTGTGTGGTTCTTCTCATAAATGATCTCAAGTATGTGACTTTTAAAATTGTCCCTGTGGCACAGCTAGAGCAATGTCTTATAAGTATCGCAATAAAAGAGCTCAGTTGGAACTCCAAGTTGTAGACTTTGATGCTCAAGCTTGCACAAGACGGTTACCCCCCACTTCTCCAGGGGCACCCCCCCAAAAAAAAATGGCTTAAGTGCGAGTATACCGGGGTGCAGGGAGACAGCAGGTGGCCTGTCTGCCTGGCAAGCTGAAATGCTTGGCCTGTTGGCGTTATTGCACATTATTGAATTCCTCCCCTAATGTGGAAGTAGCCCTAGCAGAAGACACTACAAAAGGTCAGTGACTTATTGATAAAACAAGAGACCTTCCAAGAACCTTCCAAGGATGACTGAAAGCCCTCTTGTCCTAAAAGAAGTATCTGCTTATCTCACAGCTGAGCAGACAAGTTGTGTCCATATTGTGTCAGGGCAGTGGCAGACCTTGGTGCCCTGCATGATGCCAATGTTCAGCACCCCCTGCCTCTCACGCTTCATTCTAAATCATAGTTTCAACGTCCCCTGCAGTGCCCTTGAGGCTGAATGCCCAGTGCAACCAAACAGTTCATGCTGTCCTAAATCTGTATCTGCATCTCCTGGTTTCTGTTGTCCCTTGACACAGGATATCTGTGGTCCCTTTGTTTCCTCTAGCCACACCACTCCCTCTTGGCCTCATCCCTTTGAACTAATTGTTTATATCAATTATGGCAATCTCCTATTATTCAAAAAACCTCACAAACCTCTGTATTTCAGTAGTTACATTTATATTTTGTCAAGAGGCAACTTAATCTGCTATCTGTCCTGTACACACTTGGAGCCATAGAACCGTAGAGTTGCAAAAGACCCCCAGGGGCATATAGTTCAACCCCCTGAAATGCAGGAATCTCAACTAAAGCATCAATGACTGATGGCCAGCCAACCTCTATCTGCGAGGAAGGAGAGCTCACAACCTCCCAAGGAAGTCCATTGCACTGATGAACAGCTCTTATTGCCAGAAAGTTCTTTCTGAAGTTTTGTAAGAATCTCCTTTCTTGTAATTTGATACCCACCAGAGCAGGAGAGAAAAAACACTTATTCCATCATTCATGTGACAGCCCTTGAGATATTTGAAGATGGCTATCTTATCTCCTCTTGGTCTCCTCTTTTCGAGGCTAAACATACCCAACTGCTGTTGACCTCATTGGAGCTTTCAGAATTGTCATCTCCCACTCAGTGCTATGTAAATATAGACCTGATGGCTATATAAATTCTAACAAGAAAAATAAATAATGATAAAAAACCCGGAATGTAACCAAATACAACAGCAGCTGCACATAGCTAAAACCCATAATGCCCTATGCGCCTTAGGTCCAAGCTATCTGAAAAACTGTATTCTATTGTAAGAGCCTGCCCAGGCTTTGTGGTCTTCAGGGAAGGCCCCTTTCTTGGTCCTGCCACCGTCATAGGCACAGTTGGTGGGGACACAGAAGAGGGCCTTCTTGGTAGCTGCTCCCAGAGTTTGGAACTCCCTTCCTGAAGAAGCTAAGCTGGCTCCCTCCTTGTGGTCCTTCCACTGCAGGTGAAGATCTTCCTGTTCCAACAGGCTTCTGGGATCTGACTACTTTTAATGAAAGGGCTGGTACCCTGCTGTTTCTTACTGTAACTTTTAGTAGATTTTATACAGATTTTACATATCATTTTAATTCTATTAATGTTTAATTGATTTTAATGTCAATTTTCCTATGTTTTTAGTGATTCTTGTTTTTATTGGTTAACTTCCTTGAGTCCCATCGGGAGAAAAGGTGGGGTACAAATATAACAACAACAACAACAACAACAACATACCTCCTGCATTAAGATTGAGACTGCAACCCTATATACCATATTTTTCTGTGTATAAACCACACACCCCCGTATATTAGACTCCTAATTAAGAAAATGGGGGGAGACTCCTAATTAAGAAAATGGGGGGAGATTGCCCAGAGTTGTTGAGCTTTTTTTTGGGGGGGGGATTGCAAAAAATCGCTCACCCAACTGACCTACGCTGACTCACGCATGCATCACTGAAGCCGCCTATCGTCTGCCCCCTCAATGCCAGCTGCCACCAATCGGCCAACCACTTACCACAGAGACAGCCAATCAACACCAGCCCTTGCCACAGCCACCAATCACCCACCCAATCACCACTGACAATCTCCTGCTTGCGGCAGGTCCCCCCTATGCACTATTCGTGTATAAGCAACCCTCATTTTTTTAGATGATTCTATAATTAAAAAACCCTCATCTTATACAAGGAAAACTACAGTATGTTGCCCATATGCAAGCTTCATTGAACACATTGGAATTTACTTCTGAGTAAACAGGCACAGAAGTGGAAAGTTTCACTTGAATGTCTTGATGGGATTGGGGGATGAAAGACAGCAAACAGAAAGGTAAGCAAGACTGAAGGGACATCTTTTTCTCTCCCCTGCCCCCAACAATTTAGTAGAGCTTAAATTCTTCAACTCTAGTTTGATTACTGCAATCCCATACCCAATTTGATTTATTGGGGAGTATGTCCATTGAACATGAAAGGCTTAACCTCTGTAAATTAACTGTGCACTGAATTCTAAATAAATTCCTGGACCTTAGCCTATCCTATCCTCCAGCACAATATTTGCACAAAATAGCTTCCAGCAGTGCTTTTTCCCCTGTAAAAAAATGTTTAGGGGTCCTCTCATTTTGACTCAAGAAAATCACCATTTTATAGTTCAAATCAGGGAAAATAAATATAGTAAATGGAGAAAAGTAGAAAGATTCACAAAGAGTTTAGGAGTTTGCGTACCCTTGCACCCTCCCCCCCCCCCCCAGGAAAAAAGCACTGGCTTCTAGGGAGGAGTACCTGTCTCAGACTCATCCTAGCTGCTATGCAAAATGAACAGCAAGACAAAGGCAGGATAGAAAACTTGAATCAGCATCTGTTTAGGACCCTGGGGTGTTCGCATCAGCTGTTGCTAGCTGGTGTCCAAACATTGCAGTTTTGCTCATTGGCTGAAAGCAGGGAGGGCTTTGCTTGTTTTTTCTCTCTTCTCTCAGGAGAAGGGAACCCAGCAGCTTGCTTTTTCTTTCTTAAAAGGAAGCTCCGAGTTGGCGGTCCTGTCTCCAAGACACTGTGGGCTCTCTTCAGAAGAGCCTGCATCCCATGTCTTTACTCTAACCTGTCTTCTCCAGGAGGAGGGCAGCTGGTAGGTGCTATTGCTGTAGGCTTGGGTCCAAAGTGCTGGGCTCCTGGGAGCCTGACCTGGTTGTCCTCTGGTATTGTCCTTGGCTGTGGTGAAGAAAAGGCATTGGTTTGCTTGTAGGAATGTGGGTGATCCTAACTCAAGATGAGAGTCTAATGGAATGTCCTACCTGTGGTTCTATAATTAGAATGTTTTGCAAGAAACATTTTGTTGTGAAATGAACTGGCAAAGAGTTTCATATGTTAACTGCATCAACACATTGGAATTAACCATTCGTGCACTTTGTTCTCTGTTGTTGGCCCCAATCCCAACACAAAGTTTAAATGTGCTTATAAATATCATAAAATCAAAATTTCACATACAATTCTTGAACGTGGCCAAGGAATTTCCCATATGTTTTATTCTTTTCCGAAAGCATTGTTGTTATTAACATAGTGGGTAACAGTGTGAAAACCGAATCAGCCGTTAGAAAATAGAGGCGTCAATTTGGTGGTTGGTGCGCAATTACAAGTTAAAACCACAAGAGGGTATCCTTTTGACAGTTTACCGCAACATCTTATATTAGAGCGCAGCAACTAGTAGCAACCAACTGATCATTTGTAGCTACCTTTCATTCCTAATCATGAATAGTGAATTTGCCAGAGTCAGGCTCTAGTCCACTGTTTTAAATAGAACAAAAATAATGAAACATGAATCATTTACTGGAACTACTGGCTTGTCATTCAGGAAGAATGAAAGTTTTCAGGGAAATTTAGGTAGAATTACAATGGTACCTCGGGTTAAGTACTTAATTCGTTCCGGAGGTCTGTACTTAACCGGAAACGGTTCTTAACCTGAAGCACCACTTTAGCTAATGGGGCCTCCTGCTGCCGCCGCCGCACCACCGGAGCACGATTTCTGTTCTTATTCTGAAGCAAAGTTCTTAACCTGAAGCACTATTTCTGGGTTAGCGGAGTCTGTAACCTGAAGCATATGTAACCCGAGGTACCACTGTAGTTTGTAACTGTAAATATGAAATATCTTAACGAGTAAGGCCGAGGATTTGGAAAGGTTTTTTCTTTCTTGGCCTGCCATTGTCATTTTAGTGCAGAGTTCTCCAGCCTTGGGTCTCCAGTTTCTGCAGGACTACAACTCCCATGGTCCACAACCAGCTTGGTCAGTGACCAAGGATGATTTGAGCAGGGATCTAAAAATATTTGAGGCTGAATTAGCAGATATTGCTCATTTTCACAGGGGCAGCAGCAGAAATGGATCCAACTCAGAAGAAATGTGTCTCCTTTCCATCAGTTCTGTTGTGGGCAGCTTTAAAAAGCCCAATTGGGGGAAAAAAAATGCAGATATTTATTGGGGACATTGTGCCTGAAATTCTTAGAGAGTCTTGAACCAGATAAATGTTTGGCCTGAACTAATCTCATGTCTAGTGTTCTTTAAAAAATAATACTTTTGAGACTTCATTATGGAATTAAAAAAATGACCCAGCAAGAGGTATGAAATATAATAAAGAAAAAAAAAGTAACTGTAAAAAAGCAGGGTTCCTGCCCATTACCTCATAAAATGAAGTCCATTCTCAGGAGACTACACATTTAATTAGATGTTACAACAAAATCCTACTTGATATAGAAACTACAAAAACAAATGTCATGAATACAAATTAATGCCATATTTCATTGGGACTTGCTATCCTTGAGATTGGCCTATTATATAAGTAAGGAATGCCTGCCAATGGAGGCAAAATTCACAGGTCTATTTGCACCCTGACATACCCTTGATTTAAGTCAGTTTCTCAGGCATGAGTATAAACATTGTATTATGCGGCCAAATATTTAAAGAAAAACCTGAGGATTCCTTCCAGCCCTGTGAGACTGTCAAATAAGCAGCTACTAATAGAAAAACTATATATTGTTTACATATCAAGTCTGTACTCGCATAGGACTTAGTAAGGTCTCATAGAAACATCCTCCAGAGAAGCAGTTGAGAGAGAGAGAGAGAGAGAGAGAGAGAGAGAGAGAGAGTTTTGATTTGCACTTGAAGAGAATTCTTATAAATGTTGGTATGGAAACTTTTCAAATAAATGAAAACACAAATGATAGATTCTATATAAGAAAACTAATCTCTCCCCCCCCCCTTCACTGTAGGTAGAATTACTCAACCAATGAGTAATCTTGGTTCTTCCTCTTTATGTGCGTGATTTAAAACAATATGTGCAAACTTTGCCCTTGTTTCTCACATGAACATTGACCGAGAGAGCAGGTGTGGTTGCTCTAGCTGGATCAGAATCAAGTTTCCCTCGACACAGAGCAGTCTGTTCCGACATAGGAAGGGTCTGAAAATGCTGCTCCAGTTTCTCCTTGTCCTCTGGGAGGCCTTGTCCCTGCAGGTCGTTCTGGTGTTTCTGGCTACATTTCTACTTCTTTCTGGTTACAAGAGTCGCCCAAAGGATTTCCCCCCAGGGCCCATCGCTCTTCCCTTGCTGGGCAATGCACTCAGTTTGGATTTGAAGAAGACTCATCTTTCAGTACAAAAGGTAAGGATGAAGGAAATGGTCAGTTTGATGAAGACTCAGCTGGCATGAGATAAATACAAAATTGCAGCAGAAGGGAGCAGGCTGAGATGCCCCCTGGTCTGGAAACCTGATTCCGAGAGTCAGTATCCAGATGTCTTGGAGAAGACCACAAATGGGGCATGAAGACAAATGCATTTTCTGTTTGTTAAAAGCATCTGGTATCCAGAGGTATATTTTCTAAAGCTTAAGTAAGTCAGTTGATGTATGCTTCTATTTTGTTAGCAGGCTCCTTTCACTCCCCCTGCCTTTTTCCTCCCTGGCCAAGAAGGAAGTCCAGAGCTATGAGCCTGATCTCTGCTTGGGCAGCATAGCAATCAGCTAGATCTCTCTCGGCTCCTCAATGCAGCGGAAAGTTTGCTTTTCTCAAATTTTGCCTTAGGCACAAATATACAGCACAATCTGCTGCAGCTTTGCAGCTGCATTGTGTATTTGCAGGGGGCTGTATGTGTGTGAGGGGATATCCCCTGCCCTTGCCACAAACTCATTTTCAAATTTCAGGTCAAAATTAAGAAAAATAATAATTTATTTTTGTTTTTAAAAAGAAGATAGAATCAGAGATAAGAAACCTGTACTTTAATAAAAATAAATAAATGTTAAGAAGCTAGCTTTCCAGTGCTATGGTTCTTAGAACAGAATGCCAGAGGTGTGCTTAGTTCGTAGCTGTCAACTTTCCCCTTTTTTAAAGGGAAATTCCCTTATTCCAAATAGGATTTCTCACAAGAAAAGGGAAAAGTTTACAGCTGTGGCTTAGTTTCCATTAGAAACTGGGCCTTTAATGTTGCAGCTCCAGCTGCCTCGGATCAGCTCTGTGATCTGGGGTGAGAGTTGGGTTGGCAAACTGTTTTGGTTTGGCTCCATATTTTGCTATAAATAGCAGGATCATAAAATATTGCAGTTAAAGCAAGGCAGCTGCTTTTCTAGCTTTTTTTTTTTTTTACATAATCTGTAATTGAAATATATTTGTATCTTGTATACACACACGTTACATATTTGTTTCTTGATTTTTCACATGGGAGCTCAAGGTTGTACACATTATCCTTCTGTTCTGTCTTTTATCTTTGCAACAACTCTGTATGGTAGGCTAAAGGTAAAGGTACCCCTGCTGTTAGGTCCAGTTGCGGACGACTCTGGGGTTGCGGCACTCATCTCGCTTTATTGGCCGAGGGAGCCGGCATACAGCTTCCGGATCATATGGCCAGCATGACTAAGCTGCTTCTGGGGAACCAGAGCAGCACACAGAAATGCCGTTTACCTTCCCGCCGGAGCGGTAACTATTTATCTACTTGCACTTTGACATGCTTTCGAATTGCTAGGTTGGCAGGAGCAGGGACTGAACAATGGGAGCTCACCCCATCACGGGGATTCGAACCGCCGACCTTCCGATCAGCAAGCCCTAGGCTCAGTGGTTTAGACCACAGTGCCACCTGCGTCCCTGTAAGGTAGGCTAGACTACCATAAATGGCCCATCTTGTTAATAGATTTCAGGAGGGGACCCATTCAGACACAGCATCCCAGCCCAGGAAATCCTGTAGGCATTCCTGCTATTTCTGATGAATTTGATGGCGGTCAAAGTTTCCTCCTTCCATACCGGCATTCAATAAGCATCAAGCAGACAGATTAATACAGTCATACCTTGGTTGTCGAACACCTTGTGACTCGAACGTTTTGGCTCCTGAACGCCGCAAACCTGGAAGTGAGTGATCTGGTTTGTGAATGTTCTTTGGAACCTGAACATCCGATGCAGCTTCCGCAGCTTCTGACTGAGTGCAGGAAACTCCTGCAGCCAATCAGAAGACACACCTTGGTTTCTGAATGTTTTTGGAAGTTGAACGGACTTCCGGAAAGGATTCTGTTCAAGAACCAAGGTACGGCTGTATAAAGGATTACATACTCTTTCTAACTTTCTCTCCCCCCCCCCTTCATTCAGCTTTCAGAAAAATATGGCAATGTCATCAGCCTTCAGTTTGGAAATCTGTGGCTTGTAGTTGTGAATGGATTGCACCTGGTGAAGGAGGTTCTTGTCCATCAGGGTGAAAACTTTGTCGATCGTCCAAGCGTTCCTCTTAATGATGAAGTCTTTAAGAAGCTTGGTGAGTTTTTTACAATATGGTCAACTGTTTAAACTTATAGAACTTTTAAAAGTCTGCCCTAATTGTACAAGCCCTTAGAATGTTTAATAACATTATATTTTCACGACTGAGGATTAGATTTTTTTTATTTGCATTTCCTGTTTCATTTCACCAAATGAAAGCAGTAGCATTAATGTGCGTCAGAGAAGCATACCCTCTCAACTGTTCAGATTGACTGAGCTTACCATGCATTGGGTAGCAAGTCCAGATTTTTGCAGTTTTCTCTGCCATAATGCTTTTTTGAATATTGTATATTGTTTTTAATTACATTTGCATTTTCATGCCTTTTTGTCTCTTTTTTTTTTTAAGTGGATAGCTTCATTTCAGTTCATTTGTTCTTTAAAGAAGTGAGAATAGTGTTGCGTTGCAAAGCAATCTAATAAAGAATAATATCCTTGAAATTTGTATTGGGAGCCTTGGAAATGGATCCACATAATCTTCCCTCCATCCTGCTAGTCTACATTCTCCCTAAGTTTGTGGCATGCTGGTGGCCTGAAAGGAGCTGGAAACCAGTTCCTTTACCAAGTTACTTCCTTAGCAGAATGGCTGATCAGGCGATTTGTGCTCACAGTTCAGTGAATTTCAGATGACCATGGTACATGCCTGCTTATTTAGCCTAACTGCTGTGAATTTGTGACAAAGGCATCAGAATGTCAGATTCAGCAGTTCACCCTCATACCTGCTCTGGGGTTGTACTTAGGCCCTCATCAGGCATCATGCCACTCCTGAGATAAAGGAGAAAGTGCATTTGGGGAATATGCACACTATCTCCATCTCCTGTGTTCCACCAGCCTGCCCAAACCCACTGGCCCTCCATGGAGAACAAACTTCTGTGGCAGAAAGTCAGTTGTAGTCATGTACATTCCTTCTGCATTTTAGAGCACTGCATGATCAGGCAGCCTACGACAATCTCCATTTGCCCTCCAGCTCAGTTAGTCTTCAGTTACACTTGAAGGGCTTAGTTCCTCCAAAAGCAGGTCTCAGCAAGTCCTGTGGTCACTTTCTGCCACTACTCCCTCCCTCCCAGACATTGCCTTTTTGACAATGCCAGGAACTCTCCAACCACAAAGTCTGACCTTCTGACTTCCATGAAAAGCATCAACACTACCAGGAAACCTCCAACCACAAGATCTGTTCAGTTCAACATTTCCTAAGAAGAGCAGGTATCAGCTAAGGGGGTCGTGCTGCTTGCAAGCTGAGTCTGACTGAGAGAGAAGCAATCATGGCTGCACTGACCCCTACAACTGCACTTACTACTTGCATAAGTGGTCATGAGTGGGGTCACTGACATGGACTGGGGTATGGAAAGAGTGCTGGAACACCTAATGCCTCATTAAAGCTGCTGAGTTAAGCCTTCCCGGTGACTCTGACTATCTGTATAAAGGATGGAGAGGGCAGTGGGAATGGAAGCAGTGTCCTTTGAGGTGTCCAGGTCCATGGATGCTCCATGTATTCAAATAGCAGAAGAGCCCTACAGATGAAATATTTTGGGGGTTTTTACATGTTCTCATTCTCCCCCAATTTTTTTTTGAAATGCTGCGCTTTTGCTCTATCAGTGTTCCCAAAACCTTTCACACAGTGAAATAAAGTTAGTATTAAAATACTATACAAACAGTAAAGCAAATGAAAAGCAACAGTGAAACAGCTGCAGCAGATGCAGCAGCAAAGTCAACTTTGCAGTCTCTTCAGTATGATTTAAGCAGACAAGCCAGATAGCTTAGTGGAGAGAGGAGTCCTCTTTTATAATTAGAAGGTCTGTTAACTCTCCTAGCTTACTATTTGCAGTTGCTCATTTTAAAAGTCCTTATTTGCTATATGATGATAATTCTTCCTATTTAGGATTGATCTTCTCTAATGGCCCTGGTTGGAAACAACAAAGACGATTTGCCTTATCAACTCTCAGAAACTTTGGTTTGGGCAAAAGGTCTTTAGAAGAACGAATACAGGAGGAGAGCCGATACCTAACAGATGCAATTGAAGCTGAGAATGGTGAGCACCAGAGCCCATAAACCATTGGCACCATCTGTGATATTAAAGCTGTCTGAATTCGGGTCAAGACACTGCTTTGCAGTGGTTTTGTTCCTACCTGTATGGTCATTTCCAGAGGATGGTTCTTAGGGAGTGTAGGTCAGCCCCATGTGGGGTTCCCCAGCGTTCAGTTTTATCCCCCATGATGATTAACATCTACATGAAATTACTGAGTGGGGTCATCCTGAGCTTTGGAGTACATTGTCAGTGATATGCTGAAGGCACACAGCTCTGCTTCTCCTTTACATCTGCAGGTGTGGCAGTGGATGTGCTGTTTTGTTCTATTGTGCATCTCTTTTCTGCCTCCGATTAAGATGGTCCAGGCCATCCTAGTTAGCCACTTCTACAGAAATGCCCTTTCCTAACCTCCTGCCTTAGCCAGATCTTGACTGATGATCTCACAGATGAGTATGCTAGAAAGTTGTATAAAACTCCAACACTGCACCTTTATCTTTCAGATACCTTCCACCTGTAGAATATTAGCTATGTCCTCCTGTCGCGGAATAATCCCAGCCTATAAAGAAATATAAAGAAGGCAAATGCTCACTTGAAAGCACAATGTGCCTAATGTCTTATACATAACTCTATCCCACAGAGTCCTTTAATTACTGGGTGTAACGTTCATACTAAATGGTTTCTTCTGTTCAAAGATCCAACCCTATCCACACCCACCTACATTCCCCACATTTTGTTCTTGTTATATGGAAGCCATAAGCACTCTTATTTCTCTTCTACCATCTTTTCCTCCCTCCAGGGCAGCCATTTAACCCTCACTTTCAGATTAATAATGCTGTTTCAAATATCATTTGTTCTATCACTTTTGGGAACCGCTTTGAATACCATGACAGTCGTTTCCAGAAGTTATTGAAATTGCTTGATGAGGCAACGTACCTTCAAGGAAGTCGGGGTCAGGTAGGTCTTCTGTCAGAAACGCTCTGGCCCAGACAGACTCCCACATGCTGGTTGAATGTTACTTCACGTGCTGTGGGTTTTTCATGTTATGATTTCTTTCTTCCACATTCTAGTCACCCAAGCATCTCTTCCTATTCATATCCCTTTGCCATCTTGCTTTGATTTAGCATTGTCTGTTGGTTGGGATGCCTTCAGTATTATAAAGCAGTCATAAAAAAAAGAACCATGTGCTAAAACACAGTTTAGGCTATTGAATTGGTAATCACATGTGTAACTGAATAAAAATCTCTGCATATGAAAAAGTAGCACACACCATGAGAAGGCTAAAACCTTCTCTGCTAGCTTTCCACAGGGAAGGAATTGGTTTTTTATTACTTGTAGGGGACATTCAAGCGTTGTTCCTGAATATTTACAGAAATAATACTAGATGGTGCACAAAACTAATGTTTATTAATCATTTATTGTTGTTGTTATTTAATATACATACATATATTCCATACATATATGTGATGTTAGTGTTTGTTTCCTCAGCTGTACGATCTCTTCCCCACTCTCATGAAGCACCTGCCAGGATCCCATCAGACTATTTTAAAAAACTGGGAGCAACTGAGATCCTTTGTGAAAGAAATCATTGAAGAACACAAAAAAGACTGGAACCCATCTGAACCCAGAGACTTCATAGATGCCTACCTAAATGAAATGGCCAAGGTAAGAGACGTAAAGGACAACAAGTATATAGTTGTTGTTCTTTTTAAAAAGAATAATGATACTAGAAGAAGGCAGAGGTACAATCTAAAAGGCCAGACCTAGCTAAGTGGTTTGTCTAAGCAGCCTTTGGTGCTGGCCATATTGTTTTTGCTGACTCTGTATTTAATTTGACAAACAGGTGAAGTGTATGTGCACTTGCGTGCACAAGTGCATATATAAATATGATTTCATGCCTTTCATGGGGTGGCATTTCCCCATTTGCCCACTAAATTTCACCACTTGTTTGTGATTTGTTAGAGCAGACAGTCAACATCACCCAAAGCATTGTTGTAGAGGCATATCATGAGATGCCATTTCCTCAGTTGTCTGTCTGAATATACTCTGTAGTCCAGACCAAACTTTGACAAGACCAAACCCATACTTTATCCCAACTTCAGTAATGTACAGGATTGTTGATGTGACCCTGCTGGGTTCTGGATACTCTTCAGGAATAGAGCTGAGGAATTCCATGGTGATCACTTGACAGATGGGACTGGAACTGGGATGATGGTGTTCGATGGCCTCTTAACACGCTGGTGCATTTTCTTTGCTTCAAGGGGGATGCTGCTCCCAGTTTCCATGAAGAAAACCTCCTACATTCTACACAGGATCTGTTTTTTGCTGGAACGGAAACAACTTCTACAACCCTGCGCTGGGCTTTGCTGTACATGGCCATATATCCAGAAATTCAAGGTAAAATTGTAATTGGCTTCTTTCCTTTTCATTATTTTGGGTTGGATTCAGTTAAGTCCTACCCACAGTTAACCCAATGAATTTAACAAACTCAGACATGCCTATACCCAATGCTTTTTTCTGGGGACACGCAGGGGTACGCATACCCCTAAAAATTTTGTGAATCTAATGGGAGAAGAAACATTTTTTTAAAAAAATTAAGTTCCTCCCCCACGATAGTGAATCGTCAGTTCCATTGAATACCATGGTGAATCATCAGTTCCGTTGCTACCACAGATGGCAGCCTATAAAATGGTGATTTTCTTGAGACAAAATGAGAGTACCCCTCAATATTTTTTAAGAAAAAAGCACTGTCTATACCCATCAGATGTGTAAAAAAAGATAGATAAGTGAAGGGAAGAATGTGGAATTCTGGCAGGTTACATGCTAAATAAAGCATAAACAGAAATTGCTGGAATACATATAGGGAAAAAACTAACGAAGAAAATAAGAGACATTTATGATTATCAATGGAGAAACAGAGCAGTACAGTAACAGAGAAACTACAAGATTTATATAAAAGAAATAATGTATTTATATTTAAAGAAAGTCAATCACTTGTTACAGAGTGGCAGGAATTATATTTGTCCTTTTGGGGAGAATAACAGTTATTAAAATGATAAAAATATTGAAAAGCCAGTTTTTATTTCAACATTTACCAATTCATTTAACCACACATGGCTGAAAGCTGAAATTATGTATGATGAGAAAACAAGAAAAAGAGTTCAAGTTCCAGTTTTAAAATTATTGTATGTCACAAACTGCAAAAAACAGTTGTAGAACCATGTTTGAATCATCGTACAATATGTATATATTTATATGTCTGATATGTGGAAGATTCCACTACATGAAGCACTTGGAAAATAAAAATTAGGTCTGGGTGAAAAAATGAGTCCCAAGGCAATGCTGAAACTCTAGCAGTGCAGCTGCTGTCTGCAACCCAAATAAAGGTGATTCCACAAATGGGCCACAATTGCACAGAAGCAACTTCCCTTCCCACCACACAGTGGGCACCCAGTGATGGAACAACATGACAAGTCTCCCCTGCAATTCTGCTGCTCTTGTATTAACGACAAATCTTCTTTTCTTTGTAGCAAAAGTCCAAGCAGAAATAGATTCTGTGATTGGCCAGTCTCGCCAGCCAGCGATGGATGACAGGGACAGCATGCCCTATACCAATGCAGTTATTCATGAAGTTCAAAGAATAAGCAACATTATACCTTTGAATGTGCCCCGGATGACAACTAAGGACACTATAGTGGCTGGGTTTCGTGTGCCCAAGGTAAATGTTAAGAAGATACAGCTTTCTTATCTGCCTTTACTCTTCCATTAAGATGTGAAAACTTGAAGTCCAAGTTCTAAATGAGGGGTAGCTGAAATTGTGCTGTCCAGATGTTGTTGGACTCCCAACTGTCATCAGTTCCAACCAGCTAATGGGCAGAAATGATGAGAGTTGTGTCCCAGGTTGCATCATCCCCATGTCTACCTGCAGAGTTGCACCATACCATTAGGCTGGCATTGGTTGGAGAGAAACTGGTTTGTCAGTTGTAAATCTGGACCCTTCCCACTATGGTGTTCTGCTTTGCCCATCATTTCACTCCTCTACTGCTTATGGAATTCTAGGCTTGTTTGGCATAACAGCGATGCTAGCCCTGGGGCAGATGCTAGAGTATTCTTGGGATACACCATGATCTGGAAAGGATAGAGGGATCTGAACTAGATAAGCTTTTGTTTTCTTCAAATTCCTCTGTAAAACTGGACCCAAACCACAGTCTCTGTTTGAATAGATAGCTAGTCAGTCTGAAATTTGCTAAAATCTGGTGTTTCTAACCATAAATTTTAGTAGTCCAGCAGACATTGAATATATTTTTAGATCTATATTGGAACCTGTGTTTTTGTGGAATGTAGTTGGATGAATTACTTAATAATGAAAAGCTAATCTCTCATTCAGAGCATATCTTTTCTGCACCAGAGAACAGAGTTTGACTCCTGTGATTACAAAAATATAACACAAAGAGTTCATGGACATTTTTAATCTAGCTTCTTCTTTGACAGGGAACCATAATGCTTGCCAACTTGACCTCTTTGCACTTTGACAAGGATGAATGGGAAACACCCAATGTGTTTAATCCTGGCCATTTCCTGGAGAACGGGCAGTTCAAGAAAAAGGAAGCATTTTTGCCATTCTCTGCAGGTAAAAAAAATGATGGACTCGTCATCAAAATTTCAAGAGTTACTAAATGGTGGAGGCCTAGTAGCTGAGAGCCTGGTGTAGTACTAACTATATTGTATATTGCAGAAGTTACCAAACTTTTTGGGCCAGTGGCCACATTTGACATATAAGAAAGTGATGTAGGCACCAGTCACAAAATGGCTCTCTTTGTGAGTGTGGTACAACACAAATGTTGTTGACATAGTCCCCTCCTCCAATTAGGCAGTGTGGGTTTTTGAGGGGATGTTCACAGGTGTCATAGGTGGCACTGACAGCCCACAGGGACTAGACTGGCCATCCCTCATGTATTGTTAGTTTGCTATACCCTTAGCTTAGTTAGATGCAAATTAGGTAGTGTGAATGAGGTAGATTCCAATTAAAATATTTCTCTCCAACACTTCATATGATAGAAATTTATGTACCTCAAATGTATGTATTCCAGATTCTGGAAAGCTGTGATCATATTTGTTCAGTTTTCCCATTTACTTGAGTAGGAAATGGATAGGACCGGCGTCTTCATTTATTTTGCAACAACAGAATCCCTTTTACAGGTACAGTAGTACCTTGGTTGTCGAAAGGCTTGGCTCCCGATCAAATTGGCTCCCGAACACCCCAAACTCGGAAGTAAGCGTTCTGGTTTGTGAACTTTTTTTGGAAACTGAACATTCGATGCAGCTTCAGCTGCTTCCCGCAGCCAATCAGAAGCCATGCCTTGATTTTCGAATGGTTCCAGGAGTCGAAGAGACCCCTGGAACGGATTAAGTTCAACAACCAAGGTACCACTGTATTTGGTTCCTAGTCTGCCAGGGTTATTTTAAACAAGCCACTGCCACTACTGCTTTAGCTACAACTAGTTACAAAAGGAGAAGTTACTGCAGCAAAAGCTCTACACTAAAGCATTCTTTGTATCCTTGTCTTCTAGGAAAGCGAGTTTGTCTTGGAGAGCAGTTGGCGAGGACCGAGCTCTTCATTTTCTTCACTGCCCTAATTCAGAAGTTCACTTTCCAGGCTCCAAAGAATGAGACATTAAGCCGTGAATTTAGGATGGGTCTGACATTGTCTCCCCTGCCGTACTGCATATGTGCATTCTCTCGCTAAGGGGACTTACTTTATGTCATTGCCGTTTCTTTAAAAAATAGGATCAGTTTATAGTGCAGGAACAGATCTATGCCACTTGGAAGCCCTCAAGAAGTGGCAAAGTGACTCCCCCAGGTAGCCTCAGGTACCCCAACCCCGCAGTCGGATCAGTCCACGCACAAGCTTCTCAGACACTGCCCAATACTACCTGATTTATAGATAGCTAACTTGTTAGCCTGTGTGGCTTGCTCGACTGGCTATGTGCAGATTATTCATTAGCCACCTCTCCCAATGCCTCATGTTCTCCAAACAATGTCTAACATCAAAGAAGGTGAAGGTACCCAGCACTGTCACATCCTTTGACAGATTAGGACACTAAAGGTTGTTCTCAGCCATCAAAGAGCTGAACAAGAGATAGAGGGGGGGAAGCAAACAGAGGCAGGAAGGATAACCATGTCAGATCACTATCTCCTAGAAATACAAATATCTTCCAGATAAATTACCCATACATCCACCCCCAAACGATTTGCACAAAATAGCTTCTAGGGAGCCCTATGCAGCCTAGGACCCACGTAGCTACGGGACCGCCTCTCCTGGTATGCCCCGCGGAGGACCTTAAGGTCCACAAATGACAATATTTTGGAGGTCCCAAGTCACAAAGTGGTTAGGTTGATCTCAACTAGGGCCACAGCCTTTTCAGTACTGGCCCCAACTTGGTGGAACGCTCTGTCACAAGAGACTAGGGCCCTGAGGGACTTGACATCTTTCCGCAGGGCCTGCAAGACAGAGCTGTTCTGCCTGGCCTTTGGTTTGGACTCAGTCTGATCCCTATGTTTCCCTCCCCTTATGCTTGACTTTTAAAATGAGGCTGCATTTTAAATTGCATTTTAACCTGTATTTTAAATTGCCCCCCCTTTTCTTTCTTTCTTTCCTATTATGTTTTTACTGAAATTTTATTTGTGTTAGCCGCCCTGAGCCCGGCTCTAGCCGGGGAGGGCGGGGTGTAAATAAAATTTATTATTATTATTACCTGTCTCAGATGCCTCCAGGCTGCAGTGGAAAATGAATAGCAAGACAAGAAGCAGGATAGAAAACTGGAATTGCCAGCTCTTTAGGACCCTGGGGTCTTTCTATCAGCTAAAACATTGCTGTTTGCTCATTGGCTCAAAATAAGGAAGGAAGTTTTGCTGGTTTCTCTCTTATCTCTTGAGAGGGAGCAAACGCTTGCTTCTTTCTTGAAAGGAAGATCAGAATCAATGCTAAGGTCACCAAGAATTTGTGGGCTCTGGTGAGGTCCTGGGCCACAGCTGCTGATAGGCTTCTTCAGCTCCAACCCATTCTGTCCCGGAGGAGAGCTGCTGGTAGGTCTTTGTACTGCAGGTTTTCAATCTGTTGAATTTGTTTCCTGACGACGGAGAAGTCCTCCCTCAGATCTTCCACATCTATCATAGAATGGTATTCCACCTTAACACTTTTGACCTTTAGCATAATTTTTTTTAAAATAAATTAGCTCCTTTGCTCTTCCAGATTGTGTTTCTACATTTTGCCCATCTTTCTATCCTCTGGTTGCATTTGTTGTTGTTTTTGTCAGGGAGGTGGGGAGACATCAACAAGTAGTACCAGGACTAAGTTCACAGTCAAATTTTGTTATGCATGTTCTGCTTGCTATTATGTATTTCTTACTTGCCTGAGAAGATTTCATTAAAAGCCAATGAAAAAACAACAACTGTGGATCCCTAGGAGCTTCTGCACCTGGGCCTGACCTGGTCATGAGCTTGTTCTGGTCATGCTGTAGTGAAGAAAAGGCATTGTTTTGTTTATAGGAATGTGTGTGCTTTCAACTCAACATAAAACTCTAATGGAATTCCCGCCTATCCTTATAAAATTAGAAAATGTTGTTAGGCATGTTTTGTTCATAATGAACTTGCAAAGAGTTTGATATGCTAGCTGCATCAATGCATCTTAATGAACATACATGCACTTTCTCTTGTTAAATGACCAGTTATTGCCATTCTGTATCGGTGGCTCTGATTCGAATGCAGAGTTTAAACGTGCTTGTAAATACTGTAAAATCAGTGAAGCATGCAACTCTGAGTTGGTTTGTGGACGATGAATATTATTAGGTTTTATTATTTTCCAAAAACATTATTGTTGTGATTGAATAAACATAGTCAATGACAAGGTGAAAACTGAGTTTGTAAAGTGATTTCCATGAAAATAGTTAAGAGTGGCAATTTGGCTGTCTGGGAGCGCATAGTGTTGACATTCACAGGGGCAGGGGCAGAGGAGAATGCCACGCAGAAGAGACATGCCCCCTTTCCACCAGTACTATTGTATCCATTTGAAAAAGTTCAAGAAGACATTCCTGGGGATATTGTGCATGCACCTCTTAGAGGCTTGGGTTAGCTGCATGTTTGGCCTGAACCAATCTCTACTGTAGTGTTTTCCCCCCCAAAGAAGCAACACAGAGTCTTATGGCCTTTGAACAACTCTTAACAAGTACTGAAGGAGTAGATGAAGGCTTAATCCCAGTTCTTTATAAAGTTTAGAGTGTTAAAGGTGTTTTTGGGAAGTTCTAAAATAATGCAGCAGGATATATTCCTTACCCCAGGCTTGGTACTATTGAATCTGTTTGACAATTCAAATAGGATTTTAAAGAACAATGAACTTACTATTCATCTTCTTCTTGAGAGTAGGTGAATAGTAATGAATATTTGGAACAATTTCACCTGTGTTGATCTGAAATATTAATATGATACATAAAGCCATCCTGTAAAAACTCTTTCATAAGCTACTAAGAGGGAGAATAGCAACACGGCAGTGAGGTTGATGTGCTGCATAAACATGGACAGAACCATTCCAGAGCTCCTGGCAATGTGTTTACATTGCACCAACTTTTCTTCTGCCACGTGGCCTCCTATTAGCTAAAACTATGTAGTATTAGAGGGCTCTGGCCCTCTGAATGATCCTTCTCCCATCTTCCCTGACTATTGGCCATACTGGCTGGGGCTGCTGGGAGTTGGAGACCAAAAACATCATGATAGATGCTGGTACCTAGCCCCTGATCTAGTCAGTCTGTTGCCAAAAGAAAATCTATGTAGTACTGAACGGAGGTAAGCAGTTTCTCTCCTTTGGCCTCCTTAGCCAAAGGCAGTGGCGTCACAACGGGGGGTGCAGGGGGGTGTGGTACGCCCCAGGTTCCATGTCTGTGGGGGTGACCAGATGTCATCCTGTAGGGGCTCGTGGGGGCGCAAGCAGCCATCGCACCGCCGCAGCTGCCTTTGGAGGACCCTCCGTTCACGGCTGTAGCCGCGAGCAGAGGATCCTGTGCCGGCAGCAATCTGCTAAGTACAGCGCATGTGCGGCGTTGCACGCATGCACTGTACATAGCAATGCCGCACATGTGCCGTACGGCACTGGAGTGGCACTGGCGGCAAACCGCTAAATAGTGCATGTGCGGCATTGCTATGTACAGCGCATGCGTGCAACGCCGCACATGCGCTGTCCTTAGCAGATTGCCACCAGCGCCACTCCAGCGCTGTATGGACAGTGCCAGATCCTCTGTTCATGGCTGTAGCGGCACTGGAGGGATCCCGGCACCATCCGTACAGCGCTGGAGCAGTGCCGGCGGCAAACCACTATACAGCGCATGTGCAGTGTCGCATGCATGCGCCGTACGTAGCGATGCTGCACATGCGCCCTACATCATGACACCCACCCCGGGTGTCACGACACCTTCCCTCGACCCTGGCCAAAGGTCAGAGCTGCTGAAACTATAGCTGGTCCAAATGCCTCAGAAATGGAAGGCATCTCCCTTGGTAGAAGTTTTTAACTTCTTTATGCATTTGCAAAAAACCCTTCTTAGAAATGTCTTAAAGGAAATAAACGTTTACTGTTCCAAAGAAGTAAAAACAGGAAGGAAATATTCTAGTTCAGAAACTGCTCTCCCCCACTCTCTTTTTTCCCTCTGGGCAGGGTGACTCATTAGGTTATCTCCCTTCTGCATATCTGTGGCCATGATGTATAACAATGTGCACATTTCCTTTCATTTCTTACAGGAACATTAGCCAAGAGGGCAGATGTGGCTGCTCTACCTGCATAAGGTTTTAGATTCCCATGACAGATAGCAATCCATTCTGACAAAGGAAGGCTAGAAGGCTTTGAAGATGCTGCTCCAGTTGCTCTCTGTCCTCTGGGAGGCCTTGTCCCTGCAGGTCGTTCTGGTGTTTCTGGCTGCATTTCTGCTTCTTGCTGATTACAAGAAAAAGATTCGCCCAAGGGATTTCCCCCCAGGGCCCATCGCTCTTCCCTTGCTGGGTAACATGCTAAACATGGATTTCAAGAAACCCCATTTTTCCATGCAAAAGGTAAAGATGACTGAAAGGTCCCTGACAACATTACACTGGAAAGTAGCTTGTGACTCTTGCTGGTAGAGCTGCCAGATGTGTATTGCGTCTGAACACAGAGGATCTATTTTACCTAACAATTATTTGTAACACATCTGTCAACAGATTCTTTCTACCAGCTCTGCCTTTTTGCTCCAACTCTGGCCCAGAGAAAGGTCCTGAGCTATGAGGTAGATATCTGCTTGGACAAATAATTAAGCACCTTACAAATGCAGCCAGTTAAGATTCCCATTCAGAAACAGTAGCCCAGGCCACCATGCAGACAGATTTATACACAATATTAATGTTTTACATATATATCCCTTCTTACATAGTTCCTCCTTCTCCATTCAGTTTGCAAAAAAATATGGCAACATCTTCAGCCTTCAGGTTGGAAACAGGCGGGTTGTGGTTGTGAATGGATTGCAGCTGGTGAAAGAGACTCTTGTCCATCAGGGTGAAAACTTCGTAGATCGTCCAGTCCTTCCTCTTGATAAAGAAATATTTACATCATTTGGTGAGTTTCTTTTAATGTGCTCAATTATTTAAATTTACTAAGTGTGATATTTTCCCAAGTCTGCCTTAATTGTACAAACCCTTAGGTTGTTTGATAATATTATGTTTTCATGCCTGACGATTAGATTTTTTCATTTTCATTTCCTGTATCATTACACCAATCTCAAAATATTTCAGGAATAATTAAAGTTCCTATTAAAACCACAATCAAAAGTGTAAAACACGCAAAAAGCAACAGTGAAGCAGCATCTTAGCTCAATTCAAATGCTTTGCAGTCTCCTCAGTGTGGTATAAGTAGACAAGCCGAATAGTTTAATGGAAAGAGGAGTCCTTTTATAATTAGGTCTTTTAAATCTCCTTGCAATTTGCAGTTACTCCTTTTAAAAGTACATATCTGCTACATGATATTAATTCTTCCTATTTAGGATTGATCTTCTCTAATGGCCTTAGTTGGAAACAACAAAGACGATTTGCCTTATCAACTCTCAGAAACTTTGGTTTGGGCAAAAGGTCTTTAGAAGAACGAATACAGGAGGAGAGCCGATACCTAACGGATGCAATTGAAGCTGAGAATGGTGAGCACCAGAGCCCATAAACCAGTGGCATCATCTATTTAAGCTGCTATTTCGTATACACACTCATGATACAAAGCTGTGTGGCATTCCTTTCCACAAATGTAGCTCTGCTGGAGCTGGGAGAACCTCATAATTGGAAGGATGGTTTTTTAAAAAAAACAACACAGGTGCTTATCCATTGTGGGACTTGGAGCTTATTCTGAGTTTTGTTGCAACCCCAAACCACTAAGTAGGATAAAATAACAAGAACAAATAGGTACATGGAGTGTTTGGGCTGATGATGTGTTCCCCTTTTTGAGAGCTACAACAACCAAAGTCATAAACAAAGTCATATGTTTGGTATACAGTGGTACCTCGGGTTAAGTACTTAATTTGTTCCGGAGGTCCGTTCTTAACCTGAAACTGTTCTTAACCTGAAGCACCACTTTAGCTAATGGGGCCTCCTGCTGATGCCGCGCCGCCGGAGCATGATTTCTGTTCTCATCCTGAAGCAAAGTACTTAACCTGAGGTACTATTTCTGGGTTAGCGGAGTCTGTAACCTGAAGCGTATGTAACCTGAAGCGTATGTAACCTGAGGTACCACTGCATTCTTTTGGTATATTGTGCCTCCTTTTTCTGTCTCTGATGGGGACTGCCCTTGCCATTCTTGTTAGCCAAAATGTCCTTTCCCAACCTCCTGCCTTGGCCAAACCATACCCATAGCTGTTCAGCATATGCTACCAAAGCTATAGGACTCCACCACGGTGCTTTCATATTTACATCCTCCACCTGTAGAATATTACCTGTGCCCTCCTCCAGCTGAATAATCCTACCCTATGAAGAGGACAAAGGGTTATTTTAAAATATAAGTGTGCTTAACGTATTATATGATGTGTCCTAACTTAAATCACAGGATTTAACATTCATACTAAATGGTTTCTTCTGTTCATAGATCCTACCCTATCCACACCCCACCTATATTCCCCACATTTTGCTCTTGTTATATGGAAGTCATAAGCACTCTTATTTCTCTTCTACCCCTTTCCCCTCCCTTCTTCCAGGGCAGCCATTTAACCCTCACTTTCAGATTAATAATGCTGTTTCAAATATCATTTGTTCCATCACATTTGGAGACCGCTTTGATTACTATGACAGCCGTTTCCAGATGTTATTGCACTTGCTTGATGAGACGATGCACCTTCAAGCAACTATTTGGAGTCGGGTAGGTCTTGTGAGTAATGAAAACGAAACCGCTTTGGCCCAAAGAGACTTCCACACTTTGGTTGAACATTTATCCATCTACTTGGGTTTTCACGTTCTGATTTCTTGATTTTCTCATATTAGTAATTAGAGTATCTCTTCCCATGCATGTCCGTTTGCCATCTTGTCTTAACACTGTCCATTATAATATTGAAGGCATATTTGCTGGGATGCCTTTAATATTACAGAACCTCCTCTCTGCTTGCTTTCCCCAGAGAAGGTGTTGGTTTTAGGGGACATTCATGTAGGGGACATTCATGTAGGGGACATTCAAACATTGTTCCTGAATATTTACAAAACTAAATAATACTGGGTGGTGCACAAAACTAGCGCACACAATCTTTTATTATTTTTTGTCGGAAATAGCCTTAGTAGGCTTCCTCCTTGTATGGCATGATGTGAATGTATTTTGAGAGGGGTTTCTCTGCACATATATGATATTAGTGTTTGTTTCCACAGCTGTACAATATCTTTCCCACTCTCATGAAGCACTTGCCAGGGCCTCATAATACTGTTTTTAAAAACTGGGAAAAGCTGAAATCCTTTGTGAGAGGAATCATTGAAAAACACAAAGACTGGAACCCATCTGAACCCAGAGACTTCATTGATGCCTACCTAAATGAAATGGCCAAGGTAGGAGATGAAAAGGACAAACAGTATATATCTTTAATAATAAAAGAGTAGTAGAAGGCAGAGAAGCAATATTAAAAATCAGAACTAGTCATGTGGCTTGTCTGAATGGTCCTTAGTGGCTGACCATATTCCTTCTGTTGAGTTTATGACTTCAGCCAAAATACATTTCTGCATGCATGAATATAAAGTCATGTATTTTATGGGGAGACACCTCCCCAATAGTTCACTGTGATTTGTGAGAGCAAATAGTTGGCATGACTAAAAGCATCACTGCAATGAAGGCTTCTCATGACCATTGCCTCTGTTGCCTGAATAACCTCTCTCTATGCCTACCTAAATGAAATGACCAAGCTGAGATATAAAAAGAACAAAAAGTATATAATTTTTAAAATAATAATAACAATAATAATTTTATTATATTTTATTTATATCCCGCCTATGTGGCTTGGTTTTCCCAGCTACTCTAGGCAGCTTACAGCATATATAAAACCACAACAAAACATGAAACGTTAAGAAACAGAATATCCTATACAAACCAATAAATCAACAGAAACTGATAATAACAACAATAATAAACTGTTTACAGTTACACCCAAATTAAAAGAACTGCCAACTCCAAGTAAACATTTAACCAAACACAACCTGACAAAAACATACCAGAGGAACCAACATTGGAACTGCTTAGAACATTGTAAAACAATTTAGCCAGCTGCCCAAACCCAAGAGTTGTTCCAGCAATGTCCCATTGGCTCCCAGGAGCCTCTTTGGCTGTTTAAGCCGGATCTGGGCCCCGCCCCCTAGGCCAGCTGGAAATGGGCCTCGCAGCAGGGAGCAGTTCTCCCTCCAGCACTCATGGCAGCAGCAATGATAATAGGAGAAGGCAGAGATACAATATAAAATGCCAGAACTAGCTACACAAGTGGTTTCTCTAAGAAGGCTATATTGTTTTCATTGACTCTGTATGTATTCAGATGAACAGGCGAAGTATATGTGTGCATTTGCAAGTGTACATGTAAAAAAGAAATCATGCATTTCAGAAGGTCCACTGCCCAGATTCTGGTCTACTGCCCAAATTCCACCACTTGTCTGTGATTTGTCAGAACAGACAGTTGATATGACTGAAAGCATCACTGTAGAGGCATCTCGTGACCTACCATTGCCTCAGTTGTCTGTCTGAATCCACCCTGTCTAGGAGTCTGTAGTTCAGACTAGGACCTTGACAAGGCTAAACCAATATTTATTCTACATTCAGTGATCCATGGGACTGTTGAACTGACCCTACTGTATTCTGGACACTCAGAAACAGAGCTGAGGAATCCCATGGTGATCATTTGACAGATAGGACTGATACTAGGATGATGGTTTTTAATGACATGGCATTTTTAATGACATGGTAGACTTGTGGGTCTGACAGGATGGTGTTTTTAATGGCACCTTAACTCCCTGGTGCATTTTTGTTTTAAGGAGGATTCAGCTTCCAGTTTCCATGAAGAAAACCTTCTACATTCAACACTGGATCTGTTTTTTGCTGGAACAGAAACAACTTCTACAACATTGCGCTGGGCTTTACTTTACACGGCCATTTATCCAGAAATTCAAGGTAGAACTGTAGTTGGCTTATTTCCCTTTCATTACTTTCGGTTATATTCAACTAAGTCCTATCCAGAGTAAACCTACCGAGATTAATGAACATTACAGTGGTACCTTGGGATACATACACTTCAGGTTACATATGCTTCAGGTTACAGACTCCATTAACCCAGAAATAGTATCTCAGGTTAAGAACTTTGCTTCAGAATGAGAACAGAAATCGTGCTCCGGCAGCACGGTGGCAGCGGGAGGTGCTTCAGGTTAAGAACAGTTTCATGTTAAGAACGGCCCTCCGGAACGAATTAAGTACTTAACCTGAGGTATCACTGTACTTAGACATGTTTATACCCATCAGTTGTGTAAAGGAGATAAGGAAATGGAAGATTCTGGCAAGTTATACACTAAATAAAGCAAAACCAGAAATTGTTGAAATAAACATAGAAAAAGATCAATGAAAACAAAAAGAGTAGTTTATGATTCCAAATTGAGATACAAATCAGTGCAGTAACAGAGAAAATAAAAGATTTGTATAAAAACAACTATGAAATGTTATTTAAAGAAAGCCAATTAATTCTTAGCAGGAATTATCTTTATCCTTTTCAGGATGAATAGCACTTTTAAAAAAGATAAAAACACCAAAAAGCAAGTTCTTATTTCAACATTCACCATTACAATCAAACATACAGCAGTGATTCACAAATGAAACATAATAATAAAGCAGCAATTTATTAGGGTTGCCATGCGTCTGTAATTTCTTGGACAAGATCCTCTTAAACAAATGTCTGGGAAAACCTGGACTTGTGGCAGCCTATGTTGGAAGTGTAGATTTTGGTGAATTTAATAAAAAAATGAAACTCGGAAATTCATTTTTTAGAAGAGATGGGGGGGCAAAACTAAAAAGAGCTCAACAACTTTTGTCTTCAGGTTGCGCTATTAGACAACATGAGTATATCTACAGACTAGTATATAATTCATTTGAATACCAGTTGGTTTTATTTGCAGATGATATTCTTTTGTTTATTTCTAAATCCTCATTTGCTGATGCAGATCATAGGTGCCTTTCCTAAAATATCAGGATACTCTGCTGACTGGTCCAAATGAAAATTGATTCCAATAAGTGAAAATTTGGTTTACCCATTCATTTAAAGAGTATCAATTCTGTGTTTGTTCAAATCCATTAAATATTAAAGATGGGCCTCCTCTACAGATCTTAGATAAAGTATATCCTTCTTGTGTTGATAGGAGATTTTCTTTTATTTGCAGCAAAAGTCCAAGCGGAAATAGATTCTGTGATTGGCCAGTCTCGCCAGCCATCGATGGATGACCGGGACAGAATGCCCTATACCAACGCAGTTGTTCATGAAGTTCAAAGAATAAGCAACATTGTGCCTTTGAATGTGCCCCGGATGACAACTAAGGACACTACACTCGCTGGGTTTCATATTCCAAAGGTAAATGTTAATAGCTTTCTTACCTCCTTTTCCTCTTCCCTTAAGATGTGGAAACTTGAAGCCAAGGTTCTTGATGAGGGTTAGCCATGATGAGGTTCTCCAGATGTTGTTCAACTCCAACTCTTACCAACTTGAGCCAGTATGACCAACGGGCAGGACTGGGGAGGGTGTTCTTGGGGGGATGGATTTGGGATAGACTTGGGTCTCTCCCCCCCTCCACACACACCCTGCAAAAATGGATTCCAACTGCAGTCTGAACCATTTTTATGGATAACTAGTATCTTTCTTTACTTTCTTTTTTAGTGGTCATTACTAACCACACAAAACAGAAACAGCCAGCCTCTAGTGTTTCTAATTGTAAATCCCCTAAACACTCAGGTAAAGTCTGGTATTTTAAAATATATAGAGTTACCTGTGTTTTCATGAGCTGTGGTTCAATTAATTACTCGGAAGTCTCTCATTCAAAACATATCCTTTCTTATTTAATGGACAGCATTGGTATTGGATCTAAGAGGCTCAGTACTACCGTAGAGAGTTGCACAGATAAAAATACAGAGAGTTCTCTACCAGTTTAATCTGCTGTCTTCTCTGCTTCTTCTTTGACAGGGAACCATAATGGTCCCCAACTTGACCTCTGTGCTGTTTGACAAGGATGAGTGGGAAACACCCAATGTGTTTAATCCTGGTCATTTCCTGGAGAATGGTCAGTTCAGGAAAAGGGAAGCGTTTCTGCCATTCTCTGCAGGTAACAAAAGTTTATGGGTGGCTCATTAGAATTGCAATCGTGACTACATGATAATGGCTTGGTTGGGGGAAGTCTGGTGTATTGCTAAAATAGTTGTGCACTGTAGGGGTCCCCACCCTATTGAAGCCAGTGGTCATATCTGGCATTCTGAGGAAGTGCTCTGTGTGTAAGACACAAATGGCTGCCATAGGAGGTGTGATGTTACACAATACGGTGTTGGCATGCTCTCTTCCCACTCCTCACTGAGCCGTGTGGTTTTTTGAGGGGATGAGGAAATAGATAGGACTGGTTTCTTCATTTTGAAACAACAGAATGTTTATAGGTATTTGGCTTCCTGGTCCACCAGTGTCGTTTTAAACAGGCCTCTTTCACTACGGCTTTAGCAACAACTAGTTACAAAAGGAGAAGTTTACTGTAGCAAAAGCTTTCCACTGAAACAGTCTCTTTCTCCCCCTCTCCTAGGAAAGCGAGTTTGTCTTGGAGAGCAGTTGGTGAGGACCGAGCTCTTCATTTTCTTCACTGCCCTAATTCAGAAGTTCACTTTCCAGGCTCCAAAGAATGTGACATTAAGCCGTGAATTTAGGATGGGTGTGACATTGTCTCCTCTGCCTTACCGGATATGCGCATTCTCTCGCTAACGGGACCCATCTTATAGCATTCTTTAAAAAGTATTATTAGCTTGTGGGATAGAAGCACACCTGAGGCTTAATCCTAATTATGTTTTTTTAAAAATGATTTTTATTGGTTTTACATACAATCACATTACGTAACATCGTACCCTCTTATTTTATCTTTTTGGCTCAACTGAGCCTAACGACTTCCCCCCCTCCCATCTGATGGTTTATAAAATTAAACTTTACATCTTTGCATTTCACTTCGTTTCCTATCGTTGTTATATCATTACCTAAAATATTGTATTACTCAACCTGAATAGGTAGCAGTTTCATCTTACAAATCTTCAAATAAACCTGCTAATGATGTTAATTGCTTAGAGTTGTTTTTTAGATATAATATAAATTTGTTCCTTTGGAATGCTTGGTCTCGCTGGTTCCAGATTCTTCCTGTCAGTTTTGCCAGTTCTGCAAAGCCCATCAACTTCATCTGCCACTCTTCTTTTGTTGGTAGCTCCTGTTGTTTCCATCTTTGGGCTAACAAAATTCTTGCCACAGTTGTTGCATATACAAACAATTTTTTATCTTGTCTCGGTATCTCTCTACCTACTATACCTAATAAAAAAGCTTCTGGTTTTTTAACAAAAGTGTTTTTAAACATTTTCTTTAGCTCATAATATATCATTTCCCAGAAAGCTTTTACCTCTTTACACGTCCACCACATATGGTAAAAAGTACCTTCTTTTTCCTTACATTTGGGCCAATTTAACTGGTGTTAAATACCACCTATACATCATTTTCATAACATTTTCTTTAAGCGTACTACATACTGTAAAATTAATACCTTCATTCCATAACCTCTCCCAATCTTCTAACTGTATGTTATGTCCAATATCCTTAGCCCAATGTATCATTACCAATTTTACCTCCAAATTCAAATTTTACCTCATAATCCTAATTATGTTTAGCCAGAATTCATTAGGGTTGGGATTGCAGCATGTATCTTTAAAGCACATTCAAAACAGACTTGCCCCCTCAATGAATCTGGGGAACTGTAGTAATTTTGGGAGTTGTAGTTTACCCCTGAGAGAGCAACATTTCCCGGGAAATCACATTTCAGGTGATTTTGTATGCAGATCATAATGATCTATTGATGAGGCTCCAGAGTCCCCATTCCCTGTCCTTGGTACGGGGGTCTCTCCCCCACCCCATTATTTTCAAAATTATTTTATGTAATAACAATTGTCCTGTTACATTATTTTATAGCTGCCAGTTATAGTTCAGCATTTCCATCTAACCCCCAATAATTTGTAAATGGTGTCTATGTAAATCCTAAAAACAAAAGTAAACAATAAAAAACCAAGAATGACACCATAGGAGTGCAACAGCAGCAGCACATAGCTAAAACAGACTGTAAATGAACCCATGCCCCTTAAGATGGAGCCTGTAAGCCTATACACATTACCTGAGAGTCCTCCTCATTGAGTACATTGGGACTTACTTCTGAGTAACCAGGCAGCGAAGTTTCATTTGATTGGGAGGAAGGAGGGAGAACAAAGGAGCAGCACTATTTAGTACAGTTCTGATGCTTCAACTGTTCTTAATCTACCCTGACTACTATAATTTGATTTACCTGAGACAAAGCCCCATTAAAAGCCCCATGAGAATTACATCTGAGTAAAGATGTGTACATTGTACTTAGAATTTGCTATATAGGGATCTTTGAGTGCCTGGGCTTAAGCAGAACACTTTGCTTTTGCCACCCACCCACCCACTATTTGCACAAAATAGCTTCAAGGGAATACCTGTGCCAGATGCTTCCCAGCTGCTATGAAAAGTGAACAGCAAGACAAGAAGCTGGATAGAAAAGCAGGAATCAGAAGGTCTTTAGGACCCTGGGGCGTTTCTATCAGCTTGTGTCCAAAACTTGCAGTTTGCTCATTGGCTCAAAACAGGAATAAAGGTCTTTCTTGTTTCTCTCTCTCCCCTCTCGTGAGGGGGAACAAATAGCTTGCTTTCACCCTTTGTAAAGGAAGGTCAGAAGCAAGGCCAGGGTCCCAAGACACTGTGGGCTTCCTCTGGCTCTCTTCTAAAGAGCCTACTGAATAGGTCTTCCTGTGCAGCTCTAACTGGTTCCCGTCACTGAAGAGAGCAGCTGGTAAGTCATGTTGCTGCAGGATTTCCATCTGTTGAATTTGTTTCCTGACAACAGGGAGCAGTCCTCCCCACAGATCTTCAATGTCCATTATGCACTCGTGTTATACCTAAACACTTTTGATCTTTAGATCTTGCTTTTCCAGATTGTTCTTTCTACACCTTACCTCTTCTTGTCTTATATGCATCAGCCAGTAGTACCAGGACTAAGTTCCTAGCCAAGTTTTGTTATACATGTTTTGTTTGTTATTATGCATTTCTTACTTTTTCTGAGAAAATGTCAATAAAAATCAATCGAAAACAACAACTGTGGATCCTTAGGAGCTTCTGGGTCTGAGCCTGACAGAATGCAACTTGTTCTGGCTGCGGTGGAAAAAGGGCATCGGTTTGTTTATAGAAAAGGGTGTGCTCACAACTCCAGATCTAGCTCTAATGGAATTCCTGCCTATGTTTACAAAATTAGAAAGTGTTACAAGGCACATTTTGTTCATTGCGATCATGCAAAGAGCTTAATATGTTAGCTGCATCAATGCATCTTAATGAACATACAAGAACTCTCCCTTGTTACATAACCAGTTCTTGCTGTTCTGTATTGTTGGCCCCACTCTCAAGGCAGTGTTTAAATGTGCTTATAAAGGTGAAGGGACCCCTGACCATTAGGTCCAGTCGTGACCGACTCTGGGGTTGCGGTGCTCATCTCGCTTTATTGGCCGAGGGAGCCAGCGAGATGTGGCCAGCATGACTAAGCCGCTTCTGGTGAACCAGAGCAGCGTACGGAAAGGCCGTTTACCTTCCTGCTGGAGCAGTACCTATTTATCTACTTGCATTTTGATGTGCTTTCAAACTGCTAGGTTGGCAGGAGCAGGGACCAAGCAACGGGAGCTCACCCCATTGCGGGGATTCGAACCGCTGACCTTCTGATTGGCAAGTCCTAGGCTCTGTGGTTTAACCCACAGTGCCACCCACGTCCCTAAAAGTGCTTATACATATAGTAATATTGGTGGGTTAAGCATACAACTCTGAGCTGGATTGTGGACGGTGAATATTCCATAGGTTTTGTTGTTTTTCAAATGCATTTCTGTTGTGATTGAATAAGCAAAGTCAATAACAAGGTGAAAACTGAGTTTGTAAAGTGGTTTCCATGAAAACATTTGTGGAATTGTATAGCCTTCTGGGAGAAACTCCCTGAGAAGCTATAGGTATTGGTGGTGGTGGGGAGGACAGAAAGGAGATCAAATTCTGGCCATTGTGTTTCCTTTTGTTTGAGCATAAAGATGGACAGGGCATAGCTGGATACTTTCAACAATATATACCGGTAAATTGGTGTAGATATCCTAACATCCAAAGGGAAATATTTAAATTGTTTTCCAGAAATTTTGCAAGAAGGTAACAGAAGAGGAAGACAACTAAATATTCAAATGCTGCTTTTGTTTATATTAACTCTGTTGTCATGTTTCGTATCTTACCATGCTATGATCTGATCTGGATTCTGGTTATCTTTTTTGTTAGTTTGTTTATTTGTAGTAATATCTTATGGTTGAGTAATGGCCTCGATATGATATAGCGTAAAGACTCAATGAAGATCTACTGTATATTTTTTTTAAAAAAAGTTTTACTTTTCTTGTATAATCAAAATATTTAATTTCCTCCTTGGAACTAACTGATCAGGAAAGTAGATTAAAAATCCCATTGACAACATGTTTACACAATCATAACCATCAACCCTTTGGCAACAGACAATTCAAAATTTAAAGGACCTATCAGTGTATATGGTTTACAGCTTATATAAACAATGCACCTGAAGTTTATTGACATATGGGGCCCCCAACAAAGTTCCTGTACAAGCCTCTGATGATGTTTGGTTGGAAGTGGGGATTTCCTGATTATTATTATTATTATTATTATTATTAGAGCTTTTAGGGTCTGGTTTATTTGATTTGCATGGGTGTAAGTGGTTTGCTTTGTTCTGGAAAGAAGTATTTCTGAGCTTCAGTATTTCTTCTGCGAAATGGGTATTTTGTAGTGTCCTAAATAGTTTCAGAAGTGCCTCTGGGCCCAAACACATTAGGGCCTCTGGTTTCCACAGCAACATTTTAGTGACTGGGTGACCTCCCCCAGCAGAAGTCCATGCTTTTGTAGTTTGCAGCCATTTGTCCTCCATGTCTCACCCGCATTGCATACCATCAACACCTCCCTTGTTCTCTTATAATGGCAATGGGGCCCACATGAAAGCAGGGACATAGTAAAGGGGGATGGGGGGCGGGCTGCCCAAGGTGCCGTCATGAAGGGGGGTGACAAATGATCAAGGAACAATTACTGCCCTACTAGGGCGGTTCATAAAAAACTTTTTTTTTAAAAATGCCTGCTCCAAAGGTCCTGTCTTACTACACAAGGGATTATATAGCTACATATGAAATTTCATGCATGCCAGTTAATATCTTGACCCTCCTCCACGAAAATAGCTGTTTACTTGGCTGTTTTCCTATGTTGTGAAAGCTGAAATTTCAACAAAGCACTTGCCTTTGCTAGACTCTTTTCAGCCACCTGCTAAAAGAATTCTTCTTTAGCATACCCAAGCATACCTAGATGCTTAGGAAGTTAAAGTAATTTTAATCTTGATATTTTAGCTTTTGTATGTTTTAAAGTAGGATTGTTAATTTTTCTTGATTTTACTGCTGTGGTGGTTTTTTGTTTTGGTAAACCGCTTTGCATGTTTTTAAAAATAAATTTTATTAAATAAATAAACAATGAATATAAATAAAATAACACAAGCCGAAACACAATCCATCCTGTAGATATAAGTATCTGTCCATAGTCGCCTACTTGTTATCAGAGGCTCAGAATCCACATTCCTTTGTAAGAAAATATGAAATAACATAAGACCATTTTTGCAGGCAAAAAAAATTAATAATCAGTGGGGGGGGGTGACAAGAAATGTTCTGCACCGGGTACCACCTGACCTTCCTACGCCTCTGCATGAAAGGTGCCGGAACTGAGTTCTGGTGAGTTCTGGCTGAAAAAAAAGCCCTGGCTAAGACTAGTACTACATGACATGGTAGCGCTCAATGGAACTCACAAGAGCTGAGTTGCTGCTGCTTATGGGAGAGAGAGAAGCAGCACCGCAGTGACGGAGCCAATCTAGTGCTCCTGGCAATGCATTTGCATTGCATCAATTTCTTCCCTTCTGCATGGTCTGCTGCTGGCTGAAACTGCCTAGTACTAGAGGGCTCTGGCCCTCTGAATGATCCTTCTCCCATCATCCCTGTCTATTGGCCATACTGGCTGGGGCTGCTGGGAGTTGGAGACCAAAAATATCAGGAGAGGTGCTGGTTCCCAGTCCCAGATCTAGTCATACTGTTGCCAAAACAGAATATAATCTATGCAATATTGAACAGAAGGGAAGCAGATTGACTCCTCAGGCCTCCTTAGCCCAGAGGTCAGAGTTGCTGAAACTACCCCTGATCCAAACCTTTCAGGAACAGAAGGCATCCTGCTTAGTGTAAGTTTTTATTTTCTTTATTGACAGTGCTTTGATTTGCACGGGGAGAAAACCCTTCTTGGAAATGTCATGAAGGAAATTAACCTTTGCTGTTCCAAAGAAGTGAAAATAGGAAGGAAATATTTTAATTCCGATTGCCGCTCTTCCCCACTCTCTTTTCCTGCTTGGTGGAATCATTCATTAGGTCATTTCCTGCCTTTTTATGGGCATGATGTACAGTAATATAGGCAGACTTTGTTCTCATTTCCTACAGGCGCATTAGCCAAGAACACAGGTGTGGCTGCTCTAGTGGTATCAGATTCGGGTTTCCCTCAGCAGACAGCAGACCAATCTGCAAAAGGAACACCTAGGTGGGTTTGAAGATGCTGCTGCAGCTGCTCTCTGTCCTCTGGGAGGCCTTGTCCCTGCAGGTCGTTCTGGTGTTTCTGGCTACATTTCTACTTCTTGCTGATTACAAGAGAAATATTCGCCCAAGGAATTACCCCCCAGGGCCCATGCCTCTTCCTTTGCTGGGTAATATGCTACATGTGGATTTCAAGAAGGCTCACATTTCATTACAAAAGGTAAGGATGAAGGAAAAACCCTATAGCATGAATTAAATACTACACTGCTGAGCCAGATTTGGGGTGGTGCAAGTGGTCCCCTGGCATAGGGCACTGAGCCAAGTGGGCAAAGAATTGAGAGGATCGATCATTGTGAAGATCCATTTATGTGTGCCAGATTTTGGTCACTCTCAGGGTGCCATACTACCAAAATATGCCCCTACATTGCACTGGAAAGGAGTGTAAGACCCTGGCTGGAGAAGCAGGTTGAGATGCTTCCAGGTTTAGCATCCTGATTCTGAGAGAGGTCAGCCTCATGTCTGCGAGGAGCCCATGTGTGGGGCACCAAGAAAAATGCCTTTCTTTTTGTTTGTTCCCAGAATATGGTATCCAGAAGTGTTTTGCCTCTTACCTTTGAGGATCTATTTTATTCTACAGTTATTTGTAACAAATCTGGGTCTTACAACTGCCTTTCACTTACCGTGGTTGGCAGAGTATTTTTTGTGTGTCTTTGTATGTTTTGTTGCTCCTTGTCCTACCTTCCCCACTTTTATCTTTGCAACAACTCTGTGTGGTAGACTAGGCAAAGTTACTACATGCAAATAAGCAGCAACTCTTGTGAATACATTGCAGGTGGAGGATGGAGGGGGCCTGTCCATGTACAGACCCTGGAAACCATTTTGGCATTTCTGATGTCCCCGATATATTTGATGGCAATCAAAGTTCCCTTCTTCCATATAGGCATTCAAGAAGCACCAAGCAGACAAATTAATATATAATATAGAGAGAGGATAAATCATTTCTTACATTCTTCCTCAATCTCCATCCAGCTTATAGAAAAATACGGCAATGTCTACAGTCTTCAGGTTGGAAGCATGAGGTTTGTGGTTGTGAATGGATTGCATCTGGTGAAAGAGGCCCTTGTCCATCAGGGTGAAAACTTTGTAGATCGACCAAATAGTCCTGGTACCCAGGAAATGTTTGGGTCATCTGGTAAGTTTCTTTTAATGTTGTCAATTATTTAGATAATTAAATAATTCCTTTTTATTTTTTATTTTTAATGGTCTGCATTGATTGGGGAACCTTTTAGATTATTCCTCAAGTTTAAATATTCAGGACTCATTGTTAGATCTTTCCTTAATCTTCTTTTTCATTCCTTGCATCTTTAAACCAGTAGTAGTAAGCTGTGTCATATCCCTACTAAACTGTTTAGATTAACTGAACTCACCATTCAGTATTGAGTACTGAAGATAAACAGCTTGTAAATAAGAACCTGACATTATTATGGATGGAGGAATCTGTCGGTTTTTCTTTCAATCAGTTATTCATTATTCCATTCTTCAGTTTGCAACACTTACACATCAGTAACACTCCAGTTTGTGCATTGTTTCAGCAAGTGAGACTGAAGTAAGATTGCATTTAAATGCAAGCTGAACTGAATTTCTGTCCCATCGCTAGTAGAGATGGAATAATAGTTAGTGCTTAAGTATGAAAGGAAGAGGTAGTATCTTCTTCAAAGTCATTTATCTGCTTATAGGGCAAGTCCTGGAAAATGGACTACAGTTCATAAGGAGGGATAATGACCTTAACACAGCAAAATGAAACAAAACAAAACAAAAAGAAATCTATTAACCACAAGGAAATGAAGGGTGTGAATAATTACAGAAGGGGCTAGAGTGGGACCCCCATTTTAAATCTAAACCAGTTAATTCCAGGAAAAAAGAAAGCCTGAGTGGCTTAAGGAGAGGAAGGAACAAAATATATTAACTGCATGACTTCTTCACCTGTCAGTATTTTTTTAATGCTGCTTTTCTATCGAGAGTTCCCACAGTGTTTCACAGGACAAAATAAAATTGGTATTAAAAATCCTACCCAAACAGTGAAACACACAAAAAGCATCAATGAAACAGCAGTAACAGCAAACGGCAGAATTCAGAGCAAACAGATAAAAGCCACCAGCACAAATTGGCTAGTTTCTAATGCCTTGCAGTCTTTCCAACATGTCATGAGCAGGCAAGCAGAATAATGGAAAGCAAAGAAGAGTCCATCTTGGAATTAACAAGATTGCTAAATCTACTTACTTGCTCTACGTACTTATTACTCCTTCCTATCTAGGACTGGTCTTCTCTAATGGTCTCATCTGGAAACAACAAAGACGGTTTGCCTTATCAACACTCAGAAACTTTGGTTTGGGCAAAAGGACTTTAGAAGAACGAATACAGGAGGAAACCCGTTACTTAAATGAAGCAATAGAAGCTGAAAAAGGTGAGAACCAAAGTCATCAATCCTGTGGCCCATCTTACCTTAAGTTGCTGCTTTGTATGAACTAGGTCAAAACTACATCAGCTAGGTGCAAAGCTTTCTGGCATAATTTTTTCACACAAATGTAGCTCTGCTTGGACAGAAATGACCCTGTGATGGCAAAGGGGGTGTTGATAGGAAGCTCCACAGAGGCTCGTTGTGGTGCACAAAAGTTCTAGTGTGAAGCTCTGTGTTGGAACCTGCCATGGGAGCTAAAAGCCCCTAAAAAGCCCCTGAACTAGAACAGAATAAGAGCAAAGGTTGGGTTTTGAGGATATCTGCAGATTTTTGATAGTTTTGGTATATCAGTGTGTCTCTATACTGTCTCTGATGGGGACGGTCCTTATCCTTTTTGACAGGCATTGTTACAAAAATGCCTCTCAAATCAATATCACCATACTGCAGAATAATCATTGCCTATAGAGAATAAATATAAATGGGCCTCAGAGTCCTGAGTGTCCCAGGTTAAATTACAAGATATAATGTTAATATGAAATGATTTCTTCAGCTAAAACAAATCCTGCCTCATCAACATCCAACCACTTTCCCCGCCTTCTGTGTTTGTTACATGGAAGCTAGAAGCACCCCAATTCCTTCTGCACCATTTTCTCTCCCTCTCCAGGTCAGCCATTTGACCCTCACTTTCAGATTAATAATGCTGTTTCAAATATCATCTGTTCCATCACTTTTGGGGACCGCTTTGATTACCATGACAGCCGTTTCCATAATTTATTGCACCTGTTTGATGAGGCAAGCCACCTTCAGGGAAGTTTTTGGAGTATGGTAGGTCTTCTTTGAGTTCAACAGAATTGCTTTGATTCCAGACACATTCCCACATTCTTGCTGACTGTGCAATCATTTGCTTTGGGTCCTCCTGTTTCTTCATGTTCTGATTCCTGTTTTGTCCCTTACTATTCATTGAAGTCTCTTGACTCATCCATATTCCTTTGCCTTCTAGCTTTTTTTATCAAGGCACTAAAGACTTTACTATTGCAATGTGGGTTGCGGAATTGTTTATTACAGCAGAGGTTGTGTTTTTAAGTGGCTGGAGGTATGCGTATATCTGTTCCTCGTACGCAGGTGTCCAGTGACCCACATCCAGTGGAGCTGTGGGCACGCTCTTAGCATTAGCAGAGTATCAGCAAAGAAGTGAGGCTGTAGGTATTTGGCATCGCAAAAGCTTCTTTGTTTACAAAAGATCGAAACAACAAATATGGCTGAGTGTGAGCAGCAGCTTTACACACGTCTCCTCTGTCCGAAAGCAGAGAACAAAGAGTACAAAAGCACATAGAATGTTAGTACAATGTCTGAGTTCTGTTCCCACACTCCTATCACTATGGAATGTAAACAGTGCATCACGAGATCCAACAGCAATGAGAGAATGAAATTACTAATAGGAAGGCTGTCACATGTGTGACTGTGAATAAAATCTCTGTGTATGTGAACAGGGTGTGACTTGATCCTACACAAACCTGTTCTAGTCTGTGAATGGAAGCCCCATGCAGATGGGCATCATCAAAGGGAAACCCTGAATATTCTTGACATCAGCAGGCAATTGGCACATGCCATTTTCAAAATGGTAATCATCTTCTTGGGAAGTCAATCAGTGAATTACAAGTTGTGTTTGTAGAACTAACCATAATGATGCCATTTGATTTGCAATCTGTACATTCTAACCAAGAAATGAAGACATTGCCATGGGGTACAATCGTAAGCAGTGGTGAGTGCAATATTTGCTCTAGTTCCAAGAGAGTCTGCCATCTTTGAGCATGTGCACACCACCCTTTATTGCTGCTAGCCTCTTTCCCATGACAGCAGCATGATGTGAATGATTGTTGAGAGGGTTTTTCCTTCACATATATGATATTAGTGTTTGTTTCCTCAGCTGTACGATGCATTTCCTACTGTCATGAAGCACTTGCCAGGGCCCCATCAGACACTTTTTAAAAAATGGGGGCAGTTGAAATCCTTTGTGAGAGAAATCATTGAAAAACACAAAGAAGACTGGAACCCATCTGAACCCAGAGACTTCATTGATGCCTACCTAAATGAAATGGCCAAGGTGAGAGATGAAAAGGTAAAAAAGTATGTATCTTTAATAACAAAACAGTAGTAGAAGGCAGAGAAGCAATATTAAAAACCAGAACTAGTCATGTGGCTTGTCTGAATGCTCCTTAGTGCCTGACCATATTCTTTCTGTTGAATTTATGACTTCAGACAAAATACATTTCTGCATGCACAGAATATGAGGTCATGTATTTTGTGGGGATACACCTCCCCACTTGTTCACTGCTGGGATTTCACCACTAGTCGGTGGTTTGTGAGAGCAAACAGTTGACATGACTAAAAGAATCACTGTAGTGGAGGCATCTCATGACTAAAGGATTCAGTTGCCTGAATAAACCCAGACCAGGAATTATTGACCAGAACAAACCCAAACTTTATGCCAGCATCAGAGAGTCATAGGACTCTTGACTGGATCTTCCTAGAGGCAGGATTAGAGTCACTGAATCCACTGGTGATCTCTTGACATGTGGGGCTGACAGTAGGATGGTATTTTTAATGACAGCTGAACTCCCTGGTGCATTTTCTTTGCTTTAAGGAGGATGCCCCTTCCAGTTTCCATGAAGAAAGCCTCCTACAATCAACACTGGATCTGTTTTTTGCTGGAACAGAAACAACTTCTACAACCCTGCGCTGGGCTTTGCTCTACATGGCCTTATACCCAGAAATTCAAGGTAGAACTGTAGTTGGCTCATTTGCCTTTCATTACAGTCAGAATACTGCAGCTTCAGGTGGACTCGTCAGAAAACACACATTCCCCTCAATAAAAGAATGAAGTCTTAAGGCATTGCTGAAACTTGACTAGTGAAAGTCCTGTGTGCTTTTTCAGTTGAAGGGAATTTCACAAATGAGATACCGCTACTCAGGAGGGTCTATCCCTTGTCACCATCTACTGGGTACTCAGTGGTGGGACATCAAGATGCAGTTTCCTTGCAGATATTGGTTTATGTCTGTTCTCCTTGTATTGATAGCAGATTTTCTTTTCTCTGCAGCAAAAGTCCAAGCAGAAATAGATTCTGTGATTGGCCAGTCTCGCCAGCCAGCAATGGATGACAGGGACAGCATGCCGTATACCAATGCGGTTGTTCATGAAATTCAAAGAATAAGCAACATTGTGCCTTCGAATGTGCCCCGGATGACAACTAAGGACACTACACTCGCTGGGTTTCATATTCCCAAAGTAAGTATTAAGATGATACAATGGTACCTTGGGTTAAGAGCTTAATTTGTTCTGGAGCTGCGTTCTTAACCTGAAACTGTTCTTAACCTGAAGCACCATTTTAGCTAAGCGGGCCTCCCGCCTCTGCCGTGTGATTTCTGTTCTCATCCTGAAGCAAAGTTCTTAACCCGAAGTACTATTTCTGGGTTAGCAGAGTCTGTAACCTGAAGCGTCTGTAACTTGAAGCATCTGTAACCCGAGGTACCACTGTATACCATTCTTATTTTCCTTTCCTCTTCCTTCAAGATACAAAAACTTGAAGCCAGAGTTCTAAATGAGGGTTGGCCAACATGAGGTCCTCCAGATGTTGTTCAAGTCCAACTCTTACCAACCTGAGCCAGCATGAGCAATAGGCAAGAATGGTTGGACTTGGATCCGGGAGGCTTAGTACTGCTGTAGATAGTTGCACAGATAAAAACACAAAGAGTTCTCTGCCAGTTTAATCTACTATCTTCTCTTCTTTTTCTTTGAGAGGAAACCATATTGATTCCCAACCTGACTTTGAATGTCTTTTAAAATCTATATTGGAACTGTGCTTTTGTGGGACTTCGTTGGATGAATTACTTAATAATGAGAAGTAAATATTGCTTTCAGAACATATCCTTGCTCTGTCAGGGGATAGGGGCTTAGTACTGCTATAACTTCAAAGACAATACAGTGGTACCTCTGGTTACGAACTTAATTCATTCCGAAGGTGTGTTCTTAACCTGAAACTGTTCTTAACCTGAGGTACCACCTTAGCTAATGGGGCCTCCCGCTGCCACCACGCCACTACTGTGTGATTTCTGTTCTCATCCTGAGGTAAAGTTCTCTACCCGAGGTACTACCTCCTTGTTAGTGGAGTCTGTAACCTGAAGTATTTGTAACACAAGGTGTTTGTAACCCGAGGTACCACTGTACTCGAAAGCGCCTTGTCATTTTTATCTACTTTCTTCTCTGCTTCTCCTTTGCCAGGGAACCATAATGCTCGCCAATTTGACCTCTGTGCTGTTTGACAAGGATGAGTGGGAAACACCCAATGAGTTTAATCCTGGCCATTTCCTAGAAAATGATCAGTTCATGAAAAGGGAAGCGTTCTTGCCATTTTCTGCAGGTAAAAAAGTTCATGGGCTGCTCATCAGAACTGCAACAGTGAGAATATGATGGTGATTTGGTTGCTGAGAGCCTTGTGTATTGCTGAGGTTACCACCCTATTGGGACCAGTGGTCACATTTGGGATTTTGAGGAAGTGCTCTATGTGCATGTCACAAAATGGCTGCCATGGGAGGTGGGATGTTACATGAAATGGTGTTGATATACTCCCCCCCCCTCCACCCAGTAAGCAAGCAGTTTGGATTTTTTTAGGGAATATTTACTGGGACCTTTCTCAGCTGCCCTAGAACAGAAACCTACTTCCATCTGGAACTTGAGCAACTAACTCTGTTTGCCACACCCTTAGCTACGTAAGCTATATGCAGATTAGGGAGATTCCTAATAAAATATAATTGAAATTGAAATTTTCTCCAAAACTACATATGAGAGAAATTTATGTTAATTGAAATGTATCTATTCCAAATTCTCAAAAACCATGATCATATTTGTTCAGTGTTCCCATTTGCTTCACTAGGAACTACAGAGGACTGGTTTCTATCTTTATTTTGTAATAACATACTGTTTTAAAGTATTTGTTCTCTCAGTGCTGTTTTAAACTGTGCAGCTGTTTACTGTAGCAAAAGCTCTCCACTGAAAAAGTCTCTTTCTCCCTCTCTTCTAGGAAAGCGAGCTTGTTTGGGAGAGCAGTTGGCAAGGACTGAGCTCTTTCTTTTCTTCACTGCCCTAATTCAGAAGTTCACTTTCCAAGCTCCAAAGAATGAGACATTAAGCCGTGAATATAGGATGGGTTTGGCATTGTCTCCCCTGCCATACCGGATATGTGCATTCTCTCGCTAAGGGACCCATCTTATAGCATTGCCATTTCTTTTAAAAGTTGGATTAGTTTGTGGGGCAGAAACATGCCTGTGGCTTAATACAAAATATGTTAAGCCAGAATTGATTAGGACTTAACCCAAGTAAGCAGGGTTGGGATTGCAGCCTGTACCTTTAAAAAAAGTGCATTCAGTTCACATTTCCCCCCTCAAGGAATTCAGGCAACTATAACTTAAGGTTGCTGGGAATTGTAGCTCTCTGAAGGGTAAACTACATTTCCCATGATTCTCGGGGGCGTGTATGTATGCAAATAATATTGTTTCATTGGTGAGGATCCATAGAATCATAGAATCATAGAGTTGGAAGAGACCACAAGGGCCATCGAGTCCAACCCCCTGCCAAGCAGGAAACACCATCAGAGCACTCCTGACATATGGTTGTCAAGCCTCTGCTTAAAGACCTCCAAAGAAGGAGACTCCACCACACTCCTTGGCAGCAAATTCCACTGCCGAACAGCTCTTACTGTCAGGAAGTTCTTCCTAATGTTTAGGTGGAATCTTCTTTCTTGTAGTTTGGATCCATTGCTCCGTGTCCGCTTCTCTGGAGCAGCAGAAAACAACCTTTCTCCCTCCTCTATGTGACATCCTTTTATATATTTGAACATGGCTATCATATCACCCCTTACCCTCCTCTTCTCCAGGCTAAACATGCCCAGCTCCCTTAGCCGTTCCTCATAAGGCATCGTTTCCAGGCCTTTGACCATTTTGGTTGCCCTCCTCTGGACACGTTCCAGTTTGTCAGTGTCCTTCTTGAACTGTGGTGCCCAGAACTGGACACAGTACTCCAGGTGAGGTCTGACCAGAACAGAATACAGTGGCACTATTACTTCCCTTGATCTAGATGCTATACTCCTATTGATGCAGCCCAGAATTGCATTGGCTTTTTTAGCTGCCGCGTCACACTGTTGACTCATGTCAAGTTTGTGGTCAACCAAGACTCCTAGATCCTTTTCACATGTACTGCTCTCAAGCCCGGTGTCCCCCATCTTGTATTTGTGCCTCTCATTTTTTTTTGCCCAAGTGCAATACTTTACATTTCTCCCTGTTAAAATTCATCTTGTTTGTTTTGGCCCAGTTCTCTAATCTGTCAAGGTCGTTTTGAAGTGTGATCCTGTCCTCTGGGGTGTTAGCCACCCCTCCCAATTTGGTGTCATCTGCAAATTTGATCAGGATTCCCTTGAGTCCATCATCCAAGTCGTTGATAAAGATGTTGAATAAGACCGGGCCCAAGACAGAACCCTGTGGCACCCCACTAGTCACTCTTCTCCAGGATGAAGAGGAACCATTGATGAGCACCCTTTGGGTTCGGTCAGTCAGCCAGTTACAAATCCACTGAGTGGTAGCATAGTCAAGACCACATTTTACCAGCTGCTTTACAAGAATATCATGGGGCACCTTGTCAAATGCCTTGCTGAAATCAAGGTAGGCTACATCCACTGCGTTCCCTTCATCTACCAGGCTTGTAATTCTGTCAAAAACGAGATCAGGTTAGTCTGACATGACTTATTTTTCAGAAATCCATGCTGACTATTGGTGATCACAGCATTCCTTTCTAGGTGCTCACAGACTGTTTGCTTAATGATCTGCTCCAGAATCTTCCCTGGTATTGATGTCAGACTGACTGGGCGGTAATTATTTGGGTCCTCTCTTTTCCCCTTTTTGAAAATAGGGACAACATTTGCCCTCCTCCAGTCTGCCGGGACTTTGCCTGTTCTCCAGGAATTCTCAAAGATGACTGCCAGTGGTTCTGAGATCACATCTGCCAGTTCTTTTAATACTCTTGGATGCAGTTCATCTGGCCCTGGAGACTTGAATACATCTAAACTAGCCAAGTATTCTTGTACTATCTCCTTAGTTATTCTGGGCTGTGTTTCCTCTGCTGAATCATTTGCTCCAAATTCTTCAGGTCGGGCATTGTTTTCTTTATCGGAGAAGACTGAGGCAAAGAAGGCATTGAGGAGTTCAGCCCTTTCTGTGTCCCCTGTTTGCATTTCACCATCTTCTCCTCTGAGTAACCCCACTGTTTCTTTGTTCTTCCTTTTGCTACGAACATACCCATAAAAGCCTTTTTTGTTGCTTTTAACCTCTCTAGCAAGCCTGAGTTCATTCTGTGCTTTAGCTTTTCTGACTTTGTGTCTACACGTGCTGGCTATTTGTTTGAATTCCTCTTTGGTGGTTTCCCCCTTTTCCATTTTTTGTACACATCCTTTTTTAATCTTAACTCAGTTAAAAGTTCTTTAGATAGCCACCCTGGCTTCTTTAGGCACCTTTCATGTTTCCGTCTCATTGGTATTGCCTGACGTTGTGCTTTTACTATCTCCCTCTTAATAAACTCCCAGCCATCATGAACTCCCTTTCCTTTTAGTATTACTGTCCATGGGATCTCACCCAGCACTTCCCTAAGTTTTATGAAGTCGGCTTTCTTAAAGTCAAGAAATTGAGTCCTAGTATGCTTGGCTGCTCCTTTCCGCTGTATAGTAAACTTCAGAAGAGCATGATCACTCGCGCCTAATGATCCTTCCACTTCTACCCCACTAACCAGGTCATCAACATTGGTTAGGACCAGATCTAAAATGGCTGTTCCTCTTGTTGCTTCTCCCACTTTCTGGACAATGAAGTTGTCTGCAAGGCCAGTGAGGAATCTGTTTGACCTTATGCTCTTGGCTGAGTTTGACATCCAACAAATATCCGGGTAATTGAAATCCCCCATTACTACTATCTCCCTTCCTTTTGCATGCTTGGCCATCTGTTCCAGGAAGGCATCATCTATGTCCTCCGTTTGGCTTGGGGATCTATAGTAAACTCCCACAATGAGGTCACTGTTATTCTTCTCTCCCTTAATTTTGACCCAAATGCTCTCACTTTGGCTTTGAGGTTCTAAATCTTGGATCTCTTCACAGGTATACACATCCCTGACATATAACGCCACTCCTCCTCCTTTCTTGTCTGGTCTGTTTCTCTGAAATAGATTGCATCCCTCCATTATTACATTCCAATCATGGGACTTATCCCACCAGGTTTCAGTGATGCCTATTATGTCATATTTAGTTTGCTGTACCAAGAGCTCAAGCTCATCTTGTTTATTTCCCATGCTTTGCGCATTAGTGTACAGACACTGAAGTCCATTAATCATTCCCCGTGTCTCTTATTTAAGGATTTTTCCTCCCACCACTAGGTCTGTGTGCTGTTTGCTCCATTTGGTCTATGACATTTGGATGGTCATCTTCATCAATTGATAGACTCCTACCTTCAGGAGCACTGTCTCCCTCCCCACATTAGTCAGTTTAAAGCCCTCCTGATGAGGTTTCTGAGATTTTTGGCAAAAACATTTCTCCCAACCGTTGTGAGGTGCAGCCCATCGCTTGCCAGAAGTCCATCTTCAAGAAACTGCAGTCCGTGATCTAAGAATCCAAACCGTTCCTGTTTACACCATTTGCGAAGCCAGCTGTTCACTTCCACTATTTTTCCCTCTCTCCCTGGGCCACGTTGTTCAACTGGGAGGACAGACGAGATGACAATTTGTGCATTTAATTGCTTCAATTTCCTGCCCAGAACCTCATAGTCTCTTTTGATCTTCTGGAGGCTATTGCTTGCAGTGTCATTGGTTCCCATATGAACCAAGAGGAAGGGGTATTTGTCAGTGGGTTTTATGATTCCTTGCAGTCGTTCAGTTACATATTGGATCTTAGCCCCGGGGAGACAGCACACTTCCCGAGACATCTTGTCAGGCCCACAGATCACGGCTTCTGTTCCCCTCAGTAGGGAATCCCCTATCACCACTACATGCCTCCTCTTAGGTTTGGTCGGGGTTCTTCCGTGAGCTGTCCGTTCCAAGGTCGCCTGCACATTCCCTGAGGACTGACTTTGCTGCTCGTCTTCATATACCTGATCGACTGTAATGAGGGAGAGATCCTCAAATGGAGTCTGCTCTTTGTCTTCCCTGCTAGGGGAGAGGACCTCAAAGCGATTGTGTATTTCTAAACAATCATAGCGAACCCTGGGCCTCCTACTTCTTTGAGTCACGTTTCTCCATATATCTGGCTCCTGTGTTGGTGAACTAGCCTCCTTCTCAGGGGAGTCCCCTGTCTCCTCCTTGGTGGAGACGGTGTGCTCTGTTGCTTCCAAGAAGAGCTCCAGCTCTCTAATTCTTTGGAGTGTAGCTACACGTTCCTCCAGTTGCTGGACTTTGTCTTTTAAGAGGGCAATCAACATGCAATTGCTGCAGGTAAAGCTGCCTGCAACCTTTGGCAAGATGGCAAACATTGCGCAGGAACCGCAGGTGACTGCAGCTGTTCCCTCCCCCTCCATCTTGAGAACGTGTCGTTGGGGGTGGCTACAGTGGTCCTCCATCATAAAAAGCGTGAAGACAGGACAAATAACTCCCCCCACAAAAAAACCTAGGTCTCCCCCAACAAACGTTTGAGACTAGCTCCCCTAAATCCAAATTCTATCCCCCCGCTTCTTGGTCAGGCGGTCTATCCCCCATCCCACTATTTTCAATATTATTATGTCCTGGTTGTAGTGAAGAAAAGGCATTGCTTGCTCTAATGGAATTCCTGCCTATGTTTATAAAATTAGAAAATGTTGCTTCGAAAATTTTGTTACAAAACCAATTCATAGACTCATAGAATTTCAGAGTTGCAAGGGACCCCAAGGGTAATCTAGGGCTGCCATATATCTGGGTTTTCCCGGACACATCCAGGAATTGGGCTGCAAAATGATGTCTGGGCAGATTTTTGCTGAATTGGCAAAATGTCTGAGAAAAGTAGGGGCAATTTTTTAAAAAACAACAACAAAATTTATAGATCCTCATCTTAAATTAAACAACCCCCCCCCCAAAAAAGCTGAACAACTTAACGCTGGGGAATATGGTCAACCCCCCTACCTTTCACGCAATGTGGGGCGCATACCCATGACCCTGAGACTATCTCTGTTCTGTATTGTTGGCCCAAACCCCAAGACCAGAGTTTAAATGTACTTCTAAATATAGTAAAATTGGTGGGTTAAGCATAGAACTCTTGAGTTGTATGGTGGACAATGAATATTCCCTAGGTTTTATTATTTTCAAAAAAACAATTTTGTTTTTCTTTAATAAACATGGTGGATAACAAGGTGAAAACTGAGTCTGCAAAGTGCTTTCCATGAAAATAGTTAAAAGTGGTAATTTGGCGGTCAGGGAGCACATATTGCTGATACTCACAGGGGCAGGGGCAGAGGAGAATGTCAGAAGATGTATGCTCCATTTTCATCAGTACTATGGTGTCCAGTTGAAGACATTCAAGCAGAAATTTCCTAGGGATATTGTGCCTGCAGTTCTTTGAGAGTCTTGGGCTTGATGTATGCTTGGCCTGAACCAGTCTCTCCTGTGGTGTTCTTTGGGAGAAGGAACATGGAGTCTTAAGGCCGTTGAACAACAATTATTAAATAATAAAGGCTTACTCTCAGTTCTTTCTAAAATTATATTGGATGCCACTGTAGGTGGACCTGCTGATTAGAAGTTGTGCTGGGAACAATATATCCAGCGTTCGCTCAGTGATAGAGACTGGGAGGTTTTGTGGCGGAAATTGCCTTATAAATCAATCTTTGCTTCTGTGAGGGAATTATCTTTGAAAGTATTGCACAGCTGGTATTTGACACCCAGGTATTTGGCTCCCCCCTCTGTTGGATGGTGTGTGTCTCCAGGTGGGCATGTATTGATACAAGTGGGTTTGGGGGAGAAGGAGCTTATAGAAATCTCTCAAATAATGCAACAGGATGTGCTCCTTACCCCAAGTTTGGCAGTACTGAAACTAACAATTCAAACTGGGTTTTAAAGAACAATGAACTTATTGTCCACCTGGTCATATTAAGATGAATAATAATGAAAGTTATTTTGTTGTTTTGTTCTGGAGAAAGAGCTTTTCTGACCATCACTATTATTTCTTCTGTCAAATAGGTATTTCTTGGTCCCCACAATAGTTTCAGAAGTACCCCTGGGCCCCCCAAGGTGGGAGCCTCTGGTTTCCACAGCAACATTTTAGCGACTGGGTGCTTTCATACTTGACCTCCCCCAGCAGAAGTCCATGCTGTTGTAGCTTGCAGCCATTGATCCTCCACGTGCGCAGAGGCAGGAATAAGGACTTGCCATTTAGCTCCACTGTAGACACAATTCCACCTGGCCACCTGATTATCATCAGTTTTAGTATTTAAGTATTTGTATTTAAGATGGGGAACCAAGGCTAAGAGATCATGGCTTGGCTAAGAGTAGAACTAGATGGTATGGTAGCACTCACTGGACCTCCCAAGAGCTCAGTTGCTGCTGCTTACTGGGAGGAAAAAAATCAGCACAGCAGTGATGTTAGTGTGCTGTAAACACACTGATGGAGCCAATCCAGAGCTCCTGGTAATGTGTTTGCCTTGCACCAACTTCTCTTCTTCACATGGTCTGCTACTGGAGAAGACTATCTAGTACTAGAGGGCTCTGGCCCTCTGAATGATCCTTCTCCCATCATCCCTGTCTATTGGCCATACTGGCTGGGGCTGCTGGGAGTTGGAGACCCAAAGCCAGCTGGAGAGGTACTGGTTGCCAGTCCCAGATCAAGTCATTCTGCTGCCAGAAAAAAATGTAACCTATGTAATATTGAACAGAAGGCAAGCAGGTTGACTCCTCCGGCCTCCTTAGCCATTGGTTATAGCTGTTGAAATCACCACTGGTCCAAATGTGTCAGGAACAGAAGTCATCCTCCTTAGTAAAAGTTTTAAATTTCTTTATTGACAGTGCTTTGATTTGCACTGCCAGAAACGCCTTCTTGGAAATCTCCGGAAGGAAAGTAACCTAAAAAGGGAAAACAGGAAGGAAATATCATAACTCTTGGTATAGTTACTCATTAAGTCATCACCTTGCCTATTTGTGGGCATGATAGATAACAATACCTGTGGACTTTGCCCTCATTTCCTGTAGGAGCATTAGCCACGCGGGCGGGTGTGGTAACGTGGCTCTCGCTAGACCTCCCAAGAGCTGAGTTGCTCCTGCTTACTGGGAGGGGAAAGCAACATGACGGTGATGTTGGTGTGCTGTAAACACACTGATGGAGCCAATCCAGAGCTCCTGGCAATGGATTTGCATTGCACAAAATTTCCCCCTTCTACATGGTCTGCTACTGGCTAAAACTATCTTAGTAATAGAGGGCTCTCCATTGATCCCTGACTGTTGACCATACAACCTAGAGCTGTTGGGAGTTGGAGACCAAAAACATCTGGAGAGGTGCTGGTCAGTCTGTTGCCAAAGCAAAATCTAACCCATGCAATACTGAACAGAAGGCAAGCAGGTTGACTTCTCTGGCTCCTTAGGCAGCGGGCAGAGCTGCTGAAACTACCACTGGTTCAAACATGTCATGAACAGAAGACATCCTCCATAGTAAACATTTTTAATTTCTTTATGGACAGTGCTTTGATTTGTAGTGGCAGAAAACCCCTTAGAAATGTCATGAAGGAAATTATCCTTTACTGTTTCACAAAAGTGAAAACAGGAAGGAAATATTCTAATTCAGAAAGCGGCTGTTCTCCACACTCTCCCCGCCCCCTTGGTAGAGTGAGTGATTAAGTCATCTCCTTCCTGCCTCTTTGTGGGCGTGATATATAATATATGCAAACTTTGGCCTTATTTCAGGAACTTTAGCCAAGAGGGCGGGTGTGGCTGCTGTAGCTGGAGCAGAATCAAGTTTCCCTTGACACAATGCCGTCGGTTTTGACATAAGAACACCTAGGTGGGTTTGAAGATGTTGCTCCAGCTGCTCTCTGTCCTCTGGGAGGCCTTGTCCCTGCAGGTTGTTCTGGTGTTTCTGGCAACATTTCTACTTATTGCTGATTACAAGAAACAGATTTGCCCAAGGAATTACCCCCCAGGGCCCAGGCCTCTTCCCTTTCTAGGTAGCACACTACATCTGGATTTCAAGAAGCCTCAGATTTCAGCACGAAAGGTAAGGATGGAGGAAAGAGCTTTAGGGTGGTGTGGGACGTTTCTCCCTATAAGGTGCCCAGCCAAGTGGGCGCAAAATTGAGAAAATCTATTGGAGGGTGCCAGATTTTGGCCTCACTCACCACCTAACAGCTATTTGTAACAAACCTGTGTCCACAACTGCCATTTGCTTTCTATGGCTGGCAGAATATTGTGGGTGTGCATGTATGTGTTGTTGTACATTGCCCTACCTTCACTCCCCCTGTATCTTTGCAACAGCTTTGTGTGGTAGACTAGGCTAAGTTACTACATGCAAATAAGCAGCAACTCTTGTGAATAGATTGCAGGTGGAGGATGGAGGGGGGCTGTCCATTTACAGCTCCTGGAAACCATTTGACAGCAATCAAAGCTTCCTTCTTCCATATTTCTTTCTCCCTCTCCCTCCAGCCTGCCAACAAATTAATAATATAATATATTAGATAGGATATTCTATATTCTTCCTCCATCTCCATTCGGGTTCTAGGGCTGCTCAGTGATACTAAAACTCCAGTGACACATAATGTGGAATTTTTGGGCTGGCGGCAAGAAAGATCAGGGAGAAGAACCTGGACAAAATTGCAGTAAACTGTAAGGGAGATTCAGAGGTCTAAACTGGGGGAAAAAAGCTATGTTGTGTGGAGTCCCCAATCTACACATGCATCTGCACTTTATAGTTTTGACAATTCAGGCAGTGGTTCTGTTTTACAATACAATTACATAGTTATGTTGATATACAATTATACAAATATACAATTACATAGTTATGTTGATACATCCATCTTCTGATAGTATTTTGTCATGGACTTTGGCTAGTACAATAAAGCTTATTCACCTTACTGTCTCCATTCAGCTTGCAGAAAAATATGGCAATGTATTCGGCCTTCGGACTGGAAACATAAGGATTGTGGTTGTGAATGGATTGCACCTGGTGAAAGAGGCTCTTGTCCATCAGGGAGAATATTTTGTAGATCGACCAAAATCCCCTGTTCTTGATAAGATATTTGGGTCATTTAGTAAGCTTCCTTTACTATGGTCAATGATTTAGATGATTAAAATTGCTTTTTTAATTAAATGCACTGATTGTACAACCTTTTAGATTATTAGATATTTTCTTAAATTAGGGTTACCAGACATCCCCATTTCCCAGGGACAGTCCCCAGATTTGTGAATAAGTCCCTCAACAAATTCCATCCCCAGAATGTCCCCAGATTTCATCTAATGTCCCCGGAAACGCAGCCTATAGGAGCAGCCTCCCAACATCTGGGAAGGGAGGCTTCACGCTGCGTATCAGAGCTTGCGTGCAAGCAGGAGGGGGCAGGGATCTCTCAGTTAGGCAACGGGAAGCCTCCCTTCCCAGCGGAGGGATCACTGCCCCCTCCCGCTTGCACGCAAGTAGGTATGGGATTGGGGCTGCTCCGATGGGAATGGAGGCATCACGCTGCCCGAGCCTCACCGCCGCCGCTGCCGCTCTCGGCCCTCCTTCTCCACCTTCTATGCCTGACCCACCGTGCACCACTTCCCCACCCACCCACCCACCCCCACCACCAAAGAACCAACAACTCAGGGGCTGCCCAGGCTCATGGAGAAAGGTGATAGAAGCATCGGAGGAAGGGGAAACGTGGCGGTTGAGGTCAAGGTGGCGGCCTCCCCTCTCCCACTGCCATCACTGCAGCATCAACATCCTGAACGTGTAGTATGTATGTATGTATGTATGTATGTATTTAAAGTGTCCCCGGATTCATTGAAAAAAATCTGGTAACCTTATCTTAATTCACTTTTGCATTTCTTGCATCTTTAAACAAAAGTAAACTAATAAGATTTGTCATAGATGTAGACCTGCAAAACTAGATTAACAGCTCACAGTTCAGTGTTGGGTGGCAGTCAGAGTCCGTGGCCGTGTAGTGCATCAAACAGCTTGTCATTATTGGTCTGCAATCGTTAGAGGTGGAGGAATATGGGAGTTTTTCTTTCATTCAGTTCCTCATTTATCTGTTGTTCAGTTTGCCACACTTCTACATCCAATAATGCTTCAGTTAATGTATTGTTTCAGGCAGTGAGAATGAATTAAAATTGCATTAAATTGCACCTGAGCTGACTTTCTGCCCCATCCCTAGTAGTGATGGAATAATATGCTGTCGTTAAGCACTGTATGGAAGCAGCAGGTAGTATCTTTTTCACAGCCATTTTTGAGTCCACAGCTGCCTTGACCAACTACATTCTTTCCATGGTACCCCTGTGGGGTTCAGGAGCCCAGTTATGTCACCCCTTGCCTGCAGAGCTGGCAGCCTCTCACCCTTTTTTGAGCACCCTCCCTTGTGGAGTGTTCCCTCAGCCTCCTCTCCTCTCCCCTCTCCTTGGGAGTCCTCTAGGCAGCCACTGCTGCCCTCCTTCTTCTCTGAGCTTCCCCACCTCCGTGCCAAAGAGCGGTGCCTCCTCACACTGCCCCACAGGCACCTGGAACTTGTCTGTCCCAACAGCAAGGACTGGCTGGCTGGGCTCCCTAACCCACTTGCTTCCTTGCTCCGAGGCCACCTCAGCTCCTGACAACCAGCACACCCAGAACATTCGCTTGCGGAGCTCGTAACCAGGGCTGCTGCAACAAACAGCCACACAAGCCTTTGGGAGGCAGAGATGCTAGAGGGCATCAGAGGAGGGAGGGAAGGAAAGAGGGACAGAGACTAGTGTTGCCCGCAACACTCTTAACCATAATTCAAGGCACCCTAGGGTACCATGGCACTCTGGTTTCAAACCACTGAGCTAAGACTTCCCTGTGATTGTGTCCATTTAGGAAAGGGAGGGCATTGGGAAGTGAAACAGGTCCAGTTCAGAGGTCACGGTCCACAGATGCCCAACATATAGACCTCCAGGTATAGGGCAGTATATAAATTCAAACAACAACAACAACAACATATAGCAAAAATGTTATGCAAATGAAACAGCAAAGAGAAATATGTTAATAGTGAGCAGAACCCAAGTGGGGATGCAGCATGCTGGAACTCATGTCAAGTGGGCCTGTGGCCAAGGTCCAGGTCACATTTTCAAATGCCTTGTAGTCTTTCGAACATATTAAGTAGGCAAGCAGAATAAAAATGAGAGTAGCAGAAGGCAGAGAAACAATTTTAAAAACCAGAAATAACCATGTGGCCCATAATGGCTGACCACATTTCAATGTTTCCATTGAGTTTATTATTCTAGAAAAAATACATTTCTGCATATGCATGAATATGAACTCATGTATTTTGTGGGGAGACAGTTCTCCATTTTTTCACTGCTGGGATTTTACCACTTGTCAGTGGTGAGTGAGAGCAAACAGTTGACATGACCAAAAGAATCATTGTAGTAAAGGCCATCCATTGCCTCAGTTGTCTGAATAAACCTCTCTAGGGCTTTGCCGTCCTTGACCAGAACAATCCCAAACTTCATGCCAGCATCAGTGATTCGCAGGACTGTTGTCTTGACCTTCCTAGATGCAGGATTAGAGTCGCTGAATCCCTTAGTGATCTCTTGACTTGTGGGTCTGACAGGATGGTGTTTTTAATGGCAGCTTAACTCCCTGGTGCATTTTTGTTTTAAGGAGGATTCTGTTTCCAATTTCCATGAAGAAGACCTTCTACATTCAGCACTGGATCTGTTTCTTGCTGGAACGGAAACAACTTCTACAACCCTGCGTTGGGGTTTGCTGTATATGGCCATTTATCCAGAAATTCAGAGATTTTCTTTTATTTGCAGCAAAAGTCCAAGCGGAAACAGATTCTGTGATTGGCCAGTCTCGCCAGCCAGCGATGGATGACAGGGACAGAATGCCATACACCAATGCAGTTGTTCATGAAATTCAAAGAATAAGCAACATTATTCATTTAAATGTGCCTCGGTTGACAACAAAGGACACTACACTGGCTGGATTTCATATTCCCAAAGTAAGCATTAAGAAGATATACCTTTCTCATAAGCCTTTCCTCTTCTCTTGAGATGTGAAAACTTGATGCCAAAGTTCTAAGTCAGGGATAGCCAGTGTGCTGCTCCCAAGATGCTGTTGAACTCCTTCTGCTTGAGCCAGCATGGCCACTGGGCAGGGTCTGGGGTGTTCTTTGGGCACATCAAGATCTGGAGTGAAGGAAAGGGGTTATGGCTAGATAGACTTTTGGTTCTTTCCAACCCATGGCAAAAATGGATTCCAAGCACAGTCTGTACCATTTGCATGGATAGCTAGTTTCTTTTTTAATGACCATTACTAGTAACCCAAACTGCAACACCTGGTGTTTCCTATTCTACTTTGAATATATTTTAAAATTGAACCTGTGTTTTTGTGAGATTGTGGTTCAATGAATTACTTAATAATGCATAAAAAATATCCCATTCAAAACATTTTTTCTGAGTTGGGCTTGGATCTAGGAGGCTTAGTACTGCTGTAGTTGCACAGATCAAAACACAAAGATTTCTTTGCAAGTTTTAGTCTACCACTTTTCTCTGCTTCTTCTTTGGCAGGACACTAGATTACTTACCAACTTGACCTCACTGCTGTTTGACGAGGATGAGTGGGAAACACCCAATGTGTTTAATCCTGGTCATTTCCTAGAGAATGGTCAGTTCAGGAAAAGGGAAGCGTTTCTGCCATTCTCTGCAGGTAACAAAAGTTTATGGGTGGCTCATTAGAATTGCAATCGTGACTACATGATAATGGCTTGGTTGGGGGAAGTCTGGTGTATTGCTAAAATAGTTGTGCACTGTAGGGGTCCCCACCCTATTGAAGCCAGTGGTCATATCTGGCATTCTGAGGAAGTGCTCTGTGTGTAAGACACAAATGGCTGCCATAGGAGGTGTGATGTTACACAATACGGTGTTGGCATGCTCTCTTCCCACTCCTCACTGAGCCATGTGGTTTTTTGAGGGGATGAGGAAATAGATAGGACTGGTTTCTTCATTTTGAAACAACAGAATTTTTATAGGTATTTGGCTTCCTAGTCCACCAGTGTCGTTTTAAACAGGCCTCTTTCACTACGGCTTTAGCAACAACTAGTTACAAAAGGAGAAGTTTACTGTAGCAAAAGCTTTCCACTGAAACTGTCTCTTTCTCCCCCTCTTCTAGGAAAGCGAGTTTGTCTTGGAGAGCAGTTGGCGAGGACCGAGCTCTTAATTTTCTTCACTGCCCTAATTCAGAAGTTCACTTTCCAGGCTCCAAAGAATAAGACATTAAGCCGTGAATTTAGGATGGGTGTGACATTGTCTCCTCTGCCATACCGGATATGCACATTCTCTCGCTAACGGGACCCATCTTATAGCATTCTTTAAAAAGTATTATTAGTTTGTGGGATAGAAGCACACCTGAGGCTTAATCCTAATTATGTTTTTTTAAAATGATTTTTATTGGTTTTACATACAATCACATTACGTAACATCGTACCCTCTTATTTTATCTTTTTGGCTCAACTGAGCCTAACGACTTCCCTCCCTCCCGTCTGATGGTTTATAAAATTAAACTTTACATCTTTGCATTTCACTTCGTTTCCTATCGTTGTTATATCATTACCTAAAATATTGTATTACTCAACCTGAATAGGTAGCAGTTTCATCTTACAAATCTTCAAATAACCCTGCTAATGATCTTAATTGCTTACAGTTGTCTTTCAGATATAATATAAATTTGTTCCTTTGGAATGCTTTGGTCTCGCTGGTTCCAGATTCTTCCCGTCAGTTTTGCCAGTTCTGCAAAGCCCATCAACTTCATCTGCCACTCTTCTTTTGTTGGTAGCTCCTGTTGTTTCCATCTTTGGGCTAACAATATTCTTGCCACAGTTGTTGCATATACGAACAATTTTTTATCTCGTCTCGGTATCTCTCTACCTACTATACCTAATAAAAAAAGCTTCTGGTTATTATTTTTTTGGGGGGCGGGTTCTTTTTTTTTAATAGATTTTTATTCAGTACAAATTAAAAAACATACATATTTACAACAAAAGAAAATACAAAAGAAAAAGAAAATACATCTAACCAAGGAAAAAGAATTAGAGAATATTTTGTCTTTTTTCATATTTACAGTTATTTCTACCTCTATAAAATGCTATTCATGATAACACATTGAAATGATGAATAAGATATCAGAAAAAAGAACAAAGAACAAAGAAGTTAAAGAAAAAGTCATATGTGAAAATTTTCAAAAGTAGATAAGCACTCACAATACATAGCCGTCTCCCATCTACCTTTATATTCAATTGTATAATTTCATCTTGTCCCTATCCACCTCAAATAAATTGTTTCTTTTGAAGGAAAAAAAAACAGAAAAAAGAAAAGAAAAGAAAGAAAGAAAAAGGGGGGGAAAAGAAAAAGACTTCCACCGTTTACCTCATGCGTTTTTAATAATCCGTTCTTCAGAGCCTCTGTTTTTCATATTTTCCCTTTGGATTTCCTTAATGTCTCACTTTGTATTTTTTTATATTACGCACAAGATTATTCTAAACACAACCAGATTTTTGTAGTTGAGCCCTGGTTTTGTAAATAATCATTTAAGCACTCCCATTGCTTCATAACCATAGTTTTGAATTTTCTCCTTATTATATCTGTCAATTTTGCTAATTCCAGGTACTCGCAAAGTTTCCCCAACCATTCTCTTTTTGTTGGGATGCTTTCCTCTTTCCAATAGCTAGCAATCAAAATTCTTGCCGCTGTTGTCGCGTATAGAAATAAGTTAATTTTATCTTTGGGGATATCTTTATCTAGGATTCCTAATAAATATGCCTCTGCCTTTTTGTGTGTGTGATGTCCTTATCAATTTTTTTATTTCGTCATGGATCATGTCCCAAAAGGTTTTAATCTTTGGGCAAGTCCACCACATGTAGTATAACGTACCTTTTGTTCTGTTACATTTCCAACATTTGTCGTTGTTCCTTTTATTTATTTTTGACAGTCTGTCAGGAGTTAAGTACCATCTGTGGTGAATTTTAAAATTATTCTTGTCTTTCTATTTATATCCAATAGGTGGTGCTGTAGTCTCTATTAGTGTATTCTTCTGGTTGTAATTGCTTTTAACAGCCACACATGTCATTGTATCTTCTTTCCTTCCCTGTCTTTCTCTCTCCGGAGACTTTTGAAACTCTCTCTGGGATCTTTAAGGACTCCTCTTCGTCTTCTCTTCCTGTTCCTGTTTCTAGCAGTCTCCGTCAATGGCGGACGGTCCCCGTGACTCAGCACACCTCCACACTTCTCTTTCCCTTCTCCCACACAGGTATGTCAGATTTCTCAAGTTATTTTTCCTCAGCCGGTCTGTTTTTTAGTCGTTTATTTTCACTACAGTTTTTAGTCCATTATAAAGTCCTCCAATAGTTTACTCTTCTAGTTTTTCCTAATTTCTAGTTTCAGTTCGTTATTTTTGCTCAATCTGGTGTATCTAGACACGCTTTTCTTAAAACACCTTGTGCAATTATTAGCAGAGGGTTTTCGCATGAGGCGCACGGCCCCCTTCTCTGTTGTCTGTTCAGTTCTGTAGTTCTGTCCACAAACTGTTTCTTCCTACCTCCCCTCCCTCCACTGAACAGGCAGAGGTTTTCCAATTATTTTCTTTTCTTTCAATTATTTTACAGGGGAGGCATTTGCTTTTCACAGTCTCCTTTTTATAGGAGAGTTCAGCGCTGCCGTGCCGGGGAATTGGGGCGTTTGTACCAGAGAGTGGTTTTGCCTCTTTGCGCAAAGGTCTTCCCCTTGTCTTTCTATATCAGTTTTCTTTGTTCTATAATATTGGGAAACCTCTTCTTTTGCGCTGCCTTAGGCTTCCGCCCTCAGGTTCCCCCCTGAAATCGAGGTGACTTACGCCTAGTCCCTCGTTTTTCCCTCTCTGGCACCAGGTCCGCCTTGAGATTGCAGGAGCACGGATCTCCACCCGTCTCTCTAGCGGCCGCTCTGGAAGCTTCTGGTTTTTTAACAAAAGTGTTTTTAAACATTTTCTTTAGCTCATTATATATCATTTCCCAGAAAGCTTTTACCTCTTTACATGTCCACCACATATGGTAAAAAGTGCCTTCTTTTTCCTTACATTTTGGCCAATTTAACTGGCATTAAATACCAGTTAATACCACCTATACATCATTTTCATAACATTTTCTTTAAGCGTATTACATACTGTAAAATTACCGTATTTTTCGCCCTATAGGACGCACTTTTTCCCCTCCCAAAATGAAGGGGAAATGTGTGTGCGTCCTATGGGGCGAATGCAGGCTTTCGCTGAAGCCTGGAGAGCGAGAGGGGTCGGTGCGCACCGACCCCTCTCGCTCTCCAGGCTTCAGGAAGCTCTGCGCAAGCCTTGCGAGCCTGGGGGAGTTCCTGCGGGCTCGCAAGGCTTGCGGGCAGCAGCCTGCAGCCCGAAGCACGGGGCGCGCTGCGGAGCACGCCCCGTGCTTCGGGCAGATGTCCGCAAGCCCTGCGCGTGCAGCGGGAGGACCCGCCGGGCTCTCAAGGCTTGTGGATAGCAGCCTGTTCTGGGGGCTGGGGGGAAAATAAATTCTTTTTATTCATTTCCCCCCCAAAAAACGAGGTGCGTCCTATGGGCCAGTGCGTCGTATAGGGCGAAAAATATGGTAATACCTTCATTCCATAACCTCTCCCAATCTTCTAACTGTATGCTATGTCCAATATCTTTAGCCCAATATATCATTACCAATTTTACCTCCAAATCCTAATTTTACCTCAAAATCCTAATTATGTTTAGCCAGAATTCATTAGGGCTTAACCCAGGTAAGTAGGGTTGGGATTGCAGCATGTATCTTTAAAGCACATTCAAAACAGACTTGCCCCCTCAATGAATCTGGGGAACTGTAGTTATTTTGGGAGTTGTAGTTTACCCCTGAGAGAGCAACATTTCCCGGGAAATCACATTTCAGGTGATTTTGTATGCAGATCATAATGATCCATTGATGAGGCTCCAGAGTCCCCATTCCCTGTCCTTGGTACGGGGGTCTCTCCCCCATCCCATTATTTTCAAAATTATTTTATGTAATAACAATTTTATAGCTGCCAGTTATAGTTCAGCATTTCCATCTAACCCCCAATAATTTGTAAATACAGCATTGGTGTCTATGTAAATCCTAAAAACAAAAGTAAACAATAAAAAACCAAGAATGACACCATAGGAATGCAGCAGCAGCAGTGCATAGCTAAAACAGACTGTAAATGAGCCCATGTCCCCTTAAGATGGAGTCTGTAAGCCTATACACATTACCTGAGAGTCCTCCTCATTGAGTACATTGGGACTTACTTCTGAGTAACCAGGCAGCGAAGTTTCATTTGACAGGGAGGAAGGAGGGAGAACAAAGGAGCAGCACTATTTAGTACAGTGGTACCTCAGGTTACATACACTTCAGGTTAAAGACTCCACTAACCCAGAAATAGTGCTTCAGGTTAAGAACTTCGCTTCAGGATAAGAACAGAAATCGTGCTCCGGCGGCGCAGCAGCAGCAGGAGGCTCCATTAGCTAAAGTGGTGCTTCAGGTTAAGAACAGTTTCAGGTTAAGTACGGACCTCCGGAACGAATTAAGTACTTAACCTGAGGTACCAAGGTACAGTTATGATGCTTCAACTGTTCTTAATCTACCCTGACTACTATAATCCTATACCCAATTTGATTTACCTGAGACAAAGCCCCATTAAACATTATGAGAATTACATCTGAGTAAAAATGTGTACATTGTACTTAGAATTTGCTATATAGGGATCTTTGAGTGCCTGGACTTAAGCAGAACACTTTGCTTTTGCCACTCACCCACCCACTATTTGCACAAAATAATTTCAAGGGAATACCTGTGCCAGATGCTTCCCAGCTGCTATGAAAAGTGAACAGCAAGACAAGAAGCTGGATAGAAAAGCAGGAATCAGAAGGTCTTTAGGACCCTGGGGCGTTTCTATCAGCTTGTGTCCAAAACTTGCAGTTTGCTCATTGGCTCAAAACAGGGATAAAGGTCTTGCTTGTTTCTCTCTCTCCCCTCTCAGGAGAGGGAACAAATAGCTTGCTTTCACCCTTTGTAAAGGAAGGTCAGAATCAAGGCCAGGGTCCCAAGACACTGTGGGCTTCCTCTGGCTCTCTTCTAAATAGCCTACTGAATAGGTCTTCCTGTGCAGCTCTAACTGGTTCCCGTCACTGAAGAAAGCAGCTGGTAAGTCATGTTGCTGCAGGATTTCCATCTGTTGAATTTGTTTCCTGACAACAGGGAGCAGTCCTCCCCACAGATCTTCAATGTCCATTATGCACTCATGTTATACCTAAACACTTTTGATCTTTAGATCTTGCTTTTCCAGATTGTTCTTTCTACACCTTACCTCTTCTTGTCTTATATGCATCAGCCAGTAGTACCAGGACTAAGTTCCTAGCCAAGTTTTGTTACACATGTTTTGTTTGTTATTATGCATTTCTTACTTTTTCCGAGAAATTTTGCAAGAACGCAACAGAAGAGGAAGACAACTAAATATTCAAGTGCTGCTTTTGTTTATATTAACTCTGTTGTCGTGTTTCGTATCTTACCATGCTATGATCTGGATTATCTTTTTTGGTAGTTTGTTTATTTGTAGTAATATCTTATGGTTGAGTAATGACCTTGATATGATATAGCGTAAAGACTCAATGAAGATCTACTGTATATGTTTTTTTTAAAAAGTTTTACTTTTCTTGAATAATCAAAAGATTTAATTTCCTCCTTGGAACTAACTGATCAGGAAAGTAGATTAAAAATCCCATTGACAACATGTTTACACAATCATAACCATCAACCCTTTGGCAACAGACTATTCAAAATTTAAAGGACCTATCAGTGTATATGGTTTACAGCTTATATAAACAATGCACCTGAAGTTTATTGACATATGGGGCCCCCAACAAAGTTCCTGTACAAGCCTCTGATGATGTTTGGTTGGAAGTGGGGATTTCCTTATTATTATTATTATTATTATTATTATTATTATTATTATTATTAGAGCTTTTAGGGTCTGGTTTATTTGCTTTGCGTGGGTGTAAGTGGTTTGCTTTGCTCTGGGAAGAAGTATTTCTGAGCTTCACTATTATTTGTTCTGTGAAATGGGTATTTTGTGGTGTCCTAAATAGTTTCAGAAGTGCCTCTGGGCCCAAACAGATTAGGGCCTCTGGTTTCCACAGCAACATTTTAGTGACTGGGTGACCTCCCCCAGCAGAAGTCCATGCTTTTGTAGTTTGCAGCCATTTGTCCTCCATTTCTCACCCGCATTGCATACCAAGACACCTAGGGGCATAACAATTAAGGGCTCCTTGCCCCTCAACTCCATTATGGGCACCATTCCACATGTCCATCTGATGATTATAAGTACAGTATGCACATTCTTGTATTAAAGATGCAGGACCAAAATTAAGACCAGTGCTATTTTTCTAGAAAAAGGAAGTGCCAGAACTCACCATCAACACCTCCCTTGTTCTCTTATAATGGCAATGGGGCCCACATGAAAACAGGGGCATAGGAAAGGGGGAGCAGGGGCGGGTCACCCTAGGTGTCAACTTGGAGGGGGGTGACAAATGATCAAGGAACAATTACTGCCCTACTAGGGCAGTTCATAAAAAACTTTTTTTTTTTAAAAAAAAAAGCCTGCTCCAAAGGTCCTGTCTTACTACACTAGGGATTATATAGCTCCATATGAAATTTCATGCATGTCAGTTAATATCTTGACCCTCCTCCACAAGGCCGTTTACTTGGCCGTTTTCCTGTGTCGTGAAGGCTGAAATTTCAACAAAGCACATGCCTTTGCTAGACTTTTTTCGGCCACCTGCTAAAAGCATTATTCTTTAGGCAAGCATACCTAGATGCTTAGGAAGTTGAAGTAATTTTATTCTTGATATTTTAGCTTTTGTATGTTTTAAAGTAGGATTGTTAATTTTTCTTGATTTTACTGCTGTGGTGGTTTTTTGTTTTGGTAAACCGCTTTGCATGTTTTTTAAAATAAATTTTATTAAATAAATAAACAATAAATATAAATAAAATAACACAATCCATCCTATAGATATGAGTATTTGTCCATAGTCGCCTACTTGTTATCAGAGGCTCAGAATCCACATTCCTTTGTAAGAAAACATGAAATAACGGAAAACCATTTCTGCAGGCAAAAATCAATCAATCAATCAATCAATCAATCAATCAATGGGGGGGTGACAAGAAATGTTCTGCACCAGGTACCACCTGACCTTCCTACACCTCTGTATGAAAGGTGCCGGAACTGAGTTGTGGTGAGTTCTGGGTGGGGAAAAAAATCCCTGGCTAAGACTAGTACTACATGATACGGTAGCGCTCAATGGAACTCACAAGAGCTGAGTTGCTTCTGCTTATGGGAGGGAGAGAAGCAACACTGCAGTGACGGAGCCAATCTGGTGCTCTTGGCAATGCATTTGCATTGCATCAATTTCTTCCCTTCTGCATGGTCTGCTGCTGGCTAAAACTGCCTAGTACTAGAGGGCTCTGGCCCTCTGAATGATCCTTCTCCCATCATCCCTGTCTATTGGCCATACTGGCTGGGGCTGCTGGGAGTTGGAGACCAAAAATATCAGGAGAGGTGCTGGTTCCCAGTCCCAGATCTAGTCATACTGTTGCCAAAACAGAATATAATCTATGTAATATTGAACAGAAGGCAAGCAGATTGACTCCTCAGGCCTCCTTAGCCCAGAGGTCAGAGCTGCTAAAGCTACCCCTGATCCAAACCTTTCAGGAACAGAAGGCATCCTGCTTAGTGTAAGTTTTTATTTTCTTTATTGACAGTGCTTTGTTTTGCACGGGGAGAAAACCCTTCTTGGAAATGTCATGAAGGAAATTAACCTTTGCTGTTCCAAAGAAGTGAAAATAGGAAGGAAATATTTTAATTCCGATTGCCGCTCTTCCCCACTCTCTTTTTCCTGCTTGGTGGAATCATTCATTAGGTCATTTCCTGCCTCTTTATGGGCATGATGTACAGTAATATAGGCAGACTTTGTTCTCATTTCCTACAGGCGCATTAGCCAAGAACACAGGTGTGGCTGCTCTAGTGGTATCAGATTCGGGTTTCCCTCAGCAGACAGCAGACCAATCTGCAAAAGGAACACCTAGGTGGGTTTGAAGATGCTGCTGCAGCTGCTCTCTGTCCTCTGGGAGGCCTTGTCCCTGCAGGTCGTTCTGGTGTTTCTGGCTACATTTCTACTTCTTGCTGATTACAAGAGAAATATTCGCCCAAGGAATTACCCCCCAGGGCCCATGCCTCTTCCTTTGCTGGGTAATATGCTACATGTGGATTTCAAGAAGCCTCACATTTCATTACAAAAGGTAAGGATGAAGGAAAAACCTATGGCATGAATTAAATACTACACTGCTGTGCCAGATTTGGGGTGGTGCAAGTGGTTCCCTGGCATAGGGCACTGAGCCAAGTGGGCAAAGAATTGAGAGGATCGATCATTGTGAAGATCCATTTATGTGTGCCAGATTTTGGTCACTCTCAGGGTGCCATACTACCAAAATATGCCCCTACATTGCACTGGAAAGGAGTGTAAGACCCTGGCTGGAGAAGCAGGTTGAGATGCTTCCAGGTTTAGCATACTGATTCTGAGAGAGGTCAGCCTCATGTCTGTGAGGAGCCCATGTGTGGGGCACCAAGAAAAATGCCTTTCTTTTTGTTTCTTCCCAGAATATGGTATCCAGAAGTGTTTTGCCTCTTAACTTTGAGGATCTATTTTATTCTACAGTTATTTGTAACAAATCTGGGTGTCTTTGTATGTTTTGTTGCTCCTTGTCCTACCTTCCCCACTTTTATCTTTGCAACAACTCTGTGTGGTAGACTAGGCAAAGTTACTACATGCAAATAAGCAGCAACTCTTGTGAATACATTGCAGGTGGAGGATGGAGGGGGCCTGTCCATGTACAGACCCTGGAAACCATTTTGACATTTCTGATGTCCCCGATATATTTGATGGCAATCAAAGTTCCCTTCTTCCATATAGGCATTCAAGAAGCACCAAGCAGACAAATTAATATATAATATATAATATGTAGAGAGGCTTGTTGGGTGTAGTGAAGGGTTAACCTTCTATGCCTCGTGCTTGAGGGGACGGGCTTACAAGGGAAGTAAGCCAGGACGTGACGAAAGCAGCTTGGAATGTTGTGAACTGAGTGGAAATCAAAAGCATTCAGTTCAGCTGCTGCAAGGAGAGAGAGGAGGCAGAGAAAATGCAGCTTAACACGTGTCGGAGCCAGCCGTTACAAGTGGTGCAGTTTAGCATAAAATAAAGACACAGAGAGCCAGCAATATTTTCATGATGGTATGAGCTGCTTCTTTCGAACTTCCCTCTCCTCCGGTAACTTTTTTTATTATCCTTTGTCTCTCTCCAGCCGCATGGCCGTTTGCCAATGTCTCACGTTACCTCATCCGGTCAAGGCTTTTATTACACCCATCACCATATAGGGTCATCACTGCCCAGAGGAAACACAACTCCAATACATTCCAATACATTGTAAAGCTCAGAGTGCTGGTCAGCCGAGGTCAGGGGGCACCCTGCAATATTACAAGCCTTTACCGTGGCTTTATGACTCCCACATGCCCTCTTTCTTTATTTTATATCAGTACCAATACGGTTATATCGAGCACGATAAGCGACTCTTTGACACCGGAAGCGGGCCGCGGACTGGAGAACCATGCAGTACATATAGAAATTAAGGAAGGAATACATTGGATACAGCAACACAAAATAATGCAAATAACTACTATAATGATCACTAAAATCAATAAATGTCGAAGCCAACTTCCATCCGGAAGCCAAGAATATAAGAATTCTGATTCCAAGCTGCATGGGTAGGCTTCCTTTCTAGTTTATTAGCCATGCACTGGTGTCACTCCTATAGCACTGAGATTGGTCACTGTATGTTCCTGTAAGAGAACAAGAGCTATTAAAAGTGAAATTCAATGTATATTGACAGTTTGGATATATGCCCCATGATTCTTTCCCTCCTTAATTTGAAAATAAATGGGGGGAGGCTCATGGAGGGTCAATTGTACTGGAGGCCAAAAAGTTTGCTTAGGGGATATAATATTAGTAAATTGAAAAGATCCATTGACAGGCACACCATGAAGCATTATGCTGGAATGACTGGCATATACACCCAACATTTAGAAGCATGCAATAAACTGGCAAACATAATCATATCTTGTACAAAAATATTATCCCTCCATATCTTATGATAATTTTCTCCCCTAAAAGTCTTATTCAACAACGCTGTTCTTCTAGTTCGAAAGTGGCTGAGCTGTGGATACTGCCAGCCAGAGTAGGATTCTGGCGACAGCTGCTTGCCAGCCGATGAGGTGAAATATGGTGGTTTCAACTGGACAGGGTCGTATGCTTCTCTTCCTTGTATAACGGTGCAGCAAAGGATGGCAAGGCAAATGGTTAGGAAGGCAAACACTGCCAGATGCAGCTCGTGTGCAGCACCTCTAGGTGGCGCATGCGGAAAGGTTTCAATGCTTCACCCGCAAAATGTTGACAAAGTGTAGGGAGTTCCGCATGCCTTGAGGCAGGACAACCCACTGATATCGCTGGGTGGGCTGCGAATTGTTATATGCTGGCAATGTAAAAGCAAACCGTTCCCTGTCTGCTGGAGCCAGTGGGATGAAGATGGTTCAATGTGGCCGAAAGTCAATTGTTCAGAAATAAGCTGGTCAGAGATAGCTGGTGCCGCTGCTGAGGATTTTTCTTTTGGTAGAGGCCACTGTTCTACCCCCACTGGGGTATCGGTGATCCTGGTTTGCCACACTGGAAACAAGTTGTATCGGTGGCTACAGGCTGGTTTTCATTTAGCGCTGTTGCCAGCAGATGAGCCTTGTGGGTGGCTGTAGCTACAGACTGACAAATGCGAAGCATGGCTGCTGTGTCTGTGGCAGGATTGTGTATTATCGGTCGTAACGCAAGTTTACAATCCTCATTGGCATTTTCAAAGGCCAATTGTTTGATAATTATTTGTTTGGCTTCAGGATTTTCAATTTGGCGACTCACTGCTGTAAGCAGCCTATCCATAAAGGAAGAATATGATTCTCTTGCCTCTTGCCTGATTGAACCCCACCTTGATTGAATACTGGGTTCTGGGATTTTTCTCATTGCTTGTTTAGCAGCAAGAGCAGTGTCCCTCAATAAGATTTGCAGCAGTGTGGCTTGCACTGAAGCTTGAGCGAAGGGACCACGCCCCATCATGGCATCTGTGACGTCTGCGAGGGTAACATTTGGATTATTTCCTCTGACTTGTTGTAACAAGGCTGGAGCATAAGCACGGCAGGCAGTTTCCCATTCGTGGGCAAACAAAACACCAGCCGATGGGGGTAACACTGTATGGGCCAAAAGCTTGATGTCCTCTGGAACCAAGAGCTGGGCTAATGTGGCTTCTAAAAGCGCCTGCGTATATGGGGCTTGGAGTCCATTGGCCTTTACTGACTGTTGCAGCTCTCTCAAGATCTTAAAGTCAAAAGGTTGGTGTTGGGCTTGGGTGCCTGCTGGGGCACCAGCAGGGGGCACAATAACAGGGAATGCCATAGTATCCTGAATTAAGGAACAGGCAAGGACTGCACGTTGAAAAGGTTCTGGTTCTGGTTCTGCTGCTGAAAGAGCAGGATCATTGCCAGCCAGACCACGGTATTTTTGCAGGATTGGGTCCTCTGGTGAGGAACTGCAGTCCGGAGGTTTGGGGTCTGGGGCTGCTGCTGGCAAGGCAAGTGCTGGAACAGATGGCAGCACAGCAGGCTGAATTAAAGAAGCTGAAGGTTGTGTTGGCAATGCAGCCATGGAGATATTTTTTGGTGATAAAGAGCCCATGGCGTAACGAACCTTGCACCATGCATTTAGAATCCGAACACCTATGCTGGGGTGCCCATGAAAATGTTCCCCGATCTTGTCCCAAAGTTTTAATTCCCAAGTCCCATCTGCAGGAAACCAGGGGGAATGCTCTTCGATGGCCAGAATGAGCTGTATTAAATCACCCTCCGGAACTTCCAATTTGTTGGAGGAGAGGAGAAATTTTAAGTCTTTTAAAAATTTCTTTTGGGGAGCAGACAAAGAGCTGCCCATTTTTCTAAAATCAATAGAAAAAAAGGGATCAAAACTCACCGGGATCTTTTTAAGATGATTTAGCGCTATGGAACCCTTGCCGGGCGTGGTGAGCCGATGATATCCTTTGCTTGGATCGAAAAACCTCACACGGTTTCCTTTTAAAATCCTCTTAGTCTGCCTCAGACTGTTTTCTTTAAGTTGCCTCACACGGTTTTCTTTTAAAAGCCTCAGACATATTCTTTTATTCTGCCTCACACGGGGCACCACTTGTCGGAGCCAGCCGTTACAAGTGGCGCAGTTTAGCATAAAATAAAGACACAGAGAGCCAGCAATATTTTCATGATGGTATGAGCTGCTCCTTTCGAACTTCCCTCTCCTCCGGTAACTTTTTTTATTATCCTTTGTCTCTCTCCAGCCGCATGGCCGTTTGCCAATGTCTCACGTTACCTCATCCGGTCAAGGCTTTTATTGCCCCCATCACCATATAGGGTCATCACTGCCCAGAGGAAACACAACTCCAATACATTCCAATACATTGTAAAGCTCAGAGTGCTGGTCAGCCGAGGTCAGGGGGCACCCTGCAATATTACAAGCCTTTACCGTGGCTTTATGACTCCCACAAACACGGATGGCTGTTGTGGATTGTAAATGCAGTATTTTGTTTCCAATAAAGAGATATAAGGACAGAAGAACCATCTGGACTGATTTACTGCCCTTTCGACACACAGGCGCTGTGTAATTCTGCTAATTGCTTTACGACCACTCCGAAGCCACACTGTGTAAACAGAAGCTGGAGAGGCTCACAGGGGAAGCGGGGCTGGGCGCCAAACAATAAAGCAATAAAACTATCATTTCTTACATTCTTCCTCAATCTCCATTCAGCTTATAGAAAAATACGGCAATGTCTACAGTCTTCAGGTTGGAAGCATGAGGTTTGTGTTTGTGAATGGATTGCATCTGGTGAAAGAGGCTCTTGTCCATCAGGGTGAAAACTTTGTAGATCGACCAAATAGACCTGGTATCCAGGAAATATTTGGGACATCTGGTAAGTTTCTTTTAATGTTGTCAATTATTTAGATAATTAAATAATTCCTTTTTATTTTTTATTTTTTATGGTCTGCATTGATTGGGGAACCTTTTAGATTATTCCTCAAGTTTAAATATTCAGGACTCATTGTTAGATCTTTCCTTAATCTTCATTTTCATTCCTTGCATCTTTAAACTACTAGTAGTAAGATGTGTCATAAAAGTATACCTACTAAACTGTTTAGATTAACTGAACTCACCATTCAGTATTGAGTACTGAAGATAAACAGCTTGTAAATAAGAACCTGGCTTTATTATGGATGGAGGAATCTGTCGGTTTTTCTTTCAATCAGTTCTTCATTTTTCCATTCCTCAGTTTGAAACACTTACACATCAGTAACACTCCAGTTTGTGCATTGTTTCAGCAAGTGAGACTGAAGTAAGATTGCATTTAAATTCAAGATGAACTGAATTTCTGTCCCATCACTAGTAGAGATGGAATAATAGTTAGTGCTTAAGCGTGAAAGGAACAGGTAATATCTTCTTCATAGTCATTTATCTGTTGTTGTTGTTGTTGTTGTTTAGTCGTTTAGTCATGTCCGACTCTTCGTGACCCCATGGACCAGAGCACGCCAGGCACCCCTGTCTTCCACTGCCTCCCGTAGTTTGGTCAGATTCATGTTTGTAGCTTCAAGAACACTGTCCAACCATCTGGTAGTCTGTCGTCCCCTTCTCCTTGTGCCCTCCATCTTTCCCAACATCAGGGTCTTTTCCAGGGAGTCTTCTCTTCTCATGAGGTGGCCAAAGTATTGGAGCCTCAGCTTCACGATCTGTCCTTCCAGTTAGCACTCAGGGCTGATTTCCTTAAGAATGGATACGTTTGATCTTCTTGCAGTCCATGGGACTCTCAAGAGTCTCCTCCAGCACCATAATTCAAAAGCGTCAATTCTTCGGCGATCAGCCTTCTTGATGGTCCAGATCTCACTTCCATACATAACTACTGGGAAAACCATGGCTTTAACTATACGGACCTTTGTTGGTAAGGTGATGTCTCTGCTTTTTAAGATGCTGTCTAGGTTTGCCATCGCCTTTCTCCCAAGGAGAAGGCGTCTTTTAATTTCGTGACTGCTGTCACCATCTACAGTGATCATGGAGCCCAAGAAAGTAAAATCTCTCACTGCCTCCATTTCTTCCCCTTCTATTTGCCAGCAGGTGATGGGCCCAGTGGCCATGATCTTCGTTTTTTTGATGTTGAGCTTCAGACCATATTTTGCGCTCTCCTCTTTCACCCTCATTAAAAGGTTCTTTAATTCCTCCTCACTTTCTGCCATCAAGGTTGTGTCATCTGCATATCTGAGGTTGTTGATATTTCTTCCGGCAATCTTAATTCCGGTTTGGGATTCATCCAGCCCAGCCTTTCGCATGATGAATTCTGCATATAAGTTAAATAAGCAGGGAGACAATATACAGCCTTGCCGTACTCCTTTCCCAATTTTGAACCAATCAGTTGTTCCATATCCAGTTCTAACTGTAGCTTCTTGTCCCACATAGAGATTTCTCAGGAGACAGATGAGGTGATCAGGCACTCCTATTTCTTTAAGAACTTGCCATAGTTTGCTGTGGTCAATGCAGTCAAAGGCTTTTGCATAGTCAATGAAGCAGAAGTAGATGTCATTTATCTACTTATAGGGCAAATCCTGGAAAAAGGATTACAGTTCACAAGCCAACCTAAGGAGGGATAATGACGTTAACATAGCAAAATGAAACAAAAAGAAAAAAATCTATTAACCACGAGGAAAGGAAGGGTGTGAATAATTACAGAAGGGGCTAGAATGGGACCCCCATTTTAAATCTAAACCAGTTAATTCCGGGGGGGGGGGGATGCCTGAGTGGCCTAAGGAGAGGAAGGAACAAAATATATTAACTGCATGACTTCTTCACCTGTCAGTATTTTTTTAATGCTGCTTTTCTATCGAGAGTTCCCACAGTGTTTAACAGGACAAAATAAAATTAGTATTAAAAATTCTACCCAAACAGTGAAACACACAAAAGCATCAATGAAACAGCAGTAACAGGAAACGGCAGAATTCAGAGCAAACAGATAAAAGCCACCAGCACAAATTGGCTAGTTTCTAATGCCTTGCAGTCTTTCCAAATGTCATCAGCAGGCAAGCAGAATAATGGAAAGCAAAGAGGAGTCCATCTTGGAATTAACAGGATTGCTAAATCTACTTACTTTCAGATTCAGAATATTTTTTTTCTTGTTTTCCTCTTCCAAAAACTAGATGTGTCTTGTGGTCTGGTGCGTCTTATAGAGCAAAAAATACGGTAGCTAGTTTCTAATGCCTTACAGTCTTCCCAACATGTCATGAGCAGCCAAGCAGAATAATGGAAAGCAGAGGGGAGTCCATCTTGAAATTAAAAGGACTGATAAATCTACTTACTTGCTCTACGTACTTATTACTCCTTCCTATCTAGGACTGGTCTTCTCTAATGGTCTCATCTGGAAACAACAAAGACGATTTGCCGTATCAACACTCAGAAACTTTGGTTTGGGCAAAAGGTCTTTAGAAGAAAGAATACAGGAGGAAAGCCGTTACTTAAACGAAGCAATAGAAGCTGAGAAAGGTGAGAACCAGAGTCAACAATCCTGTGGCCCACCTATGATACTTACCTTAAGTTGCTACTTTGTATGAACTAGGTCATGACTACATCAGCTAGGTGCAAAGCTGTGTGGCATTATTTCTTCACACAAATGTAGCTCTCCTTGGACTGGAATGACCCTGTGATGGCAAAGGGGGTGTTGATAGGAAGCTCCACAGAGGCTCATTGTGGTGCACAAAAGTTCTAGTGTGAAGCTCTGTGTTGGAACCTGCCATGGGAGCTAAAAGCCCCTGAACTAGAACAGAATAAGAACAAAGGTTGGGTTTTGAGGATATCTGCAGATTTTTGATAATTTCTACAACCAACGTCGCAAATAGAGTAGGGTTTGAAGTGCAATATTTCTGGTATATCAGTGTGTCTCTATACTGTCTCTGATGGGGATGGTCCTTATCCTTTTTGACAGCCATTGTTACAAAAATGCCCTTTCCTGACCTCCTGCCTCTCAGATCAATATCACCATACTGCAGAATAATCATTGCCTATAGAGAATAAATATAAATGGGCCTCAGAGTCCTGAGTGTCCCAGGTTAAATTATAAGATATAATGTTAATATGAAATGATTTCTTCAGCTAAAACAAATCCTGCCTCATCAACATCCAACCACTTTCCCCGCCTTCTGTTTTTGTTATATGGAAGCTAGAAGCACCCCAATTCCTTCTGCACCATTTTCTCTCTCTCTCCAGGGCAGCCATTTGACCCTCAATTTCAGTTTCATAATGCTGTTTCAAATATCATCTGTTCCATCACTTTTGGGGACCGCTTTGATTACCATGACAGCCGTTTCCATAATTTATTGCACCTGTTTGATGAGACAAACCACCTTCAGGGAAGTTTTTGGACTGTGGTAGGTCTTCTTTGAGTTCAACAGAATTGCTTTGATTCCAGACACATTCCCACATTCTTGCTGACTGTGCAATCATTTGCTTTGGGTCCTCCTGTTTCTTCATGTTCTCATTCCTGTTTTCTCCCTTACTATTCATTCAAGTCTCTTGACTCATCCATATTCCTTTGCCTTCTAGCTTTTTTTATCAAGGCACTAAAGACTTTACTATTGCAATGTGTATTACAGCAGAGGTTGTGTTTTTAAGAGGCTGGAGGTATGCGCATATCCATTCCTCATACGCAGGTGTCCAGTGACCCACATCCAGTGGAGCTGTGGGCATGCTCTTAGCATTAGCAGAGTATCAGCAAAGAAGTGAGGCTGTAGGTATTTGGCATCACAAAAGCTTCTTTATTTACAAAATATCAAAATAACAAACATGGCTGAGTGTCAGCAGCAGCTTCACACATCTCCTCTGTCTGAGTCTGAGTTCTGTTCCCACACTCCTATCACTATGGAATGTAAAGAGTGGATCACGAGATCCAGCAGCAAAAAGAGAATGAAATTACTAATAGGAAGGCTGTCACATGTGTGACTGAATAAAATCTCTGTGTATGTGAACAGGGTGTGACTTGATCCTACACAAACCTGTTCTAATCTGTGAATGGAAGCCCCATGCAGATGCATAACATTAAAGGGAAACTCTACATATTCATGACATGAGCAGGCATTGATAAAGGCCTTTTTCAAATGATGGCAATCATCTTCTTGAGAAGTCAATCAGTGAATTACAAGTTGTGTTCGTAGAACTAACCACAATGATGCCATTTGATTTGCAATCTCTACATTCTAACCAAGAAGTTAAGACATTGCCATGGGGTACCATCGTAAGCAGTGGTGAGTGCAATATTTGCTCTGGTTCCAAGAGAGTCTGCCATCTTTGAGCCTGTGCACACCAGCCTTTATTACTGCTAGCTCCTTTCCCATGACAACGACATGATGTGAATGCTTTTTTGAGAGGGTTTTTCCTTCACATATATGATATTAGTGTTTGTTTCCTCAGCTGTACGATGCATTTCCTACTGTCATGAAGCACTTGCCAGGGCCCCATCAGACACTTTTTAAAAAATGGGGGCAGCTGAAATACTTTGTGAGAGAAATCATTGAAAAACACAAAGAAGACTGGAACCCATCTGAACCCAGAGACTTCATTGACGCCTACCTAAATGAAATGGCCAAGGTGAGAGATGAAAAGGTAAAAAAGTATGTATCTTTATTAACAAAACAGTAGTAGAAGGCAGCGAAGCAATATTAAAAACCAGAACTAGTCATGTGGCTTGTCTGAATGCTCCTTAGTGCCTGACCATATTCTGTCTGTTGAATTTATGACTTCAGACAAAATACATTTCTGCATGCACAGAATATGAGGTCATGTATTTTATGGGGAGACACCTCCACACTTGTTCACTGCTGGGATTTCACCACTAGTCGGTGGTTTGTGAGAGCAAACAGTTGACATGACTAAAAGAATCTCTGCAGTGCAGGCATCTCATGACTAAAGGATTCAGTTGCCTGAATAAACCCAGACCAGGAATTATTGACCAGAACAAACCCAAGCTTTATGCCAGCATCAGAGAGTCATAGGACTCTTGACTGGACCTTCCTAGAGGCAGGATTGTTGTTGTTTAGTCGTTTAGTCGTGTACCACTCTTCGTGACCCCATGGACCAGAGCACGCCAGGCACTTCTGTCTTCCACTGCCTCCTGCAATTTGGTCAGACTCATGTTTGTAGCTTCGAGAACACTGTCCAACCATCTCGTCCTCTGTCGTCCCCTTCTCCTTGTGCCCTCCATCTTTCCCAACATCAGGGTCTTTTCCAGGGAGTCTTCTCTTCTCATGAGGTGGCCAAAGTATTGGAGCCTCAGCTTCACGATCTGTCCTTCCAGTGAGCACTCAGGGCTGATTTCCTTAAGAATGGATGCATTTGATCTTCTTGCAGTTCATGGGACTCTCAAGAGTCTCCTCCAGCACCATAATTCACAAGCATCAATTCTTCGGCGATCAGCCTTCTTGATGGTCCAGCTCTCACTCCCATACATCACTACTGGGAAAACCATGGCTTTAACTATACGGACCTTTGTTGGTAAGGTGATGTCTCTGCTTTTTAAGATGCTGTCTAAGTTTGCCATCGCCTTTCTCCCAAGGAGAAGGCATCTTTCAATTTCGTGACTGCTGTCACCATCTGCAGTGATCATGGAGCCTAAGAAAGTAAAATCTCTCACTGCCTCCATTTCTTCCCCTTCTATTTGCCAGGAGGTGATGGGCCCAGTGGCCATGATCTTCGTTTTTTTGATGTTGAGCTTCAGACCATATCTTGCGCTCTCCTCTTTCACCCTCATTAAAAGGTTCTTTAATTCCTCCTCACTTTCTGCCATCAAGGTTGTGTCATCTTCATATCTGAGGTTGTTGATATTTCTTCCAGCGATCTTAATTCCGACTTGGGATTCATCTAGCCCAGCCTTTCGCATGATGAATTCTGCATATAAGTTAAATAAGCAGGGAGACAATATACAGCCTTGCCGTACTCCTTTCCCAATTTTGAACCAATCAGTTGTTCCATATCCAGTTCTAACTGTAGCTTCTTGTCTCACATAGAGATTTCTCAGGAGACAGGTGAGGTGATCAGGCACTCCCATTTCTTTAAGAACTTGCCATAGTTTGCTGTGGTCGACACAGTTAAAGGCTTTTGCATAGTCAATGAAGCAGAAGTAGATGTCTTTCTGGAACTCTCTAGCTTTCTCTAGAGGCAGGATTAGAGTCACTGAATCCCCTGGTGATCTCTTGACATGTGGGGCTGTCAGTAGGATGGTGTTTTTAATGACAGCTGAACTCCCTGGTGCATTTTCTTTGCTTTAAGGAGGATGCCCCTTCCAGTTTCCATGAAGAAAGCCTCCTACAATCAACACTGGATCTGTTTTCTGCTGGAACACAATCAGTTGCTGCAACCCTGCGCTGGGCTTTGCTGTACATGGCCATATACCCAGAAATTCAAGGTAGAACTGTAGTTGACTCATTTGCCTTTCATTACAGTCGGAATACTGCAGCTTCAGGTAGACTCGTCAGAAAACACACATTCCCCTCAATAAAAGAATGAAGTCTTAAGGCATTGCTGAAACTTGACTAGTGAAAGTCCTGTGTGCTTTTTCAGTTGAAGGGAATTTCACAAATGAGATACCGCTACTCAGGTGGGTCTATCCCTTGTCACCATCTACTGGGTACTCAGTGGTGGGACATCAAGGTGCAGTTTCCTTGCAGATATTGGTTTATGTCTGTTCTCCTTGTATTGATAGCAGATTTTCTTTTCTCTGCAGCAAAAGTCCAAGCAGAAATAGATTCTGTGATTGGCCAGTCTCGCCAGCCAGCAATGGATGACAGGGACAGCATGCCGTATACCAATGCGGTTGTTCATGAAATTCAAAGAATAAGCAACACTGTACCTGTGAATACGCCCCGGATGACAACTAAGGACACTACACTCGCTGGGTTTCATATTCCCAAAGTAAGTATTAAGATGATACATGGTACCTTGGGAGGAAACCATATTGATTCCCAACCTGACTTTGAATGTCTTTTAAAATCTATATTGGAACTGTGCTTTTGTGGGACTTCGTTGGATGAATTCCTTAATAATGAGAAGTAAATATTGCTTTCAGAACATATCCTTGCTCTGTCAGGGGATAGAGGCTTAGTACTACTATAATTTCAAAGAGAATACAGTGGTACCTCTGGTTACGAACTTAATTCATTCCGAAGGTGTGTTCTTAACCTGAAACCGTTCTTAACCTGAGGTACCACCTTAGCTAATGGGGCCTCCCGCTGCCACCACGCCACTACTGTGTGATTTCTGTTCTCATCCTGAGGTAAAGTGCTCAACCCGAGGTACTACCTCCTTGTTAGTGGAGTCTGTAACCTGAAGTATTTGTAACACAAGGTGTTTGTAACCCGAGGTACCACTGTACTCGAAAGTGCCTTGTCATTTTTATCTACTTTCTTCTCTGCTTCTCCTTTGCCAGGGAACCATAATGCTCGCCAATTTGACCTCTGTGCTGTTTGACAAGGATCAGTGGGAAACACCCAATGAGTTTAATCCTGGCCATTTCCTGGAAAATGATCAGTTCATGAAAAGGGAAGCGTTCTTGCCATTTTCTGCAGGTAAAAAAGTTCATGGGCTGCTCATCAGAACTGCAACAGTGACAATATGATGGTGATTTGGTTGCTGAGAGCCTTGTGTATTGCTGGGGTTACCACCCTATTGGGACCAGTGGTCACATTTGGGATTTTGAGGAAGTGCTCTGTGTGCATGTCACAAAATGGCTGCCATGGGAGGTGGGATGTTACATGAAATGGTGTTGATATACTCCCCCCCCTCCACCCAGTAAGCAAGCAGTTTGGATTTTTTTAGGGAATATTTACTGGGACCTTTCTCAGTTGCCCTAGAACAGAAACCTACTTCCATCTGGAACTTGAGCAACTAACTCTGTTTGCCACACCCTTAGCTACATAAGCTATATGCAGATTAGGGGGATTCCTAATAAAATATAATTGAAATTGAAATTTTCTCCAAAACTACATATGAGAGAAATTTATGTTAATTGAAATGTATCTATTCCAAATTCTCAAAAACCATGATCATATTTGTTCAGTGTTCCCATTTGCTTCACTAGGAAGTACAGAGGACTGGTTTCTATCTTTATTTTGTAATAACATACTGTTTTAAAGTATTTGTTCTCTCAGTGCTGTTTTAAACTGTGCAGCTGTTTACTGTAGCAAAGCTCTCCACTGAAAAAGTCTCTTTCTCCCTCTCTTCTAGGAAAGCGAGCTTGTCTGGGAGAGCAGTTGGCAAGGACTGAGCTCTTTCTTTTCTTCACTGCCCTAATTCAGAAGTTCACTTTCCAAGCTCCAAAGAATGAGACATTAAGCCGTGAATATAGGATGGGTTTGGCATTGTCTCCCCTGCCATACCGGATATGTGCATTCTCTCGCTAAGGGACCCATCTTATAGCATTGCCATTTCTTTTAAAAGTCGGATTAGTTTGTGGGGCAGAAACATTCCTGTGGCTTAATACAAAATATGTTAAGCCAGAATTGATTAGGACTTAACCCAAGTAAGCAGGGTTGGGATTGCAGCCTGTACCTTTAAAAAAAGTGCATTCAGTTCACATTTCCCCCCTCAAGGAATTCAGGCAACTATAACTTAAGGTTGCTGGGAATTGTAGCTCTCTGAAGGGTAAACTACATTTCCCATGATTCTCGGGGGCGTGTATGTATGCAAATAATATTGTTTCATTGGTGAGGATCCAAATTCTATCCCCCCGCTTCTTGGTCAGGCGGTCTATCCCCCATCCCACTATTTTCAATATTATTATGTCCTGGTTGTAGTGAAGAAAAGGCATTGCTTGCTCTAATGGAATTCCTGCCTATGTTTATAAAATTAGAAAATGTTGCTTTGAAAATATTGTTACATAACCAATTCATAGACTCATAGAATTTCAGAGTTGCAAGGGACCCCAAGGGTAATCTAGGGCTGCCATATATCTGGGTTTTCCCAGACACATCCAGGAATTGGGCTGCAAAATGATGTCTGGGCAGATTTTTGCTGAATTGGCAAAATGTTTGAGAAAAATAGGGACACTTTTTAAAACAACAACAGCAACAACAAAATTTATAGATCCCCATCTTAAAGTAAACAACCCCCCCCCCCAAAAAAAAGCTCAACAACTTAACGCTGGGGGAAATGGTCAACCCCCCCATCTTTCACGCAATGTGGGGCTCAAACCCATGAGCCTGAGATTATCTTTGTTCTGTATTGCTGGCCCAAACCCCAAGGCAGATTTTAAATGTGCTTCTAAATATAGTAAAATTGGTGGGTTAAGCATAGAACTCTTGAGTTGTATGGTGGACAATGAATATTCCCTAGGTTTTATTATTTTCCCAAAACAATTTTGTTTTTCTTTATTAAACATGGTGGATAACAAGGTGAAAACTGAGTCTGCAAAGTGTTTTCCATGAAAATCGTTAAAAGTGGCAATTTGGCTGTCAGGGAGCACATATTGCTGATACTCACAGGGGCAGGGGCAGAGGAGAATGTCAGAAGATGCATGCTCCATTTTCATCAGTACTATTGTGTCCAGTTGAAAACATTCAAGCAGAAATTTCCTGGGGATATTGTGCCTGAAGTTCTTTGGGAGTCTTGGGCTTGATGTGTGCTTGGCCTGAACCAATCTCTCCTGTGATGTTCTTTGGGAGAAGGAACAAGGAGTCTTAAGGCCTTTGAACAAATATTATTGAATAATAAAGGCTTACTCTCAGTTCTTTCTAAAATTATATTGGATGCCACTGTAGGTGGACCTGCTGGTTAGAAGTTGTGCTGGGAAATGTTGGTCAGAAGTGAAAAAGGATTTAGAGATATGGTCAAACTTGAAGCTTTCCTTGTTAGGCCAAATTGCTGTTATAAAGATGAATGTATTGCCAAGAATGTTATTTCTGTTTCAATCATTGCAAATTTTGGACAAAATGGACTGTTTCAAGAAGTGGCAGAGAGACATTTCTAGATTTGTCTGGCAGGGCAAGAAGCCCAGAATAAAATTTAAAATATTAACTGATGCAAAGGATAGAGGTGGATTTGCCCTGCCAGACCTTAAACTTTATTATAAATCAGCAGCATTCTGCTGGTTGAAAGAATGGCTGCTTCTTGAGAACACAGACATTTTGGATTTAGAAGGTTTTAATAATGTTTTTGGGTGGCACGCATATTTGTGGTATGACAAGGTTAAAGCACATAAAGCATTTAAAAATCATATTGTCAGGAAAGCATTGTTAAATGTCTGGATAAGATATAAGGACTTACTTGAAAATAAAACCCCAAGGTGGTTGTCACCGATGGAAGCAAAGGCTCAGAAAAGGCTCAATATGGAGGCCAAATGGCCGAAATATTGGGAAATTTTGGAACAAGAAGGAGACAAATTGAAATTGCAGAGTTTTGAGAAATTAAAAGACAAAGCGCGAGACTGGCTTCATTATTATCAGATAATGGAGGCATACAATTTGGATAAGAAAGTTGGCTTCCAGGTGGAAAAATCAAAATTGGAAACAGAACTGTTAGAATCCAAAACTAAGATTTTGTCAAAAATGTATAACTTGCTGTTGAAATGGAATACTCAGGATGAAACGGTGAAATCTGCTATGATTAAATGGGCACAAGATCTTGGACATAACATTATGTTTGCTGATTGGGAACAGTTGTGGACCACAGGTATGAAATTTATGGCATGTAATGCCCTAAAAGAGAATATTATGAAAATGATATACAGGTGGTACATGACACCAGTCAAGCTTGCAAAAATCTACCATTCGCCCAATAATAAATGTTGGAAATGTAAAGAAAATGAAGGTACATTCTTTCACCTTTGGTGGACGTGCCCAAGGATCAAGGCTTTCTGGGAGATAATATATAACGAATTGAAAAAGGTATTTAAATATATCTTCTTGAAGAAACCAGAGGCCTTTCTCCTGGGCATAGTCGGCCAATTGGTGCCAAAGAAGGACAGAACTTTTTTTATGTATGCTACTACAGCAGCAAGAATTCTCTTTGCAAAGTATTGGAAGACACAAGATCTACCCACCTTGGAAGAATGGCAGATGAAGGCGATGGACTATATGGAATTGGCGGAAATGACTGGCAGAATCCGAGACCAGGGAGAAGAGTCGATGGAAGAAGATTGGAAAAAGTTTAAAGACTATTTACAGAAATATTGCAAAATTAATGAATGTTAGAATGATGTCGGATAGAAACTAAGTGGTCTTTAGCCGAAATGTTATAAGGGAATATGAAAAAATGGTTTGTTAATAGGTAAAAATCGAAAATTACAAATATTTTATGATTAACGATTAGGATACATAAAGAGGGGAGGGATTTGTTGAACTAATAACCGAACTGGAATACAAAAAAGGGAGGTGTGAGGAGGTCCTGGAAATAAGCAAATGAAGGCTAAGTAATGGAAGGAAGGAATTGTTTTTAACTATTTTTACTTTGTATTTTTCTTTTTTCTTTTTATGTTTTGTAATATTTTGAAAACCTTGATAAATATCTTATAAAAAAAGAAGAAGAAGTTGTGCTGGGAACAAAATATCCAGCTTTCGCTCAGTGATAGAGACTGGGAGGTTTTGTGGTGGAAATTGCCTTATAAATCAATCTTTGCTTCTGTGAGGGAATTATCTTTGAAAGTATTGCACAGCTGGTATTTGACACCCAGGTATTTGGCCCACACTGCATCAGTTTCCTCCCCCCTCTGTTGGGTGGTGGGTGTCACCAGGTGGGCATGTATTGATACATTTGGGTTTGGGGGAGAAGGAGCTTATAGAAATCTCTCAAATAATGCAACAGGATGTGCTCCTTACCCCAAGTTTGGCACTGAAACTAACAATTCAAAATGGGTTTTAAAGAACAATGAACTTATTGTCCACCTGGTCACAAGAAGATGAATAATAATGAAAGTTATTTTCTTGTTTTGTTCTGGGGAAGGAATTTTCCTGAGCATCACTATTATTTCTTCTGTGAAATAGGTATTTCCTGGTCCCCACAATAGTTTCAGAAGTACCCCTGGGCCCCGAAAGGTGGGAGCCTCTGGTTTCCACAGCAACATTTTTGCAACTGGGTTCTTTCATACTTTGACCTCCCCCAGCAGAAGTCCATGCTGTTGCAGCTTGCAGCCACTGATGCTCCACATGCACTGTGGCAGCAATAAGGACTTGCCATTCAGCTCCACAGTAGACACAATTCCACCTGTCCAGCTGATTATCATCAGTTTTAGTACTCTTGTATTTATGATGGGGAACCAAGGCTAAGAGATCATGGCTTGGCTAAGACCAGTATCCACCCCCCATGGTAAGGTGGCTCTCACTAGACCTCCCAAGAGCTGAGTTGTTCCTGCTTACTTGGAGGGAGGAAAAGCAACTCAACGCACCAATGGAGCCAATCCAGAGCTCCTGCCAATGAATTTGCATTGCACAAAGTTCCCCCCTTCTGCATGGTCTGCTGCTGTGTGAAACTATCTAGTCCTAGAGTGCTCTCCAGTGATGCCTGACTGTTGACCACACAACCTAGGGCTGTTGGGAGTTGGAGACCCAAAACATCTGGAGAGGTGCTGGTTTCCAGTTAGTCTGGTCAGTCTGTCGCCAAAGCAAAATCTAATTCATGCAATACTGAACAGAAGGCAAGCAGGGTGACTTCTCTGACCTCCTTAGGCAGAGGTCAGAGCTGCAGAAGCTACCCCGATCCAAACCTCTCAGGAACAGAAGGATCCTCCTTAGTGTAAGTTTTTTTTTTTTTTAATTTATTGACAGTGCTTTGATTTGCACTGGGAGAAAATCCTTCTTGGAAATGTCATGAAGGAAAATATCCTTTGCTGTTTCACAAAAGTGAAAACAGGAAGGAAATACTCTAAATCAGAAAGCTGCTATTCTCCACTCTCTTTTGCCCCCTTGGTACAGTGAGTCATGAAGTCATCTCTTTCCTGCCTCTGTGTGGGCGTGATATATAGCAATACACATAGACTTTGCCCTTATTTATTTCAGGAACTTTAGCCAAGAGGACAGGTGTGACTGCTCTAGCTGCCTGAGATTTGGGTTTCCATCCACACACAGCAATCTGTTTTGACAAAACCAGGCTAGAAGAATGTTGCTCCAGCTTCTCTCTGTCCTCTGGGAGGCCTTGTCCTTGCAGGTCGTTCTGGTGTTTCTGGCTACATTTCTACTTCTTGCTGATTTCAAGAAAAAGATTCGCCCAAGGAATTTCCCCCCAGGGCCCATGTGTCTTCCTTTTTTGGGTAACTTGCTACATATGGATTTCAAGAATCCTCAGAATGCAGTACGAAAGGTAAGGATGAAGGAAAGAGCCATGGCATGAGTTGAAAACATTGCACCCCCAGATTTAGGGTGGTGGGGTCAGTTCCTTCGTTTAGGGTGCCAAGCCAAGTGGGCCAAAATTGAGAAGATCCATTTGGAGGCGCCAGATTTTGGCCTCACTCAGTGTGCCATACAACCAAAGATTAGCAAAGTTAACCCCTGTTTTGCGCTGGAAAGGCATGCAAGACCCTTGCAGGATAAGTTGCTTCCTAGTTTAGCATCCTGATTCCAAGAATGGTCAGCTGGATGTCTGTGAGAAGCCCACACATGGGGCCCCAAGACAAATGCCTTTCTGTTTGTTCCCAGCATCTGGTATCCAGATGTGTATTACCTCTGAACTCAGAGGATCTGTTTTACCTAACAGTTATTTGTACCAAATCTGTCTCCACAGCTTTCTTTTGCTTTCTGTGGTTTGCAAAGTATTTTGTGTGTTTTGCATGGACAGGCGGAGTCCCCCCATTCCCAGGCGACCCCCGGGTAGATTTATGACTCAAGACACTGTGCTATGGGATGAAAATTGGCCACAACATTATTAGAACTTCGGATGTAGGGAGACCTTGGCTTAGGCCTTGGGCGTTTATCCCTCCCAGTCCATGGCCAGGGAGCTGGGGAACATCAGGGTTATCCAGAATGTGTGGGGATTGGGCTGGCTCTGGAGAATGTCTGTCAAGCAGAGAGCCCGCCCCCCATTTCTCCGTCGTCACAAGGGAGAGTAATGACAACCAATAGGCGTATGGCCAATGCCTCCCCTCTTACAACCCCTTTAACGGGGAACCCTGGGATCGCCGCCACAGGGGGGGCATGGGTCACCGCTTAACGTCCCCCCCCCATTAGGGAAGATAGACTAAAGGATTCCGCCAAAGGCCTGAAACCGCCAAAGTTGTGACGTTTTGCTACAGGGAAGGTAAAACCTGCCAATGCAGGAAAATTCCTTTCCGGCCCTTCAACAGCGACCTTAGCATAGCAGCGCCCGCATACCTGTAAAGAAGTTAGCCTGCAAAAGAAAACTTAACTGAGGGAGGGCAGGATGGGAGAAGCTCTGGAGTCAACTGAGGATTCCCAGGTAAGACCCTCCCTCTATTGTGTGGCCAGGGTGGTCCTTCCCCTTACGTGGCCAGGTCCCGCCGGGACTGGATAACAGGCAGAGGTAGGCGGAGACCTCCAGGAGTCTGGCTGGGGGGAGAAGCCAGGATATACTCCCGGGAGCCGCTTAGGTCCAGGGGGTCTGCTCGCGACCACGCAAAAGGCGCCCCCCATTTGATGTGGAGAGCCGTCATTGGTGTACATTGTCCTACCCTCCCTCCCCTTTTATCTTTGCAACAACCCTGTGTGGTAGATGAGGCTAAGTTGCCACAAATACATAAGCAGCAGCTCTTGTGAATAGAAGACAGGTGGAGGATGGAGGGGGCCTGTCCATGTACAGTCCCCGGAAACCCTTTCAGCATTTCTGATATCCCTGATATATTTGATGGCAACCAAAGTTTCCATCTTCCATATAAGCATCAAAGAAGAACCAGGTATGCGCATGTGCGTGAACACACACACACACACACACAATTCTTCTTTCTCACTCTCCTTCCAGTTTTCCAAAAAATACGGCAATGTGTTCAGCGTTCAGGTTGGAAGCATGCGTTTTGTGGTTGTGAGTGGATTGCAACTGGTGAAGGAAGCTCTTGTTCATCAGGGTGAAAACTTTGTAGACCGGCCCACATCTCCTGTTAATGCTGAAATATTTGGGTCTTTTGGTAAGTTTCTTTTAACATGGTCAATTACTGAGATAGTTAAAGTTTGCTTTTCCCTTTTCTTTTCTTTTCTTTTCTTTTCTTTTTTTCTTTTCTTTTTCATTCTCTGCACTGATTTTGCAATCTTTTGGATTGTTTCTCAAGTTTAAATTTTCAGAACTGATTATTTCCCTAATTTGCATTTGCATTTCTTGCATCTTTAAACCAAAATAAGGCAGTTGTAGTAAAGCTGTGGCATAGACGTATACCTGCTAAACTCTTTAGCTTAACTGAGCTCACTGTTCAGTGTTGGGTGGCAATCAAAGAGTCTGGCTGTGTAGTGCATCAAACAGCTTGTCATTATTATGGGTAGAGGAATCTCTGAGTTTTTTCTTTCATTCAGTTCCTCATTTTTCCGTTCCTCAGTTTGCCACACTATTGCATCTAATAACATTTCATTTAATGCATTGTTTCTGCAACTGAGAATACCGTAAGATTGCATTTAAATTGCAAGCTGAAGTGACTTTCTGCCCCATCCCTAGTAGTGATGGAATAATATGTCAACATTAAGTAGTGCATGAATCCCTCCTACTATTGGTCCTCCCCAATACCAAGAATAAGAGAGGTGACAACCAATATTTGGGTGATACCAGGCTACACCTTTATTGACAACACATGTAAGAAGTTTGGCATAGGCATTGGGTAGATCCCACCCCTTCCAGCCCACCTGCTAAAAGAACTTGTGTTTGGGGGTCAACCAGAAATGAGAGAGCTCCTGCCCTACATCAAGGGGTAACTCCCCCGCTGGATTGCATATAGGGAATGCTGTAGCCCCTCGCTTTCACCTGGGTGTCTAGACTGAAGCATCTTCCCGGACCCAATTTCAGAAGGGCCAGACAGAGGCTATAACCTCCCTCCAAGCAAGACTATGTCTATCTAATGCCTAAACTGCCAAAGTTCTGACAACTGCTATGAAGATGGAAAAACCAAAGGGCTGGAGCCAATCTGCCAACTGGGAAAATTTCAACCTGGCCCCAAATATGGCAACTGGCTGTACCATAGCAAGGTCAAACAGAACAACATGCAACAGCAGTATATAAAGGATGGGAGATCCAACAGTAAGTGGCTGCAGAGAAAGCCACAGTCCTATGTCATATACTGGGTGACCCATGCCTGCTCACATATTAGGTAAGTGGACGGGACCAATTACTCAGGCAGGAAGCTCAGCCCAGAGGCTTCCTTTGCTGACTGGGAAACGGTCCCTGGGAGTTCCCAAATCAGAACTTGTCACATGGGGGAATGCCAGCCTGCAATGGCATCCAACAGGAAACATGAGTGGACTTCTTATTCAACCATAGCCAACCAGAGAAGTTGCTTCACGCATACAGACCTGATCCATGAAGCATTCTGGAGCAAGATGCAATTCAGATGACTGTTGGGTTCATGCCAGGTTGCTTCTTTTCTGCTTAGGCCAGTAGTTGTGATTAAAGTAAATTTGTGCCAATTGCACCACAGTTTTCAATGCAAAGCTGCCAAGAAATGAATGGCCTTTATGAAACAACACTCCCCCTTAGCAGTAAGTAGAGGTCAAGAGTGGGGTCACTGGCATGGACTCAGGAATTTGGAGTCTGTTGTGACACCTAATGCCCATTAAAAGCTGATGAGCAGAGCCGCCCCTGCAATTGCATCCAACTATATAAAGAAAGGGGAAAGCAGTGGGAATGGAAGCAGGTCCCTTTGAGGTCCACAGGTGCCCAACACGTAGCAAAAAAGTTGTGCAAATGAAATGGAAAAGAGAAATCTATTCATAGTGAGCAAATGAAGGGTGTGAATAATTACAGAAGGGGCTAGAGTGGGACTCCCCATTTAAAATTTAATACCTCTTAATTCCAGAAAGGGGACACGGGTGGCGCTGTGGGTTAAACCACAGAGCCTAGGACTTGCCGATCAGAAGGTTGGCGGTTCGAATCCCCGCGATGGGGTGAGCTCCCGTTGTTCGGTCCCTGCTCCTGCCAACCTAGCAGTTCGAAAGCACGTCAAAGTGCAAGTAGATAAATAGGTACCGCTCCAGCGGGAAGGTAAACGGCATTTTCATGCGCTGCTCTGGTTCACCAGAAGCGGCTTAGTCATGCTGGCCACATGACCCGGAAGCTGTACGCAGGCTCCCTCGGTCAATAAAGCGAGATGAGTGCTGCAACCCCAGAGTCGGCCACGACTGGACCTAATGATCAGGGGTCCCTTTACCTTTACCTTTAATTCCAGAAAAGGAATACCAGAGTTGCCTAATGGACCTCAGAAATGAAGGAGTAAAATATATTGACTGTATGATTTTACAACTGTTAAAACTGTTGCTTTTTAAATAAAAATCTATATGCTGCCTTTCTATCAAGAGCTCCCACAGTGTTTCACAGGACAAAATAAAATTAGTATTAAAAATTCTACCCAAACAGTGAAACACACAAAAAGCAAATCAATGAAACAGCAAACAGCAGAATTCAGAGCAACCAGATAAAAGCCACCAGCACAAATTAGCTAGTTTCTAATGCCTTGCAGTCTTTCCAACATGTCCTGAGCAGGCAAGCAGAATAATGGAAAGCAGAGGGGAGTCCATCTTGGAATTAACAGGATTTCTAAATCTACTTACTTGCTGTACATACTTATTACTCCTTCCTATCTAGGACTGGTCTTATCTAATGGTCTCAGCTGGAAACAACAAAGACGATTTGCCTTATCAACACTCAGAAACTTTGGTTTGGGCAAAAGGTCTTTAGAAGAACGAATACAGGAGGAAACCCGTTACTTAAATGAAGCAATAGAAGCTGAGAAAGGTGAGAACCAGAGTCAACAATCCTGTGGCCCATCTATGATACTTACCTTAAGTTGCTACTTTGTATGAACTAGGTCAAAACTACATCAGCTAGGGTGCAAAGCTTTCTGGCATTATTTCTTCACACAAATGTAGCTCTGCTTGGACTGGAATGACCCTGTGATGGCGAAGGGGGTTTGATAGGAAGCTCCACAGAGGCTCATTGTGGTGCACAAAAGTTCTAGTGTGAAGCTCTGTGTTGGAACCTGCCATGGGAGCTAAAAGCCCCTGAACTAGAACAGAATAAGAACAAAGGTTGGGTTTTGAGGATATCTGCAGATATATATATATATATATATTTATTAATTTTCCAATAAAAACAAATTTATAACACAATTAAACATTAGGAACTCATCACACGTCTTTTTTCTTTTAGACTTCCATCAACATGTCTGATAATTTTCCATATTTATTACATATCTTCACATTTCTTAATTTATATTGCACTATATATATCTTATCTTACAATGTTATTTAAACAATATTTCTACCAAACCTTCTTACAGAGCTTCTTGGAAACTTACAAACGTTATATCATTATCACAAATATTTTTAATATATTCTGTATATTTATTCCAGTCCTCAGTGAATCTTTGGTCCCGTCGGTTGCGAATCCTCCCTGTTAATCTGTCCAGTTCTGCATAATCCATTAATTTCGTTCTCCATTCTTCAATCATGGGTGTGGGAGTCATAAAGCCACGGCAAAGGCTTGTAATATTCCAGGGTGCCCCCTGACCTCGGCTGACCAGCACTCTGAGCTTTACAGTGTATTGGAATGTATTGACCTTAAATGGAGTTGTGTTTCCTCTGGGCAGTGATGACCCTATATGGTGATGGGTGTAATAAAAGCCTTGACCGGATGAGGTAACGTGAGACATTGGCAAACGGCCATGCGGCTGGAGAGAGACAAAGGATAATAAAAAAGCTACGGGAGGAGAGAGAAGTTCGAAAGGAGCTGCTCATACCATCCTGAAAATATTGCTGGCTCTCTGTGTCTTTATTTTATGCTAAACTGCGCCATTTGTAATGGCTGGCTCCAACACGTGGGCATTTCTTCTTGTTTCCATTTCTGGGCCAAAAGAGTTCTAGCTGCTGTTACTGCATACAAAAATACTTTCTGATCCTTCCTTTTTATCTCACCACCTAGAATTCCTAATAGGAATGCTTCTGGTTTTTTAACAAATGTATATTTCAATATTTTCTTTATCTCATTATATATCATTTCCCAGAAGCACTTCATTTTTTTACATTCCCACCACATATGATAAAATGTTCCTTCTTTCTCCTTACATTTCCAACATTTATTACTCACCTTATACATCTTACTTAATTTGACTGGTGTTATATACCATCAATATATCATTTTCATAACATTTTCTTTAATTGTGGTGCATGCTGTAAATCTCATCCCTTACTTCCATAATTTTATCCAGTCATCAAATTGAATGTTATGTCCAAAATCTTTGGCCCATTGAATCATAACTGATTTAACCTCTTCATCCTTCAAATGCCATTCTAATAGTAATTTATACATCATAGATAATTTTTTAACTTCATTATTCAATACTTCTCGTTGAAACCTAGATTCTTTTTCAAAATAGCCTCTTTCTGCAACCTCTTTTCTAAACATTTCATTAATCTGAAAGTAATGCAGCCAATCATTTACATGTTCTTTCACTTCTTCATATGGTTTCATTTTCCACTTACTTCCCTCTTTCTCAATTAAACTCCCATATGTTATCCACCTCCTAGTCATATTGATCTTTTTAACACTCATCACCTCTAATGGTCATAGCCAATGTGGGATTTTTGGTTCCAGTAGGTTTTTATACCTACCCCATACCTCAATCAGAGATCCTCTAATAATATGATTTTCAAAACCTTTATGCACTCGTTTCTTTTCGTACCATAAATACGCGTGCCAACTGAATCTATTATCATATCATTCCAAATCTAACAAATCTGTATTTTCTAATTTCATCCATTCTTTCAACCAACATATACATGATGCTTCATAGTATAACCTCAAATCTGGCAGGGCAAAGCCTCCCCTCTCTTTTAAATCTGTTAACAACTTAAATTTTATTCTTGGCTTTTTGCCCTGCCATATATATCTTGAAATCACTTTTTGCCAATCTTTAAATATTGCAACTCCTTTAATTATTGGAATTGCTTGGAACAGAAACAATATTTTCGGTAACACACTCATCTTTATCGTTGCAATTCTTCCCCAAAATGATAATTTCATTCTACCCCACACCTCTAAATCTCATTTAACTTTATTCCATACTGGTACATAGTTATTTTGAAACAAATCAATATTCCTGGAGGTCAATACAATCCCTAAATATTTCACTTTCTTTACCACCTCAATCTCTGTCTGTTGCTGTATTCTTTCACTAGTTTCTTGGTCTATGTTTCTCACCATTATTTTGGTTTTTTTCTTATTCAATTTAAACCCTGCCACCTGTCCAAATTCTTCCATTTCTTTTAGTACTTCTTTAATACTCTTTATAGGATCTTCTATCGTTATAACCAAGTCGTCAGCATATGCCTTTACTTTATATTGATTACCGCCAACTGATACTCCTTTTATCTGTTCATTGTTTCTTATTGAGCTTAATAAGACTTCCAGGACCAATATGAATAGCAACGGTGATAGAGGACACCCTTGTCTTGTACCCTTAGTTATTGTAATATTTTCCGTTATTACATTATTGACAATTAGTTTTGCTCTTTGTTCGGAATATATTGCTTTTATACCATTTAGAAAAGATTGGCCCACATCCATCACTTCTAAGTTTTTTAACATAAATTCCCAAGAAATATTATCAAAGGCTTTCTCCGCATCCACAAAAATTAACATTGCTTGTTTATCCTTCCTGTTAGTCAGATATTCCATTATATCAATTATATTTCGTATGTTGTCTTTCATCTGTCTACCAGGAAGGAAACCTGCTTGATCTTTCTGTATCATTTCCTTTAAAATTCTTTTCATCCTATTTGCCAAAATGTTTGCGAACATTTTGTAATCATTATTTAATAATGAGATCGGCCTGTAATTCTTCACTTGGGTCAGATCTGAGTCCTGTTTGGGAATAAAAGTTATATAGGCTTCTTTCCAAGTTTCTGGTATTTCCTCCTTTTTTAAAATGTTATTCATCACTTCTTTTAATGGTACAGACAGGGTATGTTTCATTTCTTTATAGTATCTTGCACTAAATCCATCCGGTCCCAGTGTCTTCCCACTTTTCAATTCTCTTATTGCATTTTTAATTTCATCCATTTCGATCGGCTCATTCAGTTTATTTTTATTGCAATTTGATATTTTCTGCACCTCTTTCTTCTTTAAATAGTCCTCTATTTCTTTTGTATTACCTCTCCCCTTTCTTTTATACAATTCTCTATAAAAATCTACAAATCCTTTCCTAATTCCTTTCGGATTTTCAATATCTTGATCTTCCACTTTTATTTTGTTTATTGTATTTTGCTCTTTCCTTTTTCTAATTTGCCAAGCCAGCCATTTCCCAGACTTATTTGCATTATTATTAATTATTAATTTATTATTATTATTATTATTATTATTATTATTAACTATCATGGCAAATTGAGTTTGAAGCACTTTTATATTTTGTTTCACTTTTTCATCCTTGGGCCTAGTAGTTAATTTTTTCTCGTTTTCCATAATTTGTTTTAGGATTTCCTTTTCCCCTTTTTCTCTCATTTTGTTTTTAATTGCATTTTGCTGGATAAAGAAACCCCTCATCACCACTTTACTAGCGTCCCACACCATGCACATTCTTGTGCCTTTATTCACATTATTTACAAAGTAGTCCGTTAGGCATTTCTGTGCCCTTTCCACTATCTTCTGATCATCCAGCAGGTTTTCATTTATTCTCCATCTGAAAGATTTTTCTTCATATCCTTTTAGAATACATTTAATTGCATTATGATCTGAGAAGACTTTTGATTGTATTTCAGTCTTTAAGGTTCTCGATGTTAGTTCATTGGATATCCATATCTGATCAATTCTTGACATTGATTGATTTGCATCTGAAGTAAATGTGAATTGCTTTTCTAATAGGTGTCTTAGTCTCCAAATGTCCGTCAAGTTACAGGTCTCTGCCATTTCAAAGAATGGTTTTGGAAGTTTCCCTTCTTTTGTTTTCCCAGATGCCCGTAGTCTATCCATTTCCAGGATATCTGCAGATTTTTGATAATTTCTACAACCAATGTCACAAATAGAGTAGGGCTTGAAGTGCAATAGTTTTAGTATATTGGTGTGTCTCTATATTGTCTCTGATGGGGATGGTCCCCTCCTGTTTTTGTTATATGGAAGCTAGAAGCACCCCAATTCCTTCTGACCATTTTCTCTCTCTCTCCAGGACAGCCATTTGACCCTCAATTTCAGATTCATAATGCTGTTTCAAATATCATCTGTTCCATCACTTTTGGGGACCGCTTTGATTACCATAACAGCCGTTTCCATAAGTTATTGCACTTGCTTGATGAGGCGTGCCATTTTCAGGGAAATCTTTGGAGTATGGTAGGTCTTCTTTGGGGTTTTTTTTGGATAACCACAACAGAATTGATTTGGCTCCTTCATTCTTGCTGACTGTTTATTCACTTGCTTTGAGTTTTCAGGTTTCTTCAGCACAGATTGTATTTTTAAAGGGTGAGAATAACATGTTTGGCTGAATAAAATCTTGGTATGGGAACAGAGGGATGTCATCACAAATGATATACATGAATTAATTCTACACATACAGCAGTTATGACCTGTAAATTGACACTCATGTCAATGGGTATCATTAAATAGAAATTCTACATATTTGTGACATGTGCAGGCATTGATACATGCCTTTTTCAAATGATGGTAATCATCTTCATGGGAAGTCAATCAGTGAATTAAAAGTTGTGCTTGCAGAACTGAGCACCATGGTGCCATTTGATTTGCAGTCCAAACATTTCTAACCAAGAAGTTAAGACATTGCCATAGGGTCCCATCATAAGCAATGGTGAGTGCAATATTTGCTCTGGTTCCAGGAGAGTCTGCCATCTTTGAACCTGTGCACACCAGCCTTTATTACTGTTAGCCTCTTTCCCATGACAGCAGCATGATGTAAATGCTTTTTTGAGAGGGCTTTCCCTGCACATATGTGATATTAGTGTTTATTTTTTCAGCTGTATGATACCATTCCCACTGTCATGAAATACCTGCCAGGGCCCCATCAGACATTTTTTTAAAAATGGGGGCAGTTGAAATCCTTTGTGAGAGAAATCATTGAAAAACACAAAGAAGACTGGAACCCATCTGAACCCAGAGACTTCATAGATGCCTACCTAAATGAAATGGCCAAGGTGAGAGATAAAAAGGACAAAAAGTATATATGTTTAATAATAAAATAATGGTAGAAGGCAGCGAAGCAATGTTAAAAACCAGAACTAGTCACGTGGCTTGTCTGAATGGTCCTTAGTGGCTGACAATATTCTTTCTGTTGAGTTTATGACCTCAGAAAAAATACATTTCTGCATGTATGAATATGAAGTCACGTATTTTGTGGGGCGACACCTCCCCACTTGTTCACAGGTGGGATTTCACCACTTGACTGTTGTTTGTGAGAGCAAACAGTTGACATGTCTAAAAGAATCACTGTAGTGGAGGCATCTCATGACCAAAGGATTCAGTTGCCTGAATAAACCCAGACCAGGAATTATTGGAAGTCTTTCCTTGACCAGAACAAACCCAAACTTTATGCCAGCATCAGTGATTCACAGGAGTGTTGACTTGCCCTTCCTAGATGCAGGATTAGAGTCACTGAATCCCCTGGTGATCTCTTGACATATGGGGCTGACAATAGGATGGTGTTTTTAATGACAGCTTAACTCCCTGGTGCATTTTCTTTGCTTTAAGGAGGATGCCCCTTCCAGTTTCCATGAAGAAAACCTCCTACAATCAACACTGGATCTGTTTTTTGCTGGAACAGAAACAACTTCTACAACCCTGCACTGGGCTTTGCTGTACATGGCCATTTACCCAGAAATTCAAGGTAGAATTGTAGTTGACTCATTTGCCTTTCATTACTTTGGGTTGTATATAACAAAGGCCTACTGAAAGCAAACCTATTGAAATTAATGGACCTAACTTAGTCATGTCTATACTCAAGTAATTTTTAAAAGAGATAAATAAATAGACTACTGGTTTCCGTCGCGGACAGAGAGGGAGCGCAGAAAGCCTTTATATTTTTCTATTTTTTTCCTTTTTTGTGCCTTTTTGTTTTCACTCCTGCTTCCCCCTTGTTGGAACTTAAATGATTTGTCAATATAGTATGATTAATAAAAACCTCTCCCCCCCTAATACTATACAAAGACAATATAAAGAAGGAGGAATATAGTATAAAGAAAGGTGGAATCCGCTGAGAACTGTTGAAAAATTGGGTTTAAGCTAACCCCCTTTTTTTCCCCTTCTTGGAGAGATTTACATTTAAGTGCTGAAGCAAAAAACAACAGAATCAACTGGAAAGTGGAGGACATTACTTGGATTTGAGAACATGAATAGGAAATTGGGACTTACTACTTTTTAGATTTGGTCCAGTCCAAATTATTAAACCGCGGATTAAGTCTTGGATTATTAGATCTACCAGACTTCGGATCAAGGTACGGACCAAACCGTAGAATAGCCCTTATTCGATATGGATTAAGCCGACAAGTGGCTGAAGATTAAAGATTTTGATGCGAACTGAGTGCTTTATTTCCAGCTAAAAAAGGAAATTACCTCCCCCTTATCAGAATCCACGTGGACTCTAGAAAGTTACATTAATAGGAATATTTTTTATATACGTAATGGTCATTTGAGTCTGGGGAAAATTCACTGAATCTTCATTAGATGTTAAGGTCCTAAGGGATTGGTTTGGGAATATATATACCATATCGTCACACGTCATTAGGAATACATTAAGAGTGTGGAAGTAATTGAAGAAAAAATAAGAGTATAGGGAATGTACTTATGTTTTGTAGATAAAGACATACGGTTTGAGAAAAATGGCAAGGTCGAGTTGTATTTGGGCTGTAATTGAAGACATACTCTTTTATTTTAAGTATTAATTCATTTAAACGGATTTACAAATTTATATTAGTAGACATTTTTCAATGGACTAGTGGATATATATTGGATGTATTTAGGAGATAGCTGAATTAACTGATATTAGAGATATCACTTTGTTTGAAAACAAGGAAAATACGACATTAAGAGGTATAAAGAAAATTGTAAGAAGATAAACGAAGAAAAGTATAATTGCAAGAGAACAATACTGTAAATTAAAGGAGATTGGTTAAGATATAGGAAAAATAAGGAAAGCAAAAAGAGATTGTGCGCCCCCTAGGGGAGAGACAGAAAATTAAAATAGACAAATTGTGAAAACAACCACAAAATGTCAGGAAAAAACGGGGGGAAAGTAGGAGGGACCCCAGGAAATAGAAAGGCATCACGACAGAAGGAAGTTAAAGATCTTGACATTCTGTGGCTAAAGATCAAAGAGGAATTTAAACAGAGCGAACTACATATGGAAAGCAAACTAGGTGAGGTGCAGGAACAGATAGATAAAAAAACTGAAGGAACTGTAGGAGAACTCTCTAGTAAAATACAAGATTTGACAGTTAGGTCAAAAACAATGGAAGATACCAATAAGAAAACTCAAAAAGAAATGAAGGAACATAAGAAGGAGACAGAAAAAATAAAGGATGAAATAAGAGATCTGAACAAAACACAAGATCAAATTTGGGATAGTCTAGCCATGGCAGAAATGCGACAGAAACAACTTAATTTAAAATTTAGAGGAGTGGGAGAAGAATCAAATGAGAATATAAAAGAAAAAATGATTAAGGAACTAGCGAAATGGTTGGAAATAAAAGAAGAACTAGCACGTATGGTAGTAAATTCTGAAAGCAATTAAGGTGAAATCCCAACAGTTCAAGTCAAAAAAACTCTCCGGTGACTGTTTAGTGATCTTCAACTCAACTGAGATGAAGAATACAATATTAAGAACGAGTTATCGAAAAAAATTAATAATTGAAGGCAGGCCAATTATCATTTTTAAAGAAATTCCACTCAGAATCTTGCGTAAAAGAGAAGGATATAGACAAATAATAAGTGTCTCAAAAAGGAATACTATACAATATAGATGGGAGTTTCCTGAAGGAATCTCCTTCTATTACAAAGACAAAAGATTCAGACTGACAGATGCACAAGAAGTGGAAAAATTCCTAAGAAGATACGAGAAAGATCTTGGAAAAGTGGAAGAAAGGTATGGAGGAGGAGAGAGATACACAGAAGGGAAGAAAGGAAAGAAGGAAGAAAATACGGATAAGAGAGAGGGAGAGAGGAAGAAGAAGGTGACATGGAGGAGGAGTGAGCAGTAGGTGGAGAGGAAGAGGAGGAGGAAGAGGAAGAAATCACTGGAAAGAGGTCGACAAGAATATAAATTAGAAAGACCAGAGCAGATAGTAATTAAATATTACAATGACGTTGAAGGTATTGTCTTGGAATGTGAACGGTTTGAATGAAAAATCTAAAAGGAATAAAATTGAGAAGGTGTTAAAGAATAAAAACTTTGATGTGATTTGTTGTCAGGAAACACATGTGGCAAAAAAACACAAACATATTTTGACAAATAAAAGGTTAGGGAGAGAATTTGTCAATTCAGATATTAACAAAAAAGAGGGGTAGTGATATATGTGAAGGAGAAATGGGAACCAATATTAACATGTAAAGATGACGAAGGAAGAATTCTGGGAATACAAATTAATCACCAGGGAGAAAAGTTTAATGTAGTAACTGTTTATGCTCCAAATATAAATAAAGCAGAATTCTTTAAGAAATTGGAACAAATGTTATTAGATCGGAGAATCATAAGTTGATCTTACTTGGAGACTTGAATGCTGTGCCAATACCGGAACTAGACAGAAGTGCGAAAAGAAGAAAATTGAAGCAAGGGAAGCTACCAAGAACATTTAATAATCTTGAGGAAAATCTAGACCTGATAGATATCTGGAGACATAAAAATCCAACAACGAAACAATTCACACATTTTTCTGAACCACACCAAAGCTGGGCTAGGTTGGACCAAATATGGGTCTCAAGAGAATTAACAACAAGAGCAGTAAAATGTGAAATTCAACCTAGAACCCTTTCTGACCATAGCTCAGTAACTTTGGAGTTAAAAAGTGGAATACAGGGGACATACAGATGGAGAATGAACCTTTTTGAAAACGATGAGGTAATTGAGAAGGCCAAAATAACTATAAAAGATTACTTTGATTTGAACATAAATAAAGAAACAAATATTGACATTGTCTGGGATGCTAGTAAAGCAGTGCTAAGAGGGTTTCTAATTAATCAGAATAGTTATAAGAAAAAGTTAAGAGAACAAAAAAAGAAGAAATACTTAATCAATTAAGAGAATGTGAAAAAAAATAATAATAAATCCAAGTGAAGAACAGATTAAACAAACCTACAGAATGTTACAAACACAATATTCAATTCTAATAGGTCAAGAAGTGGAATGGAGAATTAAGTCATGGAAACAAATTTTTTTTGAATTGGCTAGAAGAAATCCAAGAGGTGATAAAAAAGATGAAATTGGGGAAAGCTCCAGGGCCTGATGGGTTATCCGCTAAATATTATAAAGTATTGGAAGAACACCTAGCTCCTGTGCTGTGTGAAGTAACAAATAACATCCTAAGAGGAGGAAAGATACCAGACTCCTGGAAGGAAGCATATATTACACTGATATCTAAGCTGGATACAGACAAACTGAATATGAAAAATTATAGACCGATATCACTACTAAATAACGACTATAAAATCTTTGCAGAAGTAATGGCTAACCGTCTCAAGAAATGCTTAACAAATTTTATCCATACAGATCAAGCCAGATTTTTACCTAACAGACAATTAAAAGATAATATAAGACACATAATAAACATTATTGAATATCTGGAATGTAAGAATGAAATCCTTGCGGCACTAATCTTTATTGACGCCGAAAAGGCTTTTGACAATGTATCCTGGCAATTTTTATTAAGATGCATGGAAACAGTGGGGATAGAGGGCACCTTCTTGGAGGGAATAAAGGCAATCTACTCAAGCCAAAGAGCTAAACTGATAATTAACAATGACTTAACTGAACCATTTGAAATCTCAAAGGGCACGAGACAGGGATGCCCTCTGTCACCTCTTTTGTTTATTATGGTATTAGAAATAATCGCAAACAAGATTAGAGTAACACCAGAGATACATGGAATTAAAATTGGGACAAAAGAATATAAATTGAAAGCGTACGCTGATGATTTGATGTTATCATTAGAAGATCCACAAAAAAGTGTCGGCAGGGTAATAGAATTATTAGAGGAATTTGGAAAGTTATCGGGCTTTAAGTTAAATAAATTAAAAACTAAAATGATGACAAAGAACATGGAAGAAGTCTTGAAAAACCAGTTAGAGTCACAGATTGGAATTAAGGTGGTAAAAAAGGTAAAATACTTGGGAATATGGTTAACCATGAAAAATATAAATCTAATGGCGGACAATTACTTAAATACCTGGAAAGAAATCAAAAAGAACTTAGATACTTGGAACAGGATAAAACTATCATGGTCAGGAAGGATGGTGGCAATTAAAATGAATATACTTCCAAAATTGGTGTTTTTATTTCAAAATATTCCGGTGATCAGGGGAACCATAGTATTTAAGGACTGGCAAAAAAAATTATCCAAATTTATTTGGCAGGGGAAAAGGCCAAGAATTAAATTTAAATTACTTACAGACAGTAGAGAGAGAGTAGGATTTGAGGTACCGAACCTAAAATTATATTATGAAGCCTCATGCCTTTGTTGGATTAAAGAATGGATTGTCATAAAGAATACAGACTTATTAGATTTAGAAGGTTTCAACATCAGATTCGGATGGCACGCATATTTATGGCACAACAAGGGAAAAGTACATAAAGGATTTTCCAATCACATCATTAGAGGACCACTGCTAGAGGTATGGGAAAGAAACAAAAATCTGCTTGAAAGGAATACTCCCTGGTGGTTGTCACCAATTGATATTTTAACAATTAAAAAAATAAATATGGAAGGTGAAAGATGGACATACGAGGATCTATTGGTCAGTACAGAAAAAGGGTGGAAAATTAAACCATATGAAGAGTTGAGAGACAAATTAATAGGCTGGCTACAATTTCATCAAATTAATGCTCTGTGGACTGAAGACAAAAAGATAGGGATGAACGAAAAAAATCTAGATTTCAGGTAGAAATATTAGAAGGGAATTCCAAACTCTTATCAAAAATGTATAAGCAATTGTTAGAATGGGACACTAAAGATGAGGAGATAAAAGAAGTTATGGTAAAATGGGCCATAGATTTGGGACATAATTTGGAATATGACAGTTGGATAAAGCTTTGGAATAAAGATATGAAATTCACAGAATGTGTTGCACTTAGAGAAAATATGGAAAAAATGATGTACAGATGGTACATCACACCTGTAAAATTAGATAAAATTTATAAGACTGGAGACAAAGTGTGTTGGAAATGCAAAAATAAGGAAGGAAGTTTCTACCATATGTGGTGGACTTGTGAAAAAATTAAAAAGTTTTGGGAACTCATTTATAACGAACTAAAAAAAATATTTAAATACACCTTTGTCAAAAAACTTGAAGCTTTTCTTTTGGGGATGATTGGAGGTGAAATTAAGAAAGAGGATCAGATATTATTCCAATATGCAACAACAGCTGCTAGAATATTGATAGCCCAAAATTGGAAGACAACAAATATCCCAACGGTAAAAGATTGGCAAAGTAAATTATTTGAATATATAGAATTGGCAAAAATGACACAAAAAAATAGAGACCAGAAAGAAACAAAGTTTAAGGAATGGAACAAATTCATAACATATATCGAAGCAGATGTAAGAAATTTAAAAATCACAGTAGGTGCAATATAACCCTACGACGTGCAGATGTTATAAATCGAAACTGCGGGGGGAAAACCTTTTATTACATAATCCAAAACCGAGGTGGAGGGAAGTCAATTAGTTGTATGATGTTCTTGTTTTTTCTTTCATTTGTTGTTTGTTTTCCTTTTTGTAATGATTTTGTTTTGTGGTTGTTTGTGTTTGACTGTTTTAATGGAAATTAATAAAGAGAATTTAAAAAAAGAGAGAGATAAATAAATAAATTAAAAGCAGAAATCGTTGTGGGAAAATATCCAAAAAGACAGGGGGGAAACAAGAGAAACAAGAGTCTATTATCAATGGACTACTAACCCAGTTCACTATCTGGGAACAAGGCTAACAGAACAAGGCTACTTAATGCCAAGTGGCATAAATTATTTTCAACCTTTTCAGGGAAAATAGCAGCCATTAAAATAATAACACCAATCATTGTTTTCATTTCAAAAGTTATAATTATTAGTTTGAGTATCAAGGGTTTAGGAGTGTATTCGGTTATGAAAATGCCATTCCTCTGATACTGTGGCTTTATTCAAAGTCATGTTAGTAATGGTGATAATAAATAGAAATAAATGAATTGATGATCCTAACTTCGTCATTAGTTTCAATTAACTTTAATGGGCCTATTGAGTGGGTCTAGCTGTGAATGCCACCCCTTATTTTTGCTATTGTGTAATAGTTAAGATGTTTTGTCTTTTGCTTGGTTACTATGAATCTTTGCCTCTAAAATTAGACGCAATAATGATAAATAAAAATAATTAGAGCAGGTAATACAACCGCGCAATAAAGGCAATTTCATTTCTGCGGCAGATGGAACATTCCCTCTTCAGGCAGACTAACCAAAAAACCTCACCTTCCCCCAAGGAAAGACCTGGGTGAAGAAACAAGTCTTAAGGCAATGCTGAAACTCCACTTGTGAAAGCTCTGTGACCATCTCCAAATGAAGGGAGTTCCAGTAATGGGATACTGCTACACATCATCACCACACAATGAGCAGCCAGCGGTGGGACATCAGGATTGGCCTCCCCTTCAGATCTTAGTTTAAGTCTCTTCTTCTGCCTCTTTTATTTATTTTTTTAAACAACACTTAAAACAAACAAGATAGAATAAAAATTAAAAGTGAATACATGAAAAAAATAAAGGTATACTACATTGCAGTGAGAATTAACAATTACAACTCCATATATAGTTATCTAATACAGAGATATAAAAACCTCCAATGAAGGAGAGCCCACAACCTCCCAAGGGAGTCCATTCCACTGTAATTGGGAGACAGACACGAAAGGTTTCCTGTTTTGCTGTGGGCCATACTGTAAGATCTGGGCTCCCTGCATGGAGACTGAAGGTGTAAATAGGTGAATAAACCATATTTCTCAAAGCACAACATTCTCCACCATGTCTTCTGTTCTTCATGGCCCCATGCACTCTGGCCACTGCTTGGAGGAGAGAAGGAAAGGCACCGGGCTTCTGTAACAATATTATACGATTTGCTCACATCTACAATAATAGTAAATGCTATGTTTTCTGCTACTTTAGAGGCACTAGACAAGGATGTCCACTTTCACCTTTGCTTTTCAATATTTGTGTGGAACCCTTGGCTTGTGCTATTGGACAACATAGGTACTCATAGGTAGTGTTGATCTAGAGAAGTACATAATTCAGTTGATCTGCAGATGATATTCTTTTGTTTATTTCTAAATTTCATGTTACTAGTCCTCTGCTGATGCAAATGATAGGTGCCTTTATTCAAATATCAGGATACTCTATTGATTGGTCCAAATCAAAAGTGATGCGAATAAGTGAAAATTTGGTTATCCATCCATTTAATTATTGAGTCTGTATTTGTTCAAATCCATTAAATTTTAAAGATAGGCCTCCCCTGCAGAACTTAGATCAAGTCTGTTCTTTTTGTGTTGAAAGCAGATTTTCTTTTCTCTGCAGCCAAAGTCCAAGCGGAAATAGATTCTGTGATTGGCCAGTCTCGCCAGCCAGCCATGAGTGACAGGGACAGCATGCCATATACCAATGCGGTTGTTCATGAAATTCAAAGAATAAGCAACATTTTGCCTTCAAATGTGCCCCGGGTGACAACTAAGGACACTATACTGGCTGGGTTTCATATTCCCAAAGTAAATATGAAGAAGATTCACCATTCTTCTCTTCCTTCCATCTTTCTTTAAGATGCAAAAACTTGAAGCCAAAGTTGTTGTTTTTTGTTGTTGTTGTTGTTGTTGTTTATACCCCACCCATCTGGCTGGGTTTCCCCAACCAACCTGGGCAGCTTATAGCATATATAAAACATAGTAAAATATCAAACATTAAAAACTTCCTGATAGAGGGCTGCCTTCAGATGTCTTCTAAGGATGTCACAGGGAGGGCACCACTACCAAGGATTAGCCATCATGAGGTCCTCCAGATGTTATTGAACTCCAACTCCTACTAGTTCCAGTCAGCATGGCCAATGGGCAGGACGGATAGGAGTCTTGGTTGTTCTTGGAGCACATCCAGATCTGGAGTGGAGGGAGGGATTTGGGCTAAATGGACTTTTAGGTCTTTTGACCCCTCCCATTGCAAAAATGGATTCCAACCACAGTCTGAACCATTTGAATGGATAGCTACTATTCTTCTTTGCTTTCTTTTTTAAATGACCATTACTAACCACCCAAAACTACTACCCAAAACGGGCATCTGGTGTTTCTTATTCTAAATCTAAATGCCCTGGCAAAGTCTGGTATTATACAATCTATAAAGGAGCCTGTGTTTTCTTGAGTTGTGCATAGGAAATCTCTCATTCAAAACATATCCTTTCTGAATTGGCAGGCAGAATTGGAGGCTTGGTATTGCTGTAGTTGCACAGATCAAAACAGAAAGATTTCTATGCTAGTTTTAATCTGGTGTCTTCTCTGCTTCTTCTTTGGCAGGGAACCATGCTGCTTACCAACCTGACCTCACTGCTCTTTGACGAGGATGAGTGGGAAACTCCAGATATGTTTAATCCTGGCCATTTCCTGGAGAATGGTCAGTTCAGGAAAAGGGAAGCATTCCTGCCATTCTCTACAGGTAACAAAAGTTCATGGGCTGCTCATCAGAATTGCAGCAGTGACTATATGGTGGTGGCTTGGTTTCTGGCAGTGGCGTAGCTAGCCGCCCAGATGCCCAGGGTGGCACAAATATCCTGCACCCGGGGATGGGGCAAACCGGGGCAGAGCACTCTGGGCAGAACCTCCATGGAGTCCGCAAGCCCCATGTTGCTATTTCAGGCAGCACTGAGCTAGCAGATGCCCGAGCCACGTGTCACTCCCCAGGAGAGATATGTGGCTCGGGCACACTGCAGGCAATGCCCAGTGGTCACCCCCCTCAGTGATGACACCTGGGGTGGACCGCACCCACCGCAACCCCTTTCCTACGCCACCGGTTGCTGGGATTCTGGTGTTATTACAGAGTTCAGCACCCTATTGGGGCCAGTGGTCACGTTTGGGATTGGGAGGAAGTACTGTGGATGCAAGTCACAAAAGGACTACTATAGGAGGTGTGAAGTTACACAAAATGGTGTTAATACACTCCCCCCCCCCAGTAAGCAGTGTGGATTTTTGAGGGAATAGTTTCAGAGCTTTCTCAGGTGCCCTAAGTGGGAGAGGTGCTCCACAAGGCATTGGGTGGACAGGAGCTGATGTATTTTTTCATAGTTTCCCCAAGGAAGAGAAACCCACTTCCATCTTGAACTTGAGGAACTGAGCTCTGTTTGCCACGCCCTTAGCTAAGTTATATGCAGATTAGGGAGATTCCTAATAAAATATTATTGAAATTTATCTCATATGCAGTTTTGGAGGAAAATATCAATTGATGTAACTCAAATATACAATCTGGGGGGCAACACCTGGTGTACTTTTACAATGGTGGACTCTAGACAAATATTAAAAAGCTTTGTGAAAATGCTTTTTAAAGAAATGTTTTGAGAAAGAATATTGAATTTGCCATAGCTTACCATCGCCATCTAATGTCACATTTGTATAATGCACCTTACAACACACTTAAAAAGTTTTAATTTCACCTGTATAGCTGATTCCACAATGTTTCCTCAAGGAACAGAAAACCCAGTTCCATCTGGAACTTGAACAACTAAACTCTGTTTGCCACACCCTTAGCTAAGATATATACAGATTAGGTTGATTCCTAATAAAATATAATTGAATTTGTTTCAAAACTGCTTATGAGATAAATTTATGTATCTCAAATGTGTCATTTCCAAATTCTGTAAAACCATGATAATATTTGTTCAGTGTTCCCATTTGCTTGACTGGGAAGTAGGAACGACTTCTATATTTATTTTGCAACAACATAATTACTTTTTAAATTATTTGATCTGCCCATGTTATTTAAATTGTGCCACTCAGTGGAGAGCAAAAGCTCTCCACTGAAACAGTCTTTTCCCTCCTTGTCTTCTAGGAAAGCGAGCCTGTTTGGGAGAGCAGTTGGCGAGGACTGAGCTCTTTCTTTTCTTCACTGCCCTAATTCAGAAGTTCACTTTCCAGGCTCCAAAGAATGAGACATTAAGCCGTGAATTTAGGATGGGTCTGACATTCTCACCCCTGCCATACCGGATTTGTGCATTTTCTCGCTAAGGGGACCCAATTTATAGCATTGCTGTTTCTTTAAAAAGTAGGATTTGTTTATGGGGTAGAAGCAGATCTATGGTTTAATCCTAATTGTGTTTAGCCAGAGTTCAGTAGGGCTTAACCCAGGTGAGCAGGGTTGGGACTGCAGCCTGTTCCTTTAAGCAGAGATTTCCACACTTTTTAGACATGCATCATTTTGCGACACAGTTATTTGGTTTTAATAGCAAACCAGTGGTTAAACTAACCCCTTATAAGAGATACGAGCATATATCATGCAACACCCCTGAACACTGCAGTTGACTCACTAATGTGTCATGACACATGCTTTGGAAAGCTCTGTTTTAAAGTGTATTCAAAGCACATTTGCCCCCTTAAAGAATTTGGGCAACTAAGGTTTATAGGTGCTTGGAATTGAAGCTATCTGAGGGGTAAATTCAGTTTCCCAGAATTCTTGACAGAATTTGTGTATGCAGATCATAATGATACATTGATGAGGATCCAGATTCCATCCTCCCACTTCTTGTTCTGGTGTGTATGTCTATCCACCATCCCATTATTTTCAAAAAATAATAATAATGTCCTGGCTGCGGTGACGAAAAGGCATTGCTTCGTTTGTAAGAATCTGTGTGCTTACGACTCAGGATAAAACCCTAATGTAATTCCTGCCTATGTTTATAAAATTAAAAGAAATGTTGCTTGGAAAATTTTGTTACATAACCAGTTCATAGAACCATAGACTCATCGAATTTTGCAAGGGACCCCAAGTGTAATCTATTTCAACCCCCTGCAATGAAGGTATCTTTTGCCCAATGTTGGGCTTGAACCCATGAACCTGAGGTTCTTGCTGTTGTGTATTGGTGGCCCCAACCCCAAGGCAAACCCTAATGTGCTTATAAATGTGCTTATAATTACAGCAAAATGAATGGACTAAATCCTTGAATGTTGCCTAGGTTTTATTATTTTCCAAAAACATTATTGTTGTGCTTTAATATACATAGTGGATAACAAGGTGCAAACTAAGTCTGCAAAGTGTTTTCCATGAAAATAGTTAAAAGTGGCAATTTGGCTGTCTGGGAGCGCATAGTGCTGACGTTCACAGGGGCAGAGGCAGAGGAAAATGTCACTCAGAAGATACATGCTCCCTTTCCATCAGTACTATTGTGTCCAGCTGAAAACATTCAAGCAGAAATTTCCTGGGGATATTGTGCCTGCAGTTCTTTGGGAGTCTTGGGCTTGATGTATGCTTGGCCTGAACCAATCTCTCCTGTGGTGTTCTTTGGGAGAAGGAACATGGAGTCTGAAGGCCTTTGAACAACAATTATTCAATAATAAAGGCTTACTCTCAGTTCTTTCTAAAATTATATTGGATGCCACTGTAGGTGGACCTGCTGGTTAGAAGTTGTGCTGGGAACAAAATATCCAGCTTTCGCTCAGTGATAGAGACTGGGAGGTTTTGTGGCGGAAATTGCCTTATAAATCAGTCTTTGCTTCTGTGAGGGAATTATCTTTGAAAGTATTGCACAGCTGGTATTTGACACCCAGGTATTTGACCCACACTGCAACAGTTTCCTCCCCCCTCTGTTGGATGGTGTGTGTCACCAGGTGGGCATGTATTGATACAAGTGGGTTTCGGGAGAAGGTGTTTTTAGAAATCTCTCAAATAATGCAACAGGATGTGCTCCTTACCCCACGTTTGGCAGTACTGAAACTAACAATTCAAACTGGGTTTTAAAGAACAATGAACTTATTGTCCACCTGGTCACAAGAAGATGAATAATAATGAAAGTTATTTTGTTGTTTTGTTCTGGGGAAGGAATTTTTCTGACCATCACTGTTATTTCTTCTGTGAAATAGGTATTTCCTCGTCCCCACAATAGTTTCAGAAGTACCCCTGGGCCCCCCAAGGTGGGAGCCTCTGGTTTCCACAGCAACATTTTAGCGACTGGGTGCTTTCATACTTGACCTCCCCCAGCAGAAGTCCATGCTGTTGTAGCTTGCAGCCATTGATCCTCCACGTGCGCAGAGGCAGGAATAAGGACTTGCCATTTAGCTCCACTGTAGACACAATTCCACCTGGCCACCTGATTATCATCAGTTTTAGTATTTAAGTATTTGTATTTAAGATGGGGAACCAAGGCTAAGAGATCATGGCTTGGCTAAGAGTAGAACTAGATGGTATGGTAGCACTCACTGGACCTCCCAAGAGTTCAGTTGCTGCTGCTTACTGGGAGGAAAAAAATCAACACAGCAGTGATGTTAGTGTGCTGTAAACACACTGATGGAGCCAATCCAGAGCTCCTGGTAATGTGTTTGCCTTGCACATTCTTCACATGGTCTGCTACTGGAGAAGACTATCTAGTACTAGAGGGCTCTGGCCCTCTGAATGATCCTTCTCCCATCATCCCTGTCTATTGGCCATACTGGCTGGGGCTGCTGGGAGTTGGAGACCCAAAGCCAGCTGGAGATGTACTGGTTGCCAGTCCCAGATCAAGTCATTCTGTTGCCAGAAAAAAATGTAACCTATGTAATATTGAACAGAAGGCAAGCAGGTTGACTCCTCCGGCCTCCTTAGCCATTGGTTATAGCTGTTGAAATCACCACTGGTCCAAATGTGTCAGGAACAGAAGTCATCCTCCTTAGTAAAAGTTTTAAATTTCTTTATTGACAGTGCTTTGATTTGCACTGCCAGAAACGCCTTCTTGGAAATCTCCGGAAGGAAAGTAACCTAAAAAGGGAAAACAGGAAGGAAATATCATAACTCTTGGTATAGTTACTCATTAAGTCATCACCTTGCCTATTTGTGGGCATGATAGATAACAATACCTGTGGACTTTGCCCTCATTTCCTGTAGGAGCATTAGCCACGCGGGCGGGTGTGGTAACGTGGCTCTCGCTAGACCTCCCAAGAGCTGAGTTGCTCCTGCTTACTGGGAGGGGGGAAAGCAACATGACGGTGATGTTGGTGTGCTGTAAACACACTGATGGAGCCAATCCAGAGCTCCTGGCAATGGATTTGCATTGCACAAAATTTCCCCCTTCTACATGGTCTGCTACTGGCTAAAACTATCTTAGTAATAGAGGGCTCTCCATTGATCCCTGACTGTTGACCATACAACCTAGAGCTGTTGGGAGTTGGAGACCAAAAACATCTGGAGAGGTGCTGGTCAGTCTGTTGCCAAAGCAAAATCTAACCCATGCAATACTGAACAGAAGGCAAGCAGGTTGACTTCTCTGGCTCCTTAGGCAACGGGCAGAGCTGCTGAAACTACCACTGGTTCAAACATGTCAGGAACAGAAGACATTCTCCATAGTAAACATTTTTAATTTCTTTATGGACAGTGCTTTGATTTGTAGTGGCAGAAAACCCCTTAGAAATGTCATGAAGGAAAGTATCATTTACTGTTTCACAAAAGTGAAAACAGGAAGGAAATATTCTAATTCAGAAAGCGGCTGTTCTCCACTCTCTTCCCCACCCCCCTTGGTACAGTGAGTGATTAGGTCATCTCCTTCCTGCCTCTTTGTGGGCGTGATATATAATATATGCAAACTTTGGCCTTATTTCAGGAACTTTAGCCAAGAGAGCGGGTGTGGCTGCTGTAGCTGGAGCAGAATCTAGTTTCCCTTGACACAATGCCGTCTGTTTTGACATAAGAACACCTAGAAGGGTTTGAAGATGTTGCTCCAGCTGCTCTCTGTCCTCTGGGAGGCCTTGTCCCTGCAGGTTGTTCTGGTGTTTCTGGCAACATTTCTACTTATTGCTGATTATAAGAAACAGATTCGCCCAAGGAATTACCCCCCAGGGCCCAGGCCTCTTCCCTTTCTGGGTAGCACACTACATCTGGATTTCAAGAAGCCTCAGATTTCAGCACAAAAGGTAAGGATGGAGGAAAGAGCTTTAGGGTGGTGTGGGATGTTTCTCCCTATAAGATGCCCAGCCAAGTGGACGCAAAATTGAGAAAATCTATTGGAGGGTGCCAGATTTTGGCCTCACTCACCACCTAACAGCTATTTGTAACAAACCTGTGTCCACAACTGCCATTTGCTTTCTATGGCTGGCAGAATATTGTGGGTGTGCATGTAGGTACTTACATTGTACATAGGTACATAGGTACATGAACCTGGACAAAACTGCAGTAAACTGTAAGGGAGATTCAGAGGTCTAAACTGGAAAAAAACCTACGTTGTGTGGAGTCCCCAATCTACACATGCATTTGCACTTTATAGTTTTGACAATTCAGGCAGTGGCTGTTTTTTATATACAATTATATAGTTATGTTGATACATCTTCTCCTGATAGTATTTTGTCATGGACTTTGGCTAGTACAATAAAGCTTATTCACCTTACTGTCTCCATTCAGCTTGCAGAAAAATATGGCAATGTATTCGGCCTTCAGACTGGAAACATAAGGATTGTGGTTGTGAATGGATTGCACCTGGTGAAAGAGGCTCTTGTCCATCAGGGAGAATATTTTGTAGATCGACCAAAATCCCCTGTTCTTGATAAGATATTTGGGTCACTTGGTAAGTTTCCTTTACGATGGTCAATGATTTAGATGATTAAAATTGCTTTTTTAATTATATGCACTGATTGTACAACCTTTTAGATTATTAGATGTTTTCTTAATTTAGGGTTACCAGACATCCCCGTTTCCCAGGGACAGTCCCCGGATTTGCGAATAAGTCCCTTAACAAATTCCATCTCCCGGAATGTCCCCAGATTTCATCTAATGTCCCCGGGAAACGCAGCCTATCGGAGCAGCCTCCCAACATCTGTGAAGATAGGCTTCACGCTGCCTATCAGAGCTTGTGTGCAAGCAGGAGGGGGCAGGGATCTCTCAGTTAGGCAACGGGAAGGGGAGGGGATCCCTGCCCCCTCCTGCTTGCACGCAAGTAGGTATGGGATTGGGGCTGCTCCGATGGGAATGGAGGCATTGCACTGCCTGAGCCTCACCGCCGCTCTCAGCCCTCCTTCTCCACCTTCTATGCCTGACCCACCGTGCACCACTTCCCCACCCACCCACCCACCCCCACCACCAAAGAACCAACAACTCAGGGGCTGCCCAGGCTCATGGAGAAAGGTGATAGAAGCATCGGAGGAAGGGGAAACGTGGCGGTTGAGGTCAAGGTGGCGGCCTCCCCTCTCCCACTGCCATCACTGCAGCATCACTGTCCTGAGCGTGTAGTATGTATGTATGTATGTATGTATGTATTTAAAGTGTCCCCAGATTCATTGGAAAAAATGTGGTAACCTTATCTTAATTCACTTTTGCATTTCTTGCATCTTTAAACAAAAGTAAACTAATAAGATTTGTCATAGATGTAGACCTGCAAAACTAGATTAACAGCTCACAGTTCAGTGTTGGGTGGCAGTCAGAGTCCGTGGCCGTGTAGTGCATCAAACAGCTTGTCATTATTGGTCTGCAATTGTTAGAGGTGGAGGAATATGGGAGTTTTTCTTTCATTCAGTTCCTCATTTATCTGTTATTCAGTTTGCCACACTTCTACATCCAATAATGCTTCAGTTAATGTATTGTTTCAGGCAGTGAGAATGAATTAAAATTGCATTAAATTGCACCTGAGCTGACTTTCTGCCCCATCCCTAGTAGTGATGGAATAATATGCTGTCGTTAAGCACTGTATGGAAGCAGCAGGTAGTATCTTTTTCACAGCCATTTTTGAGTCCACAGCTGCCTTGACCAACTACATTCTTTCCATGGTACCCCTGTGAGGTTCAGGAGCCCAGTTATGTCACCCCTTGCCTGCAGAGTTGGCAGCCTCTCACCCTTTTTTGAGCACTCTCCCTTGTGGAGTGTTCCCTCAGCCTCCTCTCCTCTCCCCTCTCCTTGGGAGTCCTCTAGGCAGCCACTGCTGCCCTCCTTCTTCTCTGAGCTTCCCCACCTCCGTGCCAAAGAGCGGTGCCTCCTCACACTGCCCCACAGGCGCCTGGAACTTGTCTGTCCCAACAGCAAGGACTGGCTGGCTGGGATCCCTAACCCACTTGCTTCCTTGTTGTCAGCTCCTGACAACAAGCACACCCAGAACATTCGCTTGCGGAGCTCGTAACCAGGGCTGCTGCAACAAACAGCCACACAAGCCTTTGGGAGGCAGAGATGCTTGAGGGCATCAGAGGAGGGAGGGAAGGAAAGAGGGACAGAGACTAGTGTTGCCCGCAACACTCTTAACCATAATTCAAGGCACCCTAGGGTACCATGGCACTCTGGTTGCAAACCACTGAGCTAAGACTTCCCTGTGATTGTGTCCATTTAGGAAAGGGAGGGCATTGGGAAGTGAAACAGGTCCAGTTCAGAGGTCACAGTCCACAGATGCCCAACATATAGACCTCCAGGTATAGGGCAGTATATAAATTCAAACAACAGCAACATATAGCAAAAATGTTATGCAAATGAAACAGCAAAGAGAAATATGTTAATAGTGAGCAGAACCCAAGTGGGGATGCAGCATGCTGGAACTCATGTCAAGTGGGCCTGTGGCCAAGGTCCAGGTCACATTTTCAAATGCCTTGTAGTCTTTCCAACATATTAAGTAGGCAAGCAGAATAGAGGGAAAGAGACAGGAATCCATCTTGGAATTGAAAGGACTGCTAAATCTTACTTACTTGCTGTATGTACTTATTACTCCTTCCCATCTAGGACTGGTCTTCTCTAATGGTCTCATCTGGAAACACCAAAGACGGTTTGCCTTATCAACACTCAGAAACTTTGGTTTGGGCAAAAGGTCTTTAGAAGAAAGAATACAGGAAGAAAGCCGTTACTTAAAGGAAGCAATAGAAGCTGAGAAAGGTGAGAACCAGAATCAATAAACCTGGGGCATATTTACGCTGCTATTTTCTATGAACGAAATCAAAAATACATTAGCCAGGGTGCGAAGCTCTTTAGCATTATTTCTTCATGTAAACGTAGCTCTGCTTGGACTGGAATAACCCTGTGATGGAGAAGGGGGTGTTGATAGGAAGCTCCACAGAGGCTCATTATGGTGCAGCAAAGTTCTAGTGTGAAGCTTTGTGTTGGAACCTGCCATGGGAGCTAAAAGCCCCTGAACTAGAACAGACTTAAGAACAAAGATGGAGTGTTTGGGCTGAGAAGGTGTGCAGATTTTGATGATTTTGACAACCAACATCACAAATAGAATAGGGTTTGAAGTGCAATCATTTTGGTATATTTTGGCATATACTGTCTTTGAGACGGTCCTTACCCTTTTTGACAGCCATTGTTACAGAATAATCCTTGTCTATGGAGAATATAAATACTCACTTGAAAATATAAATAGATCTCAGAGTCCTGGGTGTCCCAGGTTAAATTACAGAATATGATGTTAATACTGATGCTTTCTTTGGCTAAAACAAATTCTACCCCTTCCACACGCAACCACTTTCCCCACTTTCTGTTTTTGTTATACGGAAGCTAGAAGCACCCCAATTCCTTCTGCACCATTTTCTCTCTCTCCCCAGGGCAGCCATTTGACCCTCACTTTCAGATTAATAATGCTGTTTCAAATATCATCTGTTCCATCACTTTTGGGGACCGCTTTGATTACCATGACAGTCGTTTCCAGAAGCTACTGCACTTGCTCGATGAGGCATTGCTTCTTCAGGGAAGTCTTTGGAGTATAGTAGGTCTTCTCTGAGTTCTTTTGCATATAACCACCACACAATTGCTTGGGCTCCAGTCACATTCCCACATTATTGTTGACTGTGAAATCATTTGCTTTGGTCCTCCTTTTTCTTCATGTTCAGATTTCTGTTTTTCCTGTATTCAAGCATCTTGTTCCATCCATTTTCCTTTGCCCCCTAGTGTTGTTTATAAAAGCACTGAAGATGAAAAGGTTGGGATGTGTTCAGTAACGTAAAGTGGGAGGCCAAATCATGTGTTACAGCACAGATCATATTTTTATTGGGGGGAATAACATGTGTGACTGAATAAAATCTCTATGTATGTGAACAGAGTGAGGCCATCACAAATGGTATACATAGAGTGAGCTGCCATTGTTCTGCCCCAGCTTCTGACAACCTAGGAGTTCAAAAGCATACCAGCGCAAGTATATAAATAGGTACTGCTGTAGTAGGAAGGTAAACGGCATTTCCGTACACTCAGGCGTCCATCACGGTGACACTGGAAGTGGTTTAATCATGTTGGCCACATGACCCGGAAAGCTGTCTGTGGACAAATGCCGGCTCGTTGGCCTGAAAAGACAGATGAGCGCCGCCACCTCATAGTCTCCTTTGACTGGACTTAACTGTCCAGGGGTGCTTTACTTTACCTACATGGACTAATTCTACACACACACCATTTACAATCTGTGAATTGACACCCCATGCAGATGCATAACATTAAAGGGAAACTCATAGGAAGTCGATCAGTGAATTAGAAGGTGTGCTTGCAGAAATCAGACCATGATGCCATTTAATCTGCAATCCTAAGCAGTGGTGAGTACCATATTTGCTCTGGTTCCAAGAGAGTCTGCCATCTTTGAGCCTGTGCACACCAGCCTTTATTACTGCTAGCCTCTTTCCCATGACAAGAGCATGATGTGAATGTTTTTGGAGAGGGCATTCCCTGCAGATACATGATATTAGTGTTTGTTTCCTCAGCTGTATGATATCATTCCCTCTGTCATGAAATACCTGCCGGGGCCACATCACACACTTTTTAAAAAATGGGGGCAGCTGAAATACTTTGTGAGAGAAATCATTGAAAAACACAAAGAAGACTGGAACCCATCTGAACCCAGAGACTTCATTGATGCCTACCTAAATGAAATGGCCAAGGTGAGAGATGAAAAGGATAGAAGGTAGATATAATTTTGATAATAAAAATGATAGTAGCAGAAGGCAGAGAAACAATTTTAAAAACCAGAAATAACCATGTGGCCCATAATGGCTGACCACATTTCAATGTTTCCATTGAGTTTATTATTCTAGAAAAAATAAATTTCTGCATATGCATGAATATGAACCCATGTATTTTGTGGGGAGACAATTCTCCATTCTTTCACTGCTGGGATTTTACCACTTGTCAGTGGTGAGTGAGAGCAAACAGTTGACATGACCAAACGAATCATTGTAGTAAAGGCCATCCATTGCCTCAGTTGTCTGAATAAACCTCCTCTAGGGCTTTGGCGTCCTTGACCAGAACAATCCCAAACTTCATGCCAGCTTCAGTGATTCAAAGGACTGTTGTCTTGACCTTCCTAGATGCAGGATTAGAGTTGCTGAATCCCCTAGTGATCTCTTGACTTGTGGCTGACAACATTTCAATATTTCCATTGAGTTTATGACTTCAGACAAAATATATTTCTGCATGCACAGGTCAATATATTTTGTGGGGAGACACCTCCCCACTTGTTCACTGCTGGGATTTCACCACTTGTCTGTGGTTTGTGAGAGCAAGCAGTTGACATGACTAAAAGAATCACTGCCTCAGTTGTCTGAATAAACCTTCTCTAAGGCTTTGGCATCCTTGACCACAACAAACCCATACTTTATGCCAGCATCAGTGATTCACAGGACTGTTGCCTTGAGCTTCCTAAATCCTGGACACTTTTCAGGAGTAGAGCCCTTGCCTCCCCTAGTGATCTCTTGACATGTGGGTCTGACAGTAGGATGGTGTTTTTAATGGCTGCTTAACTCCTTGGTGCATTTCTGTTTTAAGGAGGATTCTGCTTCCAGTTTCCATGAAGAAAACCTTCTACATTCAGCACTGGATTTATTTCTTGCTGGAACGGAAACAACTTCTACAACCCTGCGTTGGGGTTTGCTGTATATGGCCATTTATCCAGATATTCAAGGTAGAACTGTAGTTGGCTCATTTGTCTTTCAGTACTTTGTTTTGTATATAACAAAGGCCTACTGAAAGCAAACATCAATATATAATCTTATCATTAGATGCTGAAAAGGTCTTTGACAAAATACAGTGGTGCCCCGCAAGACGAATGCCTCGCAAGACGAAAAACCCGCTAGACGAAAGGGTTTTCCGTTTTTCAATGCGCTTCGCAAGACGAATTTCCCTATGGGCTTGCTTCGCAAGACGAAAACGTCTTGCGAGTCTTGTGGTTTTTTTGCTCCCCCCCCCTTTTTCTAAGCCGCTTAGCTGCTAATAGCCTTTTAGCCGCTAAGCCGCTAAGCCTTTAATAGCTGCTAAACCGCTAAACCGCTAATAGCGCTAATCCGCTAAGCCGCTAATAGGGTTGCTTCGCAAGACGAAAAAACCGCTAGATGAAGAGACTTGCGGAATGGATTATTTTTGTCTTGCGAGGCACCACTGTATATAAACAGAATATGGTGGCTGTACTAAACTAATGGTGGCTGTATTTCCTTTGGAATGCAAAAAATGGATTAAGATATCATATGATTCACCCTCATCTAGAGTAAAAGTAAATGCCATGTTTTCTGCTACTGTAGAGGAGCTAGACAGGGATGTCCACTTTCACCTTTGTTTTTCAATATTTGCATGGAACCCTTAGCTTGCACTATTAGACAACATAGGTACTATTGATCTATGGAGAAATACATAATTCAGTTTAATACAAATTGGTTTCATCTGCAGATGATATTCTTTTGTTTATTTCTAAATCCTCATTTGCTGATGCAGATCATAGGTGCCTTTCCTAAAATATCCGGATACTCCGTTGACTGGTCCAAATGAAAATGGATTCCAATAAGTGAAAATTTGGTTACCTATTCATTTAAGGAGTATCAATTCTGTATCTGCTCAAATCCGTTAAATATTATAGATGGGCCATCCCTACAGATCTTAGAAAAAGTCTATCCTTGTGTTGATGAGAGATTTTAATTTTTTTGCAGCAAAAGTCCAAGCGGAAATAGATTCTGTGATTGGCCAGTCTCGCCAGCCAGCGATGGATGACAGGGACAGAATGCCATACACCAATGCAGTTGTTCATGAAATTCAAAGAATAAGCAACATTATTCCTTTGAATGTGCCTCGGTTGACAACAAAGGACACTACACTGGCTGGATTTCATATTCCCAAAGTAAACATTAAGAAGATATACCTTTCTCATAAGCCTTTCCTCTTCTCTTGAGATGTGAAAACTTGCTGCCAAAGTTCTAAGTCAGGGATAGCCAGTGTGCTGCTCCCAAGATGCTGTTGAACTCCTTCTGCTTGAGCCAGCATGGCCACTGGGCAGGGTCTGGGGTGTTCTTTGGGCACATCAAGATCTGGAGTGGAGGGAAGGGGTTATGGCTAGATAGACATTGGTTCTTTCCAACCCCTGGCAAAAATGGATTCCAAGCGCAGTCTGTACCATTTGTATGGATAGCTAGTTACTTTCTATTCTTTTCGCTTTTTAAAAAATGACCATTACTAATAACCCAAACTGCAACACCTGGCATCTGGTGTTTCCTATCCTACTTTGAATATACAGTCATACCTCGGGTTGAATACGCTTCGAGTTGAGCGTGTTCGAGTTGCGCTCCGTGGCAAGCTGGAAGTAATGGAGTGCGTTACTTCCGGGTTTCGCCGCTTGCGCATGCGCAGATGCTCAAAATGACGTCACGCGCATGTGCAGAAGCGGCAAAAAGTGATATGTGCGCGTGTGCAGACGTGCCGTCGCTAGTTACGTTTACCTCTAGATGCGAACAGGGCTCTGGAACGGATCCCGTTCGTATCTAGAGGTACCACTGTATTTTAAAACTGAACCTGTGTTTTTGTGAGATGCGGTTCAATGAATTACTTAATAATGCATAAAAAATATCACATTCAAAACATTCTTTCTGAGTTGGACTTGGATCTAGGAGGCTTAGTACTGCAGTAGTTGCACAGATCAAAACACAAAGATTTCTTTGCAAGTTTTATTCTACCACTTTTCTCTGCTTCTTCTTTGGCAGGACACTGTATTACTTACCAACTTGACCTCACTGCTCTTTGATGAGGATGAGTGGGAAACACCCAATGTGTTTAATCCTGGTCATTTCCTAGAGAATGGTCAGTTCAGAAAAAGGGAAGCGTTCCTGCCATTCTCTGCAGGTAACAAATGTTGATGCGTGGCTTCTTAGAATTGCAACAGAGACTACATGATGATGGCTTGGTTGTGGGAAGTCTGGTGTATTACAGGGCTCAGCACCCAATTGAGGCCAGTGGTCACATTTGAGATTATGAGGAAGTACTGTGGATGCAAAATGACTACTATAGGAGGTGTGATTTTACACAAAATGGTGTTGGTATACTCTTCCCCCTCCCCCCACACCCAGTAAGCAGTGTGGATTTTTGAGGGAATATTTCCAGAGCTTTCTCAGGTGCCCTAAGTGGCACAGGTGCTCCACAAGGCATTGGGTGTACAGCAGCTGATGTATTTTTTCATAGTTTCCTCAAGGAAGAGAAACCCACTTCCATCTTGAACTTGAGGAACTGAGCTCTGTTTGCCACACCCTTAGCTAAGATTAGGGAGATTCCTAATAAAATATATTTGAAATTTACATCATATGCAGTTTTAGAGAAAAAATAAATTCATGTAACTCAAATATATCTATTCCAAATTCAGTAAAACCATGATCATATTTGTTCAGTGTTCCCATTTGCTTGACTTATATGTTTATTTTGCAACAACATAATTACTTTTTAAATTATTTGATCTGCCCATGTTATTTAAATTGTGCCACTCAGTGGAGAGCAAAAGCTCTCCACTGAAACAGTCTTTTTCCTCCTTGTCTTCTAGGAAAGCGAGCCTGTTTGGGAGAGCAGTTGGCGAGGACCGAGCTCTTCATTTTCTTCACTGCCCTAATTCAGAAGTTCACTTTCCAGGCTCCAAAGAATGAGACATTAAGCCGTGAATTTAGGATAGGTTTGACCGTGTCTCCCCTGCCATACCGGATATGTGCATTCTCTCGCTAAGGGGACTTACTTTATGTCATTGCCGTTTCTTTAAAAAGTAGGATCAGTTTATGGTGCAGGAACAGATCTATGGTTTAATCCTAATTGTGTTTAGCCAGAGTTCAGCAGGGCTTAACCCAGGTGAGCAGGATTGGGACTGCAGCATGTTCCTTTAAAGCAGAGATTTCCACACTTTTTAGACATGCATCATTTCGCGACACAATTATTCAGTTTTAATAGCAAACCAGAGGTTAAACTAACCCCTTATAAGAGATACGGACATATATCATGCAACACCCCTGAACACTGCAGTCGACACACTAATGATGACACATGCTTTGGAAAGCTCTGCTTTAAAGCCTATTCAAAGCACATTTGCCCCCTCAAAGAATTTGGGCAACTAGGGTTTGTGGGTACTTGGAATTTGAGCTCTCTGAAGGATAAATTCAATTTCCGAGGATTCTTGTGGGAATGTGTGTATGCAGATCATAATGATACATTGATGAGGATCCAAATTCCATCCTCCCACTTCTTGTTCCAGGGTGTATGTCTACCCACCATCCCATTATTTTCAAAAAATAATAATAATGTCCTGGCTGTGGTGAAGAAAAGGCATTCCTTTGTTTGTAGGAATCTGTGTGCTTACGACTCAAGATAAATGTAATGTATCCCTAATGTAATTCCATCCTTTGTTTATTAAAAAAAAAGTGTTGCTTGGAAATTTTTGTTACATAACCAGTTCATAGAACCATAGACTCATCGAATTTTGCAAGGGACTCCAAGTGTATTCTATTTCAAACCCCTGCAATGCAGGTATCTTTTGTCCAGTATTGGGCTTGAACCCATAAACCTGAGGTTCTTGCAGTTGTGTATTGGTGGCCCCAACCCCAAGGCAAATCTTACAGTAAATGTGCTTATAAGTACAGTAAAATTGATGGGTTTAACTCTTGAATGTTGCCTAGGTTTTATTATTTTCCAAAAACATTATTGTTGTGCTTTAATATACAGTGGTACCTTGGGTTACATACGCTTCAGGTTACAGACTCTGCTAACCCAGAAATAGTGCTTCAGGTTAAGAAATTTGCTTCAAGATGAGAACAGAAATAGTGCTCCTGCGGCGTGGCGGCAGCAGGAGGCCCCATTAGCTAAAGTGGTGCTTCAGGTTAAGAACAGTTTCAGGTGAAGTACGGACCTCCGGAATGAATTAAGTACTTAACCCGAGGTACCACTGTACTACATAGTGGATAACAAGGTGAAAACTGAGTCTGCAAAGTGTTTTCCATGAAAATAGTTAAAAGTGGCAATTTGGCTGTCTGGGAGTGCATAGTGCTGACATTCACAGGGGCAGGGGCAGAGGAGAATGCCACAGAGAAGATACACACTCCCTTTCCTTATGATTGTGTGCAGATTTAAAAGTCCACTTGGAAAAGTTCAAGTTGAAATTTCCTTGGGATATTGCATCTACAGTTCTTCAAGAGTTTTGGGCTCGATGTATGCTTGGCTAGAAGCAATCTCTGCTGTGGTGTTCTTTGGGAGAAGGAACGTGGAGTCTTATTATTGAATAATCATGGAGCAGATAAAGGCTTACTGTCATCTCTTTATAAAATTATATTGGATGCCACTGTAGGTGGACCAGCTGGTTAGACGTTGTGCTGGGAACAAAATATCCAGCTTGACCAATATAGCTGGGCATGTATTGATACAAATGGGTTTGGGAAGAAGGTGCATATAGAAAACTCTCAAATAATGCAACGGGATGTACTCCTTACTCCAACTTATTATTCATCTTCTTCTAGTGAGTAAGGACAATAATGAAAGTTTGGAACAATTTCACCTGTATTGATCTGAATTCTAGCATATAGCCTTCCTGGAGAAACTCTCTCATAGATTACAGGTGTTGCGGGGGGACAAAAAAGAGATCAAATTCCAGCTATTTGGTTTCCTTTCATTTGAACATAAGAATGGACTTGGCATAGCTGGATAGCTCAAACAATATATAAATTGATGAAGATATCCTGACGTCCATTGGGAAATATTGTTTGCCAGTAAGAAATTTTGCAAGAAGGTGACAGAAGAGGAAAACAACTCCTAAATATTAAGGTGCTGCTTTTGATAACTTACTAAGTTTATATCAATTCTATTGTCATGTGTCATATCTCATCTTGAATTACCATTGTGCGATCCGGATAAAGATAGCAGATGCAAAATCTCTTTGACAACATGTTCCCACAACCATACCTATCAACACTTTGAGAACAGACAATTCAAAATGTGAAGGACTTATCAATGCATATGCTTTACGTTGACATTTGTGGCCTCCAAGATGGTACCAATAAGCACTAAATTGATCTCAGGCACCTTTCCTACACACCAAGGCCTCTTTCTCCCACATTTATTTTTTATTTTAAATGAGGATTTTTTAAAAGCTCGGTTGTTTGGTTGGAAGTGAGGCTCTGTAATTCTTTTGTGCTTTGGTGTGTCTAGTTTATCTGCTTTTGGGTGGGTGCAAGTGGCTTGTTTGGTTCTGGGGACAGAGCTTTTCTGAGCATCACTATTATTTCTTCTGTGAAATAGCTATTTCCTGGTTCCCACAATAGTTTCAGAAATACCCCTGGGTCCTAAAAGGTGGGAGCCACTGGTTTCCACAGCAATAATTTAGCGACTGGGTTCTTTCATACCTTGACCTCCAGCAGCAGAAGTCCATGCTGTTGCAGCTTGCAGCCATTGTGCCGCCACGTGCACAGGGGCAGGAACAAGGGTTTCCTTCAGCTCCACAGTAGACACAATTCCACCTGTCCAGCTGATTATCATCAGTTTTCGTATTCTTGTATTTAAGATGGGGAACCAAGGCTAAGAGATCATGGCTTGGCTAAGACTAGTACTAGATGGTATAGTAGCACTCACTGGACCTCCCAAGAGCTGAGTTGCTCCTGCTTACTGGGAGCCAACCTAGCAGTTCGGAAGCGTGTCAAAGTGCAAGTAGATAAATAGGTACTGCTCCGGCGGGAAGGTAAACGGCGTTTCCATGCACTGCTCTGGTTTCGCCAGAAGTGGCTTAGTCATGCTGGCCACATGACCTGGAAAAACTGTCTGCGGACAAATGTCAGCTCCCTTGGCCAATAAAGTGAGATGAGCGCCACAACCCCAGAGTTGTCTGCAACTGGATTTAACTGTCCGGGGTCCTGTACCTTTACTGGGAGGGAAAAAAGCAACACGACGGTGATGTTGGTGTGCTGTAAACACACCGATGAAGCCAATGCATTTGCATTGCACAAAGTTTCGCCCTTCTACATGGTCTGCTACTGGCTAAAACTATCTTAGTACTAGATGTCTGTCCAGTGATCCCTGACTATTGACCATACAACCTTGGGCTGTTGGGAGTTGGAGACTAAAAACATCTGGAGAGGTGCTGGTCAGTCTGTTGCCAAAGCAAAATCTAACCCATGCAATACTGAACAGAAGGCAAGCAAGTTGACTTCTCTGGCTCCTTAGGCAGCGGGCAGAGCTGCTGAAACTACCACTGGTTCAAACATGTCAGGAACAGAAGACATTCTCCATAGTAAACATTTTTAATTTCTTTATGGACAGTGCTTTGATTTGTAGTGGCAGAAAACCCCTTAGAAATGTCATGAAGGAAAGTATCCTTTACTGTTTCACAAAAGTGAAAACAGGAAGGAAATATTCTAATTCAGAAAGCGGCTGTTCTCCACTCTCTTCCCCGCCCCCCTTGGTATAGTGAGTCATTAAGTCATCTCCTTCCTGCCTCTTTGTGGGCGTGATATATAATATATACAAACTTTGCCCTTATTTCAGGAACTTTAGCCAAGAGGGCGGGTGTGGCTGCTGTAGTGGAGCCGTATAAAGTTTTCCTTGACACACAGCAGACTGTTCTGACATAAACACCTAGAAGGGTTTGAAGATGCTGCTCGAGTTGCTCTCTGTCCTCTGGGAGGCCTTGTCCCTGCAGGTCACTCTGGTGTTTCTGGCAACATTTCTACTTATTGCTGATTACAAGAAACAGATTGGTCCAAGGAATTTTCCCCCAGGGCCCAGGCCTCTTCCCTTTGTGGGTAACATGCTGCATACGGATTTCAAGAAGCCTCAGATTTCAGTAGGAAAGGTAAGGATGGAGGAAAGGGCTTTCGGGTGGTGTGGGACGTTTCTCCCTATAAGGTGCCCAGCCAAGTGGGCGCAAAATTGAGAAAATATATTGGAGGGTGCCAGATTTTGGCCTCACTCACCACCTAACAGCTATTTGTAACAAATCTGTGTCCTTAACTCCCATTTGCTTACTATGGCTGGCAGAATATTGTGGGTGTGGGTGTGTATGTGTTGTTGTACATTGCCCTACCATCACTCCCCCTTTATCTTTGCAACAGCTTTGTGTGGTAGACTAGGCTAAGTTATAGGTAAAGGTAAAGGGACCCCTGACCATTAGGTCCAGTCGTGACCGACTCTGGGGTTGTGGCGCTCATCTTGCTTTATTGGCTGAGGGATGCCCAGCTTCCAGGGCATGTGGCCAGCGTGACTAAATCGCTTCTGGCGAACCAGAGCAGTGCACGGAAATGCCGTTTACCTTCCCGCCGGATCGGTACCTATTTATCTAATTGCACTTTGACATGCCTTTGAACTGCTAGGTTGGCAGGAGCGGGGACTGAACAATGGGAGCTCACCCCATCGCAGGGATTCGAACCGCCGACCTTCTGATCAGCAAGCCCTAGGCTCTGTGATTTAACCCACAGCGCCACCCACGTCCCTAGGCTAAGTTACTACATGCAAATAAGCAGCAAGTCTTGTGAACAGATTGCAGGTGAAGAATGGAGGGGGCCTGTCCATTTACAGCCCCTTGAAACCATTTTGGCAACTCTTATGTCCCTGATATATTTGACGGCAATCAAAGTTACTTCTTCTATACAGGAATTCAAGAAACATCAGGTACAGAGACATAAAATCGCAATTCCTTCTCACTCTCCCTCCAGTCTGCCAACAGATTAATATATAACATATTAGATAGGATATTATATATTCTTCCTCCATCTCCATTCAGGTTCTAGGGCTGCTCAGTGATGCTAATACTCCAGTGACACATAATGTGGCATTTTTGTGCTGGTGACAAAAAAGATCAGGGAGAAGAACCTGGACGAAATTGCAGTAAACTGTAAGGGAGATTCAGAGGTCTAAACTGGGGGGGGGGGGGGACTATGTTGTGTGGAGCCCCCAAACTACACATGCGTCTGCACTTTATAGTTTTGACAATTCCGGCAGTGACTCTGTTTTTTATATACAATTATATAGTTATGTTGATGCATCTTCTCCTGATAGTATTTTGTAATGGACTTTGGCTAGTACACTAAAGCTTATTCACCTTATTGTCTCCATTCAGCTTGCAGAAAAATATGGCAATGTATTCGGCCTTCGTTATGGAAGCACAAGGGTTGTGGCTGTGAATGGATTACACCTGGTGAAAGAGGCTCTTGTCCATCAAGGAGAATATTTTGTAGATCGACCAAAAGCCCCTGTTGTTGATAAGTTATTTGGGTCACTTGGTAAGTTTCAGTTACTATGGTCAATGATTTGGATAATTAAAATTCCTTTTTTAATGATATGCACTGATTGCTAAATCTACTGTACGTACTTATTACTCCTTCCTATCTAGGACTGGTCTTCTCTAATGGTCTCATCTGGAAACAACAAAGACGATTTGCCTTATCAACACTCAGAAACTTTGGTTTGGGCAAAAGGTCTTTAGAAGAAAGAATACAGGAAGAAAGCCGTTACTTAAGGGAAGCAATAGAAGCTGAGAAAGGTGAGAACCAGAATCAATAAACCTGGGGCATATTTACGCTGCTATTTTCTATGAACAAGATCAAAAATACATTAGCCAGGGTGCAAAGCTCTTTAGCATTATTTCTTCACGCAAATGTAGCACTGCTTGGACTGGAATGACCCTGTGATGGCAAAGGGGGTGTTGATAGGAAGCTCTTTGTGGTGCACAAAAGTTCTAGTGTGAAGCTTTGTGCTGGAACCTCAAGGCCACTGAACTAAAACAGACTTAAGAACAATGATGGAGTGTTTGAGCTGAGAAGATGTGCAGATTTTGATGATTTGACAACCAACATCACAAATAGAATAGGGTTTGAAGTGCAATCATTTTGGTATATTTAGGTATATACTATCTTTGAGACTGTCCTTACCCTTTTTGACAGCCATTGTTACAGAATAATCCTTACTGTGGAATAATCCTTTATGGAGAATATAAATGCTCACTTGAAGATATAAATGGGCCGCAGAGTCCTGGGTGTCCCAGGTTAAATTACAAGATATAATGTTAATACAAAATGCTTTCTTTGGCTAAAACAAATCCTGCCTCATCAACATGCAACCACTTTCCCCACTTTCTGTTTTTGTTATATGGAAGCTAGAAGCACCCCAATTCCTTCTGCACCATTTTCTCTCTCTCCCCAGGGCAGCCATTTGACCCTCACTTTCAGATTAATAATGCTGTTTCAAATATCATCTGTTCCATCACTTTTGGGGACCGCTTTGAATACCATGACAATCGCTTCCAGAAGCTACTGCACTTGCTTGATGAGGCATTGCTTATTCAGGGAAGTGTTTGGAGTATGGTAGGTCTTCTCTGAGTTCTTTTGCATATAACCACAAAACAATTGCTTGGGCTCCAGTCACATTCCCACATTATTGTTGACTGTGAAATCATTTGCTTTGGTCCTCCTGTTTCTTCATGTTCAGATTTCTGTTTTCCCTGTCCTGTTCATTCAAGCATCTTGTTCCATCCACTTTCCTTTGCCCCCTAGCATTGTTTATGAAAGCACTGAATATGTAAAGGTTGGGATGTGTTCAGTAACGTAAAGTGGGAGGCCGAATCATGTGTTACAGGACAGATCATATTTTTAATGGGGAGAATAACATGTGTGGCTGAATAAAATCAAGGTGTGTGAACAGAGTGAGGCCATCACAAATTATATACATAGAGTGAGCTGCCATTGTTCTGTCCCAGCTTCTGCCAACCTAGCACTTGGAAAGAATACAAGTAGATAAATAGGTACCGTTGTGGCAGGAAGGTAAACGGCATTTCTGTACGCTCTGGCTCTCATCATGGTGACCTGTTGCACCAGAAGTGGTTTATTCATGCTGGCCACATGACCCAGAAAGCTGTTTGTGGAGAAATGCCAGCTGAAAAGCAAGATGAATGCTGCATCCCATAGTCACCTTTGACTGGACTTAACTGTCCAGGGGTCCTTTGCCTTTACATGGATTAATTCTACACATACACCACTTACAATCTGTGTGTGAAGATGCATATCATTAAAGGGAAAATCTACATATTCATGAGATGAGCTGCCATTGATACATACAATTTTCAAAATGGTAATCATCTTCATGGGAATTACAAGTTGTGTTTGTAGAACTAACCACAATGTTGCCATTTGATTTGCAATCTGTACATTCTAACCAAGAAGTTAAGACATTGCCATGGGGTCCCATCATAAGCAGTGGTGAGTGCAATATTTACTCTAGTTCCAAGAGAGTCTGCCATCTTTGAGCCTGTGCACACCGGCCTTTATTACTGCTAGCCTATTTCCCATGACAGCAGCACGATGTGAATGTTTTTGAGAGGGTTTTCCCTTCACATATGTGATGTTAGTGTTTGTTTCCTCAGCTGTACAATATCATTCCCTCTGTCATGAAATACCTGCCAGGGCCCCATCACACACTTTTTAAAAAATGGGAGCAGTTGAAATCGTTTGTGAGAGGAATCATTGAAAAACACAAAGAAGACTGGAACCCATCTGAACCCAGAGACTTCATTGATGCCTACCTAAATGAAATGGCCAAGGTGAGAGATGAAAAGGACAAAATGTATATGTATATATTTAATAATAGAACAGTAGCAGAAGGCAGAGAAACAATATTAAAACCAGAACTAGTATTGTGGTTTGTCTGAGTTGCCCCTAATGGCTGACCACATTTCAATATTTCCATTGAGTTTATGACTTCAGACAAAATATATTTCTGCATGCACAGGTCAATATATTTTGTGGGGAGACACCTCCCCACTTGTTCACTGCTGGGATTTCACCACTTGTCTGTGGTTTGTGAGAGCAAGCAGTTGACATGACTAAAAGAATCACTGCCTCAGTTGTCTGAATAAACCTTCTCTAAGGCTTTGGCGTCCTTGACCAGAACAAACCCATACTTTATGCCACCATCAGTGATTCACAGGACTGTTGCCTTGAGCTTCCTAAATCCTGGACACTTTTCAGGAGTAGAGCCCTTGCCTCCCCTAGTGATCTCTTGACATGTGGGTCTGACAGTAGGATGGTGTTTTTAATGGCTGCTTAACTCCTTGGTGCATTTCTGTTTTAAGGAGGATTCTGCTTCCAGTTTCCATGAAGAAAACCTTCTACATTCAGCACTGGATTTATTTCTTGCTGGAACGGAAACAACTTCTACAACCCTGCGTTGGGGTTTGCTGTATATGGCCATTTATCCAGATATTCAAGGTAGAACTGTAGTTGGCTCATTTGTCTTTCAGTACTTTGTTTTGTATATAACAAAGGCCTACTGAAAGCAAACATCAATATATAATCTTATCATTAGATGCTGAAAAGGTCTTTGACAAAATACAGTGGTGCCCGCAAGACGAATGCCTCGCAAGACGAAAAACCCGCTAGACGAAAGGGTTTTCCGTTTTTCAATGCGCTTCGCAAGACGAATTTCCCTATGGGCTTGCTTCGCAAGACGAAAACGTCTTACGAGTCTTGTGATTTTTTTCGCTTTCCACCCCCCTTTTTCTAAGCCGCTTAGCTGCTAATAGCCTTTTAGCCGCTAAGCCGCTAAGCCTTTAATAGCTGCTAAACCGCTAAACCGCTAATAGCGCTAAGCCGCTAAGCCGCTAAGCCGCTAATAGGGTTGCTTCGCAAGAAGAAAAAACCGCTAGACGAAGAGACTTGCGGAATGGATTATTTTCGTCTTGCGAGGCAGCACTGTATATAAACAGAATATGGTGGCTGTACTAAACTAATGGTGACTGGATTTCCTTTGGAATGCAAAAAATGGATTAAGATATTATGTGATTTGCCCACATCTAGACTAAATGTAAATGCCATGTTTTCTGCTACTTTAGAGGAACTAGACAAGGATTTCCCTTTTCACCGTTACTTTTCAGTATTTACATGGAACCCTTAGCTTGCGCAACATGAGTAGATCTACAGAGTAGTACATAATTCAGTTGAATACAAATTGGTTTTATTTACAGATGATATTCTTTTGTTTACTTCTAAATCCTCGTTTGCTGATGCAGATCATGGGGGCCTTTCCTAAAATAACAGAATACTCTGCTGACTGGTCCAAATGAAAATTGATTGCAATAAGTGAAAATTTCGTTACCCATCCATTTAAGGAGTATCAATTCTGTGTCTGCTCAAATCCATTAAATATTAAAGATGGGCCTCCCCTACAGATCTTAGAAAAAGTCTATCCTTGTGTTGATGAGAGATTTTACTTTTTTTGCAGCAAAAGTCCAAGCGGAAATAGATTCTGTGATTGGCCAGTCTCGCCAGCCAGCGATGGATGACAGGGACAGAATGCCATACACCAATGCAGTTGTTCATGAAATTCAAAGAATAAGCAACATTATTCCTTTAAATGTGCCTCGGTTGACAACAAAGGACACTACACTGGCTGGGTTTTATATTCCCAAAGTAAACATTAAGACGATATACCTTTCTTATAAGCCTTTCCTCTTCTCTTGAGATGTGAAAACTTGATGCCAAAGTTCTAAGTCAGGGATAGCCAGTGTGCTGCTCCCAAGATGCTGTTGAACTCCTTCTGCTTGAGCCAGCATGGCCACTGGGCAGGGTCTGGGGTGTTCTTTGGGCACATCAAGATCTGGAGTGGAGGGAAGGGGTTATAGCTAGATAGACATTTGGTTATTTCCAACTCCTGGCAAAAATGGATTCCAAGCGCAGTCTGTACCATTTGCATGGATAGCTAGTTTCTTTTTTAATGACCATTACTAATAACCCAAACTGCAGCACCTGGCATCTGGTGTTTCCTATCCTACTTTGAATATATTTTAAAATCTAACCTGTGTTTTCAAAACATCATTTCTGAGTTGGACTTGGATCTAGGAAGCTTAGTACAGCTATAGTTGCACAGATCTAAACACAAAGATTTCTCTGCTCGTTCTAATCTGCCGTCTTCTTTGCTTCTTCTTTGTCAGGGAACCTTCTTGGCCACCAACTTGACCTCACTGCACTTTGATGAGGATGAGTGGGAAACACCCAATGTGTTTAATCCTGGTCATTTCCTAGAGAATGGTCAGTTCAGGAAAAGGGAAGCGTTTCTGCCATTCTCTGCAGGTAACAAAAGTTGATCCATGGCTCCTTAGAATTGCAACAGAGACTGCATGATGATGGCTTGGTTGCTTGGAGCCTGGTGTACTACAGGGGTCGCCTCCCTATTGGGGGCCTGTGGTCACATTTGGGATTGGGAGGAAGTACTGTGGATGCAGGGGACGTGGGTGGCCCTGTGGGTTAAACCACAGAGCCTAGGACTTGCTGATCGGAAGGTTGGCGGTTCGAATCCCCACAATGGGGTAAGTTCCCGTTGCTCGGTCCCTGCTCCTGCCAACCTAGCAGTTCAAAAGCACGTCAAAGTGAAAGTAGATAAATAGGTACCGTTCCAGCGGGAAGGTAAATGGCATTTTCGTGCGCTGCTCTGGTTCGCCAGCAGCGGCTTAGTCATGCTGGCCACATGACCCAGAAGCTGTACGCAGGCTCCCTCAGCCAATAAAGCGAGATGAGCACTGCAACCCCAGACTTGGTCACGACTGGATCTAATGGTCAGGGGTCCCTTTACCTTTACCTTTACCTTTACTGTGGATGCAAGTCACAAAATGGCTACCATAGATAAGGTTACCAGATTTTTTTCAATGAATCCGGGGACACTTTTCAACTTCCTACTAAATAGATGGATTTTGTCAGGGGACTGATTTATAAATCTGGGGACTGTGCTCGGGAAACGGGGATGTCTGGTAACCTTACCATAGGAGCTGTGAAGTTACACAAAATGGTGTTTCTATACTCTTCCCCTCCCCCCCACCCAGTAAGCCATGCGGATTTTTGGGGGAATATTTGCAGACATTTTTCTCAGGTGCCATAAGTGGCACAGGTGCTCCACAAGTGGACAACAGCTGATGTATTTTTTCATAGTTTCCCCAAGGAAGAGAAACCCAGTTCCATCTTGAACTTGAGGAACTGTTTGCCCACACCCTTAGCTAAGATATATGCAGATTAGGTAGATTCCTAAAAAAATATAATTCAAATTGGTTTTTTTCTCCAAAACTGCATATGAGATAAATTTATGTAATTCAAATATATCTATTCCAAATTCAGTAAAACCATGATCATATTTGTTCAGTGTTCCCATTTGCTTGACTAGGAAGTAGGACCGACTTCTATATTTATTTTGCAACAACATAATTATTTTTTAAATTATTTGGTCTGCCCGTGTTGTTTAAATTGTGCCACTCTTCACAGTAGCAAAAGCTCTCGACTGAAACAGTCTTTTTCTCCCCCACCCCCTTCTAGGAAAGCGAGCTTGTCTGGGAGAGCAGCTGGCGAGGACCGAGCTCTTCATTTTCTTCACTGCCCTAATTCAGAAGTTCACATTTCAGGCTCCAAAGGATGTGACATTAAGCTGTGAATTTAGGATAGGTCTGACCGTGTCTCCCCTGCCATACCGGATATGTGCATTCTCTCGCTAAGAGGGCCCACTTTACATCATTGCCATTTCTTCAATAAGTAGGATTAATTTATGGTGTAGGAACAGAATTTTGGCTTAATCCAAATTGATTGATTTGAATAACAGAATTTGAATGAGGGGGTGGAGCGGAGATAGCAAACAAGAAGTGAAACTAGACAAAGAGTCCTGTTTTCCTTTCCTCCCTCACAATGCAGTAGTTTCAATGTTTCAACTTCATTCTTAATCTAGCTGAGTAGACTTGTGTACATTGTAAGGTCAGTTAACTATCCACTCTTTGAGTGCCTGGACTTTGACATCCACCCACCCACTACTTATTTGCACAGAACAGTTTCTAGGGAATACTTGTCTCAGGTGTGTCCAGGCAAGTTAACACAGACAACTGGAATTAGCAGCTCTTTAGGACCCTGGGGTGTTTCTATCACCAGGTGTCCCAAACATCTCAGATTGGCTGAAAGCATAGAAGCAGGTGTTGCTTGTTTTACTCTCTCTTTCCTTGGGAGAGAGAACAAATGGCTTGCTGCTTTTACCCCCTTTCCTTTAAGGAAGGTCAAGACAATGGTGGGGTCCCCTAGCTGACACTGGTCCAGTTCAAAAGAGCGTAGAGCACACATATTCCTGCGTAGTTCTGACGCGTCTTGTCCAGGAGGAAGACAGCTGGTAGGTGCTGCTGCTGCTGGGGGGCTCCAAAATGGGGGGCTCCTGGGAGGTTGTGGGCTTATGCTGGCCCTAGCAGTGGTGAGAAAAAGGCATTGCTTTCCTTGTAAGGATATGTGAAGATAAAAATCTAATGGAATGCCCAGCATATGTTTATAAAATCAAAATGCAAAGTTTAAGTGTTCTTCTAAATATCCTAAGGTAAGGTAAAAAGGTAAAGGACCCCTGGATGATTAAGTCCAGTGGAATTTGACAATGGGATGCGGCGCTCATCTCTGCTTTCAGGTTGCTCAGAGTTGGATTGTAGTCAATGTATTTTCCACAGGTTGTATTGTTTTTCAGAAGCATTATTGTTGTGATTCAATAAACATAGTGGATAACAAGGTTAAAACTGAGTCTGCAAAGTGATTTCCATGAAAATAGTTAAAAGTGGCAATTTAGCTGTTAGTGGGAAATTGCAAGTTTAAACCACAAGGGAGTATTAGTTCCACGTTATACTGCAACATCATCTGCTATAAGCATAGCAATTGCTAAAGACTGACTGATTTTGTAGCTCTGTTTCATTTCTAATTAATGAATGGTGTTCTAAAGTGAAATTCCCACAGCTGGGCTCTATTCTGTTAAGCTAAAAGGAACACAAACAATTGTAAAAGATGGACCATTTACTGGGACTACCGGCTTGTTACTCTGAGGGATTTAGATAGAAATAGCTTGTAGCTGCAAACATGAAATATCTTAACAAATAAGGACCAGGATTTGGGAAGACCTTTCTTTCTTGGCCTGACTTTTCATTTTAGTGCAGAGTTCTTCAATCATGGGTCTCTGTATGTTGCTGTACTAGAACTCCCATCATCCACACCTGGATTAATCAATGAGCAAGGATGATTGGAGCTGTAATCCAGCAACATTTGAGGCTACTTTAGCATGCATTGCTGTCATTCACAGGGCAAGCAGCAATGTCACTCTGAAGACATGCCCTCTTTTTATCAGTACCACTGAGTGCAGCTTTACAAAGTCCTTTTGAAAAAGTTGAAGCAGTTGTTTAGTGGTGCTGTTGTCCCTGCACTTCTTGGAGAGTCTTGGGCTAGATGCATATTTGTCCTGAGCCAACCTCTGCTGTAGTGTTTTGTGGAAGAAGGAACACAGAGTCTTAAGCCCTTTGAACAAATATTATTGAATAATGATGGTGTGGATAAAGGTTGACTCTCAGCTCTTTATAAAATTATATTGGGTAGCACTGTAGGTGGATGTGCTGGGGTCAAACTGCAGTTTTCCCTAGATGACAGAGACGGGGAAGGGTTGTGGGGAAAGTCACCTCATAAACCAATCTTTGTTTCTGTGAGGGAATTACTTTTACTACACAGCTGGAATTTAACACCCAAGCATTTGGCCCACAGTGCATCAGTTTCTTCCCCCATGTATTGCGTGTGTTTGTCACCAGGTGGGCATGTATTGATACACATGGTGGGATTGTTTGAGGGTCGAATGCTTTGGGGAGAAGTTGTTTCTAGAAATTTCTAAAATCATGCAACAGGATGCAGTCCTTTACCCCAAGTTTGGTACCATTGAATCTGTTCAAAGATCCAAATAAGTTTTTAAAGAATGAGGAACTTATCATTCACCTTTTTCTTGTGACTGGGTGGACAATAACAAAAGCTTGGAAGGATCTGATTTACTGGCATCTTAAATTCTGGCATATAGCATTTTGCTAGAGAATGTTTCTCATAAACTAGTTATTGTGCGATGGGGCAACTGGGAAAAAATCAAATTGCAGCCATTTGCTTTTTGAGGGTATAGTGGTTTAATTTGCTGAAATGGGAATGTATAAATGTGTACTGCTGTGTGTTTACAGAAAACACTTTGAGTTTTGAGTGGTTAAATATTTAATTCTAGTATGTTCCCTAGTAACTCTCATGGGGTTGGTTAATTTTGGTCACATAAAAAGTATTGGGTCACAGGCTACGTTTTGTGTGACTTCACTGTGATGACACAGCGTTGGAAGAGGGGTGAGTAATCTGTTAGGAACCCTGCAGGAGACAGTGTCAGAAATCCTCTCTGGACGCTGCTGGAAGTACAGCAGCGAATGCTTCTTTCTACGAAGGAGAGAGCGAGAGAGCGCAATGCATCAGTTAATGAGAGCTCTCCGAAGGCAGCTGAGCTGAAGACTGCTGGAACTTGAAAGCCATCTCTTCAAAGAGCTGTGCAGCCTAGGTACAGGTTGAGTGCAAAGCTGGAAAAGGGAGAGGCACAGTTCGACTGAATGTTTAAGCAAGCAGCTGTAGTACTCTGCAGCTAAGTGAAGCTACGCCCATGCTTGGATAAGCATGTGTCTTGTAAATATTCTGCGTATATTTTTCTTTTTATCATCTGTTCTGCAAATAAAGCTTTATAATATTTAATGAGGGTCTGGTCAATGCTTTAATTCCTAAAGGGGGAGTCAAGTCTTACATATGATTTAGCTTCTGAGCTGCTAAATATCACTACTCTGCAACAGGTTTCCCTCTATTCCAAGTCGTGTATCCATGGTAGGGACTGGAGGAAAAATGACCCCTGGGAGGAGTGCAAAGAAAAGAAGCGCCATGGTGCATCTGATGCGACAGAACTGGACGCCCCTTCATCTGCCCCAGCTGCAGCAAGACATGTCTCTCCCACATCAATCTCTACAGACACAGCAGCCACTGTCACCTCCCAATAGCTTGACCTCACCCCCAAAGCGCACTCCTCCATTGTCTTCTGAGACAGACGGATGCCAACCAACATTTGAACATACAGATGGACAGGGGCATGGCAAGATAGTAAAAGGTTTTAATTTCTTTCAAGTTCTCAATCCTAGTCAGTTTGTGGCCAAGACACAGGGCCAGTCCTACCATTGAGTTGTGTGAGGTGACATATACTGGCAGGAGGTACTGATAGCAGGAAGACTTTAGCGAACAGCAGGCCTCTACTTCCACGACAAGGAAACTTCAAGGCATGCTCTTCTGCCAACCCAAAGAAGAAGAAAGCATTTCCTCCTCTTCCACTTGTTGCTCCACTCTGTCTGGATGCTTACATGCAGCTGCTGCTTGGCCACGCTGAGAGGGACTCAGGGACAGGTGTCTGCCCACCGTGGCAAGTCAGGTGTCTGGGCAGGCAAGGCCTGGGGCCTGGGCAAGCGCACAAAGCTCTCTGAGGCATAGTGGCTGGCAGTGAGATAGGTGGAGGCAAGTGGGCAGGCAGGCGAGCATCGTTGGCACCTGGCTGAGCTCAGCTCCTGCAGGTGTGCATCTCACCTAGCAAGCCTCACTCACTGAGCTTGGAGGGGAAGAAATGGAGTTCCTGGTTTCAGGGCTAGTCTACCTCTGACTACCGGTGGTGCTGTTTTCTCATTTGCCTCAGACGGCAAGATGTCTTGAGCCAGGCCTGCCAAGGCAAAATTGAACCTATGCAGAACAGAAGGCCATTGAATTGACTCCTCTGACCCCTTATCAAGATATCAGTCCAAAGGTCTCAGGAACAGGATCATACTTCATGGCAGAAGTTAATTATTTATGCACAGGGCACAGACTTTGAAGAGAATTCTAGAAATGTCGGGAAGGATACTTACTTTCCTTCCGCAGAATTGTGAAAACAAGAAGGAAATATTCTGACTGAGAAAGCTACGCTCCCCCCTTACCCCTAGGAAGAGTTACACATTAAGTCATCTCCCTTCTGCCTCTTTGTGGGCATGATGTATAATATGGTTACCAGATTTTTTTCAATGAATCCGGGGACAATTTTTTTTTTGAAGCTGAGTAGCAACAGGGAGTCAGTAGTGGGGATGGTGAGGCAAAAGACCCTGGGCCCAAGCATACATGCATATTGTATAAAGGTGCAAAGCTCTTCTTTCACACCCTGTGAAACATAAATGCACAGAGTTAAAAAAAAACTGGGCAACGGCTGGCAGGCTGCAACTCCCAAGCCTCCCCTGATCAGTCAAAACAAAGGGGGAAGGGGACAGGAGATTGCACAAGGCACATCATATGCGCACAAGACACATCATATGGGGACTTCCGGCGAGGAAAAATGTCGGGCGCCATGGCAGCGAGCAGCTCTTGAAGCCAGCCAGAACCAACTGCGCTACCAGGCTGGCTCCGGGCTGCTGAGGCTGCTGCTGCCACATTTCCTGGGGACAGATTTGCAAATCCGCGGACTGTCCCCGGGAACCGGGGATGTCTGGTAACCCTAATGTATAATGATGTGTGGAAACTTTGCCCTCAGTTCTTACAGGAACATTAGCCAAGAGGGCAGGTGTGCTTCTCTACCTGCATGAGATTTTGGATTCCCTCGACAGATAGCAATCCATTCTGACAAAGGAAGGCTAGAAGGATTTGAAGATGCTGCTCCAGCTGCTCTCTGTCCTCTGGGAGGCCTTGTCCCTGCAGGTCATTTTGGTGTTTCTGGCTACATTTCTACTTCTTACTGATTGCAAGAAATAGATTCGCCCAAGGAATTTCCCCCCAGAGCCCAGGCCTCTTTCTTTTCTGGGTAATATGCTACATATATATACCAAGAAGCCCCCTTTGAAACTACGCAAGGTAAGGATGAGGAATCATGGCATGAGTTTAGCCTGACAATGCACTGTATAGAGTGTACAGTGGTGCCTCGCAAGACGAAATTAATTCGTTCCGCGAGTTTTTTCGTCTAGCGAATTTTTCGTCTTGCGAAGCACGAAATCCCATAGGAATGCATTGAAATCCAATTAATGCGTTCCTATGGTCAAAAAAAGTCCAAACAAAGCCAAATTTGGTACAACAAGAGTTTATTAAGTGCTCTTTAAAGTCACACATACTGTAAAGAGCATTTCAAAAACTGAAGGAACAATAAATTAAGTTTCTAAACATGACAGGAAAAACATTTAAAAATCAACAAAGTGTACATTACATTTTCTAAGACTCTGGGGGACCACTCGAAGAAGGTTCCTCTTCCACTCTTTGCTTCTTGCTTAAGAACCTGTCCATGGTTTGCTGCTTCATCCGCCTTTTCAGCACCTCCCTGAAAGGCGACATGACCGTCATATCAAAAGTGTTCGCAAGGTCACGTGCCACGTGCTTGTTAGGGTGGTTCCGCTCTGCAAAAGCCTGCACATCCTTCCACTTCATGCAAATGTCCCTCAGTTCTTTGGAGGACAGCCGTTCCTCAGTTGCTTCCTCCTCTTCCAGCGAGGCCTGCTCCTGCGCAGCCTCTGCCTGCAGTTCGACCAGCTCCTGGGTGGTCAGCTCGTGGTCGTGCTCCTCCACCAGCTCGCTGACGTCCTCCTCTGTGACCTCCAGGCCCATGGTCCTCCCCAAGGCAACAATGTCCTGCACCACTGTTGACTCTGGTGCATCAGAGTCACTTGGTGCCACACAGTCCGGCCACAGGCTGCGCCAAGCGCAATTCAAATTTCTCTGGCTGATCCCTTTCCAGGCCGTGGTGATCATCTTCAAGCAGGTGACGATGTCGAAGTGGTCCTTCCAGAATTCCCGCAGGGTGATGGTGGTGCAATCAGTCACCTCGAAGCATCGCCTGAAAAGCTCCTTGGTGCAGAGTTTTTAAATTGGCGATGACCTGCTGATCCATCGGCTGGAGCAGTGGCGTGGTGTTAGGCGGCAGGAACATGATGTTGATGAAGCTGAACTCCTCCAACAAGTCCTCCTCAAGGCCTTTAGGATGAGCAGGAGCATTGTCCATCAGAAGCAAAGCCTTCAGCGGCAGGTCGTTGTCCAGCAGGTACTGTTTGACAGCAGGGCCAAAAGCAAGATTGACCCAGTCCACAAACAGCACACGTGTGACCCAAGCCTTACTGTTGGATCGCCACATGACACTCAGCTGCTCCTTGTCGACCTTGTGTTTCTTGAAGGCCCGTGGGTTCTCCGAGTGGTACACCAGCAGGGGCTTGATCTTCAGGTCGCCGCTTGCGTTGGCACAGAAGAGCAGGGTCAGACGGTCCTTCATGGGCTTGTGGCCAGGCAACTTGGCCTCCTCCTGCGTGATGAAAGTCCTTTTGGGCATCCTCTTCCAAAACAGCCCGGTCTCGTCGCAGTTGAAGACCTGCTGTGGAACGTAGCCCTCCGTCTTCACAGCCTCCAGGAACTCCAAGGCAAAGTCTTCAGCCGCAGGAACATCAGAACTGGCAGCCTCTCCATGCCTGACCACACTGTGGATTCCAGATCTCGTCTTGAACCGGTCAAACCAGCCTCTGCTTGCCTTGAAGACTTCTGGCTCGCCTGAGGTTCCTGGCTGTTCCCGGATGAGGTCTGCGTGCAAGGCCTTGGCCTTCTCACAAATCACGACCTCAGTCACTGTGTCCCCTGCACGCTGCTTCTCTTCTAACCAGATGAGGAGCAACTTCTCGACCTCCTCCAGAACAGCTGGGCGGTTCTTCACGATCCTGGTGACTCCCTTGGCTGCATCAGTCGCAAGGATCTTCTCCCTCATCTTCAGGATGGTGCCGATGGTCGATGGGTTCCTGCCGTACTCCCTGGCGAGGTCTGTCACACGCATTCCACCGTCGTGCTTCCGGATGATCTCCTTCTTCATTTCCAGCGTCACCTTCTCCTTCTTCCTCTCGCCGGCCTCTGCAGCAGCAGTCTTCTTGGGTCCCATGGCAGCACAGCTCCTAGCTTCGTAAACTCAGGAAAAAAAAATAATCAGTGCTTCACACCCAAAAAATTCAAAAGCACCCAGCCACCCACCACACAGGAATTCAAACCCAGAACCAAGTCCTTGAATTCCAAACACCCAACTCAAAATCCAAAACCCCCCAAAAAAGTTAAAAGTTTAACTTACGAAATGGCTGCAAATCACCAAAGTCTTCAAAATCCTCAAATGGCTGCAAAAGAAGTTTTGGAAAAGCTTTAAAAATCACCAAAGTCTTCAAAAACCTCAACTGTTCCCCCAGCCACCCACCCACCACACAGAAATTGCAAACCCCTCCCCAACTGTTGCAAACCCCTCCCCAACTGCTCCCCCAGCCACCCACCACACAGAAATTCAAACTCAGAAAATTTTTTGAAAAAAAACAACATGGCCCAATGGTCACAGAAAATCATAAAAATGCAGGAAAAAACCACACAAGCTCCCAGATTCTTGCAAACCCCTCCTCAACTGTTCCCCCAGCCACCCACCACACAGAAATTCAAACCCAGAATTTTTTTTAAAAAAAAACAGCAGAGTGCCCCAATGGTCACAGAAAATCATAAAAATTCAAAAAAACCCACACAAGCTCCCAGATTCTTGCAAACCTCTCCCCAACACCAAGTCCTTGAATTCCAAACACCCCAACCCAAAATCCAAAACCCCCCAAAAAAGTTTTAAAAGTTTAACTTACCAAACGGCTGCAAAAGAAGTTTTGGAAAAGCTTCAAAAATCAGCAAAGTCCTCAAAAACCTCAGAAAAGGCTACCACACCGTGTGCAATGTGTTGCTCCTCGAAGTCAAGTCGCAACTGCACCTCTTCAAGCAATGCACCCTGGGTATTAACGGTTTTACGAAAAAGGAAACAAACTTGCAAGACGTTTTCGTCTTGCGAAGCAAGCCCATAGGGAAATTCGTCTTGCGAAGCAGCTCAAAAAACGGAAAACCCTTTCGTCTAGCGAGTTTTCCGTCTTGCGAGGCATTCGTCTTGCGGGGCACCACTGTAAGAAGAAGAGTTTGGATTTGATATCCCGCTTTATCACTACCCTAAGGAGTCTCAAAGCAGCTAACAACCTCCTTTCCCTTCCTCCTCCACAACAAACACTCTGTGAGGTGAGTGGGGCTGAGAGACTTCAAAGAAGTGTGACTGGCCCAAGGTCACCCAGCAGCTGCATGTGGAGGAGTGGGGAATCGAACCTGGTTCACCAGATTACAAGTCCACTGCTCTTAACCACTACACCACACTGGCTCATAGCTGTCAACTTTCAGATTTGAAAATAAGGGATCAGCAGCTTCACCTGTCCCGAGGACAATCTACGGGATATCTAACAATCCGGGATAGCAGTGGGAATCAGCGCTGGAATAAGGGAATTTCCCGCAAAAAAAAGGGAAGGTTGACAGCTATGCACTGGCTTCACTGGAGGATAAGGCTAAGATGCCCTCTAGCATCCTTAGACTGGTTAGCCAGATGTCTCTGAGAAGACCATAAACAGGGCACAAAGACAAATGCCTCTACTGTTGTTCGTTCCCAGCATCTGGTATCCAGATATGTATTGCCTCTGAACACAGGATCTATTTTACCCAACAGTTATTTATAACAATTCTGCACCCACAACTGCCTTTAAAGGTAGGATGTTTATTTGCATGTGTCATTAGTAGGTTTTTCATGCCACTTCTGCCTTTATCCTGTAGCTCTGTCCTGGGAAAGGTCCAGAGCTACAAGCCAATTATCTGCTTGGACAAGGCAGCAGCCAGCTAGATCTCTCCTAGCTCCTCAGTCCAGAGAGCAGTTTGCTTTCTCCTTAGGCACAAGACGACAGCACAATATGCAGGGTGGGTGAGGTGAGACCCTAGCCCTTCCCACAAACTCAATCCCAGACTTCAGGTCTTAATTAGGAATCATCATCATATTTTAAAAAACAAAATAGAAATGATTCTTCCTCTCTCTCCTTCCAGCTTACTGAAAAATATGGCAATGTCTTCAGCCTTCAGATTGGAAGCATGTGGATTGTGGTTGTGAATGGATTCCATCTGGTGAAAGAGGCTCTTGTCCATCAGGGCAAAAACTTTACAGATCGTCCAAAAGCCCCAGTTGCCAATGAAATATTTAGGTAATTGAGTGAGGTTTTTTTAATATGGGCAATTATTTAAATGATTACAATTTCTCAAGTTTAAATTTTCAAGGCTGATGAGATCTTTCCTTCATTTGTATTTCTTCAATCTGGTTTGAAGAGTACAAATTAGGTAGATTCTCATTTAAATGTAAGCAAAATTGAATTTCCCTCAATCCGTACACACAATACAAATTTATGTACCTGAAATGTGTCTATTCCAAAATCCTAGAAACAATTTCCAAAGCTGTTCAGTGTTCCCATTTGCCTGACTGGCAAAATGAGATTCACGGTAGCTCTCCACTAACACAGTCTATTCTCCCTCTTCGCTAGGAAAGTGAGCTTGCCCTGGACAGCAGTTGGCGAGGACCGAGTTTTTCCTTTTCTTTGCTGTCCTGATTCAGAAGTTTGCTCTCCAGGCTCCAAAGGATGTGACATTAAGCCTTCGCTTTAGGCTGGAGTTACGTTGTTGCCGCTGCCGTAAAAGGTGTGTGCATTCTGTTGCTATGGTGGGGGAACATATTTTATGCTGTTTTATTTTAAGTAGGTTTAGCAGGATTACCTCCTCAGTTTTTGTTCTTATTGCCCATTGGTTCCAATTACCAATGTCTTTTCATGATAACAGTAGTCAGTTGAAAGTGACCGTGGTTAGTTAGAAACAGACATGCAGTGCTAGCTTAAGCATGTCTACCCAAAAGTCCCAGGTAAATAGGCTTAGGGTGCTGCTTAGTCCAATAAGACTTTAAAGCTGCTCTTCTCCGAAGCAGCAAATTGTGGAAGTAAAAGACTCTTTACTTAGCCATGCTAGATGTTTAGAATCATGGAATTGGAGTGTTGGAAGGGCTCCCATGGGTCCAACCCCCTGCAACGCAGGAATCAAACTTGTAGTGCATTGAGGATGATCCAAGGAGATGGGAGGCAAGCACTACAGGCTAAGCAAAATACACACAAACACTGTAATTTATCAGTGCTGACATATTTATTATACAATTTGTTCGGCGCAAACTCTTGCACCGTTTAAAATAAGCATTGCGTGCTGAGGTCTCCAAAACACCCCTACCCCAATAACTCACACATCACACATAATTTTTGTTTAAGGTTTTTGGCATAATTTTGGCCACAACTTTATTAAAATACAAATTGTGAGTGGTTGCTTAGGCATTGGTTATGACTAGCTGTCCCCCCCCGCCTTGGGGGACAGCACTGACTCCCGGATTCCAGCGAGAGCCAGTGTGGAGGAACAAGATCAGGGATAACTGGAGCTGCGACACAGACCCTCAGCTTCTCCCCGCATGCTCCCAGGAGCTTACGCGGCCCGCACCCGATTCCAGGGGTTTGGACGAGAGGATGGTAAGCCCCTGAATTCCTTTAACGGAATTCCCGTGCAGCAGCAGCATTGGAGGGGCAGGCACAGCCAATCCATAGCCCTCCACCAACCAATTTAAACCAATGCCTAACCGCCACAGAGCCTTAGCTCACTGCCAAACCACTCACAAATGCAACCCTTCCTTCAATCCCAAAGCAACCGTAGCCAACCAGGTGTCGTTCCCTATAGGGGAAAGATGCATCCTAAAAGGGGCAGCAGCCTTGAAGGTAATCACAGGGTGCAAAATCACGGAACCACCTGAAGCAAGGACCTATTTTATTTTACTTTATTATTTATTATTTTTTTTATTTTATTTTATTTTCCACCACCTTATTAACATGCTTTCTGGCCTCCTCGGTGGTAGTTTGTTTAGGCATTGGTTCCCAACTAGCTGCACCTGACCTCAGCAGGGCAGCACTGACGACTGGGCCCCACCATATCGCCAGTACCAGTAAACAGCGTGGGGGGCATGAATTTGCCCACAACTTTATTCAAATACACACAAGTGAGTGGTTGCTTCCTTCAATCCCAAAGCAACCGTAGCCAACAAGGTGTCGTTCCCTATGGGGGAAAGATGTACCCCATCAGCCCTAAAGAGGGCAGCAGCCTTGAAGGTAATCACAGGGTGCAAAATCACGGAACCACCTAAAGCAAGGACCTATTTTATTTTACTTTATTATTTTTTGTTTTGTTTTATTTATTTATTTTTTATTTTATTTTATTTTATTTTATCTTCCACCGCCTTATTAACATGCTTTCTGGCCTCCTCGGTGGTAGTTTGTCTAGGCATTGGTTCTGACTATCTGCACCTGACCTCAGCAGGGCAGCACTGACGACTGGGCCCCACCATATCGTCAGTACAAGCAAACATCGTGGGGGGAGCAATGAACCAGGATCAGACTCAAGCGCACCCCAAATGCTCCAGGGACCCTTGCGTGGCCCTACCCCTCGAAAGGGGTCGACAAAAGCATGGCGAATCCTTGGATTCCTTTAATGGAATATCTTTGCGCATTGGAGGGGACAGGTGCTCCAACCCCCCCTCCAGACCATCTTGAACCAATGCCTTAAATTATTTTGAGTCCAGGGAGAGCTGCCATCAACTCAATCCAAGCCCTCTTGCATGCAGGAATGCAAACTTATGCTGGAGGAAGACAGCAAATCATTCTCGCCCAGCTGTACCACCAGCACTGCGGGAGGACCTGCACAGGTCACACTCGACCGCACCAAAGGAAGGATCTCTTCCCAAAGCATTCCCCATCTGGACAGCCAGTATATGTTCACATGGGCAGGAAGACTGAGATGGCGCCCCAGTCCAGACTCGTCAGCGCGCTTGCCAGCCCAGTGTACAATGCTGTGGCCCAAATGTGCACAGCTGCTCCTATGAAAAAAGGAAATAACAGACAAGCATCAGCACAGACATCATTGTGACACTTCCTGATATAACCCTTGTCAGCGTCAGACTTCCAATGACCTGTATTCAAAATCCTGTCTACTGACAGGCCCCCAGTGTGCAGCCTTTGCAGCAGCACCTGTTCGGAAGGAATGAGGCGTGTTCAGCGGTAAGCAAGCCGCAGGCCGTAATAACTGGTGCACGAGGTAAGCACATTGATGCTTGGCTAACGGGAACCCATTTTCATGCACTAGGAGCGGGCCAGCCCCCAGGGGAATGAAAAGCCAAATATTCTGTTATCCATAACCGGGCAAGGGCCCTCCTCACCTGTGACGGGAAGCCTGATTGTGGCAATCCTGCCCACTAAGTCTGTTTTAGAGTTCCCAACTCTAATGACCAGCTCCAAAGCAGATAAGGAAAAGTCCTGAAGCAATAAGCCTCCAGACTCTCAGCCCCGTGCTGGCACCAACAACCATTTCCCCAACCCTCAGTGCACCAAAAGGCAATGGAATACTGAAAGGAGTCTCGCCTTGATCTTTAACCAGCAGACAAGTTTTAACTTGTTGCAGCTACTGCATAGGTAAAAATTGACAGACTTCCTGCCCACTGTCCTATGAGGTTGGAGCCTATTCCAACCTTCCAAGGCCCTGCACACTACATACTTTATACAAGGGTCTCTGAAAAATAAAGCTTCAGTATAACAGACATTGCAGCGGACTGAATTCTAATAGTTATAACAGCACGCCCAATCTGCAGCAGGTGGACCAAATACTGCAGAATCTGCTCAGAGGATGGGGGCCAGTTCATCTGAATGGCCGAGGACTGCCAGCTTAAGGCTAAGAAATCCATCCAGGCCTTCCCATAAGAGCTAAAAGCAGAAGGGGAAATGGAAGCTGCTGCTCTCTGTAATTACTAATTGTTGTCAAAATGCCACAGGTGGTCTGGAAAAATCTGGCAGTAGCTGAGTGTCTGGAGCCCAGGATCTGAAGCGCTCCATCTGAAAATGGGATAGAGTGTCAGCGACATCATTAGAGGATCCCGTAATCAGGAGCAGAAAGCACAATATTAAACCTTAAGCGGCGCAGCTCGAAAACGTGAGCGGAGGGGCGGAGACTCTGCTGGAGCGTGAGGACTGTTTTGCCAAGACGCTCACCACTACCTGGTTATCAGGCCAAAAGCAGATCCGATGGTCACTGGACTCCTCGGGCCACATGTGAACTGCTACTACAATGGGGAAAACTCAAGAAAGTTAGGTCACATGATTGCCTCACCACACCGGGCTTGAGGCCATGGCTTTGCACACCAGCAGCCCTTGAAATAATAGCTCAGTGCTGGTGCATCTGGATTGCATGCAGAAGGCACCAGATTCTATCTCCAGGTATGTAGGGAAATATCCCTTGCCTGCCAGTGAAATGCTTGCCTGAATACAGCTATTGTGTTCCCAATCTGTTGTTCCAGTCTGCAGGGAAGTCCAGGGCTGGCAGCCTCAGACCCCTGGGCTGGATGTGGCTCTCCTGCTTGTTCTGTACCACCCTTGGGCTATGCCCCTCTCCAGGCGACATTGCTCACTGGCTGTGCTGTTCAAACTGGAGAGCTTTTGCTTGGTTAGAATGTGTACTTTAATTGAGATCTACTGTAGTGCCTTTTGCTTGCCCGGAGGATGAAGCAATGGGTCTGACTTTTGCAGAGCTGGAATGCAGCCTACTGTGCAAAAGTAACAGAGGTTTCTACGCACCCATTACTTTGTTCGCTTGCAAGCTACTACATGCCTCCTGTGTCACTGACCGGGGAGTGGGAAATTCTGCTCAGGAGCAACAGCATCACAGCCTTTGTAACAGCAGATCCTACCCCCACCCCACCCAGCCACAGGGTGGTGAATAGCTCCACAGTGCTTTCTGTATTCAAGCCAAGATTTTTGTCTGTGCTTGCTTACTTGTTCTGTAGAAAGCTAGCAGTTTCAAGAGTTAAGACATTTTACTGCAAGCAGATTATGAGTCATGGTGACATTATAAAGAGGCTTAGCAGCTACAAACAAGTTTCTGGCTACTCAGAAGCTGGCTACATCACTTCTTCCAGATGTTGCTTAACCACCCACATTTTAGGTGGGAGAGTAAGTGTGGAGGGACTGCATCACACTTGTAGAAACCTAGGCCACATAGCACTGATAGAGGTGAGTGCTTGCACAAACAGAGGTTCAGGGACCCAAGATAACATGACACATGCATTCATCCAATGGCAATGCTCTGATGGCTCCATCTTGTTTGATGCAAAACAAGAAAACGTGTTATGATCTGCTTAGTTGCTGTGTAAAGCTCCTGTAGGATATATGGATTCAATACAAAGGAGGCACATGACAAAGTTTACAGTTGTTGGTATACTGTGCTTCTGAGGTGCTTAATAATACTTATTTTCTGCAGCTCTCACAAATTAGTGTGTTTTGTAGTTTTGGGAGTGGGGGTAAACAGACTGCAGCTGGTAGGAGTATGCAGTGGGTTTGACAAGACTGTAACGCAAAGGGTGCTGATAAAATAACCAGAGACCACAAAATTAATGTCAAAAGGTTTTAATGTGAATATAAAAGAGTATTTCTTGAATCAAGAGTAAAACCATGTTTACAAATTAGTGCAATTTCCTCCTCTATTTCTATACAGCCCATTTGCTTTGCACAGGATCAGACTTGTACACATCAAATAGATTAGACCCCGGCAAGTCTAACAGAAAACCTGAAGTCAGGCCTATTTATCCTTACTGAAGAAAAAACATTGGTATTGCTTACAATTATGTGAATCCAAGCAAATGGTTATTGTAGAAAAGAACATTTTTTATTAATGAACTAAAACTTTTCATTAATTCTACTGCATGTTTTAGTCTGGTCGCGTTCTTACAGAAACTTGTCTAAATGTATGCATGATTTTTAAAAGTTGGTTAAATCACATATCCCATAATTAGCCATAGTGTCAATTCATAAATTGTTATACAAACAAAGTGCTTTTACTCTAATGAAAATAAACATGCAATCAATACAGGGAACAAAGTGTTTAAGCACCACTTGAGGTTTTTACACAATCCCCACTGAAAGGAATGGAGATTGTGTGGGAGTAGTGATAGGTTTTGTCAATGATTGCCAAACACTGTACAACTTACTAAGCAGTAATTGCAGCCCAAACCTGATTAAAATATGACTGCAAGGTTTTGCGGGACCAACACTTGGTGAACCAGTTTCTATGCTACATTTTTAATTAATGAAGAATTACAGATGAAGGGTGATTGCAAGTCTCCATCAGCTCAAGTAAGTCTGCATCTGACATCAATTAATATTACTTTATTAGAGAGACTGCTTTTTCAGACATAGTGTGTATGCATCAACATTTTCATCCCATCTAAGCACAGCACATTTTAAGGACTTAACATAGATAAGTAACTCCTTTGCATTATGTTCAAATCAAAGAAATATTCCACACTAAGGCTGCAAATATTCCACACTAAGGCTGCAATCCTATACATACTTACAAGAGTAAGTACCATTGAACTCAGTGGGGCTTACTTCTGAGTAGACATGTATAGTATTGCCCTGCAAGCAAAACGCAAGAGAGACTAACTCAATTCATAGTTAAATAAAACCAGGAGAATCAAAATTCTGAATTCAATTGCTGGTGATCAAATAGCTGAATTTTATTACTCAAAGGAGGTAGTTTAAGTTTAGAAACTAAACACCAAGTAGTCCACCACAAATTCAGTTGCACACAATTACTACATAAAATTGCTATGGCTGCAGATTCACAAGTTTACCTGTGCAATGATTGAGCTGCTATGCCTCCATGGACACTCAGTGCAATCCAGTAGCATGAAAATATGCACATAAAGGGGTTGCCCACACATTTCCTCTGGCCAAACAGCCAAGCCTAGGAGCTGTGTATATAGCCTGTGAATGGTCAGGTCACATAGGTGGCAATGGGCACAATTTAGCAACAATTCTACCCAGGATAGCTGAAAAATCTCTCTCTCTCTCCTTTTAGATTAATCCTTATGAAGTTCAGCATTCTGAGAGATGGCTGCAAAATGGTAAGTAGTAACATTTTCTTAAACAAGTTGGGACTAAAAAGAACACATGGCAGTAAATATGCTTCTCTGCCAAAAAAACTCCCCATCGAGTTCTTCCATAGATGTGTAATTGAAATCACCGACATATCTACTTTGTCTCTTAGTTCGTTAAAGAGCTCAAACTTTCTAAGATTACATGGGATGTGGCCCTCTGCTGACAGAACACTCTTTTTAATCCAGTAGATTGTGAGCAGAAAGTGAGGACGGATGAGATTTAAGATTCCCCTCTTCCTTCTGCAATCCCTCCAGAGGATTGGGAGGTCCTTTGGACTAGTACTTAAAAGTGGCATAGGGGACTGAAGGAGGAATATGTGGAAATAAACTTCTGCTCCCATGTACTCATAGGAGCTTTCACAAGATCAAAGGCCCTTCCATTAGCCAGGGGACATGACTGGCTTCAGCCCATGGAATTTGTAATTAAAAATAATGTTACCACCATCATTCTGTTCCATCTAACAGAGCAGTGATGGCCAAACTTGGCCCTCCAGCTGTTTTGGGACTACAATTCCCACCATCTCTGATCACTGGTCCTGTTAGCTAGGGATGATAGGAGTTGTAGTCCCAAAACAGCTGGAGGGCCAAGTTTGGCCATCACTGTAATAGAGCAATGCCAAACTACCACAAAAACGTAATCTAAGATAGAGTACAGCCATATTTTTCTGGCTCTTTGACATGGAGGTAGACAATACCAAGACACATATGCAGCAGAGTTGCATCACCTAGCATCCAACTCAGCCGCTCAAGTTAGCTGACACCAAGTCCCATAGAAATTAGTCAGTCCTGGCTATTTATTTATTTTTTAAATTCACTGCTTACAACAGAATGTACAGCACAATCTAAACTATGCCCACTTGGAATGGCGCTTGGACTGCAGCTTTAGTTGTTACTAACTTGAGCTGGATTGGGGCCTTGATGTTGACTTTCCTGTACTAGCAGTAGTTGTCATACAGAACACACTATAAATTAAAGCCACTGAAGAAAAGTATCCTATGTATGTGAATTGTTATCTGTGGAGACTACTCACTGCGACTATATTTGATTACAAGAATATAGTATAGTATCAAAACATTAAGCAACATGCTACAAAATTTGTATTCACCATTTCTCCCTACAAATTCAGACCAGGGAAAAAGCTACCAAAAACACAAGTCAGCAGGTTGAACAGAACGGTAAGAGCTTAATACCAAGGAGGTAGTCAACAGACATGAAATCTTGAAAAACAGCTAGAAGGACTGAAGGCTCAGTCAGTAGCACACTATAACTTTACAGTGCTGGTATTAAGTATAGCACGTCATTAAAAAACAGAATTGTTAGACATTTGTAGTATCAGTTTCCACATAAAAGCATGTAATACTGTAGTCACATCATCAGATATTTTAGGCCAGTTTTAATAAAACGCTAAAAATTTTAAAGTCTAAGCTGCAGTTATTGATTATGTTAGTCCTCACCCCCCAAAAAACCCTGCAACTCAGATTACAGACTTCATTTTATTTGCAGTAATGTTCAAGGCTGCATTACATTTTATAAACATAATTCTGGCCCATGTGCAAGTAACTTTTTAAACACAGAGTCCACCTTAAAAAATAACCATGCATTCCACCCTGTGAACATGCACTTAAGTCTGCTCTTTGTGTCTGGAATTACTGCTATCGGCCTAAATAATAATGTGCCTCAATTTTTAAAATTACAAAATGGCTAATTGCAACACAAAGTGCAATGGTCTACTTCATCAGATGCACAAAGTAAACAGCACACGCAAACAACTGTGAGAATCTTCCCTACTGCTTTTGTTCTCTGACCTGATAATGATAGTTTTTAAATGTTAATAGCATTTTGGAAGGCTTTAAAAGCAACCCTAGCAGCTTCTTACTAGGTAACCTACTCCAGCGACTCACCGTTCTCTGGAATAGACTTCAAGCTCTTATTCTGCAAAAGATACAGCAACAAATGATGTCTACCTAATGCCATCAAGTTACTCCCTTGGAGCTCAACCCAGTACCTAGCCGTACCACAATGGAGGGCTAGACACACAAGTGTCTGGGGCATCTGCAGCCAATCCTCAGGAGCAGCATAGGATCAGAGCCTTCCTCTCACTGTGCCACAGCTGAACACACTGCATCCCTGCATGAGCAGGACATTACACGACAGAGACAAAAACACACACCACTCAGTAGTCTGGGCTCAAAACCTACTAAGGAAACTTCAGTCAAGGTTAATTTTGCAACCTTTAAAAAGGCTGTAATTTTACGTTTTTATAAAATAAAGACATTGCTAGTTGAGTGCAAATACATAGACATTTTGTCTTTCCTGAATCCTTTTCATTACATAAAATGGCGATTTAAGGCTGCAGTCCAAACCCTGGCCAGGGGGCAGCAGAACCTAATGGAGTAGCAGTCCCACTGTTATATCTTTAGCCCAGCAGGCAAAGAGCTGTCTCAGCTTGGGGCTGGTGAAGTGATTAAGTCCTCACCAGGCCCAATGATGTCACATCAAGGCAGTGCAGCTGGCTTGGATTCCAGTTCCTTCCAGGCCATCTGGCTCAGGTCCTCCCCACAGCACTCTTTTTCAGGGTTTTCTATCGACCAGTGACCCCACTGACGACACTCCTAGCTCCCCCCTCCAACCCGCCCCAAAGGGGTGTTTGGACTGCAGCCCCAGTAGTTATTACAAAACTGAATGGGAGTTCAATAAAGCTTGAATGGACTTCAGCAGAACTACAGCATTAGGTGGACAGTCCTGAAATTAGTAAATCATTTTGGTTACAATTTGCTTGCAGTCAAAAATCCCTCATGCCATGAATGCTGAAAAATAATGATGGATTTTCTAATTTGGTCCTTGTTATTTTTGTAACGTAGCAGAAGGTGCGGGGGTGGGGGAGGGGCGAGGATTACTTTTCTTTGTGCAGATGACAGTCATAAAACTGTACTCCCACTAAAATCAGTACACATCCTAGACTAAAACATTAAATAGAATTTTAAATAGGATGCCAATTTTGGTATTTATATATACATTATGAAGACAAATAAAACTCCTTTTGAGCTGTGCTTATCGACACATACCTCAGATCTGTTTAAAATCAAGAAAAGTAATTTGACATATGTTGCTTTTTATAGTCATCGCTGGCCAAATCAAATTTACCAGCCTTATGGGTCTCAGATGTAAAATAGCTGATGCCCAGCATCACAATCACGCTCTTCGTCAGGTAGTTAAAAACAAAAGTTACAAAATAAGTTAAGGACACTTTAGTGCACGAATATCCTCTGTGGTTTAATCTGATGTTGCAGGTGGTACTTTAACAGAAAGATTCCTTCGGGTATTGGTCACGTGCCGTTGCTGTGCAAGGAAAGAGCGCCCGGGTGTGCAGGGACCAGCGTCTTTGTAGGCAGCATTCCCACTTAGGAGTCTAGATTCCATGCCCAGTTTATGAAATGCTAAGCTCTGGAATGAAGCAAGATTAAACATGATTCCTTGCATTCCTTCCTGAAAACAGTTAAGAGATTCTGGCAGCTATTATAGCCACTATTACTCAAAATTATTATTCATACATATACCATTTTCTGAAAGAAATCATACAAAGTAGGACATTAAAGGTAAAGGTACGCCTGACCTATAGGCCGAGGGAGTCGGCATTTGTCCACAGACAGCTTCCGGGTCATGTGGCCAGCATTACTAAGCCGCTGCTGGCGAACCAGAGCAGCATACGGAAAAGCCGTTTACCTTCCCGCCGGAGCGGTACCTATTTATCTACTTGCACTTTGACGTGCTTTCGAACTGCTAGGTTGGCTGGTGCAGGGACCGAGCAACGGGAGCTCACCCCGTCGCGGGGATTCGAACTGCCAACCTTCCGATCGGCAAGCCCTAGGCTCTGTGGGTTAGACCACAGAGGAGGACATTGAAAGTAGGTAATTTCGTATTTTAAATTTTGTAGATTATAAACCTAAATTTAAAATGCATATTATAAATCTAAAAGGAAACATTATGTATGATGACTCCACGGGGTTGTACATGATGCTGCTGTTCTACTTGCATGGCAGATTTCTGCTTGCATAATGAAACCTCCCCTGCAGCCCTCACTGCCTGCCCACTCAAAAATCTTCTCCAAAGGAAGAGAGGAAGGAAAATCCAATTGTGTGAGCAGAACCCTGTGCATGCAGTGCTGGATTCAACCCACCATCTTCTCAGAAGTCTGACTGGCTGCAGTGGTACAATCTACCAAGCTCCCCACCCATGCTACAGGACAACTTGCAAACATGTCAGAAAAGTGGGCTGGGGGCCGTTGTTATATAGCATTTAGCACACTGCTGATGCTAAATACATAGTGGTTACAGTACCACTAGAGATATGGACCATCTTCATTTCTCAACATAGAAAACAATCCCTCATTTCAATAAATGGGCATTTCTGAAATTTCAAAATTCAGTAATTGGTTTCTGACTATTTTGGCTTCTGAGAAGTATTAATACTTACTTTCACATATTCACTCTCTCACACAAACAAGACACACTTTAGCTTACCTTGTTGTACCATGCAGACACAATTAACTTTTCTTCATGGTCATGTAGCCTGGCCAATTTACATTCTCCCTACAAAAAAATTACAAATTGTTAAGATATAGGCAAAGGAAATTATATTGGCCCCAACATTCAAAGTTAACCAAGTGATCCATGTTTACATAATTTTGTAAGATGCTTCATAAATCTCAATGAATACTGGAGCTTGTATTGAATGCTCTGTTCTCTCTATACTTTCCTACTATGTATGGTTATAAACAATGGTTTTCGAAATAACTGTTCTCCTGGCTCTTCTGTATAGCAGTTCCTGTAATTAAATTGGAAACAACATCCAGAGGAGATGCTAAAATTGTTCTTACCTCAAGTGCTTCAATTCTTTTATCTTTCTCTGTCAGCTGTTTCCTCAGCAACATGATTTCAGCAGATGCAGGATTTAATTTGGGGTCCAACGTTTTTATCACCTGCATAAAGATGAACATAAATGAATTTGGCAAACCTACCTCCTACCCAATCAAAATAATTCAGCAGTAAGATGTGCAACGCTTCATTAAAAAAACAAAAGCAGCAGCACAATGTATTGTATCCAACTAAGTTAAGAAACAGACGAGACCCACTAAAATTAATGGACCTACGTTAGTCATGCCAATTAATTCCAACAGGTCCGCTCTAACACTGGTTAAAAATGTCAACCATATAAAAGCACGTGTAAGCATTTTGGTTGATGTTGCTGAATGAAAGCCGAAACAACAGAACTAGAAAAGCTGAACACAAAATATAGAATGAATCCACCTTTAAACATGATGGTACAGGTGTACCTTGGATGCCGAACGCCTTGGTACTCCGATGTTTTGGCTCCCGAACGCCGCAAACCCGGGAGTGTTCCAGTTTGCAAACGTTCTTTGGAACCTGAATGTCTGACGTGGGTTCCACGGCTCCAATTGGCTGCAGGAGCTTCCTGCAGCCAATCAGAAGCCGAACCTTGGTTTCTGAACCTTTTGGAAGTTGAATGGACTTCCGGAATGGATTCCGTTCGACTTCCGAGGTACAACTGTAGTTAGCACGAGAGAGGGGCTTCCAGTTCCAGATTTGTAGGGAAAAAAACCTGACATTTTAGAAAATACTCACACTTCTTGCTTTTTCCAGGTACATTTTATATCTCTCCTCCATCGATTTCATATCTTCATCTTTCTTATGCAGAGCTGCTTCCAGTTCTTCAATTTTTTGTGCTGTTTATCAGAAAACCAAATGTCATTATTAATGGAGACTGTGTCTTATCGAAGCCTCAAATAATTGATGAACTTGAGTTGGGATACAGCAGGCTCCAGAAGGGTTCACTTTAATTATTTCTATCCATAATAGGAACAACTAGGAGTTCCAGGCAAGTACCATCGAACGATAGCCAAGGAAGTCTGGCTTGTGGCGGCTTTTCTCTCTACTTTCACATGGAGCTTCATCATTGTCCTTCGAGAAGCCCTGTATGACACCATCTCATGGACAGCAACTCAATCATTTAAGATTTAGTTATCAGAGCAAGAGGAAAAGGACACCATCTTCCCATGTACCAGGTACCGTTCTTACAGACTAATGGAATAAGATACCAAGCACGTAGCCTAGCCCAGGCATGAGGAGAAACTGTAATAAAACAATATTGGTGATAAAAATTAACATTCACATCAAATCACTCACCATTTTGATTTAGATCTGGCTGCAGGTCTGCAAGAAGCGCCTCCTTCTTCTGCAATTCATCATGGACTTCACTCAATTTTTCCCTGTAAGATTCAAAATCAAAGATCAGGCCACATCAGCATTTCATATTCTCACGAGCCCAAAATAGCCAGATAAACTGCTCTATACCAGCTACAGTCAAACCTCAGTTGTCGAACGTAATCCATTCCGGAAGCCCGTTTAGTTTCCGAAATGTTGCACAACCGAGGTGCAGCGTCCGATTGGATGCAAGAGCCTCCTGCACTCAAGGAGAAGCCACGTCGGACGTTTGGCTTCCGAAAAATGTTCAAAAACCGGAGCATTTACTTCCGGGTTTTTGGCATTCGGGAGTTGAGGTTTGGCTGTATTACTATATTTTCAAAAACGAACTGGAAGCAAGAAACACTAACAAATTAGCTGTAAGGCAAACTATCCCAAATCAAATATATAAATTTTCAGAGCAGACACTTAGGAAACAGAAGATACTCAATGGTTTTCTATGACAAATACTGTAGGTCTTGTCTACACAAAGAACTGGAAAGCTTTTTTAAAAAAGTAGTGAAGGTTTTAAAAAAAGTTGTTGGTATATTCAAACCTGCTTTGGGACAATATGCAATTTAATTGCTACAGTTCTGAGTGACTACAGAACATTACAAATACCATGCTGGATATGGAGTGATGCAGGGGAAGACAAGTGAATGAATGAGATCATCAATCAGGCAGGAGCATTCGGTGGCGTCCTGGAAACAGGATCATAGCTACTGACTGAGACAGTGGGGGCAGGGCAGGCAGGGCAGTGCTGGCATACCAGCAGAGCCAACCTGGTGCTCCTGCCCCACCCCAATCTCATACTGCCCTGCCCCCACACAATCATGGTAAGTGGAAGTGACACAACTGCTGGCAGGCCAGTTCCATAGCACCACCCTACTGGCTCCTCCAACAGGGTTATGAAGCTGTCTGCTTGCATCAAGAATGTAGAGTATTGCAGGGAGGGCTGATACGGGTTGGAATAACTTCTTTAATGCCCATGGCAGCATCCCTCTCCTTCCACAGCAGGGAAGGGACAGAAGACATGAATCAACTTGCATATAGTCAAAAAGAATCTCTCATGCTTTATGTTTACACACATCCAGCACACTAAAATAAAGTATATGCTAATCTTGTAACTTACATATGTGCTGCTATCTTCTGCTTCAGCTTGCTGGACTATAAAAACAACAAACATTTATTAGGTCTTATCAGTCATATACAGGACAGTAATTTATTCCCAACAGTAACCAGTTCTAGTAGCTGCAGATGACACACACAGGTGCTAGTTTAGTGCTTAATGATTGCTTCCAACAATGTAATGTTGGGAGGCCTCTCTCCAAAGATGACTTAAGCAAAAGGTGTTTTGTAATTTTCTTTGTCACTTATTCTCACCATCACTCAGGAGGACTAAAGAGATTGTTTTGCATGTGAAACTCAGATTCAAGTTCCCCACCTCCTTTTTCAAAAGCTTTTTCTAATCATTTCAGAATGTTTGCTTTTCAGTTTGTTTTTCCATTTTACATGGCTAAAGATATGTTTTCATTGTAAACAGAGCCTTCAGCAACAAAATCATGGTGCTAGGACAACAAACAGCAGGAAGCTGTATTATGAAAACTATCCCCATCTAAGACCTACCCCTTCCCCTTCAGTCTTGGATTCTTGTTCCTGCAAGGTCTTCTGGAGGTCCTCAATCTGCTGCTGCAGCTCTCCAACCCGCTCCTTGCTCAGCCTACGGAGAAGCATTTTTTAAAGAACACAAATGTTATATGTACATCTAACAATCCAATTGCTAATCGTCAGAATTCAAGTATAAGAAAAAAAAGAAGTCAACTTTCTGGCAGATTTGACAGCTGCTTTGTCCTTTTTATTTTGCGTTTTTGCACTTATTCAGTATTTATCATCCACTGCTTGTATGCTATATGTTTGGTTATGAGTCCTGCACCCATTCTATGGTAGGTTTCCCCAAAAAATCTGTCAACAAACTTTGGGTGGAAGTCAGTGTCATGCTAGAAGAATGTTCTGCCTGTGCAAGTACTGCAGCTTGCTAGGCGGAATGACCCCCATGGCCTGAGCCAATTTCAGGAGGCTTATAGCGGGGAGCAGAGAGGGGAAAGACCAGTCATGCAAGGGAAAGTCCTGGTGCAGGGCTCCAGCAGACAGGGTTCATTAGTCAAATCCTGCCCTTTTAAGTGGGGGGGGGGAGGATACCTGTTTTCAGTCTCTAATTCATTTATTGTTCGATGCTTTTGTTCTAGCTTCTCTTGAAGCTCCACAATTTGTTCATTTTCTGATCCCTCTTGTTGCAAGTGGAGCATCTTGTTTTCATGCTGTAGCCGGATGAACATTTCTCTGAGGTTCAAACACAAAATTATAAACAAAGGTGTTTTACAAGAAGTTTAGCTTTTATCAGTGGCATTTCCCCCACAAATATATATAACGAGGCATTCTACATTACAATGTACAAGTATCAAGTATGGCTGTAGAACAGGTCATATGATATTATTTCAATTTCACTCCAGTAAAAAAGCCTTGACTCAGAAATTCAAGGCTGTTAATACTATACAGTGGTACCTCATGTTACGGATGGGATCTGTCCTGGAGGCCCGTCCATAACATGAAATGCCCACAGCTCGCGATATAGCACTTCTACACATGTGCAAGCAGCGAAACCCAGAAGTAACACGTTCCGGTACTTCCGGGTTGCCATGGGACGTAACGCAAAAAGACGCAACTTGAAGTGGATGCAACACAAAGTATGACTGTACTTTTACCTAGGAATAAGTCTGTCTGAATTCAATGGCCCTTACTTCTGAGTAAGCATGCACCAAATTGCATTAAGTGGTAGTGATAGAATGGTTCAAGTACTGTAGAGCTTTTTAACACTCGCTTCCTGCTTTAAAGCAGCTCCTAATTAAAAGAAAAGAAAAGTTTGAACACTAATATTAAGTTGGAAGGGGTGAAATCAAAGAAGCAGCTGGGAAGTGGGGCTGGATATCTTTTTCTCCAGGAAGGAAATTTAAAATGATATTGCCTTCTGGATTTGGGCCCTAGAAGTAAAGTTTCACACTGCAAAAAAATGTATGAAGTTGTCCATAAGAATCCAGTGGGACTTTCTATATTTCATTACAAGACAAGTTTAGGACAAGTTTATACAGCGAATGCATTATGAGATATGCAAGTTTAAAACATTCACTTTTTCCATTTATGGGAGTATGTCTTTTCAATTATTCAGTCACACAACTGCATTCCAGCTCTCATTCTGCAAACATTCTAGGCTCCTTTCTTACCTATATTCCACAGGCAGAATTTCAGCAGCAAGATTTTCGTAACTTTTCACAGCAGATGCATCTGAAAAGATAATAGTAAAGTAATAAAGCTATCTATAGCTTAAAGAATAACATGATTCCACAGGAAGGAAACACATATACCCGTTTGGTTCAGGTGATCCTGCTGCATCTGTGAACACCTAAGCTCTTCATTTGTCTCTTTCAGTGCATCACGCTGAACTATCAATCTCTGAAAATAAAACAAAGTTTAAGAGTGGTAAATGTGAAATGCATTTTTTTCTCTGTCTATGTTCTATCTGTTTTCCTCCCGGGGTGTCAAGTGAGGCTCCTGCAAAATTCCGAAATGGCTGTCCCCGCCCCAAGTTCCATGGTGGCCCCGTGAGCATGCCACAAGTTGTGCTGGCATCAGGCATGACACGTCTGCATTCCCCACAGCTTGCATGAATGAACTGCCATGGAAAAAATCCTGTAATGAGTCACTGCGAATTGGGCAGCTCCCAGTACTGGCACCACCACCAAGGTCTCCCCTGGTGATCGTAGAGTACAAGATGGTTGACATTTTTAAGTACTTTGGGTCCCAAGTAATTTTGGGCTTTATATGCTAGTATTGTCATGCTGGCCACATGACCTGAAAGCTGTACGCCAGCTCCCTCGGCCAATAAAGCGAGATGAGCGCCGCAACCCCAGAGTCGGCCACGACTGGACCTAATGGTCAGGGGTCCCTTTACCTATGCTAGTATTAGTACCTTGAATTAGACCTGGCAGCTCACTGGGAGCCAGTGCAGTGCTTTCAGGACTGGTGATACATAGCTTCACTTAGCTCCTCCACTTATCAGCATGGCTGCAGCATTCTACACTAGCAGCAGCCTACTGTCTTCAAGGGCAGCACCATAGATAGTGCATTACAGTACTCCAGACAAGAAGTTGCCGAACATGGACAATTGATGCCAGGCTAGTTTCTTTTTATTTTTTTGTTAGCTTCTTTCTGCTGAAGCTTCCCTGCACTATAATGAGTACCACTCTAGAGAAACTCACAACATTCAGGTGTTTGAGGGACTGTAATGGATAAGGAGACCTGAAAACCTGAAATCTTACAGACGTTTCATTCCATTTTGTCTCACCTCAAATAGGTTGGGGCCTATAGCTGGTAGAAGGCTGGCAGAAACATTTACAAACACTTTAACTAAATTGACCTAAATATAAACCTTGGCTTTTTCTGGTTAAACCACTGTTTAAACAACTATTCAATGTTTAAGAGCTCATAAACCAACATACAATCTGCTTCAACTAGGAATGGGAGCGAAATTAAGTTTAGTTCACGCTTAAAGGCGAATCTATCAAATTTGCAAATTCAGAAACAATATGAGAACTGAAGCCACAGCCACCCTTCAAAACTTTGCAATGTAGCTCTCCAACCAAAATGTTTTTGACAGCACATGTATTAGGGGAAAGTACATAAAAGTGAATACGCTAGTGAAAATAACATGCAATAATACATTATATTAGGATAAATTGCTTGCAAAAAAAAAGTTTTGACACTAGTCAAAACTGCATACAATAATGTGTTAGGAGAAATGCACACTATAATGCTAATGAATTTTCATGAGCTTTTTTTATAATTGCAAATTGCTGTAGAAATATGGAGAACTGAAGACTGGAAAAATGAGAAACTGAGCGATTTGAAACTGGCAGATCCTGTCAGCCCTGGCTTCAAGCAGTATATTTGCTGTGTTTAGCAAATCTCATGTTTATACTATTTAATAACTATTTTAATTACAGCATTGCTACCTTCTGCCTCTCAATCTCTGCAGTTAAATCCCTTGAGATTCAGAGGGTTACATTACTTGGCAAGAAGAGAAAATGGTCCCCATCAATATGACATCCTACCTATCTTGCATCCCATGTATTTGGAGAAAAACATACGAATACATTTCTATTACACTTTTAGAAGCTGTACCTCTTTCTCTTTAATTAACGCTTCATGCTTCTCTTCCAGTCGCTTCTGTTCAAATGCTAGTGTATCAGCTCTTTTGGATTCTTCAGAAAGTTTGTTATGAAGTTCTTGGACCTTGTTTGAAAAGGCAAACACATGTTGTCTTAAAGGGCTTCTAAATTGGTTTATTTAAAAATTGTTCTAAGGGTGGGAGTGGGGAAGAAAGAATACCACCATCAGAATTTAAGTGTCATTTAACACAAATGCTTTCATGAGTTCTAATAACCAGGTTCTCCCTTTCAGCAACATTACAAACATCCTGTTTTAATCTAATAATGACTTTGTGTCCAACATTTAGCTGTTCATTTAAAACATTTCAGATGTACCCCTGACCACTATCTCTTTAGCAAGCAGACAAATACCACACTGTATCTTCAACTTCCAAGTCACCAGATTCAGCTGGTATCATTTGAATTCTTTAGTGGAATATTCTACAAAGAAATATCCTTTTAATTTCTTTGGAGCTAAGTACGCTGATCCAGCTGCTGGCTGTAGGCATGCAAACTTTAGTGGGCACACTCAGCACACTTATAGGGGTTGCGTCATTCATTTTCGTGACGGGGCAGCTCTCTGTGTGTTCTTCCATAAACACAGAGTCCACCTCTGCTGTGGAGTACACTTCTAGGATTCAAAAGGAAAACAGAAAAAGGCCTCACAACAATATATTTGGATTAATACATGCAAACTGCTGCCCCTGTGCTGCCTCTTTAAAGATACGAGGGTAAATATTGGAGCCACTGTGCACTGGCAAGTGTTCCATTGGGGGAAATAACATACCATATAAATGTGTGGCAGGAATGGAAGCTGCTGCAAATTTGGGGTTGGCATGGTGGCGAGGCTTAAATTTACATTTGAATCAATTCTGATCCAAACACCACAACTTTTTAAGAGCTGAAATAATAAGGAAAAACAGAAGTACAAAGAGGATGTAAGCAAAGCTTATCTCTTACCTGCCTTTTGTATGTTTCTAGCTGTGCACGGGCTGCGTTGGCTTTCTTCAGCTCTTCCTCTAGGCTAACGGTATTGTGCATATACATCATATTTGTTTCCTGAAGCGATTTCACCTGTCTGCGAAAGTCATTCAGGTCCTCCAGTTTTTTGCGGTAAACCTCAACGGTTGACTCCAACTTGTTTGTCTTGTCAGCAAGCGTCCTGTAGGAGCAAAGCGTCCTGTGTGTGTCTTTCTCAGAAATATGGGCACTACAAAAGTTGAGTTCTTTAAAAAAACATGTCTCTAACTGCTTCTAGTGCCCAAGGGTAGAATGTGAACTAATGTGACAAACATTCATTGTTTAGAATTTTGTTTTTCATAGAATTATACAAGCCATGGGGCTCAGGCAGAGAAAGCTCCCAGTTGAGATATTAGGACTTTTCAATTAAATAACACTATTTGATGGCGATAAATCCTCAAGCAGAATTCATGATGGATCGCCAATGTAAATGAAATATGCATATGGGCTTCAAGAGAAAGGTTAGGCCTCTATTCTCAAAACGGGTTATTACACAAAACAGCTGTTGTACAACAACAAATACAAGAGCAGGCAATATTTTTTTTCTACATCCTCTCAGGCGTATGCTAGAGCTGATGATGGCTGGAGCTGGAGACAAAAGAGTTCTGGATTAACAGATCTAGAATAAAGACGGCCCTGCTTCAATTGTCACTATGGACCCTCAGATTAGCATTCTCAATCCTATTCAGGTAGACTCTGAAGCAAGTTCCCACTGGGTTGGATAGGGTTACCTTCAACAAAGTATACAGAATGTTTTTTTTAGTACAACATGCCAATAGAGCTCGCTCCGTCTCCCTCTCCCTCACACACACTTCATGGGGTCTCCACTTACTGTTACTGAATCAGGAAATAAGAAACTCAGGTAGCCAATATTTTGGTGCAACATGGAAATGGAATCAGTAAATTTATTTATCCTAATAAAGTTTAGTCTATGGTGCAACACTAAACAATTTACCTTTGCTTTGACTCCCACACGGTTGTGGGAAATAGGATATGGTGGTTGTGAGATAATTACTTTTCATGGCATATAAGGTATCCTATTTTCTTAAGTTATCAGTTACATGCATGAAGACATATAAATAAAAAATCCATGATAACATCTCTTAGTTCTTGGGATATTTTTCATTTTCAGGACTAGGACATTAAATATCACTTAGAATAGTATTGGCAGCTTCAGTGATACAAACCCTTAATTAACATGTACTATATTACAATATAATGTTCTCTATTGATCTCTTTAAATTTGCTCATTCATGCAAAATAGAGTACTGCAGTTTAGAAGAAATCCCAAGCTTTTTCAAACTGTAGCACTGACACAGCCTTCAGCAGGAGTGAAATTTGATTTTTAGCATACCTAAGAACATCAATCTCATCTTTTAGAGCCCTTGATTCTTCTGCCAGAGAGGTCAGTTCATCATTTCGATGCTGAAGCTCAACCAGTTGTTTCTCAAGTTCTTCACAATGAACACGATAATCATCTTTTGCAGTTTCAAGCCTTTACATAAACAAAATAGGATTACTGAAAAGATTTCCCATTAGTCCCTTCTTTAAACACAAGTCATGTGTATTCTTTTACCTTACTGCACATTTATTGCAGTGGTGGAACAAGAATATTTAACAGTGCTTTATCATGCAAAGGGCATTTACAAAATTCCTTATGCACATGAATACAAAGGGCAAGTTTATATAGATTGGCTGTCCTGTCTAAATAACAACATTTTAAAAATGTAGGTTTTGCATCTAGTCTGTTCCTAGTCTACTCATAAATTAGATTAAGATGATGGATAAACTAAAGCTATTAAGACATAAAATAAAAATAAATAAGATAAAACAACAGAATACAATTATTAAAAGCAGCATAATTATGGTAGATAGGGCCACAATAGTAGGGGGAAGGATATTTCCTTTGCCAACAGCCTAGTGGAAAATGTATATATTTTTTACACAAGGCAAAAAGAAGAAGAAGAAGAAGAAGAAGAAGAAGAAGAAGAAGAAGAAGACAACCACCACCAAGTAGTCTCTCTAGTTTTTCTACAGATTGCATTCCACAGTTTAGGTGGAACCACTGAACAGGTGGTATCATTGATTCCTAAACTATGAACTGCCCTTAGCAGCAGAACCCTAAACAAGGCCTCTTCAAGAGATATTCACGAATGAGCAGGTAAATATGAGAGCAGGTATTCCACGAGCACACTTGCCCCAGGCTGTTCTGACTTTATAAGCAATGCCACTGCAGCTACACAAAAATTAGAGTAACATGATATGACTGGTTTACTTCTACTAAGAACAATCAGGCTGCCGTTTCTGTATGAGTTGTAGTTTCTGAACTGTTTTCAACGACAACACCACAGAGTGCATTAAAGGAGTCCATTTAAGAGTTTACTGGAAGTGATAGGGCTATCAAATGACAACAATCCATACCTGAAATTTTCTTCCTGTAGTTGCTCTAGTTGCATTTGTGCATTGAAATACTTCTTTGCAACTGCAGTATTTGTATCATCAAGAGAACCATCCAGCTGGTCCAATCTGTCATTCATAATCTCATTTTCAGACATCAAACTGCTCTTTTCTTCTTGAAGGGCAGCTACCTAAAGAGGTAGAACCCACTTCAGGATTATGGTTCATCCATCAAAACAGCTGACGAAAATGTACAGGTAACTGACCCCAGTGAAATAATGTGTTTCACAGACAAAGTGCAGCTTAGCAGCAAAAAAGATTTTTAAGTGGTTGCCTTTGCTAAAGTTTTGTTATCTTGTATTAAATTATAGCATGCTTGTTTTTATGTACATAATCAAATTTTGTAGAAGCAAGTCCCATTGATTTTATTTCAGTGGATTTGTGTCTTTAGGGCTTTGGGCTTAGGCTGAGTTCCAAAGTAGATCTTCAGTTCATAAGACAGCTACTGCCACTGTGCTCTTACCCCAGACAGTTGTAGTAAAACCTTTCATGAGACAAAAAGCCTAATCACTCAGGCTTCCATATGCTTATGAGCGGCAATTCTACTGCCTTGTGTGGCTCAAATTCTTGTGTTGCTCTTTGCAAATCTACACACGGAACTGTCATGTGGTTATTTTCTCTTCACTTGCAGCAATTCAGATCTTGGCTGGAGATACCTTAACTTTGATTACACTGCAAGTCCTATCAGCCACAATAGCAAAACATTATCTGCATGGAAAGAGACATTGCACTTCTGCATATTAGATGCTAAGATAATCAACAAGGGAAGACTTCACCACCATGCTTTGCTTTTGAATGAAAAACCAGAAGGACTCTAGTCTGATCCAGTTTCCAGGCAATTTCCATTTGCTCTGCATAAGGATGCAGGAACTGCCATGCTAGATCAGGCCAGAGTCCATTCAGATAAGGTTTCCAGGGTACAGCATAAGTAGAAATAAAATGGCATGAAGAAGTCTTAGAGAGAAAAATATTCCCAGGTTGGTAAACTGAAAATATAAAAGCTACATGGTACTAATACTCAGCCGTGAATGGCTATGGCAAAAATGAACTCCTGGAGCCATAAGACAGCATCATATACAAGAACATGCATTTTGCAATTATTTCTGAAAACGCTGCTAGCTAAGAAATGGGAACACAACAGTAAGTATATTAACAGTCATAAAGGAGCCGCAGATTAAAAGAACAGAGCTCTTAAGCCTTTTCTAGTAAAAGCCATTGTGTTAATTTTAAAATATCAAACGTCAGAGCAAGTCACATGTTAGTTCATTGGTACTTAGAATGCATTGTGCTCTTTGGGTTACTTTTCCCTGAAACAAAAAGAAACCTACCTTTCATAAATTCTTGTAAAGTATCATGGGAGACTGAGACCTTATAAGTGAATTTATTAACAATTAGTTTAAGCAAGAAGCAATTTTTTTCCTGATTTTCAAATAAACATATATTCAGTATATCACAGAGGCATCGTTAATTGTGCCAGGCTAGCCAAAATATATTTTACATTTTTTAGACTAGAGACAAGCAAGATCAGGGTCAGGATAGACATTCAGCACTATTATTATTATTATTATTATTATTATTATTATTAAAAATCTACATTTCCCAAAAAACTTAAGGTGGATTACATAGGCATACTGCCCCTCCCTTTAAATACTCAGCCTATTCCTTTACTTCTCCTATATAAGAAAGGAAGAAACTTACAGTCCAATCCTATGTGTTTTTACACAAAAAAAGTTTTACTAAATTCAACAGTGCCAATTCCCAATTAAGTGTGGGCAGAATTGCAATCACTGTCATTTCTTCCTTCTGCCAGTTTAAATAACAGGAAATGTGTCCCTTTTGCAATGTTGGGTCAACTAGCCTTGCTAGTCAGAATTCAGGCAGAAAAGGTATTTAGTGCATTTGATCTATAAATTCCTAATTAAAAACTCAATTGCACAAACTACTAACCGTAATGCAAGACAGAATCAAATGGCTGCCACAATGGACAATATTACACAGTAAATAAGGTACATCCAACAATGGCAGTGAGGAGCACAGATGGACATGTCTGGTTAGCAGATGCTATTAGAAAACTAATGGCTCTTCCCGTTCCCTGAAAACAATGGATCTCTGAACAGAGCATTACAGAGCACTACTGAAACTGCTACAGCCTTTTGAACCATTGCATGAGCACTTTAAGGCATCAGTGAATAATTCTTCTGCTGGCATAAAGTCACAGATGGTGACCTTATGCTGCTGCCCAAACCCCAGCCAGAAAACAGCACTGCAGCTACATGGAATAAAGTGATAATACATATTATCCAAGTTTCCAAAATGAAACTCTGGCCTCAGGAATGCAAGAAGAACCTGATATACAATCTTCTTCGCTATAAGCAGAGATGAGGCATTGCACGATGAACAGTACAACTCACAAAAAACTGTAGAACAGAAGAATCAACTATGTGAATGCTATAAAGAGGAAACTGGCAGAAATGTGATTTTGAAAAACTATCAAATTTACAAAATTAATCTGCTTATAAAAAATTACTTAGGAACAAATTATGAGCTTACCTGTAGGTCTAGTTCTTGGCATCTTTGTTTCAGCTCTTCTTTTTCTGCTAGTACTTCATTGAGTTCTTCCAATGTTCTTTTCAGCTTCAAAATGTTGGAGAGTTTTTGTTTTCAGTGATTTAGCAACATATATTTAATGACCATACATACCCAGCATCCCCCCTACTGTGAAGATGATAGACAGCCACCAAATAACTAACACAGAACGCTGGGTAAATAGAAACTAAGTCTTAGGAAGTGTGACCCCCCTCCCCTCCCCTTCGATATTTGGTTCAAATCTGCTTCCTTTGAAGGCATTAGCCTGAATTTCACCTATCCTCAGATTATGGTGCTTTTAGTTATTCTAGAACCGAGACATCCAGGCCTTCAGGCTGTGAGAAATCTGAAAACCAGCCACACCTTGCGGTCATGGTCCTGGGGAATTCCCACTGCAGAACTCAAAGATCATTTCATTCAGTGACCACTGTGTGGCTCTTAGGACAGAGAGAAATGACTGGGTGAACACAATGATAAATCCACTAGGTGGAAACTTATGGTAAAAATAAAATAAGGGCTTAAACACTGCTGGAAACATTACATATAAAAATTACCTGTTGCTCCAGATCGCCAGGCAACTCACTTACAAAGCCCACTATTTCTTTGCTCATCAACTGCAATGTTTAAAAAAGAAGTGATGTACAACATATTTCTCTAAGTTTAAAACTAATTGTCTAAAACCTTGAGCCCAACTAACAGTGCCCATCAAAAACACACACAACCTCTTCTAGATTAGAGGCAGTTCCAGTTGTGTTCTTAAATCTTCTCAAATAAAAATGGCCTTTTTGCTATTGATTATATGAGGTATACTTTATTTTGACCCACAAAACACGTGTTAGCTAAAAGCCATCAAAAATTTCCATTTATCTTGTCATGTTCTTTGTCTTTGAGATGCCAAACTGGCACAAACAATCTGAATCAGTCCAATTCATAGATTGAATTGCATTTCCCCCTTTAATAACACGTCATTGGAGATTTTCTAAAAATATCAAAACATAAGACACACACATCCAAATTTAGATAAATATAACATGGCACTTCTTATGTGAAGTTTAAAAAGTGAAATGCTCACTAAAGCTAGATACATTTATGCATATGTGTGCCCTCTTTACACCAAATCCCTCAAAATAGTGCCTGCAAAGAAACCAGACTTTGATCAAACAACTTATTTTAAACTATGTAGAAGATAGTAGGGTAACGAGAGATTCTGAGATAACCAGGATCAATTGTTTTGTTACTATTGCAGTCCTGGAGATCCCCTACCCTTTGTTGTTTTTTTTAAGAAAAGAGAATGATTTCATTTTTGGTGTGTAGTATAACTACTTCTTACCTCTTGAATAGCAGCCATAACAACGTGTTGGACAGACTCCTCTAGTGTCATTATAACTTGTATATGCTCTACAAGATAAAATTAGCAAAAGTTTGTTTTCTGTAAGAAGAAATATCCTAAAAAACCTGGAGACAGAAATTACCCCTTTCATATTTGCTCTACCCCTCCAACCCGCCCCAAAACCTTACTTCTAACCAAGTATTAACATTTCTGTAGTACTCATTATGGAAAATACTGTAGCAGGTTAAAGTATCATTATTAACATTTTAGCCAGACTGCAATTCCTTTAACTATAGCTGTAGTTAATTCCCTCTAAAATGCAGAAATACTCATCACCAAACATGTGGCTGTGGGATGGGTTCAGTTATATGACATTCAGAGTTACTCCATCATCAGAATTCTCTGTCATTCTATTTGAGGGTACAGATTAACAAGCTGTCAAGGTAATTTACACCCTTGGTTCTAAACACATTTTCTTAGATGTTCGTCAAGAATTTAACTCCAAGAAAAAGCATTTTGGATTGCAGTTTTAGGTTGGTCAGAAGACTGAAAACAAAAATTAAAGCACACTGGAATTCTGAGTCTCACATCTGATTTTATTTTTAAAATTATTATTTATTAAAATAGCATCCATTCTGTTAACCAAAAGTTTTAAAACATGTTGAGAACTCACATGCAGAGTTTAAGCTTTAAAAAAATATTTTTTTAGCTATGGGAGGGTGTTGGGCATGCACTGCAGGTAAGAGGGGGGAAAGTTCCATAGCCCAAGCATAAATCCTTGCACTGATGAGATGGTTTAAAAGGGGGGTATCCCAACCAACCCAAGTTTCACTTCACTTCACAAATCATACAGTATAGAGGCTGTGTGCCCTTTCAGTTTCATCTCCGCGAGCTATTTCACAGCTTCTCCATGCAAGCTAGTATGATCCTTAAAACTCAGCAGAAGGTGGCTGATTCACAGAAAAAGCATTTACCTTGTTTCTTTTCACAGTTGACTGCACAGCCTAAAATAAGCTGCAGTAACCTGCCCAGCTCTACTGGATCAGAATGTTCAGATATCTGGCTTAAATCAGGAAGGAGATCTTCTGAAATCTGCTGACCTAAAAACTGCAAAGGAAATCTGTCATTATAATTTCATAATGACATGAGGAGGAAATTAGTCCATGAAGGCAGAATTTGTCAGATTATTTGGAAGGCAGGCAGAAGTTAAAACCCTCTAGCTTTTTTTGTGGTAAAGGACACTTTCTTTTTGATCATGCATGCACCAAGCACATTTTACAGGGTCTGCTGGAATTTATTAAAGTATATAAGTACATTAGAACAAGTCCAGTCAGGAAAAAACTAGAGGGAAAACCCACACACACACTTGAAAAAAATCTGGCTGATGATCCGTGTCTGTCATTACTTGATGATTAAGGGTGAGTAGGAAGTGAGAAAACAATTGTGCGGCCTGCCCTCAAGAGTTTTCAGCAACTAGCATGTCCCTGAACCAGTACCACCAAGTCAGGCTTGATGCTGCAAACTCTGCAGTGAGTGTAGGAAGAGGAGTGGTGGTAGCAGAGATTTGGAACAAGGGGCTGCTAAAGAAGGGAGGCAAAGCAGCATTGACTTAGCCTGTAAATCTTGGCTTAGGATCTTGCTCATTTCACTAAATATTTTTATATATCTGTACTAGCTTCTAAATGTTGCAACATCCTGCAAAATAATGCATGAATAAGCACTTTTAGAAAGTGATTCCATTTTCAGGTGACAGAGTGCAGGGTGTGTTCAAGTTAGAAAAATGCAGAAAACCCCACCCAGATCATTTTTGCATGTACTGTATCTATTTTACATATGAAGCAATGCCCGTGATAAGATTTAACAAAAACACTACCAAACAAATTGAGATTTAGACTATAGTGAACCAAGTATTACTTTAACAGCTGCTGTTTTTTCTATACCTCATGATAATAATCTGTAATTCCTTGAAGAACCTTCTTCAAATTGCTGGCCTAAGTAGGTTTAAAAGAAAACATTAGTTATGACTGTGAATTCACTTTCCAAAGATTTTCCTGTATTTCACATTTGGCATTAAATGTATCAATGACAGCCTTTACTGAACAAATTTTTACATATATGAAGATGATTGGCTCAGGTGGACACTGCAGTGTACTACTTAATATTACTATTATTACCATAAAACCAGAACAGCCTCAGGTGAAAGCAAAAAATAAAAATAAAAAAATAAAAATTAATTACAAGTCCTTTGAAGAACACTTGGGTTCCTGTAAGAGATCAGTGTAAGCTGTGGGTATCTGAGAGATGGGGACAACAATGCCATGCAACTTTTCCAATGCAGAAGTAGAAGTCTAAAGTGGGATTACCAAGCTCTCTGTTTTCAACGAGTTTCCTGGTCACCAACATGCCTCCTCTATAGTGGATCAATACTAACGCTCCTTCCAGCAACCTCTCAGACTGCTAAATGCTGGCTGTAGGATTGCTAAGTGACAGTTCTTAAATATTTTATTTAAGGCAGTTGTGGCAAGTTACTACACACCTCAGGCACAGTCTCAAATGTTCAGATCATATGACTGTAAGCTGTAACCCTGCTCACATCTGCAGTATGACAACATTAACAGCGGGTTAAATTACACTGCAGTATTACTATGAGTCTCCTGTCTCAAATCTCTCTCCCCTCCTCTCCTCCATCTGCAATATGCGGGTGGGGAAAGAATACTGAAAAGTTACATTTCTCCCCACCCCCCCCAAATGAATTTACAATGCTAGCAGCCTGCCGCCCGGCGCACAGGGCGCCCTGTTGCAGAGCGCCCTTCGCACCGGGCAGACATCGGCCAGCGCGCTTCTCCCCAGCGCCAGCCCCACAAGCTCGGGGGACAGCGGGGAGGCGGAGCGCTGCCATACCGCTGTTCCTCGACCTGGTTTTGGGTGGGAATAAAGGGGGAAATTTTTCCTTTATTTCCCCCCCAAAAAACTAGGTGCGTCCTATAGGACGGAGCGTCCTATGGGACGAAAAATACGGTAGTTTTAACTTTGAAATGTTATCTTTTGTACACACACATTGACATTTTCATTTACCTTTATTCTCCAGTTGTCACCAACATCTTCTTTAATACGGCTTAGCCAAACTTTGTCAAACCAAGCAGCATCACTAAAATAAAATTAATCCATTTTTATTAAATATCACAAAAGTGTTTGTAGTTCACGACTGAATTCCAGTCCTATTTTTATTATAAAAGTATGTAGGAAAAGACTGCTGGTAAGGCAAAGTAGAGTTTCACATATAAAAGTTTGCACAATTACTGTTCCCATTTACCGGTAAGTTTAACACACAAACACACATCTTTTGCCTCCCATCGTATTTGAAAATTTGAATTGCAAGATAACACAAGTCGGGTACCTTATAAAGGAAGAAGGGTAAAGTGATTATGAAGAAAGCTCAGATGATCAGTTACAAAAGAATGTGATTTATTTTGCTAATATATTTTGCAAATGGGATCTGCAATGAAACACTGCTGTGTAAAAGAAAGAGAAAAACAAACATATATACAAGAAAACCAAAATAATTCAACACACATACTTTAAAGTAACTTACATTTCATGAAGTACTTGTGCCATGGCAACACCATTAGTTAAGTCCTGAACATCTTTACAGGATTCAGCAGTATTAAATGTTTGTAACTAGAGGGAAGAAAGAATATATATAACTATTTCTATCTAATTTGAAACAAAAGAAAATGCATACATTTCAGAACATTTTTGGCCCACCCATATTCCAGTTCTCAGGTAAGGTTACAAAATGTTAAAACACCAATAATACACCCACATTTATTATAAATAGCAGGTTAAAAAAAACCAGTTCAAATGACCAATTAAAATATCTAACAAATGCCTGGACAAAACACATATCTCAGTCAGGCACCCAAAAGCAAGGGTGTTAGCACCTGCCATACATCCAAAGGAGGGCATTCCTTAATTGCAGTTCCACTGTGGAGAAGATCCTAGTCCTCGTTACCATCTGATGTATCACCCCCGGTTGTGGAACAATGAGAAGGAACCAGGCAGGCTGACAGAGAGAGAGGCACTCCTTCAGATACCTGGCCCCCAAATCATTTAGGAATTTATAAGTCAACACCAGCACCTTAAATTCAGCCCAGAAATAAATAAGCAATCACAAAAAATATTTTAGGATCTGTGTAATGTGATCCCTGCTGGCTGCCCTGGTCATCATATGGAAGGCCACATTCTGCACTAACTGAAGTTTCTGGGCTGTCTTTAAGGGCAGGCCTACATAGAGCACAGTACAATAATCCAAAATAATCCTATCACATTAAGTATGTGTATAAATAAGATAGTAGCCCAATCACCTGCCTGTGTCACAAGGCAGTCTGAATGCTGAGTATAGCAAGCAGTTTGCCTGGAAACACTTTTTATTCAACCTAAGCAAGATTCACTATATACTGATATCCAGATGAATGGTACTCACAGCAAACCCCTCATGTGCAAATCACACACTAAGAGTAAGCCCAGTGAAACAGCCGCACAATACATTTAAAACAGTTTCTCCCAAAGAATCCAGGAAACTGTAGTTTTCCCTTCACATAGCTTAATAAACCATAGTTCCCAGAATTCTTTGTAGGTGGGGAATGAGCTTCAAATGTATGGTGTGGATGTGACCTGATGCCTGTGCAAGGACTTCAAACAGCACAACAGACTCCCCCTCCGTGTCTTCCCCACGCCCCTGAAATTGGCATGGAGGGATCAGGAGAACCCCCAGAAGAGCATGCAGGAGGAAAAAGGGGGGATTGTTGTGTCTGGAAAGCTGAAGTGCCTGTACTGATGGAATGTTTGCCAGCAAATTCTTCCTTTTATTTTCAGAAATCTACAACCAGACTGCTGCTTAGGTTAGACACCCCAAAAAGGTATCTCTATGTGATACAGGGAGTTACAAATCACTTCCCTGTTTGCAAGAAAGGTTAATGCTGACCTATCTTGCACAGCTGTTGGAAGGCTACTTAGATAACTTAAGCGAAGCAAAATGAACAATCTCAAATTCATATAAAGGTCTATTATTATTAAGAGAGCAGGATTTTTTCTTAGGCAAAGGGAATCATTAAAACAAATACATTTGTACATAAAGGGTTCAAACCAACTAAGTCATACTTAATAAATAAATAAACTGAAATAAATATGAGTAATTTAACTGATTTCAATGGGTCTATTCAAAGTATGGATTTAACAAAATTTATACACCACCTGATTGTAAAAACAAACCCACACCACCTTCTAAGTAATTTACAAAAATATATAAAAAAAGTTTAGTATGATTTTGTTGGATACCATCTAGAGAACTATTGCTAACTTGAAAGTAAGGGCTTCAGTGTGAGAGTTGTGTTATGAACAAGTTGCAGAAGACAGTCCTAGGTTGCATTCCTGAACATATTTATTAAGGTTATGTAATTTAAGAAGGGTGTTCCTGTATACCACAACTATGCTTTATACGGCATTAAGTGAAGCATGAATCAAGTCTTTGACAGCCATACTTTTTCTTTTTGCTTCTGAAGACTGATTCAATAATCTTGAACTTTTCGACTAGATTAGTGCACTGTAAGGATCTATCTTTAAATACTGACTTTTCAACAAAATTTGTACAAAAATGCAGCAGCTAGGTTCTTAAAGCTGGACAGTCAACAATGATCACAACTTTATTCCTTATGATATTCATTGGCTACAAGTTTCACTTGGTAAAACAACTTCCAACTGTACCCAGAAATATATATGCAAGGAAAATACAACGTATGTAGGCTACACCAATAAGACGAAACAACAGCTGGCTTCATGTCATGGTTTCTGGGTCTGGGATCCATCTTGGAACCACTCCTAAAAGCACAGGCCTAGAGCATGCTCAACTCAAACTTTTCTAAAGAAGCACTTCCATCTTTTATCCACTAGGTGTCAACCACATGAACATATCTTACAGAAAACTTGTTCATGGTTTTGCTATTCCAGGAACTCTGAAAGAACATAAAAACAAGCTATTCTGTTTTTGTGACGAATGCAGTATTTGATTTGTGGTATATAGTTCAGTAGTATTTCTTAATAATGCAGTATAAATGATGGGAGGTACTGATCAACAATACAATATGCACAATAAAAGAGCCTGGAATTATACACCATGATTCAAATCAGCACAAGAATATTTCAAAATACTTTGTTTCAATAGGAATTATCAGTATATTGGTGTTTTTAAAATAACTAAAGCTTACGTAGTAATAATATTTTGTTAAAAATAAGGAAAGAGGAGGGAAATACATAGGAAAGAAACACTGTTGCCAGTTTTTTGTAAGGATTAGGCTCAGGTTGTAAATATGTGTAAATAAACCATATACTGTATCCTAAAGACACCAGAATCTCTGCTGTCACTTATTCCAATTAAACAGGGCTCTGGGCAAATGCCTGGAAACCCTGGAATCTTGTACCGCTCGGAGATTGGGATGGCATGCAACCATATTATTAAATTTTAAATATTGTATTCCTTAGGACAGCTGTGCAATTGATATAGATAAGCAAACAAAAATATATGAAGGCTAGTTATTTTTCCATAAATAATTTAAACTGCAGTTCTATTCTAAGTCTCTCCCCTCCTGTTTATTAAAGGAGATCCTTTGTACTGTATCATACACAATGCAATTTGGGAGAAATATGCAATATTGGGAAATACTTCCTTAATTCAACTAAAATGACAATATGCTGGTTGTGGTATGATCAGTAAAGTTTCCTCAGATGATCTTAAAGTTCACCTGGACTCGAGGAGGTGGTCTGCTAGATATCCTGGTCCCAAGTTGTTTAGGACTTTAAATGTCAGCAACCAAATTTTGAACTCCCTTGTAGCTTAAAAGTAAGCCAGTGCAGATATTCTGACACCAGTGTAATATGCCAAAAATTAGGGTTGCCCATTAAACACCCTAGCAGGTGGGTTTTGCGCCAGCTGCAGCTTCTGAACCAGGTAGAAGGGTAGCACCATATACAGCACATTTCAGTAGTCTAATGGTTTACCATATTTTTTGCTCTATAAGATGCACCAGACCACAAGACGCACCTAGTTTTTGGAAGAGGAAAACAAGAAAAAAAATATTCTGAATCTCAGAAGCCAGAACAGCAAGAGGGATCACTGTGCAGTGAAAGCAGCAATCCCTCTTGCTGTTCTGGCTTCTGGGATAGCTGTGCAGCCTGCATTCGCTCCATAAGACACATACACATTTCCCCTTACTTTTTAGGAGGGAAAAAGGGGGTCTTATAGAGCAAAAAATACGGTAATTTATACCTAGAAGAAAATGTGGCTAAATCTGTGCAGCTGCAAAAAGATGGGGTGCGAACCTGACCCTGAGAAATCAAGAGGAAAATGGAAGTTCAGGTGTCTGGTTTAAGTTTCACAAGGAAGCTAAGCTGAAACAGAGAGTTTTTTCCCTGATCAGAGTGGTAACTCTCAGTATGGTAGGTACAGAAAAGATGCCTCAAAGAGTATATACCACGACTGTAGCAATTAATACGGGCAGGCACTTGAACTCTTTCTGCTAATCACACAGCTTTAGGTTTCAGTTATCTAATAAGAATTCCTTCAAATAAAAATCTCTTTCTTTCTTCATCAAGAGTAAATCATTACGGAGAATTAAAGCTGCACAGACTGGAGCAACATATGGCTGTAAATAATGTTAAGCTTCAGAAACTAATACAGTGGGGAAGAAAATTGTTGAACAGCCAACACAAAGCAGCAAAGGATGACCATTCCCTTTGATATTATGGAAGCAAAGTGACACTGCACCAGTAGTGAAATGGGATCTTCCAGAAAGAAGGGCGGTTTCTGTATGCCTGGGGAGTATTCCAGGCTTACAAACATAAATTGGTGTTTAAGGGATGGAGAGGGGAAGATCAAGAGCTACAGTTGTGCTGCCATGTAGCCATCAGGCTGATACTAGAGTCCTAATGGCTTTCTTCCCTTTAGTCAAGGGAAGGGATGGGGAACCTTAAATCTCCAGGACTTTCCCCAGGCCACACTCCTCACCAGCCCTGACTGAAAGTATCCCTTAAGTGTGATGCTGCCTTCTTCTTCCCTGTACGTAAGTTAGGGAGATGTGGTGGGTGTGTAAACCCTGACTTTTGTAATCCTGGACTATAACCTACTGTAGAAAAGTAAGAGTCAAATCCAAAGCCTTTGAAAAGCTGCTAGCTGCTATGCAGATCCATGAGAAAATGTGGCCTTCAGATTTTTGTTTTTTTGAAAACCCTCCTCTGACCTAGACCCCTAAAACAGTGGAGGGAGGGGGCTATATACCCACCTCCATGCACTGTTATTGGTTGGAAATGGATGATCATCACGGCCCCTCACTCCATTTTTTTATCTCACCCTCTACAACACAGTTCCTTGTAGGCAATGAACTTGTGCACATTTAATCAGTGGCACTGCAAGTAATGGGCACACTTTTTTATATCTGACAGTATATTGGTTCTGGTTGAAATGAATGATAATATACTAACAAGAGTAGTAGCTTCATGTTTTGTCCATTACTTTATATTCCCATCAATCTATCCAAAAGCCACCTATATGAAAAAAAGTGGAGAGCATGGGGACTACTTCTTTTACTCTCATCCCCACTTACGATTTTTAGTAATAAAACTCCAAAATGTGTGTTTTAACACAAGAAACTGCTAAGGTTTCCAGACTAGATTTGTCTCTTGCTCCATGACCTAGATAAATATACTATTACCTTTAAAATATCTTTGTTTGTTATGGCAGCTTATAAGATTCAATGCAATTTTTCCAATTGATTGCTTTTCCAGTGGCAATTTAATAAAGTTAGAACTCTAGGCTACAGCGAAGTTCAGTTTAACCCATATAAGAATACATTGTCACTATCAACCTTTGATCACCAAGCACTCCTCGGTCTTCATGATGCATGGCATAAGGGATTCTTGAAATGACCTTTGGTTTTGATGAAGCAGGACTGCCAACTTCCTCATCATATATTAGATAGAAGCAAAAACCCTCCTGTAAGCTGGCTCCTTAGCAACATGCACTATTATATAAACTGCTCCTGGCATATTTACTTGAACTCAATGATAAACACATTGAAAAAACATGCACAGAGATAAGGTGCATGGCGGAAGAATTGGGGAGGAAAACTGCACTGAATGAAGCATACGTTTGGGTAAATAAGGTGTAATTTGGGCCACACATCAGATTCGTTTATATGACTGAACTGAACATACTGACTGACGGTGGTAGATTATGGCAGGACCAGCCCAAGACATTTTGGCACCTGCGGCGGGTCCTGAAATGGCACCCTACTCCTAGGAAGACCTACATCAGGAACAAGGGCGGGAGAAAGCTCGCCATCGGGATCCGCTGTCCCTGTGGATCCTGCCACCTGAGACCTTGCCTACTGCGTGGGCCGGCCCACAGTGGGGAAAGGACCCCATCCTTAGCTGCTCTATGGATAAGGGACCGTGCACACCTACATACACTCAACTGTACATACCGCGTACAACGCTTGTACCAACATGGCACGTGCTAAAAGGTTGCTAAAAGAATCGGTGCGCTGTTACGTAAGGGCGCCTGCATTACAGAAATGGGGCATAAGGAAAGCGAGCAGAGGAGGAGGGCTCCACAGGTTGCAGCGGGTGAGGCGTCAGGCTCCGAGCCCCGCGGAGCAAAAGTCTTCTGGCTGCTTCTTCAGGGTGGTGTGAAGCAGCAGCCGCGAATGGCTTCGCAGCCGGAACTCCCGCCTGGACTCGAGCTCCCTTCGGCCCCAGAGAAGCGCCGCCATCACCTGAGACGACGGGGCGGCAGGTGAGAGGAAGGGGCAGGCGGAGGGCGAGGCGGGGTGGGATGGTGACAGGCGAAGCGACCGACCCCCAACCGACGACCCGCCCTCCCCCTCTCCGAGCCCGGCCTCCCCTCACTTGCCCAGAGAATGAGGCTGTCGCACAGCGGCTGCTCGCCCGGCTTCCCTTCCATGGCGACGGCGGCGGTTTTCTTCTCCCCTCAGCAGCAGCGCCGCCGCCGCCGCGCTCTTCTGCGGAACGCACAATGCACCAACCTCACTTACGCCCGGAACAATGCGCAAGTTACGTGCCCGGCGGCCGCCGCTTGTGTCACCTGAACCCTGACACCCGCCTCTCCATCTGCCTCGGCCTCGTACCCCGCCCCCTCGGCCAGGGCCCTCCTCTTGGCTGTTTGACTCGCCGGCTGGCCAATCCTGAGCGGGGGGTGCGGGGGGTGTGAACCAAGCCGGCGCTGCGTTGTGGGTTATTTTTTTCCCCCGGGACCGCGTAAGCGAGGCGTTCTGGCCCAATCAAGGTGGCGGCCGCGGAAGGTTGGTAAGCAGCCGCAGCCGGGCGTTGCTATGGCGCCACCTGCAGGAGGCGGGTGGAAAGTGCGCCGAGGAGGAGTCCTCTCTGACCCAGTTATGCTGTGGCTGGCGCGCAGGGTGGGGGGGGCGTATTATTGCATCCATGCGCGCATCCACCGCGCTCCACCCACTGCTGTCATAGCTTAGTGGGACGTCTCTCCTCTTCCTTTCTATGCTCTTGCACCGTTTCACTTTTTCACCGCCGTCCTTTGGAGGAAATTTTCTCCCCGGGATTCCCCACCAACCAGCTCAGCTGTTCAGGTGCTAATAACGCCAAGGTTGCAGGTTCGATCCCCGCAGGGGACAGCTGCACATTTCTGCATTGCAGGGGGTTCGACTAGATGACCGTCAGGGTCCCTTCCAGCTCTCCGATTCTATGAAACACCCGCGTTCACACGGCAGCCTAGCACCGCCTCAGGCACCCGCCTTCCAAAACTTTGGAAACGTTTCCTGTTCCTGCCTCGAACTGTTTAGTAGTCGCTCCCGCCGCTGCCTGGGTCCTTCGCGGGCAGCTGAGGACTAGAGCATTACAGTTACTGCCATCATAAGTACCTTAACGACCAAGCAAAGAAACGGGGGTTCTTCCAAACTCATCCATTTGGCTCGATGCTAAACAAAGCAGAAATGAAAAAGGGAGGCTGTCGTGGATGCTTTAGCTGAGATTCTTGCATTGCAGGAGGTGGACTAGATGATTCGCGGGGTCCCTTCCAACTCTACAATTCTGCAACTTTATGATGCTATGAAAGAAAAAAAATTTGCCGCCAAAGACCGTCTTGCTTTTCACCCTTGCACAGTGTCAAAACAAAACAAAACTTAAATTCTTCTTAAATTTTAGTATCTAATCTGAATTTTTAGGAACTCAAAAGCATGCTTATGCACCTGTTAATCATACAGGAGTCTCTCCCCCCCACACACACCTCACCCCTGGTTTTAAATGTGCATAAAAAGCAAAGTACCACTACAGTATGATATACAAATCCAGTATCCTGTAAGCATAAAAAATGGAAAGCATTTTTAGTTTTAGTGCCAGAAGAACAAAGGTATGGTTATCTTTTTCATTTCATTGCTCCTTAGCACCCCTTTCCTTGAACTATATTAAGACTTCCAATTCCTTCCATGGGCATAGCCAGGATTTATCTTAGGGGGGCAGGCTTTATGTTTGGGGGCGGGGCAGAACTGAGTTATCTTCAACACAATTGGTAGGTTAGTTAAGTATTTTTATTTATTTACTTGGATGGGGGGGCAGCTACCCCCCTGCACCTGGCTACGCCCATGGTTCCTTGATTCAGATAAATTTACGAGTATTCTCATACAAAATAATGGAGAAATTATAGAGAAGAATTGCAGCTTGCTACATGTGGAATTGGGGGATTAAGCCCAGATTTCTCAGACTACCAACTAACCTTTAAGGCAAAACACATATTTGATAATGGCAGCCCAGGATCTGTTCACAACATCACCCCCCTGTATGGATCAGCATCTTGTTTCCGAGCAGGAAAGATTGCATTTCTGCAGCTCTCAACAGCTGTCCTGTAAGCTTTACTTTTGACTACAGTACATTCACAGCTCTCCCAGCCACTGAAGAAAAGTTCACCTCAGTTAATTAATTGCCCTACAGCATCACAGGGACCTCGCTGTCTTATCCTATTCAGCTAGTGATCTTCTTCAATCACACTCATTTGGGGTGGCTGATCTGGGACAGCCTGGGTATGATTTTCAGTTGTGTACCGACTGACAACTTCAATTGATTTCATTATGAGCCGCCGTACACAGTCTAGTCTCGAAAAAGTAGGTCATACAGTTGCTGGAACTAGGCAACCAAAGTGGTCATGGTGATTACAGTGAAAGATGTGAATGGCAATGTTTCACTGGGGCTTAGGGATGTGAGAAAATTAACTGAAAAAAATCAAGTACAGCTTAAGCCAATAGGATAATTCAAAATACAAAATCTTAAAACTGGACAAGGACAAGAAATAGCACCAAGAAACTACTAGAATATGAGAGGCATTAGGAAATGATGTGAACTATTGTGGCATTCCTATTACCCTGAGATTTCCTTTGCATATACCCCATACATGGAATATGTGTACCATGGGCCCAGATTCTGCCCCAGGTGATTCAACGCTCTTGTCGCTCTCAGAATTGCTCTTGGGTTTGGTTTCATTTAGTTTTAACATAGGCTGGTCAGGCTATTTTTATTGGCTAATACATGGGTCAGCAAACTAAGGCCCGAGGCCGGATCTGGACCAATTGCCTTCTGGATCCGGCCCGTGGACGGTCTGGGAATCGCCGCGTGGATTGGCGTGGATCTGTTTCTGATTGTTAGGGCTACGCCATTCCACACACACACACACACCGCGGCGGTGCCTCCTCCCTCCCTCCTCCTGGCTTCTCCCTGCCCTGCCTAGAGGAGGAAGGGGGCTGGGCTTTGTTGAGCGCCATTTTAAGCAGCCCCTCTCCGTAGGCAGCCCTTTTGCGCTGCTCATTGTGCTGCTGCCACCACCGCCAGCCCCTGCTGCTTGCAAGGCACAGGTAAGCAGTCACCGGGGCTTGTCCGGTGCTGTGGAGAAGGGAGGGGAGAGTCGGTGGGGTGTTTTTTTTCAAAATATAGTCCGCCCCCCCCCCCCCCAAGGTCTGAGAGACAGTAGACCGGCCCCCTCCGGAAAACGTTTGCTGACTCCTGGGCTAATAGCACCACACTTAGAGTGATGCAAATGGTGGATCCTAGTCATGAATAATGCTGATGCAACTCTGTGTAAGTCTGCTTGTACACCCAGGTCCTGCTTTCAGGCTTCCCATAGGGACCTGGTTGGCCACTGTGAGAACAGGATGGTGGACTAGTGGAGCCTGTTCTAGTTGTTGTTTTTTTACATTCTTACATTTCTTCATTAGTCAGTTCCACTGGCCATGGGGCTTACACTGAAGCGAGTAAAGCTGTAGAGAAAAACAAAAGCCACCCTGTGGTTGAGTCTGGTAGTGCACTCTTCTTGTAGGAAACCCAAAGGTACATCACTGTGCAGGATTTGCGTGTTGGCTAGAGCTGCAGCATATACTTGCATCTCTTGTAGCACATTGGCCAACAAGCGGTAGTGGAGACATTTGTGCTTCCTCTGCAGCCACTCTTAATGGGTCAGGGAAAGTATGAGCCAGTTTCAACTGAGCACAACGAGGAGCGCCGGAATGCATCTGTGGCCAGGAACGCAGATCAAGCTGGAGAACCATTTTCTTCCCTAGTGGGGTGAAGATATTTGTTACTGTAAGCTGTACACCAGGGGTAGGCAACCTAAGGCCCAGGGGCCAGATGCGGCCCAATCACCTTCTCAATCCGGCCCGCGGACGGTCCAGGAATCAGCGTGTTTTTACATGAGTATAATGTGTCCTTTTATTTAAAATGCATCTCTGGGTTATTTGTGGGGCATAGGAATTCATTCATATTTCCCCCCCCCAAAATACAGTCCGGCCCACCACATGGTCTGAGGGACGGTGGACCGGCCCACGGCTGAAAAAGGTTGCTTACGCCTGCTGTACACATTACCATTTATCCTGGCCCCAGTGTTATCCCACCGCTGGTGTTTGAAGCTGAGTACACAAGACGACCATGAAAATCCGGGACCAAGATGAAAAAAAAGTTTATACAAGACTAGGCTAAATTTATAGACTATCTTAAGGTTCACTGTAAAGACTTAAAAACCATTAGCAGAATTGACATAGCATCTATGAAGTAATGTGAATTAGGGTTATCAATGGACTTGTAACTGAACGGAAAACTAAAGATGTGTAAGGTAATAAAGGGGAGAAACTGGAAACCAGGGGTGGGGTAGGGGGAAGTCTAGAAGGGATGAATAAGTAAGTAAGTTGGATGTTAAATTGTAAAATTATTGAAAATTGAAAATAAAATATTGAAAAAAGAAGCTGAGTACCCATGACATTAGCCACATAAATCCCGTATCCATATGCATTCTGTAGTTTCTTGAGAAATTCTGCTGTTTGATGCATCCGCCCCCCCCCCCGCAACCCAGCTTCTGTCCAATATGAAAACATAAGGCGTCGTTAAGCTGAGTTGCAAAGCTGAATTGCACATGTGCAGGTGACAGTGTCCTTGAATAGGCACAGAGAAACAAATCAGGTAATGTGCATCAGGTGAAGACATCCCCATCCACTCGCTGGTATGTTCAGCAACGTGAAAAAGTGACTTGAAACACAGCAATAAAGATCTTATTGACTGAAATAACTTCAAATGGGCTAAGCTTTCCTGACCAAGATCTCTGTTGTTGTTGTTGTTTAGTCGTTTAGTCGTGTCTGACTCTTCATGACCCCATGGACCAGAGCATGCCAGGCACTCCTGTCTTCCACTGCCTCCCGCACTTTGGTCAAACTCATGTTCGCAGCTTCGAGAACACTATCCAACCATCTCGTCCTCTGTCGTCCCCTTCTCCTTGTGCCCTCCATCTTTCCCAACATCAGGGTCTTTTCCAGGGAGTCTTCTCTTCTCAAGAAGATCCATGAAGATCCCTTCATGGATCACTGCCTCCCCTTCATGGATCACTGCCTTGCCGTGGCGAAGGAGCTTGAATAACTCAGAGAAGCTATGAACTATGCCAAGTAGGGCACCCTAGATGGACAGGTCATAGTGGAGAGTTTTAACCAAACGTGATCCACCTGGAGCAGGAACCGGCAAGCCACTCCAGTATCCCTGCCAAGAAAACTCCATGGACAAAGACAACAGGCATATAAAAAGATCTCTATTAGGATCAAGGTTTTTGGGCAGCGGGCAGGATCTCTGACTTGCTGATTATGTAGAAAGCAAAAGGAGAACTGCAGTCTTACAGTTTTATCCCACTTCATTTATTTGATTCCATTTATGAATTGCTTACCACAAAATATATTGGAAATGATTTCACAGTGTTTTGTAAGGAGGATTATGCGAAATATTGAAGGAAGATTATGAAGAGACTTCTTAGTTAAAGATAATTAAAAGCAATAGAAAAATTAAGAAATGCAGATTAAGTGATTAAGAATGGAAAATCTTCAGAGGTAGACGACGGAA